TTATACTGCTTTTTTGGAGCTTCGCGGCGGCGCGCCGCCGCGACTGTATGCACATAGAGCAACTTTAGCTCTTCCTGGTCGAGTATACATCCTGTACCTCGAGCGTATTCCTTCTGAAAATATCTAAAACCACTCCAGTACATTACCAAAATCTGTCGCAATGTACTGTACATTTTTTTGAGCGCATGGGGCTAGTTTGTGCCCACCGAGGCCGTCCGCAACTTCGCGGGGGTGCACCTAGAGAGATCACGTGCGGTAGAAATGGTCTCGTAACCTGATTCTAGGGTTGGCTTTGGTCTCTAGGGGCGGGCGCTTCGGACCAATTCAGAGACCAATTTGGTCGGGTCCTTGGAATCGCGCTGTATCCATATCGTCATGCCAATCCATCGTCGCCCATCGCGAGCGTGCGCGCACCCATGGGGGCCAGCCTATATAAGAGGCTGAGAGATTGCGAGGAGGCCAGCATCGATTCCCTCCACACTCGCATCCACCACCTCAACTTCCTTCTAACTCCCACCACTCACCCGACATGCCGTCCAAGCGCATCCTCTTCGTCTTCACCTCCGCCAACAAGACCCTCACGGGCGCCCAGACCGGCTGGTTCCTCCCCGAAGCCGCGCACCCCTACAACGGTACGCGATCCCGCGATCAGGGCCACATCCCCACACACGCTAATTAATCCCTTGCCCTGGTAGTCCTCGCGCCCAAGTACGAGATCGACTTCGCGTCGCCGGCGGGCCCCAACCCGCCCGTCGACGAGGGCAGCGTGCAGATGTTCCCCGACGACGTGAAGTTCCTCGAGGACCCCGTGGTGAAGGAGAAGCTCGCGACCGCGAAGAAGCTCTCCGAGGTCAGCCACGAGGCCTACGACGCGGTCTTCTACGTCGGCGGCCACGGCCCCGTCATCGACCTTGCGTCGGACCCCGTTAACATCAAGCTCGCCTCGTCTGTGAGTACATGGGCCTTTGAGCGGGACACGACGGGTGCTAATGCGCATGCATGCAGTTCTTCCAGGCGGGCAAGATCACGTCGGCTGTGTGCCACGGTCCCGCTGCGATTGTCGGCGCGACGGACGCGAACGGCGTGAGCATCTTCAAGGGCCGCAAGGCCACTGGTTTCTCGGACCTCGAGGAGGTGCAGGTGGACAAGGTCAAGGACGTGCCCTTCCTGCTCGAGACGCGCATCAAGGAGCTTGGTGGCGCGTACGAGAAGGCTAAGGACCCCTGGGCGGTGAGTTTGCACGCGGCGCCACCGATCTTTGCGCGACAGAGACTGACGGGCTCATTTCTAGGCGCACGTTGTTGCCGACGGTATCCTGATCACCGGCCAGAACCCCGCGTCGGCGCACCCGATCGGCGAGGCCATCGACAAGGCTCTCTCTTCTGCATGAGCTGGGTAACAGAAGTGGACGGCCGTGTACATATACTGTAAAATAGCGAGACGGAATCGCCATAATACACCAATCTCGACATCGTGTTTCACTCACCAAGACATCGTGCGTGTCGCACTCACCGTCTTATGCCTGGGTACGATGCACACGGACAAAACTGTGCACGATGCCAACGTTATACGTACGGATGAGTTTGAAATCATCACGGAACGGCGCTTCTGGTGCATCTACTTCTGCTGATTTACAGCAATTCGGCGTGTACGGAACGCTGTCAACTCCATCAAGCGCAAGGCAGAATTGCGCACAGCGTCTGGAAAGCAACGTCCTGAGATACAGATTACACGGCGTAGAGTACAAAGCTAGATATACGAAACAGACATCACCCATCCCTTCTTGAGCGTGAAGCCGTCTAGGGCATCTTTTGCGACAGTCGCCAGGTCGGGCGACTCGAATGTGACATACGCCATCTTGGCCTTCTGTCCCGCGGCGTTTGGTGTGGGTGAAGGGACGACCTGGACGGAGTGGAAACCTTGGTACCTGGAATTTCGGTTAGCACGATCTATCACCTTCACCACAGACGATGAACGTACTGTTGGAACAGCACCGATAATACATCGTCTGTCACCTCTTGTGGTAGGTGGATGCACATGAGCCGTGCCGACGGTTGTTGAACGGCCGCAGGAATCTGACCTATATCGGCGCGCGACGTCAAGCTCCTGCAAGCGCTGTGAAGGCACGCGATATGCGTACCATTTGCGGGAGCAGCCTGCTTCGCGGCGCCCTCGTCATCGTCCTCAATCTCCATCTCCTCCCCATCGTCGTCGCTATTGTCCGTCTTCTCCCGCTTGGACTCGCGCGCGTCCTCGTCCATCCGATCGTCCCGCTGCCGCTTCTCCGCGCCGTTCAGCCCGCGCGCGTTCGGTGCGTTCTTCACGTGGATCGACGTCGGCGGCACAAAGTTCGGGTCCTCTCTCCGCAGGGTCGCGTACGACTTGGTCTTTGCGTACTCAATGTGCTGTAGCGGCCGCGCGCACGTTCACATCAAAGGGAACGACATGCAGGCAGCGTTGAGACGGGGCGCACCATTGGCTTATCGTAGAAGACCGTACCTTCGCAGCCCCTCAGTGCGGCGGTGGCGCCTGCGAGGTCGGAGAAGACAAGGAAGGCCTGGCCCTTCATTTTGGGGCCCTTGAGGGCGACTACATCGAGGATGCGGCCGTAGGTGGTGAAGAGGGCGTAGAGCTGGGCGCGCAGCTCCTCCTTCTTGACCTTGTCGTTGAGGTTTTTGATGTAGAGCGTGGTATTGGGCTGCGTGGAGGACATGGCGGCAGGAGAGGGGAGCGGTAGCCGAGGCAGGGTGAGGAGGACTGGACGCGACGCGGAGGAGATGGCGTTCAGTAGACCCAGTTAGCGCCCACGGGCGCAGTTCCCACGGAGGGCGAGGACATTGACGCCGGCCGCGCGCTGGGTAACCGAGCGAATTTGTTAGGCGCGTGGCCCGACGCCCGTGCGTGTTTGGGGATCTTTTTGGCCAGCGCAGAAGTGAAGCCGTCTTCTGTCCTCTGTCCCTATCGTCCCAGCCGACTCCGCTGCGGGACACACTCCGCTCCCTCCTCACGACCTCCTCGTCCACGACCCGCCCCACCTTCCCCCCGTCCCCGTCGCGTCTCACCATCAAATTCGCGTACCAGCGCCCGCACGCCGCTCTCTGCTTTATAGCACCTCGGGCCGAAAACCACGCGCCGCGACGTCCCCCACCCTCGTACATGCTTTGCTGACGTGACGACTGTGTATACCACCCGCCATGAACACCGACGCGGCCCCGGCGTGGCTGCCTTCATATCTCGTCCCCTTCTTCACGCTCTCCTACCCCACTGCGCGTCCAGCCAACCCAGACTCGTTCCCGAACTCGAACTACTACGTGACCGGCCTCCTCGATGGCTGCATTATCATCACCGCAATTGCCGTCATGGCCGTCCTACGTGACGCGACGCGTCTCTTCGTCATGGAGCCCTTCGCCCGCTGGAAGCTCGGCCGGGACCTGCGGCTCTCCAAGCAGAAGGCGGCGGCGCTCGCTAACGGGAAGGCAAACGGGAATGGACATGCAAACGGGAACGGCCATGCCGCATACGCGAACGGCTCCGCTATTTCAAGGAAGGAAGCTAAGAAGATGCATCGAAGCGTGATTCGCTTCGCCGAGCAGGGCTGGTCCGTCGTTTATTACACTGCTCAATGGTCCTTCGGCCTGGTAAGCTATATTCGCACGTTCTGCGCCTACTACCCACTCATGAGCTTTCTGTCGATCCCAGTACGTTCACCGGAACTTCCCTACCAAAGTCCTGAACCCTATCAACGTCTGGCCCGGTTATCCCCATATACCCCTTGCCGGCACCGTCAAGTTCTATTACCTCCTACAGACCGCCTTCTATATGCACCAGGTCCTTATCATTAATGCGGAGGCACGCCGGAAGGACCACTGGCAGATGATGACACACCATGTCATCACCATATTCCTCATGATTGGCAGCTACTTCTACAACTTCACGCGCATCGGCTGTCTCATCATGGTTCTCATGGACTGGTGTGACATCTTCCTTCCGGTACGTCTGCAGCTTGAAAACGTACTGTACCTCCATTGACCCGGAGGGACACAGCTGGCGAAGATGATCCGTTACCTAGGACACACAACAGCTTGCGACGTCGCGTTCGTGGTGTTCCTGATCTCCTGGTTTGTTACGCGACACGTGCTCTTCATCTTGGCAATCAAGGCAACTTGGGACGCGCTGTATATCACTCCTAGCATATGGGATCCAATCCGCGGACAGTACATGACGAAGGAGATTTACATGACGTTCATAGCTATGCTGGTAGCATTGCAGGTATGTGCTGCATTTCCGCCGCGCTTCGGACGACACTTACACTCGTGATGTTAGATTATCCAATTGATCTGGTTCTGGATGGTGTGCCGGGTTGCGTACCGGGTCGTAACCGGCCAAGGTGCGGAGGACACACGGAGTGATGACGAAGAGTGAGTGTCCCTCCCGCGTCTCGCTTGCTTCTGGCCGCTCACAATTCCGCAGTGATGACTCGGATGACGCCAAAAAGGACGACTAATTTATCTTTTGTAGAGCCCATTATTAGATTGCTCCCTCTAATGTTTTGTGGGTCTATTAGGTCGCCGCTAGCCCGGGACCGAAAATACGAATGCACAGGCGTTCTGCTGGTCTTTTTGATGTCCGAACTCACTGCGCTCAGATCGCTGGGGTGATACGGCGTCGGCGGCTTGTCGCTTTCTGTCTGAGTCCGCCGTCTGGACTTTGAGTCGAGGCGCTGTGCGCCCTGACACGGTCGGGTTTGGCGGTGTACCGCTTTCGGGGGTATGTGGCACAGTACCATCCCCGAGGCCGACACACTGGAGTGAACTGTCTTTGGCAAGTTGAATCACCCCTCGTAGCTGCTAGGGCGCGCCCTTGTATGCGTGCTGCTCTTGCGCGGTGCTGCTGCGTCTGCTTCAAGAGAGCGCGAGAGACTGCGCGAAGGAATATGCTCGAACATACTCGCCTTCCTTATCGGGCGGATCGAGTGACCCCAGTGACGCTCTCGTCAGGCGGCGTAGTGCGCGGGCGCCTCCCCCTACACTCTGACCAACACCCGCTGCCACTCGCTCTCGTGCTCGCATACCCTCCCACTCTCCCCTTGTACCCTACACACGGACCCTACCCTCTAGACATACGCACTCGGACGGACGCCGGGACGACATGATGGCCGGGATCATGAGCTACTTTGGCGGGCGGCGCGACCCGAAGCAGTCGTCCCGCGACGCGATAGTCACCCTCCGCCAGCAGCTGCAGATGATTGAGAAGAAGGAGGAGTACCTGCAGAAGAAGATCGAGGAGGAAGTGAAGAAGGCTCGGGCGAACGCGGTCTCGAACAAGGCTGGTGAGCACCCCGCCCCCTTGTCCTCCCTGCCGCCCGCCTCCTCGGCCGTCATGCTCATTAGTGTGTGGACCTCATTTGGCAATCTTTGCACGCGACTTGCGGCATTGCAACTGCACTTGAATTCTTGGCTTGTGTGCGCATGATACAGCGGCGACCGCGGCGCTGCGGAGGAAGAAGGTGACGGAGCAGGAGCTCGACCGGCTGCAGAACACGCGCTTCCAGCTCGAGATGCAGGTCAACACGCTCGAGTCCGCGAGCTTCAACGCTGAGAACATGGCCGCGATGAAGAAGGCGTCCACTGCGCTCAAGGATATCCATGGGAAGCTGTGCGTGCCCTCCCCCCTCCCCGTCTGCGCGTCCCGTATATGTGTGTGCGTGTGCTAATCCTAATATGCTCGTTCGTGCAGCACGATCGACACCGTCGACCGAACGATGGCGGACATCCAGGAGCAGACACAGCTCGCGAGCGAGGTCTCGGAGGCTATCTCGTCCAGCACGTATGCGGGCGTCGAGATCGACGAGGTGCGTGTTCCACCATCATCCTGCGCCCCGTGCGTCCGGGGTGGGCGGCTGACCCTTGATATGTTTCTCTGTCTCGTAGGACTCGCTCCAGCAGGAACTTGCCGATCTGGAACAGGACGAGCTCAACGACCGGCTCATGGGCGACCACGTGCCCGTACACCATCCAGCAGGGCCGAGCAGAATCGAAGACAGTGCGTTAACATTCTTGATTGCTCTTTCGATGTACAAGTGGGCTGACGTACGCAGACCGGCATGCAGTGGAGGACGACGAGGATGCGCAGCTCAAGGAGCTGCAGGCTGCACTGGCCATGTAGTCGCGGTGACCCATATACACACGTTTCTTGGACTCGACCATCCCATTTTCCTCTCCTCGGCTCGATCTGCTCGCCTAATGACTTGTGTTACATTATGACCCCGGGCCTTTCCCTTTCGCCTCCCCATGTTCTACTAGTTGCTCTCTCTCCCGACGAAGCGGTGCCGCATTGTACTTTGTCCGCAGCCTGATATGCAATCACGAGTTCCGCATAGATCTACCTCTGGAGCATTTGCACGTAGAGTACGAGAAGCAGGACTGGAGAATCTACCAGGAACGACAACGTGAGGGATCACGTAGAGAAAGTATGTCTGCCCCCATCATTTATAGGTAAACCCTGTGAACGATGTCCTGAGCAGAAACGCAAGGGGTTCCGAGTGGCTGAACTCGCGTTGCAGCGCTACTCTTCTTTGATCCGGACGGACTCACTCACCTGGGACGGGTAGTACCCGTTCCGCCTCCGTCTCCGACGAGCAGCGACCATACACTGGGCTGCACGGAGACAGATGACAGTGGCATACACTCACGCTAGTTTCGACAGCGATAGGTCCGCCCATGACGCCCCTGCTCGGGAAATCCGAGCTGCGGTGAAACGTAAGAGGCAGCAGGTGCTAACTCAGATGACAACGGACCTAGGCCACCCACTGTCACGGGCAGATGGCGATAGTAGGGCATGCATACAAAGACAAGCCTGAGGGCACCGAAGCATCCGGAGCAGAGATGAGAACGAGCACAAGGGGCCGGGGAGATAGACGAGGCCGAAGGAATGAAGAAGCTGTTCGAGAAGATGCTGCGTTATCATCTTGAGAGTCCGATGGCCTGTGTTCTCCGCAGGGATTGCCGGATGAGAGAGAGAGACGGTCGATGGATCGCACGTTGGCTGGCGATTGGGATGCACGTGTAGAGCATCGATCCATGGCAGAGACGCGGATGCGGACAGAGACGCGGAACGGTGAGAGCGCGGAGGCAGCACGTTCAACGGAACACAGCCCTAGAGTGGCAATAAACAAGGCGATATTGAGTAAATTGAGGGATAGAAAAGGCTGGGGAGATGGGGTATGGGGATGATGAGCGCGCTGGAGAGACCCATGGCTGGCGAGTGGCTGAGGCGAACTCGCTCACGCGCTGACGGCCGCGGCTCGTGGGCTGCGCCGGTCGATTCACTCGATTGCCTTCACCGTCCATCCACTCGTCTTCTCCACCACCATCCTCTCCTCCTCGCTGTCCTCGACCTCCTCCTTCAGGCCGCCCTCCTCGGCGTCGGCCTGTCGCACATGAACTCCCTCTCATACCTCTCCCGCCAGTTCGATGTCTTGGCCTCTACGCGTACGCCACCGAGCACCCCCACCTCCGAGGACGCCCCATTGCTCCACGAGAGCGAACGCAACACCAGACTCAAACGGTCGGGATCCACGAGGTCCTTCCTTGTGCCCCAGCCTTTGCATTCCTCAGGAGGATGGACCCTGAAGAGGTCCTATTCATCTCCTGCCGAGGTCAACCCGAGCACCCCGTCTGCCTCCACTTCGTCATCTCCCCTGGGGCCGTCCATCTCCCGCAAGTCCTCGCGCCCCCCTTCTCGGCGACCGTCTATCTCCTCCCCGGAGAAGGCGATCTGCCCTAACGGTGTGAGCGACTCGCCCCTGGTCAGACGTCTCGTCTTCGTGCGCATCATCCTCCAGCTCTGGCACGCTCTCCTTGCAGCCGTGCGCGGCTTAATGAGGCAGGATGCCGCAGTAACTGTGCACATCGTCGACGCCGCCGTAGACGACAACTCAGATGAGGAGGAGAAGGACACCGAGGACGAGAGTAGAGACGAGAAGCCACCCCTGCCGGTACCCCCATCTGTATTACTAGATTCGCAGCAACCTCCGTACCAGCCCGCAATCCCATCCCCCCTGTCGCACCATCCACCCGCATCAGCACCCTCAGAGAAAGTCCCACCAATAACGATACCCTTCGCCGTCGTCGACTCCGACGAACGGTTGCCCTCACTTGTCTCCTCAAGGTCCCAACATCCCACTCTTTCCACGCTGACGCCCCCAGCTTCAAACCGGTCCAGATCAATAACGCCTACGCCTCCCTCGAAGCAGACAACACCATTCCATCTACCCAAAACATTGGTATTGGACTTGGACGAAACGCTCATCCACTCAACCTCGCGACCCATTCCCTCTGCCGGCGGCTCTGGTCTCTTCGGCTTCGGCGGGCGGAATAAGGGTGCGGGGTACACTGTCGAGGTGGTACTGGGTGGCCGAAGTACGCTGTACCATGTGTATAAGCGGCCATTCGTCGACTACTTCCTGCGGAAGGTTAGTGCCCGGTTCCCCGCGCGGAGCCATAACTCAAACCCCCTCGCAGGTGTCGCAATGGTATACGCTCGTTATATTCACGGCCTCCATGCAGGAGTACGCCGACCCGGTCATCGACTGGCTCGACGCCGGTCGCGGGATTTTGGGGCGCCGTCTCTTCCGCGAGGTGAGCGCGTCCCCGCACGTTGTTCGGGCTCCTCGACTGACGCGCCTGCACAGTCGTGTACACAGCTCCCTAATGGATCATATACCAAGGACCTCTCGATCATCGAGGCGGACCTTTCCCGAGTCTGCCTCATAGACAACTCGCCCGTCTGTTACAACATTAACGAAGGTCCGTCCGTCCACCAGCCCGGCTGCGCCACCGCCGCGATGCACCGTACTTACGCGAGCGTTCCCTCCCACAGCGAACGGCATCCCGATAGAAGGCTGGACGCATGACCCCCACGACGAGGCGCTGCTTGACCTGCTCCCCGTGCTCGACTCCCTCCGCTTCACGCGCGACGTCCGGAGCGTTCTCGGGATCCGCGGCTTCTCATGACCCCCGTGTCGGTCCTCGCCGCCATCGCGCGCTGGGGCTGGGGTTGGGGACGCGCGTGAGACGGTGGGGCTGACGCCCGGCCCGCGCTTCTTCCACCCCGTACGCTATCCGCTTTACGTCTTGGGCCCGTCGGTCGGGTATACAGGTCTCGTTCGCTCGCCGTGTTATTGCAGGAACTATCGTCGCATCTGCTAATTATTCCACCACCACCCATCCATCCCACCTACCCGCTTCCTGTCGATTTTGCATTCGCACCCCACACCCCATCCCTCATCCCGCGCCCCCTCACTCTCCCCCTCACGTCGCTTTCAGAACCCGGTCCTTTGATCAATGATGACAACGCATCGTCCACGTCCCGAGCCACCTACTCGCACGCTAATTGCTCACAAGCGGCCAGCTGCTGCTGTATATCTGTACGTACATAACGCTCCGGCCAAGAACACATCTCCGCGCACCATCGCGTTCACCTCACAGCAGTGACCGATGACGTCTGCGCACTTCCCGCGGACCCTCATGGCGAGTTGAAGACTACCTGATTGGCACGTTTGCAGAGGCCCTCAGACCTCTTGGGGCCCGGTTAATCGCCACGCTATTGGGCGCACTTGGAATTGGCCATCCTTTTGGGCGCACTTGGAATTGGCCATCCTTTGACAAGTACGTCTGACTATGTTTTCGCCCTAACCACCGAAGTAAATTTGTCCAAACCAATGGCCATACATTATCAGTGGGTGTAAATCGCATGAACGTACCATATGTGCCGTATGTGCATGACAGCTCGTGGACAAAAGCGATTTCAGTGTAGGTCCCACCCACAGGGCGACTCAAACAAACAAAAATTGAGGCCCCACCGTGGTTCGAACACGGGACCCTACGATCTGCAATCGTATGCTCTACCACTGAGCTATAGAGCCGATAGCATTCTGGTCAGCTGTCAGCTCTCAATCGCTTTGGCAGTATCCTCATCTCCACCTTGACTGCCCAACGTTACAGTGAACGAGCAATATTCCTTCGCAGAAACGTTGAGGAAGCAAGACCGCGTCCCTCAGACTTCATATAAAGTGCTCTTACATGGACACCGCTGTGTCCGCAATTTACACTACTCATACAGCAACATATACACCCGGCTCAGATCAGGTACCGGAATCCCTTCTCCTTCACGCCTTTCTCCTCTTCCTCCTTGTCCAGCAGCCGGTTCAGATGCGCGAGGTGCAGCTTGAATATGTAGCACATCACGATCGCGCAGCCCGCCGTCGCAATGCAGATCGCGTACGAGTTGCGGTACGTCGGGCCCCACGCGCTCGGCCACACGTATCTGCGAACACGGGTTAGACGAAGGACGCAATCGATGTACAGCAGGTTACGCACGAGCCAGCAACGTTTCCGAGCTGCGAGAACGCGTTGACGAGGGCGACCGCGACGGCACGCTTCGACGGCGGCCGCGGGAAGGAGTTGCTGACCCACGTGTAGAGCACGACGAAGCCCGCGTACGACTGTGCCATGAGAAACCTGTGCGGATATAGACCAGTGTGAGATATTCGGAGGGGGCTCGATGAGGTGCATCGACGTACAGGGAGACGTATCTCGCCGCGGTGTTCATGGTGCATATGGCGATGATGAACCCGACGATGCCGCCGAATATGGGCACCGTGATGTGGTAGAATCGCTCGCCCGTCTTGTCCGAATGTCTGTACACCCCGTCAGCGACAAATATTTATGAGACGTTTGAATGAAGGAACACGGACCTGGACACGGCGAACGCCATGATCGCGGTGAACACGAACGGCGGGGCGCACAGGAGCAGCGTGACCGTTGGGTCGAATCCCATCGTCGCGCTCAGCGTCGGGAAGTACGCGTTGAAGCTGAGCGCGACGACCTGCGCCGTCATCGCGAACGCCATCCACCACACCTTCCAATCCTTGACCGCGAGCCAGAGACCGGTCGCGTGCCCGCCTGTCTCCGTCTCGGCTTCGTCGCCCACCCCCGCGTCTTCTTCCATGCGGCGCATGGCGAGCCGGCGCTCATCCTCACTCAACCACCAGCGGCGTGTTGTCGCGGGGAAGTCGGGTAAGATGAACATGGCGCAGAGCGCGACGAACACCGTCAGCGCGCCCTCGATATAGAAGAGCCAGCGCCAGGCGGCGCGCCCGAGCTTGCCGTCCATGCCATCGAGGATGCCCGACGCGATGAGCGCGCCGAAGGCATTGGAGATGATGTTGCCGCAGTATAGCAGCGCCGTGCGCGTACCGAGTTCGCTGCGCTTGTACCACTTGCTAATCAGGAAGAGCGAGCCCGGGAAGAAGGCTGCTTCGACGAAGCCGAGGAAGAAGCGGGTGAGCAGCGCGCCGACGAAGCTGGGGGATTATGTCGGGACGTGCTGATAGCGACATCGAGTAAGGTGCTTACTCGTTTGTGATACCTAGGGCAGGGGTTAAATGGAGAAAGAGACGGTGAAGGCAAAGAACCTGCCTGTCAAGATGGAAATGGTCCCCCATATCATCATGCACGCTGGAAGATACAGCGACGGTTTGCCGATGTAATTGAGGAACATATTCCTTGGGTGGTGATCAGCGTCGTAGACCTAGTAACAGGAGCAAAGGTGTACCACTTACGAGGGTATTTGCATGATGATATAGCCAACATAGAGGATCGAAAGCAGAGTCGCAAATTCTTGACCTTGAAGATGCAAGTCCGCCTGAAATCCACGGAGTCGCGCTGCCCTGGATATTTTTCAGCATGCAGCATGATATGGTCTCTAACAAATATACTGTACCCAGCGTTATTGCGGTCTACCTGTGGGTATACCGTGAGTATCCGGCACGAAAATAGTAGGCAAGTACTCACGTAGTTCAAGATATAGATGACAATCAGGATGGACATCCGCAGGTCAAGCTTGCGGAGGAGCTTGCGCTCCATCACCTTGCGCGCCTCATGTCCTCCGAACTCTGCGTCGGGATCGTCTCGCTCGACGTCTGCGACACCTGCAGCAGCAGTCTTCTCAGCAACCGAAGAGGTCCTGGAGGATGTCATCCCGTCCTTTGGGTCCAGGGAAGGCAGATGCCTGTCTGCGAAGGTACCACAGCAATGGGGCGAAGAGCACAGGGTGGAAATTGGGCGACCATGCTTGCTTTTGAGGCACTCCAGAGGCCCAAAAGCTCCGCCATGCTGCCGTCGCGGGAGCGGAGAGGCATCTGCGGTGGTCACAAGGGCCGATGATGCATACGCAGAAGCGCAGGTGACGGCAGAAGAGGAAGAGCACTCAGCTGAGGGCGCGCGCCGAGGATTCCGCCGCGGCAGACGCGGTGAGTGGGCACGCGCACGTGACCGACGCGAACGTTGTTTACGCGTTGCGTGCAGCCACACCCCAGGCGCCCGTCCCTTCGCCTCCGACATCCGGGCTCCGCTTTGTTGCTCGACGCCATCTTGGCTCTGCTCCTTGTTCCATCTCTATGCCCATTTGACCGCTTTTCGTCTGTGCTTTGCTCTCTGTGGCCTCTTTGACGCAGAACGACGTGTGGCGAAACCATGGGGGATGACATCTCAGATCTCCACCTGTCGGTCCAAGAGCGCATACAGCTCGCCATCTCCCGGCTGCCCACCCTCACACACGTCGATATACCCTTGAACGACTCGTGTCCCATATGCCTCAGTGCTTTTGATGCTATTTTGGAGGGAAAGGCGGTGGAGGGCGCGAGGGGAGAGACCCCTGATTCGGACGAGTTGGCCGGAGTGACCAAGCTCGTCGCCTGCGGGCACATCTTCTGCAGAGCATGGTACGTTCACTGTCATGGTTTCAGCATGTACTAGCAACTAGCGGTACTTATCGGGCTCCCTCAGCTTAGTAGAATGGATCAGAGGTCGCGTAAGTCCCGTCCAATACCCGCTCCGTCTTTCTCGGAATCCCTCATGCCCGTGCTCTTCCCCAGCACGGAAGCTGCCCCTCTTGCCGCAATGTCTTCAGCAGCATCCGGCCTGCATCCGACTCGGACAACGAGTCCTCCGACGGCGACTACGTCCCCGGAGATGATGAAGAAGACGACGAGGACGACGGATTCTACGACTCGGACTTTATGGAGACCGAGTCCGCGTATGACGACATGGACATCGAGGACGTCGACGCGGACGTCGACATCGACGACGTAGACGTCGCCCCGTGGGACGACCACGCACGGGACGCGAGCATGGACAACTGGGGGCTGAGCGACGGCGATGGCTCCGAGAGCCTCTCCGAGGTCGAGGTGCTCGCCCTCAGCGGCGAACTTCATCCCGAGAACGACGGTGAGACGCTCTGTGCTTGTGCTGATACGTGCCGATGCTGACTGCAGTAGATGCATCGGTGTACAACGGCGAGGCCGAGGCGTCCGGCTCGCTGCAGGCCCCGGAGGACGACTCCGCCGAGCCGAAGTGAGCGCTCTCGCACATCGCGAGGCCGCGTGTATCTACCCTGCGCCAGCACGAGGACGAGGACGGCCGGCGTATACAGGGATCATGTTCAATACCGGCTTGTTGTACCATATTGTATAATCCAGACGGCCTCCATCTATGTCTATGCCTATAATATAACATTCGGATTGACTGTACGACTTGTACAAACTCCTCTAGTTCGCTCTGCCCTCTAGAAGTCCAGCGACTCGAGTATGGTCGCAACCGCTGCACCCTCACGGCCTTCCTTCCAAACTCCAGTAAACTTCCCACTCCACCGCGGTCCCTTTCCACCGCCCTTGACGTTCAGCTTCGCCTTCAGCGCGTCCCCAGCCTCCTTCACCTTCTTATCGTCGCTCCCGAAGACCAGAACGACCGTGGTGCTAGTGGCCGTCTGCGCCGACGGCGCCGACGACAACACGACGAGGTACGGCGCCGTCCCATCCTTCCTCGCAACCTTACCGACATACGCACTCGAGATAGCGGACAAGAACCCAAGCGCGTTCGCCGCGTCATCCGTCCTGTGCCGATACAGCGCCACGCCCCCCTGTCCCTCCGCGGCAGTGGCGGCAGCGAGCTCCGCAGCGACGGCCGCAGCGAGCTCCGCCTCGAGGTCCTCGACGCGCTTGCTCGCCTTCTTGCGCTCGTCGACGACCTGCTGCACGCGCTCGGGCACGAGCGGCGCGCCGCAGCTCATGATGCCCGCGGTGCCCGTGAGGAGCGCGTGTGTGGAGGCGAGGTGCGCGAGGAGCCGCGGGCCGGCGAGGAAGTAGAGGCGGACGCAGGAGCCCGTCGAGCGTGCGAGCGTCTCGGTGTGCGGGAGGAGGAAGAGCTGTAGGTTGTGGATCGTCGGGAGGTGCGTCCCGCAGCATCTGTGAGAGTCACGATGTTAGGATGGCGAGTTGTTCACCGGACGACGGCGGGCGGCTTACGGGTTGCGGTCGATCCCGTCGATGACTACTGTGCGTTTCACGCCGCCGGTGTAGTCCAGGGGGATACCGACACTGGGGCCGCTCATGACCTTTGCATTCGGGTCGAGCTCCTCGACCTCGATGTGCACGCTGCGGCCCTCAAAGACAAGCCTGTTCGCCTCCTCCTGGACATACGCAATCTCGTCCGCGGACAACGCACGCGCGACGTCGACATAGCACGGCGCGGGGGACGCCGTGAGCGACCACGCGAGCGTGTCCACCTTGAGGTCATGCTCCAGCACGGCCGAAAGCAGGTGTTGAGATGTGTGCATGCACATCTATATGAAAATCAGGCACGCCAGATGGAGATCCGCACATGGAGCCGTCAGATACACTGCTTGTTCGGGTGCACGTAAGGTGTGGGTCCACACTTACATGGTCTAGCCGTCGCTTGTAGCCCTGCGCTCCGAGGGAGACGCCGACGACGGTGCCGGGGGCGAACAATCGCAGGGCGTCCTCCGTGCTCTGCTCGGGCTTCAGTCGGACATAGTGCACGGCGTGCCCGCCGTGCCGCTTCGCCTCGACGACGTCCCAAAGCTCGCCGTCTGCGCTCGTGAGGAGCCCGACATCTGAGGGCTGTCCCCCACCCTCGGGGAAGATGACGGTGTCGTGGAGGATGACCTCCAGCAGAGGCGCGGTCGGTGCGGGCGCCGCAGCCTTCTTCTTCTTGCCCTCACGGCCGTTGGACGGGGGCGCGGACGACTGGGCGACGCGGCAGCTCACGGCGGTGGTCGCGAGCTCGCGAAGCAGCGGATCACCTGTAAGAAGGCGGGCGCGGCGATCGAGCGTGAGCGTGCCTTGGCGTTAGGAAATCAGAAGGAACACGGCACGGACGCTGGCAGGCGAGGAGCCCCACGGGGATGGGTTGCAGCGGGTCGCTTGGGATGACCAGTGTGTCCGAGACGATGCGGTGGTATGTCTGGGGGGTGACCGAGGGCGGGCTGAGCGAGGCCGTTGCTGTTGCCATGGCTGAGGTGCTTGCGCTGCAGCTTGTGTGCTGTGCTGTCAGGGCTCTCTTGGGGTGTTTGTGCTGGCGAGAGCTCACCCGGTGATGTGTAATCGAGGACGAGCAGTTGGGAGGCGGCGGCCTGAGACTCGAGTGACTCGCGAGAGTGTTCCTGCCGGCTATTTGCTAGTTCCTCCTCCACCAAAGAATTTCCCTGATCGATCAGTGTCGGCCGATCCCCACGGACCGTGCTTCCGAGGGTAACGTTGCAGCTCCGACGCGAGGCAATGATGGCCGGCGTCTGGCCGCGGCGAAGCGAGTGCCTTGGTACGAGCGGCGCTTGACGGAGCCGAACATTGCAGGTCCGCGTGGGCGCCTGCGCGGGGGCGGGGCATGCGGGATGATATCGGGAAAACCGTGCTTGAGTGGACGAACAGAGCGTCCCCCCAGTCTCCCCGCCAGAGCCCCCGCATTCCCCGGGCCCCTTCTCCGCAATCTGTCGGTCTGGGGTGACGACGTCGAATATGGCGCGCAGACTCCCCCGCCTCGCCCTTCTCTTCGGGCGCTCGTCTGCGGGTTATAAACCCATCCCCGTAAGCACGACCATTCCTATCTCCCTTTCCCCGGAGTTCCTCACCTGCTCGCTCGCCTGCTGCTTTGCGCGTCATGTCTTCGCCCTCCCTGAACGAAAAGGACCACGACGATGTCGGCATCGAGAACAGGCGCGACGTCGAGGCGGACCTTGCGCATGCCGTCGACGAGGAGTTTGGTGGTCACGAGGCGAGGCAGAAGCTCGAGAAGAAGCTCCTTCGCAAGCTCGACGCCCGCATGTCCATCCTCATCGTCATCTACATCTTGAACTACGTGAGCAGTCTTGCCTGTTACGGCGTTCACACGATACTAACTTTATCAACAGATTGACCGGAATAATGCATCGTATGTGTACCTGCTATGCGCGAGAAGTACGCGCATCCTAACAGTGTCCGTGCAGTGCTGCGCGTCTACGAGGCCTGGAAGATGATCTCCACCTCAAGAACCAGGAATTCAGCACCCTGCTCAGTATCCTCTACGTTGGATACATTCTCATGCAGATCCCTTCGTAAGTGCGCATTTACTGGTTATACGGAGAATTCGGCAGGCCAGCTGCCCCGTCGCTCTATGCGCACCAGTCATGGCGGCTGCGGCGTTCTGCGTCCACAGAATACAATTGGAACCGCTGGCCAGTTTGGTCGTATAGTTAGTGTGTCATTCGCGCAATTCACCATGCTCACTTCCTTTCTTATAGGAACATGTTCTTGAACTACATCGGCAAGCCCTCAATCTACCTCCCATGCTGCATGATCGTCTGGGGCATGATTTCCACGCTCACCGGCATAACCAACAAGTAAGTCACCGCCCGCTTATCCGCACTCCGTGGGATCACACTTACCAACCCACCCTAGCTTCATCGGCGCCCTCCTCACGCGTTTCTTCCTCGGCTTTGTGGAGGCCGCGTTCTTCCCCGGCGCCCTGTTCCTACTGTCGAAGTGGTACAAGCGCTCGGAACTCGGCATGCGCACCGCGATCCTTTCTTGCGGTAGTCTGATCAGTAATGCGTTCGGCTCCCTGATCGCATCCGGAATTCTCGACGGTATGGAGGGCAAGCTTGGCCACGCCGCCTGGAGGTAAGTCGCCTGAAGGCACGCTTAGCTGGGCTCCACTCATTGCATACCCGAATTCTAGGTGGCTGTTCTTCATCGAAGGCGGCCTTACGATGTTCTTCGCCGTGCTCGCCATCTTCATCCTCCCGGACTTCCCGTCCACCTCGCACACATGGCTCAGCCCGGAGGAGGTGCGTCTCGCCGAGCGCCGCATGGAGGAGGACGTCGGCGTCGGTGACGAGGAGCAGACCGAGGCCGCCGGCCAGATGCACGGGCTCGTTCTCGCGTTCACGGACTGGAAGGTCTGGTGGCTCGCGCTCGCGCTCACCAGTCTGGTCGTCTCGCTGTCCTTCAACGCGTTCTTCCCGACGCTCAGCGCGACGATGGGCTACAACCCGACGATCACGCTCCTGCTGTGTGCGCCGCCGTGGGTGTTCGCGACGATTGTCGCGTTCTGCGTGTGCAGACATTCGGACAAGACGCGTGAGCGGTTCTGGCACATCGCGATCCCGCTTTGCTTCGGTATCGTGGGCTTCGTCATCGCTATCTCCACCATGAGCCTGGCTGCGCGTTACATTTCTCTGTGCGTTTTTCACCGTGTCCATCCCTTGGTCGAAACTGACGGTGCTATACAGGTTCCTCATGGCTCAATCCTACGCTGGGTTCATTGTTTTCCTCACGTGGATCAGCAACTCGATACCCCGCCCACCATCCAAGCGTGCCGTCGCGCTCGCCTTCATCAACGCCTTCTCGCAACTCGGCAACATCGCCGGATCGTGAGTACTCATTTCATCCATTCTGCCAGTCATCGTGTCTAACCGCTCCGCGCTCCCCAGATACGTATGGCCCAAGAACTGGGGTCTCAGCTACTCGAACTCGTACGCGATCTGCATATCGACCAATGGGCTGTGCATCATTATGTGCTACGTGTTCAAGAAGCACCTCGAGCGGGAGAACGCGAAGTTCGCGAAGAAGGAGCAGGAGGAGGGCCGCCCGGCGGGCTTCCGCTACCTTGCATGAGCTCTGCACGATATCTGTTCACGTCTCACATTTGCTATGACCAGTGCTGTACTACACGCTACTACACGATACTGTACAATTAGTCTTTTACACTATTCATGGGCCTTGCTCTACACGCGGTGCAATATTTCCGCATGTTAAGGCACTTCTATGTACTGACTCCGGGTCGACGTCGGGTTGCCCTGTGCGCACGGTGGCCAGGTCCGCGAAAGCCGGAAAGCCGCGCGATCGCAATTATTTACGCGACGGGCGGCACGGACGCGCCGCGCCCCCGCGGGCTATCCTCGGCACTCTATCTTGCTCTCATCCCATGGGCAGGTGACTGGGGCGGGCCTGCTCGTTCAGGTTATAAGCATAGGCGTGTACTGCGAAGGTGCGCACTATCTCAGACCATCTTCGATGACCATGCCTGGTGTCAATTCTAGGGAACTCAATGAGGGCTGGACGTTTACGCAGGTCAATGGCGGCGACAACGTACAAGTGAGCGAGTGGCTGCCCGTGCAGAGCTTCCCTACCACGGTACACGTCGAACTCCTGAACCACAAGAAGATTCCGGATCCGGTGAGTCGGAAGCGACGCTTGTGGTAGTTGGGGTGCTAATGGGGTCTGTCTAGTTCATCGGCTTGAAGGAATGGGATGTGCAATGTGCGTATGATACCTCGCATCGGGCGCATGATACTGACAGACTGGTCTTCAGGGGTCGGCGAAGCGGCGTGGGCGTTCAAGACCACATTCACCGCTACAGAGGGGGAAACGGAAGCCGACAATTTCGACCTTGTCTTTGACGGCTTGGATACGTTCGCGGTCGTGGAACTGGTAAGTGTGACATCTTTCCATCGAGCCGTGTGCGCATGCTGACATTTTTACAGAACGGACACAAGATCTTGGAGTGAGCTCTCATGCTTCAAACTCCATCTACCGATTTCTGAATGCGGACCCAAGAACGGATAACCAGTTTGTAGCGCACAGGGTTCCGGTCAAGCAATATGTCAAAGCGGGCGAGAACGACCTTGTGCTCACGTTCGAGAGTGCGTTCCGCAAGGTAATATTGATCGAGTCCTCTTCAGTGTTATCATTTACGATGTTCATCACCTTTTAGGGGCGAGAGATTGAGGAACAACACGAGAAACTTAACCTATGGAATGGCGACTCGAGTCGACTCCATGTCCGTAAGGCGCAATACAAGTACGTGCCTATTTATCCGTAAAACTCCAATCGTGTCAATAACCTCCGTAATGCAGCTATGGATGGGATTGGGGTTCGTTCACATGCAAAGGGCTTGCCAAAGTGCTGCTAACCGTTTCACATAGGTCCAGTCCTCATGACCGTCGGTCCCTGGAAGCCCATCCGGCTGGAGACCTACAGCCTCCGCATCTCCGACGTTGACATCCGCCCGCGGGTGAACGAGAAACTCGTTACCAATGTGGACGTGTCCTTTGAGCTGTCAAGGAGCAGCGAGTTCGTCGCGGCGGTGCATATCATGGACCCCGACGGCAAGATGGTCATCGGACAGAGCAACATGGTGATCAAGGGCGACCGCGCGGAGGCACACTTCAAGCTCTCAGCCGGCGTGCTCGAGCTCTGGTACCCTGTCGGATACGGGAAGCAGCCGATATACAACGTCGAGATCAAGATTATGGACAAGGTGACGTCGATGTTACGTAGGGTCTTGCTGCATCATGCTGAAGACGCAATGACGTGCGCAGGATGGTCATCTGCTGGACTCCAAGTCCCAGAAGTTCTCGTTCAGGCGCGTTCGCGTGGTGCAAGAAGAGCTCGAGGGTCAAGAGGGCCGCTCCTTCTTGTTCGAAGTCAACAACATTCGTATTTTCTGCGGTGGTCGGTATCCCACAGTCCCTCCCTCTCATAACATCACTCACACGTGTTCGATGAATAGGCTCTAACTGGATTCCCGCCGATTCATTCTTGACAAGGTGAGAATGCCAGTCGCTCCATGTGATACAAAAGCAACCGCTAAGTATGGCTACACGCGCGCAGACTTACGCCGGAGAAGTATCGGCAATGGCTGCAGCTGCTCGTGGACGGTAACCAGAACATGATACGCGTCTGGGGCGGAGGCATCTACGAAGCTGACGCTTTCTACGATATTTGCGATGGTTAGTTCTTCCTCAGGGTCATGTTCACCCCGAGTTCAGGTGCTGACCTCGTCACAGAACTTGGCATCATGGTTTGGCAGGACTTCATGTTCGGCTGTGGACAGGTATACACGCCGGCGGCAATTCCACAACCCAAACCAACAGCAACTGACCTTCTCGAACCAGTACCCGGCCTACGATTCGTTCACGAAGTCCGTCGAAGTCGAGGCTGAGCAAAACGTGAAGCGACTCCGGCACCACCCTTCTATCGTGATCTTCGGTGAGCATGTTCACTCACACGGCCTCGACGTCGCGCTCAATCCCCGTTGATCCACTCTAGCCGGCAATAACGAGGGTACGTCCGTGTCCATCTTCATGAGAAAGGCCACAGTATCGATCGACGATGGTCGCAGATTATCAGGTCGCCGAGTCGCTCAAGCTCGAGCTCGACTATTCCGATGAGAAATCCGATTTCAGGAAGACCAATTTCCCTGCGCGATACATCTACGAGAGGCTGCTGCCGTCCGTCGTCGAGCGGCTGTGCGATATCTATTACCATCGCAGTTCTCCATACAGCGGCTTTGGGAAGGAGACGACCGACAAGCAGTATGGCGACCTCCACCAGTGTGCGTCGTTCGCCAATGTTCAACGTCCTCGGAAGCGAGCTTACTTTGGGTGTAATTCAGGGAACGTCTGGCACGGGTCTCAGGAACCATGGCACAAGTGGGACGTCCTCGCCGGTCGCTTCGTGTCTGAGTTCGGGATGTGAGTAGATGTCCGGTGGGTGGGATCAGATCCGTGTACTCACCGTCCTGGCGTTGTGTAGGGAGGGTTACCCCAACATCCGGACGGTCGACTACTGGCTCGGCGGCGACGAATCAGAACGATACCCCCAGTCTAGGTGCGTTTAATTGAAGATGCACCCACTCTTTACGTACCGATCGTCCATCCGTCAGGACAATGTGCAACCACAACAAGGCGGACGGCTTCGAGCGCAGGCTGGAGGTGCGTGCGTACGGCTGCCGTGGGAGCCGCGTGCTCACTTGACCCGCCCGACGCGCCCCGCAGCTGTATCTCATGGAGAACTTCAAGCACGCGTTCGACATCGAGAGGTCAGTCGCCGCGCCCGCCGTCGCACGCACAGTCCGCTGACCGCGCCGCGCGACGTCCCAGTTACGTGTACTACACGCAGCTCATGCAAGCGGAGACGCTCGCGGCCGCCTACCGGCTCTGGCGGCGCAACTGGAAGGGCAGGGGCAAGGAGTACACGGCCGGCGCGCTTGTCTGGCAGGTGAGCGTCCGCGCGACATTGATTCTGACCGCTCGAAGCCTGGTCGGGTGGTCTGCGTGGGACGCGCCCCGCCCATGCGGGCAAGCTCGCGTCCCAACGCAGCCCACCCTCCACCCCGGCGAATCAGAGCTAGCCCGCGCTGACGCCTTCTTCTCCCCCTCCCGCACCTTCCTTCGCGCGGCAGATCAACGACTGCTGGCCGGTCACGTCCTGGGCGATCGTGGACTACTTCCTCCGCCCGAAGCCGGCGTACTTCGCGATCAAGCGCGAGCTGCGCACACACACCGTCGGCGTGACGCGCACGGAGCGCAAGACGAGCCCGGACGCGCGCTCCGCGGCGACGTTCACACTCGAGACCGTGCTCGCGGTGTGGGGCACGAACAGCGCGCGCGAGCCGCGCACGGCGACGCTCGAGGTCACCGCGTTCGACCTGCACTCGGACTGGACGGAGCGCTTCACGCGCGAGGCCGTGCTCGCGCCGAACGCGGCGACGGAGCTCTGGGAGGGCGCGCTGCCGGGCGTGCCTGTGCGCACGTCCCTCAGCGAGGTCCCGCGCACCGTCGTCGTGTCCGCGCGGCTGCTCGATGCCGACGGGTCTGTGCTCGCCCGCACGTCGAACTGGTACGTCCCTTTCTCTCAAGCTCTCCCTGCGAGCTGACCACTGACCATCCGTAGGCCCGAGCCGTACAAGTACATCAAGTTCCCGACGCCCGCCGAGGTCGGGCTGCGCGTCGCCGTCGCCGCCGACGGCGCGTCCGTCTCGCTTTCCGCCAACCGGCCAGTCAAGGGCCTCGTGCTCGACGTCGCCGGCGCAGACGCGACGTGGTCCAACCAGGCGCTCGACCTCGTCCCCGGCGACCCGCAGGTCGTGGCCGTGCAGGGCCTCGCCGGGCGCGCGGTCCAGGCGCGGTACCTCGGGGACGGCTCCGCATGAGGAGCCGTCGCGGACGGGCAGGCGGACTCACGCTGACGTTCCCAGGAGGCGCGGGGTGTGTTGCGGGTGCGATGTGGGCGAGACGTGGGCCGCGGGCGAGCCGCCTGGACGGTCTTGTGGGGGTGCGGGCGCGCGGAGAATTGAATGGGTGCTTCGCGCGAAGTAGCCGTGCCGGAGATGAAGGCAGCACGCGCTGGGATCTGTACATGTACAACACGCGGGAGCGGCAGCCGAATGAATGTCAGGATATCCAGGAACGCATTGCACGTACCTCCGTGCGTCGTGGCGGGAGTCTGGACCAGGCAGACAGGCGGGTTGCCCGGTCACCCGATGCATCTGCAACAAGTGGACAGCCCGCTGTTGGTCGGTGGTGGCGCTCACTAGCAGCACGCGTCGATCGGGGGAGACGTAGAGTAAGCATTTATGGCGATTACGGGTTTCTGGGGCGCTGTACACGGCGGAACGCGTCCCGGGGAGTGGGAGTAAGGTAGCGGGAGACAACAACGGGGAATCGTACATGCTGTACACAACACACAGCGGACACGGATGGCGGGAACGGCGACAATGCGAGGGTGGGGGGACAGGGCGAGGCGCGGGGACGAGGCAGGGGTGGGTAAGGGAGGCGAGTGTCAGTCGCAGTCCGGATATACAAGAATGAATACTGCAACCCAAAGATAGCGATGTGTCAGCCTGGACCTGGACAGACGGGCAGACTGCGGCACGGAACACAGTGTGAGATGAAGAGGAGGTCAAGTGGGGGGCACGGGAGGACGAGAGGGCGAAGGAGACCCAAATGAGGAGAAAAGTGACGGTGCCGGAGAATGCACGAAAGTCCGAGGAGAGGAGATACAGACCATTAAGGAGGTGTATGTGCGGGCGATGCGGGGCGGTTTCTATGGGTGCTGCGGGCTTGAGTGCTTTCGGGACGGACGGGCGGGCAGGGATCCATGCGAGCGGGTTCACATAATGATGCACTTGCTGGCTGGTGGCTCCTGCTTGTTATTTGGCTGCCGCTTCTCAATCTGTGCGAGACAAAGCTCGAATACTTTCGCTGCGGGATCATTCTTTGGGTTAGTTCCGCGCCGCATAGGGGAGGGCTCCGGGGAGCTCGGGACGCGGGGGGCGGACTCACAGACGTTGGTATTGTTTTTCGCGGAGGTTTCGACAAACGCCGCGTCCAGCTCCTTTGCAAGAGCCTTGGCATCGTCGTCCTCGACTTGCCTACAAAGACGCGCGTGAGAAATGGAGGACGGCGCGCGGCGCGGGCCAAGCGCGGTGGACTGTGCAACGGCAGTGTGGCTACGGGGGAAACGCACCGGTTCGGCAGGTCGATTTTGGAGCCTACGATTACACAGGGAATGGAGTTCATGCCGCAGAAGTTGATGATCTTGTCGTACACGATGCGGACCATGTCGAATGACTTGCGGTTCGTGACGGAGTAGACGAGGACATAGCCGTGTATGCCTATCGCGTGCTTGGAGTTCAGAATTGTGTACTCGTCCTGTGCGCGCGGCGTCAGTGTGCGGCGCGCGGGTGGCGGGGAGAGGGGGGACGGTGCGGGCGTACCTGGCCAGCGGTGTCGATGATGTCACAGTCGTAGTCCGCGCCGTTGTATGAGACGGTCTTGTTGAAGACGGACTCGATGGTGGGGTAGTAGGACTCGACGAAGTGGTTCTGGATGAACTGAATAACGAGCGAGGACTTGCCTGTGGCGGGGGGAATGGGCGCGGATGAGGGCGCGGGGGGCGGAGGACAGGGGCTGGGCGGACGCACCGACGGAGCGGGAACCAAGGACGGCAATCTTCCTCTTCTTCAGGATGTCGTTGGCCATGGCGAAGAGCGACGCGGGGGGTGGGAGTGAGTGGCGGAGGAGGGGGGAGGGAGGAGAGGGAGAGGGAGGAGAAATGGACGGGAGAGGGACGCGGGGGAGGGTTTATGAAGAGGGGGACCCCGGATGGTTGCCGTTTTGCGAGGGAGTGATCAGCCGTAAACACAGTTTCTCCGTTCCGCTGTGTGCGCCCGCCTCTGCTCGCACTCGTCGACCGCGACCACTCATCAATCGCCCTGCTGCTGTTCGCTGCTGCCCCGGCCCAGCCCGCAGCGCGCTCTTTAGCCTTTAGCCACCCGCCCCAGCCTCATCTCCGCCGCCCGCCAAAACAGGCACCGCCCACATCCCACCCGCGACCCCCTCGCTCTTCTGGCCCTCGTCTTCCCCGACGAGCACTCACAGCGCCCGCCGTACGTCTTTACGTCCACCTGCTGCTCGCCCGACTGCATGCTCCGAGCCGCTCTCACCGCGCGCGCCCTGTCCCCGACCCCTGGTCGGCAATCGCACGACTAATCCTCACGTACGCTCAGCCCACCGCGGTGATCTGGGTTCCCTGCTGCCTACCACCATCACCACGTTCGTATTTTCTCATCTCCTCATCGTCCAATGGCCTGCCCAATCGATCCTCACCGTGCCCCGGGCCGCCGGTCTCGGTACGCTTCAATTTTTGCTCCTGCTACTGTTCCTGCCTTCCTATACGCGTCCTAGCTCGTCGCGTTTCACTTCGGATTCCACGGACGCCCACAGTTCCCCTGCTTCTCTACTGGCCCAGCCCGCGAACACACGAACTACGCGCGACGGCATCCTGATAACGCCTTGCCGTAACACCTGCACGCCTACCCACAGTTCGCGAACATCCTCCGGGTGAAGCCCAGCACCGCGTACCTCCAGCTTGTCAGGCGACCCCACCCCCGCATTCGTACTCCAAAATCACAAGACTTCCACATCGAGCTCTCCTCCTCATCAGCCGCGCACTCCACCCGTTGGATGTCGCTTTGACAGCCATCAAGCGCGCCATTTACGCCGAGCCAGCCTCCTCGTTCTGCCGTGCGCACCGCGCACCGTCCAACCGGGAGCAATGGCACACGACGGGCGAGCGTGGTGCACCGCGCGGGCCGCCAGGCGCTCGCCCCATCGCCCATCGACCATCGTCTCCGCACCCCCACCGCACCCCCGAACGCAACCAGGCGCGATGAGCCCAGATAACGCGGTGCGCGAGCCTGCCCTCGACCCGGGCTCGCGAGCTCGAAGCCCCCATTGCACCCCGCGGCTCAGGCAAGAAGCCCCGAGTGGTCACAGAAGGCCCACCCTAATGCCCCCCTCCCCCCGGGCTGCTTCCCGCCGAATCTCAGATGCCGGATTTACGCTCGTCGAGCGAGCCCTCCCCCTGCTTCGCGTCCGCGCGCTCGGGCCCGGTCTCCGCACGGACGCACCCCATAGGCCCGTCCGGTAGCCACGCGGCGCGCGTCGCTCAGCCCAACGCTGCCCAGAACGCCCAGTGACTGCCCGCTGCGCTGGCAGGACGCGCAGGGGTCGCAAATGCGGCCGCGACGATCCGGCGCGTGCAGAGCGGGGGTGCGAACGCACCGCGGAGCGCGCCCGCTGGCTTTGATCCCTGCTTAGTGTCTGTGGGAGCCCGCGCACGCTGTTGCGGTCATAGCTCGTCCGTGCGGGCCCGCAATAAGACAATGCAGCGGGAGTGCCAGGCACGCGCGGCGCGGCCGCTCGCACGGGGGGAAGCAGGTACGCCCGAGAAGCTGCCTGGGCTGATGTCGTGCGCGGCTCGGAATAACGACGAGGGAGCGAATGGCCTGAGTTGGCAGCCCGGCGTGATCGCGGCCCAGCGCGCGGGAGGTGTGCGAGCTTGTCTAAATCCTATTCGTCGGGCATCTCCGCCTGCTATAGAGAGGCTGCATTGACTGTTGACGAGCGCGCGCGGTGCAGCAGACTAGCAGTAGCTAGTCAGAGGTGGCAGTATTAATGATACAGAGTTGTGCACCTCTGGACGGATGGCGGCGGGGACGCGCCTGCGTATGTGTACATGTCTCTCGGCGGTCCGATGGCGACGGGGCGACGCTGGGAACGAGGCGTGCCGAACGCAGCCTGCCAGGCTGGCGTGCTCGTGCGTAGCTCGCCGTCCGACATACGTGCGGGCGCAATTCGACTGTCGGACGCGTTCGCGTGTGAGCCTGCGCCTGTGTTGGGCAGCACTAGTGCCGCCCCGCTGCCTGCGAGGGAACAGGGGGGCGGTAGCTTTCGTGATGGCCTGCGGCTCGTGGCTGGCGAAATTGTCCGCACAGGGCGGGCGTGCCATAACGCCAGAGAGATAACGAGCCTGCGTCGCACATGGCGATTTCGCTAATTAGACAGCCTCGAGCGCGGAGGCGGCCAGCGGAGGGAAACTGTAAACCGCAGACGACGGTGATGGTGACGATGGATGGTCGCCGTCGCACCCCTGCAACTGCTAGCACGGGTGCGCAATGAAAATCTTCCAGTTCTCCTGGCATCGGAGGCCTGGAAGCGATGATATCGGACATCGCCAGCGATTGAGCCGCATAATGGACGCACCAGGCTCCACGTCGTGGCCAATTGGCCACCTATTTCTGGGGCCGGTGTATAGAGCTGGCTGCAGTCCGCCGGGAAGTAGATTTGGGGGTCGTTTCAGCACTGTTTGCGCATGTGGGCGCTGCTCTTATCAGCCGGGCTTGGGTAGATAAGTGCAGGGTCGCCGACCTGCCCGTTAGTGACGTCGAATCAGCTTCCGCGTCCGTGTTGCACATACCTGGGAGGAGAGTTCCGTCGTGGCGTCGTTCATGGAAGATAGGGATAATGAGGGGCCGCCTCAGTTAGGGTTCTGTAATTTCGGGGAATTGGTACGCAGATACGGTTGGAATTGCTGCACCGAGCGTAAGGGGCCGGTCTTTTTGCGTGAGATTGCGGATCCGCGCTGTGAAAGGAGGAACGAGCCAGGCTGGATTCGTGTAGCGCAATATGGCGAAGGTCAGCGACAGGATTGCCTTGCTTGTCAGAGCGCGGCTCTTCACTCTCATGGTGGGGGGCTGGAGGAATGAGCTATGCGATTACTCACCTAAACCTTCGAACGTACGCTGACGAGCAAGAATCCGCACCAGTGGACGTACTTCAAGTGATAGGACGTAGGGTGCCCTAGAAGCACAGATATCCGATGCAGCGTTTGACCATGCTGCTACCCGCTAATTGATCTTCGAGCGTTTACGCGGACAGTCAAGAAAACGATGTCTTGTACACTCGAAGGGCGCCTGCTGGCGCGGTTCCTTGCTCGTCAATCTTGCCTTCGCCGGGGTCGAAGGTTAGAGTACCTTAGGTGAGAAATGACGTAGCGCACACTTTTGAGTCCCTCCTGTGAGGGTGGAGATCCTTGCTCTGACGAGCAAGGGATGCGTAGGCTCAGGTCGCTCGCCAAATGCCTGCATGCGAGTCCTACTAGTCCACAATATGGTCAGCACGGCTTGGCGAGTGCTTTGACTGATCTATAAGAGAGTATTACATCGGGTTCTGGGGAGGGCGTACCTGTCTTCTCATATATGACTTCTGGTGCATCGCGAGTCACTCGAAGTACGGACCTTTTCGAAGTGGGGAGGGAAAATTACGAGGAGTGATGAGCTTGGGTACAAATGAATATTGCAATGGCAGATGTATACGTCTCATAGCACGCTGTCGTACCATATGCATCCTCTAGATGTCGTCGCTCGTGGTGGAAGGGGGAAAAGGGGTGGGGGAGGGCAAGCACTGGGAGGACACGGACACGTGTTCTGGGGGCAGAACGCGACCACGGTGCACGTGGCGTTCAATCTAGGAGGCGCGCGTCACGCGTGCACAAAACGAACTCCAAGTCCAACCTCCAGTCAGCCACAGCCCCTTCCTTCACGACCACATCCTGCTCACATTCCCTGCCGTCTCTGCTCCCTCCATCGCCTCCGCCTCGTCTCTAAACCACTAGCGCCATGTCTGCCACCACTACTCCCAGCGACACCCCCATTGGCACCCCCATCCAGCCTCTCCATAACCCTGGACAGGCAGCCCATGTTGTAGTGCCTCAGGCACCCCTTGGGAATGCCACAAATGGCCTGATGAACCAGGCTCCTGGCATGGGCGCGAAGGCTCTGCTTGCGAAGAAGTTCGCGAAGTCGCAGTGAGTTCTCGGAGATGAACATTCAATTTCGAACCGCAGCTGAACCATATCCAGCAACCCCACTTATGTTTCGCCCACGGACAACATGGTGACTCCATGCAGCCAGAAGCTCAATGCTACTAAGAAGAAGCACTTTGCGAAGTACGCCGATCGAATCGCTCGTCGATCTGCGAACGAAAGGCTGATCAATGTGCACTGCAGGGGCGTTGCGAAGCCCATGCCCTCGCTCTTCTCTCAACAGGACAGCACCGGCTCCGAGTCCGAGTCAGACGATGTCCCCACCACGCAGTCAACAGAGGCGAAGGTGGCCGAGGACGAGAACCCATTCTAGACGGCACCGCCTGCCACACATTTCTTGGAGGTGCCACTGGGGTTGATCTGTTCCTGTACGACTATATGTCTCGCGTCATCGTAGCTTCGCCGTTCGTTCGTCCTGTTTTGTTTTGCTATCACGACATCCACGACTCCATAGTGCCAAGTGCATTTGTATTCTTGTCCACATCTATCCGAGGCGTGGTTCCTCGTTTTATGTGAACGATGTACAACCTCAGTTACTCCTGCGTGCGCTCGCGACTCGGAGACCGAAATGCAAGCACCAACTTCGTGCGAACAGGTTTGATTTGATTCATCTCCTAAGTAGGTAGCTTCGGGCAGAGATGCTGAATGTTCAGATTATGTGTGGAGAGCGCAGAAACTTCGTTCATTCGAAACTGTCCACGTCTATTACCAGAGAAGCCCAGCCCCGGGCTTCCAGCCCTCTGGAGCATATAGAAGTCCCGAGCATAACTACAATAGTATATCGTCACGAACACATGAATCATTAACGAGGCAAGAGAATTCTCCTAGTACGAGCGTAGCACGAAGTGTCCATCACCCGGGTATAGAAGTCCTCCGGAAAACGACACAGCAACGACAGCGGGTGCGCACCAGTCCACCGCGACGACTCAGTTCCGCCTGCAGCAGCGGAACAGGTTGCGCCTGAACCAGTAGAAGAGACACTGTGGGGCAACGCGGATCAGTCTCCTTGCACTCACGTATAAACTGATCGGAGGAACTCACCCCTGCGAACTTCACGGCGGCGAGCCCGAACGTGGAGTACAGGATGATGGCAAAGTACGTGTTCTGGCGCGCGACGAGGCGCGCCTCGTCCGCGTCCTCGTCGCCCGTGGGGAGCCCGTTCAGGTTCTGGATCGCGATCGCGAGCGCGGCGTTGGAGAGCATCCAGAACGCGACGAGGCGCGTGCGGAACGTCTTGTTCTCGTCGTCCATCGTCGGCTTCTCGATCTCCTCCTTCGTCTCGAGCTTCGTGAGCGCGCGCGTGACCGTCTCCTTGAACACCGCGTCGAGGTCCTCCTTGTCGCGCGTCGTGTCCTCGACGACCGCGGCCTCCGCGTCCTTGCTCTTCTTCGACGAGACCGAGGGCAGCGCCTCGGCCTTGTCGGAGCCCTTCGTTCCCCAGGAGACGTCGTGCAGGTTGCAGAAGGCGTACACGTTGAGCACGTTCGTGAAGCTCGGCGCGAGGCACAGGTACTGGAGCATGCTGGACGCGATGTGCCAGGGGTCGCGCTGCGGGATGCAAAGCGTGAGTGAAAGGTGAATCCAACGACAGCAACGGTACGCACGTAGAGTAGCGACGCGATCAGCCAAAGACCGAATGTCGACAACATGGCGGCGATCAGGGCACCGATAGGCGGGACGAAGAACTGCTTGATGATAGCTCCAGTCGACGTCTGGTCCTTGAGCAGGTTGGGGATGTTCTGCACGCAAAGGCGACGGTCAGCCATGGCGTACGCGCGCGCTCATATCGTTCGCACCTTGAACGCCTTGATGGTCAACGCCCACGAGCAGACCAGCAAGTACACGGCCAGAATACCGTAGACCCTGCATGGACGTTAGATGATCATGCGATACTGCTGATCGACAAGACCTACCAAAGTGTGACGTTGTACGTTGCCCGCTCACCCTTTGGCCGATTGCCCAACGCGAGGACAAACTACAAAACATTGAGTGTGGATCCTCAAGGTGACGGTATATAACAAACCTGCAGGCCCAAGAATGCGAGATAGATCCATTTCAGGGCGAGGTTGACCCAGTGAGTCTGCAAACCACGTCAGAAAAGGGACGCAGCGCAACAGCAGAAACCGTTCTTACCACAGTGGCGGTGCCGAAGAAGATGATAGATTGACTGGGAAGCAGGTCGATGATGATAGAGAACGTGAGCCAGATGTTCGCCAACGCGAACCAGGAGAAGATCAAGCTGAAGATATTGTACTAAACCAGCAGTCAGTATCATTGTAATTGGGCAGGTACACCGCAGAGACGCACCAGTGCTTGGACGTGGAAGAAGAACATGCGGATAATGCCGTGGCCAGACCGGTACAACTTGAAGAAGTTGACGATAGCATACTGCGCAGATGTCAGCGCGTGGAACAAAACGGAGGAGCAAAACACAGAACGTACGACCGACGCAGCAAATGAACCGTTCAGCCAACGACGACGTTGACCAATGAGCTCAGCAGCAGACTCAGGCACATCGGTTTCCGCCTTACTCGGCTTGACGTACGTCAACGTCCACCTGTCGTTGGCCTTAGCGACGAGCTCGAAACAGAGGATACGATCCTCTGCCAAGAACATGTTCTTAGTGAAGATGTTCATGCCGTAGATACCCTTGGGGCCCAGGCGGTCGGCCAAGGAGTGATCGCCGTGGAAGTACTGCTCCAGAGGACGTCCGAGGATGGCGCGGTACCGATATGCAGAGAAGGCACCGGGGAGCACCGAGACGTAACCGAAGGAACTCTCGAGCGGCTTGTCTGTCGGCGCTGGACGTCAGCATGACGTATGGCGATCAAAGGGTGTAGACGAACCGAGAATGTTGGACATCTTGTACTCAAAGTTTTGGGCCGCGACGAGGGGGTTGAGCAGCTTCTTGCCGCCCTCAATCATGGCGTGAATCTCTCCACAGCATCCACCGAGGTGGGGGTCATTATAGAACGCCTCCCACAGGTAGTAGATGGACTTGCGACCAGGCTTCGTACCAGCATCGATGAGGACACAGATTTCAGGCTAAGGGCGGGGTCAGAGGTATCCGGAATACACTGCTGTCTTCACATACCTCGAGCATCTTACCAATAGCGTTGAACAGCCATCGGTGAGAGTTGATCTTCTTCTGGTTTTTGGCCTTGACGACGAGGATAATCTGGACTGGCACCAAGTTGTTAGGGTCGTCCGCGTGAGGTACAACCAGCTGTGGTGTCGCGTCGACAGACAACTGAGTTGTGTACTGCCGAGAATGTCAGTACTTGTCATACGAATAGAGATGGTTGCAATACCTCGAAGATGTGGGCGACGGTGTCCTTTCCGTCAACCTGCTTCTTCATGACACCATCCTGGTACACTCCGACAGTAGCCAGGATGTCCAGTACGGTCTTGTCCATAGCCTCGAGACCATCAATAACAAGCGCTACCGTGATCTTCTGCCACCCCGGAACGCCCTCCTCCGCCGACCGGCGCCAGTACTTAGACTGCTTGGTCTTGCAGATATCACGGATGTTCAGCATCACGCCGTGCAACGTGCGCGCGTAGAGCGTCTTGTCCTCGTTGTACGAGGTGACGGCGATGAGCAGCTCGGTCTGTCGGTTGTACATCTTCGTGCGCAGACTATAGCCGGTGGCTTCGGAGAAGTCATCGGGATCACATGTCGCCGCCGTGTAGCGCATGTGTCTGTGCATCTGTTAGAGCGGCAGCGCCCAAAGTATCTGACCATACTGACGAGAATTCGGTGGTCTTGCTGTCCTGCCATTTGCTCTCGATGGCAGTGAACACAGGGCTTGGCACCGCGTATTCGGTGATGAAGTTGCCCTTTGTGAGCTTGACCTTGCGGGTCACACCGCGCTTGATGGTCTGGCGACGCCTCCACTGCGACTCCACACCCATCGAAGAACTCGAGGCCACCGAAATCGGGCGGCCATATGGGTCGCCGAACGCGTTCGGGTCGAATTGTCTGCGCGTCGCGACCTCAGTACCGCATGCGGGGTTACTGCGGAGACACGGGAGAAGACTTACGAAGGCGGGTAGAGCATCCCTGCGCCGCTGTTGAGAGGCTGCTTCTCCTCCTCCTCGTCATCGTAATTGTCGAGCGTGCCAAACTCATTGGGGAACGAAACGACGCTCTGTGAGGGCGTCAGCGTGGACGCCTGCGTGGACGGCGTGGGCATCCGTGGCTCCGCGAAGTTGATCTGGCGGTGCCGGTCATGGAACGGGTCGGAGTGGTGCTCCTCGTCGGGCGGGTCGAGGGACAATGAGGGCAGGGTGGGGCGGTCGTCCTGGTGGGCCATGGTGTCGTGGGGGGCACGCTCGGTCGGCGGCGGCGGTGAGGGCGAGAGGTCGTGAATGCGCCTGCCGGAGACGGTGGTGTCGTGGAAGTCGTGCAGCAAATCTGCGGACGGGCGTTCTTGTACCAGCGCAACCCCACGAGCGCCGTAACATCGCCCTCGCCTTCGCCCGCTTCCGGAGACTCCGGCCACCCCTGGTTGAGGCGATGCTCCACCCTCCTCTGCGTATTATTCCTGTCCTCCCGCGCGCCTCTCATCCCGGCGTAGACACATCCAGCACGCGAATTTGACCCAACCCGAACATCCCCGTCGACATTGGTGGCTCTGCCCGGTTATCAAACACACACAGAAATGCCACAACACGTCCAAGACGCGCATACAAGGACCGTCGAATATTAAATGCACCAGTGCTGCGCAGTTAAACGCCCGAGGCTTCCATGGACGAGGGTGTGGCAACCGCAGGCAACGGGGCGGGGTGTTCGGGGGTAAACAATTCTTGTCGCGCCGTGGTTTCAAGCGGTCTACAGATCATTAATAGATGTTGATGAGCGCAGTCAAAAGACATGCTGCCGGCTCCCGCCAGCTGCATGTCCTGTGCACACAAAGGCGGTGGCATCCCGAGCGTGCAGTGCTCTGCCCGAGGTGCACATTTGTGCTGTCCGCTCGGTGGTCGCACCCACCCGCATAGGGCGATGATCTGCTACTGAACGCTGCAGGCCGATATGAGGTAGTGGTCCTCGATCGATCGGTCGCAGGGATCTGGATCTGGATTGCCAATACAGGAGCGCGGGCGCCCATTCGCTTGCGGGACGGTTTTCCCGCCGCCGGTCATCTACGCGCTCTTACCCCGGATTCGTCACCGTCTGAACGCTTTACTGACCCCGCTTGTGAACATCTCCTCTCTAGCCACGTCGGAGTGCTTGCTCTGACACTTACTCTGGGTCTAATCTCGGAGCTTAGAGGAGTGTGCTTACTATGGCGCCCACCATGAAGCTCCCCGTGGTCCTATATCAGTGCGTCTGCTCGCAAAACCTCATTTGAACCGGCTGTGGCTCACATGCATCTCATACAAGTTATGATGGTTCTCCCTTCGCCACTAAGGTTAAGAACTTGTTAGCATTGAAGAAGATCCCTCACACAAGGGTTGCGGTGAGTCTTCCCTTCACCATGCACGTAGGATGATCCTAATGAGCTATCGTGGAAGGTCTCCACGACTCTACCTCGCCCCGACTTGGCCGACCGTCTCGGAGTAACCTACCGTCGGATCCCGGTCCTTGCTATTGGCAAAGATGTCTACTGTGACACAAGCCTCATCGCTGCCGTCCTCGAACGTCGTTTCCCTCCTTCCGAAGGGTATGCCACGTTCTTCCCAGCACGCAAGGGAGGGGGCAAGGCAGACACCGGCATGATCAAGGCGCTGTCCTTCTCCTATGGGGACCGTACCGTATTCCCGCTGGCTGCGGAGAACCTACCATATAAGAAGTTCCCTCCGGAGTTCTTGAAGGACCGAAGTGCGGTATGACATACCTCACTTGATGGGCGTGCTGTGCGGTACCAATATCCTAATTCTGTGATAGTGGCTAGGACGGAAGATCGACGCCGACGCGATGGAAGCAAACCAACCAGTCGTGAAGAGCTGGCTGATCTCCCACCTCGTATGGACATTCTGTACCTCTGATGAACACTGCTCACCGCAAATCCACAGACCCTTCTCGAAGAACAACTCGCTGACGGCCGCGAATGGCTCATGGACACCGAAACACCGAGCCTGGCGGACATAACCGTGCACTTCCCCTGGGTCTGGATGCAGCAGTTCCGGGCTCTGCGCGACCTCTTCGATCGCGCGCGCTTCCCCGCAACCATCGCGGTACGTCCGCCCGCCCGTCGCGTCCGCAGGGCCAGTGCTCACGTTCGCGCGGGTGCCTCAGTGGATCACCCGCACGACCGATTATATCGCGAAGGTCGGCTCGCAGCAGCAGATAGTGCTTGACAATATTGCCGGCGCGCGTGCTGCGGAGATCATTGCTTCGTCGCCAGCGCCCGAAGACCCCAAGATCGTCGGATTCGACGCGGGGGAGGCTGCGCGGTTGGGCATCGAGCGCGGGCAGGTTGTGTCGGTCACCCCTTCGGACAACGGTACGTGTGGAGTTGTGGCGGTCGGGCGCGACGACGCATGTATGCTGATGGATACCGGCGATAAGGGAAAGTACCCACCGTTGGGAGGCTGGTTTCGCTGAACCACGAAGAGGTCGCGATCGAAACGAAGGGCTCCTCAGGCACCTCCGTTCACTGCCATTTCCCGAGGCTGAATTTCGTGATTAAGCCGGCGGCGCATGGCGCGGGCGCGAAGCTGTAACTTGCGCTCTGTTCTTATATGACACCACCTACAGCCTCGGGTACGATGCTGGAGTTGAAAGCACACACCTATAGCACTGGTACTCCTGTACTGCCTCGCTCTTGTATACATACTATCTCCTTATGAAGCATCTGCTGCATCTTTACTTTCGTAATGGGCGACGCCGCCAGGAACAGACGGCGATGCAGTGGAATAAATCACCTCATGGCAGCCACAAGCCCCAAGCTTGAATGACATCCAGTAACTAGTAGCGATCCCGTCCCTGATGATTACTGATGTGCCTCTTATATGTACCAAGCCTAGTGAGTACTCGCGGTGTGTATACAGTACTGGCAGTACCGAAGAGACCATTTCCGAAACGAAATGGTACAACTCTACGTCACCGGCGGCCCGGATGATACAAATGGGCGCCTACTGCGTACGCGTCGAAGAGCGCGACTCCGGCACAGGATTGGGAGGCCACGCTTGGACTCACTCCCCGACGTACCGGTGCTCTCGCAGCTCTCCCCCAGTGCTCAGCCTCCCTACTAGCCCGCGCTGACCGAGGAACCCACAGGCAGTGCCCAACGCAATGCCTACGCCCAACGCGCCCGCGCCCGCGGCGCCAGCGAACGACGTCCCGCAGGAGAGCCCCGCGCGCAAGTTCTTCGCCGTCGCCCAGGTGCGTCCCGCGCTCCGTGCGGTCTCCGCAGCAGGCGGCCCTGACCGTGTTCTGTGTTTCCAGCAAATCGTTCTGGCGATCGTGGTGTCGCAAGTGGGTACGCAGCATCCCCTTCGCCGTCGAGCGTGAGTGTCCGCGCGCGGTGCTGACTTATGGGTGCGCGCTGTAGTCAGCAAGTTCTTCCTCCCGAAGACTCCGCCGGCCCCGGTGGCGGACCCGGCGTCGTCCCTCGCGTCCGTCCCGCAAGTGCAGGTACCCGGCCAGGCGACTCCTGTTGGTGCGGTGAATCCCGCTGCAACTGCGGCGGCCCCGGCATGGCCGCTGGGCATACCGCTGGCGATGCACGTACATCTGTCGACGTCTCCGAATGGAGATGTGTTCTCCAAGAAGTGGACGTCCGGGTACAGGAAGGACCAAGATGCGGACCTTCCGAGCTTGGTCTGGACAAATATCACCTTCGGTGACTGGAATGAGAAGCGGACAGCGGACTTCACGGTGAACCTGCCGCCGGTGCGTCTGAAACAATTTCTTATGTCGTATAGAGGGCTGACATGTGCTACAGAGCGTGCAAAACAACGGAACACTGTGGGCGGACGTGTTCCTTGTACGGGATGGAGCTAGTCCAGACCCGTCCGACTCTAAGTTCGACCCACAATCTGTCCACCATGTCCGTACAGGTATGTATAGTCTTCCTCATATCTTAAAGTTACGGCCCTTTACCGTCTGTTTCGGTAGCGCTCACAAAGTACTTGCCCAAGACCAAGGTACGGAAACAGAAGAACCTCCTAGGTGGCTCTACTACCGATGGCGAAGAATCCGAGGCTGAAGAGGAGGTTGGTGATTTAGTCGGCACTGACACCCCATACTTCCTGCGGTGCTGACATTGTCTGATTTCTATAGCCTCAAGCTGACACTATCGTATCTCACTGGCACAATGTAAGTGCCATAGACATTTTTTTGTGCGCGTACTAGTAGCAGTCAAACTCAAATCTTGGACCGTCCAGAACCTCACGCTTGCCCTCATCTCTGACCAACCGGCGATACCCCTGACACAAATACAGCCAGCAGCAGCACGATGTAAGTTCACGCGAACAGGACACACATATGCCACCCCACTTATCGCTCCTACAGACATCGAGCTATCCTCAAAGCGCGATGCAGCCGGCCGGCCGCTCTACAAGCCCATCATCTTCCCGAACGAGTTCTGGCACCTGCGCTCGCAGCACTTCGAGATCAACTCGACGACGCCGAGCGTGCCGCTGCAGATCGAGTTCCAGCCGATGTCGTACTGGAAGTTCACGATCTTCGCCGCGATGACCGCGAGCTTCGCGGAGGCCGCGAAGCAGCAGGGCGCGTCGTCCGGCGCGGAGCTCGACGAGGTCAAGCGGATGCTCGTCGAGACGAACCCGTACTTCCTCGCGATCACCGCGCTCGTGAGCGTGCTGCATGTGGTGTGAGTGGCGGCCCCTGTAGGGGAAATGAGCGTTGTGTGCTGAAACGTGCGTGGGCGTAGGTTTGAGTTCCTGGCCTTTAGCTCCGACGTGTCGCATTGGAGGCAGAAGCAGGAGCTTGTCGGAGTGTCTGTCAGGTGCGTCTTGTCTCGATATCTAGAGTTTTCCTGTGTCTGACTGGCTTGCTGCAGAACTGTATGTTCGCACAGTGCCTGGTTGGGCGCAACACTGATGTCTCGCTCGCCCATAGATCGTCACGAACGTCTTCGTGCAGATCATTATTCTGCTCTACCTTATCGACAACAACGAACAGACGAGCTGGATGATTTTAATGGGCTCCGGTATCGGCGTTCTAATCGAGGCGTGGAAGGTAAGGAGCGCATTTGGTTAGCCTGCGACAGTAAAACTCAGTTCTTGCATCTAGATAACCAAGGCGGTCGACATCAGCATTGCGCCTTCCTCCCCGGGTGCTTGGTTGCCGTATAAGATTGACATCAAAGGTACGCTATCTGTCTCCGGAACGGGAACACTGTTTAACCCGTGTGTCGCTAGACAAACATGTCCTGAGTGAGGATGAGAAGAAGACCCAAGAGTACGTCGGATTGCAGTATATGGAGAGCTGGGCACTGACGGTTCGACAGATACGACAAGCTCGCGTTCCGCATCGTCGCGTACTTCACCATCCCATGCCTTGCTGCATACACGGTCTACTCCCTGCTCTACGAGACGCATAGGGGGTGGTATTCTTTCGTGATCTCGACCTTGACTTCATTCGTATACATGTTTGGATTTGTGAGTGACAACTCTAGCGGTTCTGTTTGGATAGACATTGACGCTTCGCATAGGCCCAACTCATCCCGCAACTCATCATCAACTACAAGCTGAAGAGCGTAGCACATATGCCACTGAAGGCCATGGTATTCAAAACACTGTCGACAGTGAGTAAACGCATGCTCTCATATGTCACGTCGCTTACCACGTATGTACTTACAGGTCGTCGACGATCTCTTCGCGTATGTATTGTGGAGCTGTCTACGACATGCCGGCGATGCTAACTTCACGTCATAGGTTCTGCATCAAGATGCCGATTCTCCACCGGCTAGCGTGTTTCCGCGACGATGTTGTGTTCCTTATCTTCCTTTACCAGGTATGTCACTTAAGATGCCGGGGCGGGGACAGGATGTTGACATGCGTTCATTGCAGCGATGGATCTACCGCATTGACCCCAACCGGGTGAACGAGTACGGTCAGGTGATGACGGCCGAGGAGACTGCCGCGGCGGACAAGCTGAAGGCGGAGGAGTCGAAGAAGGACCGGTGACAGGCTGTCGTTGGGTGTGGCTGCAGGGTGGATGGTATCTCGGCCGGAGCAGCTTGGATCAGACGTATTTTTGTGTTTGCCGTCGCGAATGAGGCATGTGGGCACTCGGGATACGGAGAGTGACGATAGATCGGATAGAGGGAATGCACTTGGGTCGGTTGCATTGCGGAACTGCGAGCGTGAGGTCAGTGATGGATGGGACGCATGTGCTTGTCGGGCGTGCGGGTGGGGTGTCTGCAGGTCGAGTGGACGCTCTCAGCTGACCGTGGGCGGGTCGGCGATAAGGGCACTCGCGGTTCGCCGCAGGAGCGCGATGATGAGGAGGAGAGGAGGGCGAGTGAGCCGGGGAGGCGCGAGCACCGCTTCCACTAGGCGTCCCGGACCGGATCCGTGTCGTGGAAAAATTGGCGCGGTGACTCTGGGCGAGTGCGAGTGCGTCCCCGGAGCCAGCGACTGCTGCAGCCACCGCCCTTTGCTCTCTTCCACCAGCGCCGCGTACCCCCGCGCCTCCTCACCTCCCTCCCCACCCTCCTCGCTGCACTCCGACTCGCCCAGCCGCTCTCTGGAACGCAATGGCCGCTAATGGCCTCGCCGCAGGCAAATATGCGTGCAAATGCCTCAATGTTCGCATCCATGCCCAACCAACCACACATACTCCTCCCCCAGCCGAGGCCGGCTTCACCCCCGTCTACGCCGGCGAAGAAGGGATCCGCGTCGTATGTCGCGCTCTCATTTTAGCCACCGCCCGGCCGCTGATCCTCTCGATTCAAGGCTCACACCGAGGTCACCCTCAGGAGTCGCAGCAGACCCGTCCCGGACCCCGAGTCATCCTCAGGCGACCTAACCCGATATACAACAGTGACCTGCCTCGTCTGTGGCATCCCCGCGTACCGCGTGGCGCAGCGCATAACCCCCGATCTCGTCAACGAGGTCGGACCCATTTTACCCACCGACGACTGGGTGGAGAAAGAGTTGCTGAAGAGCTCCTCGGGCTGGGTTGAGGTGTACAAAGGATGCAGTGTGAGTTTTTCTTCGCGTCGTTTTTTCATCCCGCTCTGCGAGACCCCTCCCATATCTCCTCCGAGAGGCACGGATATCGTGCGATGGTCCGGGTGGCGGAGCGTCTAGCAATATCCTTGCTCAAACTGACATCTTCTCTGACGTAGACCAGCACCGAGATTACGAAGGCGGAAGCGTCGCCCGCGTACTCTCATTTGTTCTCCATTGTCCTTCCCGGGCCCGCCCTGGCACAAGACGACGGACCTGCCGTGGTTCCCAACGCTCGGGGGCCGTCCGAACAGGGCAAGAAACATTTGCCGGAGCTACCCCCTCTTTTCCTCCCACCGCCATTCACCCCGGCCCACATCGTGTACTCGCACTTCTCTTCGCTCGCAACCGAGCGTTCGCAAAGGTTGCGAGATGAGGCCGAGGAGTACATTGCACAAGTCACCCAACAGAAAGTAGCGGAGATCGTCAAGGCGGAGGCTGCTTTGAAGCAGGAAGTCAACCAGGTGTGGATCAAGTTCCGAGATACTGTCCGAAGTGTCGAAGAACATGGTACCACGAGCAAGACGGCGCCGTCACCACGACGCACTGTCTCCGGGCACACACGAACTGTCAGCTCTCCGATCCCGGGCACCTCTGCGTCGGTGCGGATCAGCAGCTTTGTCCCCACTGCTAGCCCTCCCCACCGGAACTCAGCCAACCACCGCGTGCTCCAGCCCTCCGCTCTTTCAGCCTCTCTCAAGACCTCTGGTTTCCACTACCCCGAATCTCAGCGGCAAACCAATGGCCACGCGTCTCCTGCGCGCCGTTCTGTGGATTTGACGCCTTCGAACAACGGGAGAGCGTCGCCCACGAGGTCCGATCGGACCCGCGTGGATTCAATATCCACCGCCTCTTCGCAGACCGCGGCAATCGGGGTTGACCTTGAAGCCAGCATTCGGGAGGCATACCGGCGAGAGATGGATGAGAACAAGGACATTGCGACGAGCTATCGTTATGTGTCAGACATGGAGGCGCAGATGGAGCAGCGTCGACTGCAGGAAGAGCCGGAGCAGGAAGAACCACCTGTCGCGTCGACGTCCCAGGTCACGAGGGAAGCAACTACCACCGCGGGGAGCCGCGGACGCTCCCCCCGTGTGCACAAGAGCGCTTTCAGGCAATCACAAGCCGCTGACGGTGTGAAGAGCGTCCAGAACGGGGACGGCGCGAAGGTCGCGGAGACTACGGAGAGTGCCAGTAAAGGCAAGCGGAAGGTGACGTTCGACGTGAAGCCAGACGTGACGATCATCAAGGACGAGACGGGTAACGAGTCTGAACAACCCACGCCTTCTGCCTTCAGCGAAGGTCAGTGGTTCAGCGCACGGCTTATGGTCAGCGGATGTCTAATATCGACATTCAGATGCCATCTTCGATATGGACAACGAGACGGAGCACGCCGCTGCCACCCGCATGGACGTCCCGGTCGAGCAGCCCAAGCCTTCTCCCGCGAACTCCGAACGTTCGCGCACGCCAACACGCCAGTCCCACTCACGCTCATCTAGTAACTCCGGCCTACCGCCCATGCTCGCGTCGTTACGGCCTGCGTCATTGCCCGCACCGTCGTCAATGCGCCCGCCCATACGGCATTCTGCCACAGAATCCGCGGAACGTACCCGGTCGTTGCGCGAGTCGCTGATCGCGATGGAGGCGAACAGTGCGCGGCCCGACGTGGTTGACAGCCCCATCGAGATCAAGCAGGAGGTCGAGCACGGTAGCGAGAACGCAGATCCTCGCGAGGAGGAGATTCTGCGGCTCGTGGCTGCGAGCGTGCCTAGTCACCGGAGCGGGTGGAAGAAGAACAGCAAGTCCTGGCAGCTGTTCCTCAACCGCCGTGAGCGCAGGCCAACGGAAGTCGACCCGGAGGCGATCTCGGAGGAGGGCAGCTATACCGTGCTCGACGACTTCGACTCGCACCCTCGCCACGGCTCATTCAATGGTGTCGCCGACAGCGATGTCACAGATGAGGATGATTATGGTATGTTGTCTTGTTTCAGTCCTTGCATGTTCGTGCTAAAACGTCTTGCCTCCAGATGACAAGTGGGCAGAGGACAACCACCAGATCGCCCAGTCGCTCCCCATTCCGATTGGCCCCCTCGGCCAACACGGGCACACATTCGGCATTCCGCCGTACCAGCCGAAGACGTCGCTGTCCGACCGCCCGGGCGTGCTGGTCCCGCCCCTGCGCAACGGCTCGACGGCGTCCTCGCTGCGGCGGCAGTCGTACGCGGAGCGCGACCGCGTGCGCCCGATCGACCCCGGCGCGCTTGACTTCGCCGTGGACGAGGACGGCGCGGAGGAGGATGTGGAGAGCGATCCGGAGACGGGTGGGAAGGCACGTCAGCGTGCGCTGAAGATCCTGAAGGCGCGCGACGAGATGCCCGCAGCTGGTGAGTCTCACTTCGCAATTTTCTCTACAAGCAGTTGGGTTGACTAGTTTTTTAGGCATGTGGAGGAGCCTGGCATAACGCACAGAGCAGACACTGACAGTGACACCGACACGAAGCCCGACGCCGACCGATATACCTTAGTATTATCGTAATTGTCCCTGTTGCACCACCGCCCGCCCGTTGTTTGTTGTAGTCTTGCACGAATAGCCCGACGTAGTACCTGTGCTGCCAACGTAGCCACCACCCCACGCTCTGTAATCCCGCTGTCTACCTGCTCTGTAAATACCTGTATCACTACCTCACGACGTGTTCCGCAAATTGATTGATTGTGTTGCTCCGGACATCGTTTGGGGACCTTTTTATTGCTTGTTTGAATGGTGCACACAGAGGGAGTCTCGAACGCGAAACAAGGAGCGGTGTGTTGACAATTATCACTTGCGTGGACTATGTAGATCTAAGTAGCTAGCTAGACTTTTTGGTACATGTACGTGTGGCCTGCAGGGGAGCACCCCATCGGCCGTGGAACGAAGTAGTCAAGAGACTCTATGCAAAGGAGCTCGAGAGGATGCTCTAGTCGGGACCCATCTCCGCCCCAGGCAGCTTTTCATGGCGCATAACGCTCTCGACCTTGCTCTCGTCGCCAGTGACCCCAAGAGTCGCGTCGTGCGCCGCGTTCTTCTCGCGCTCCTCTTCGTCCATCGCCTCGCGCAGGCACTTCGCGCACTCGCACTTGAAGCGCCAGCCGCGCGCGAGCTCGATGCGGCGCCGGCGGCGCGCGATGCCCGCGTCCTCGCCCTCGGCGGTCGACACGTCGACCCACGCCATCGTAAGCTCGTCGCCCTTCTCGATGGGCCGCGTGGCGACGAGGTGGAGCTCGTTCGTGCCGTTCGGGAAGGTCGGGCGGGTGTTCGGGTCGCAGGAGTGCACGAGCTGTGGGAGAGGACGTGTGAGTTGGAGTATGTGGAATGTGTGGATAAGCTGGGGATACTCACGTATGAAGAGACCAGGTAGATGGCGCTACCGAACTGACGCGCGGTGCCGTGGGGGGTGCGTGTCCTCTCGAGCTCTTCCGGACGGTCGCTGGCGACAGGCTGGAATACGGGTGAGCGTCCCTAACGAAAATCGTGTATGAGGTTGCTTACCCTGCCATCGCGGCCGCCGTCGATGCAGACACCAATCGCGTTGTAGCCCATCTTGCCAACGAGAGTCGCATGACGCTCCTCCGTCACAGACTGCTCAAGACCAGGCAGCGCAGACCCAAGCACGGCGCCGAGCAGCTTGACCTCCTCGCTGGATGAGTTACCCTCGACGAAGCGCAAGCGCTCGATGTGGTCGCCGACGTGGTACAGGTCCTTGCCATCTGCCATCTGCTGCAGCTCTTCCACGATCGGGCCGGTCTTGGTCGGGAGCAGGTTAATGGTCTCGTGCGCGATCTGCTTCGCGACGAAGCGCGCGGCGAGGAGGTTCGCTTGCTTGGCCTTGGTCTTCATGTATTCCACGTACGGGCCCTGTGCCGCGTTCCGTTGCTCGGTCGTGATTTCACCCATGCCGTTGTCGAGCTCCGGGGGAAGGACGGGCTCGAGGCCGAAGAGGATGTTCTGCCAGCCAATCTCGGCGCGTTGTTGGCAGTCCCTGGAGCAGTATACGGAGTTGAGCTTGTCGTGTGTAGGGGTGACCGCTGCGTCCTCCGGGATGGTGCGGAAGCAGTATGAGCAATGCGAGCCTTGACCTTCGAGGTCAGCATCAAGCGCAACGATAAGGGGCTTTTCCTGTGTGTCAAGAGTATGAGCAGAAACTCATGCAGCATAGTGTATCGATGTACCGTGTAGATGACCTCGCCCTCGGCGAAGTCCCTCTCCGCCACCAGGATTTTCTTCATGGTCTGGCTGCCCTCGCCAGCACCAGCTTTCACGGACACGTTCATTCTCTTCGGCGGGAAGTAATCATAGTAACCTATCATCGAACGACACCCCCACGGCTCAGCTAATGCGCTACTCCCATCGAGACCTGGGCTCACCTTCGATACGAGACGCAGTCTACGCTCAGAGGACATAGAACGAGGGGGAAATGCGTATATTAGAATCTGATGATGGCAGAGCACAAGCAAAGCAAGAGAGGGGGGAGGGGGATAGTGCGCAGCAGCATTATAGATCGGTGCTATCGATAGCTTGTCTCAAGGAGCTGCTACGCTCCCCGGGTCCGTGAGTTGGTCCCACTCTTGGGACGAGGTCTCCGACGGAGGGCCCGTCCGGGTCGGGCTGGTCTCCACCTCGTCGGCGGCGCTGGCATCCTCAAACTTCTTCTCCGAATGAGGTTCACTCACATCCGCGTTAACCAATTCCATAAATGTCTAGGTGGCGCCAAGTCAGCGATCGTCTCGCGGGCGAGTGAACGGTTGAACATACCTTGAAGAGGGGGGCAGGAAGAGTGCTCTGGAGCATCATAATAAGCTCCACCGGGGAAGGGTACACGCGAAGGGCACGGAAGAACGCCATCGCTGCCTGCAGGAAGAAGGCAGGACCTAACGGGCGAGTTTAAGTTTGCGACGCGATGGGAGCAAGTGTTCCGTAAACACGCACCCTTCTGAGCCAGCTGCTCGCCAACCTGGACTTGCATGATGAAGTACGTCTCCTTCTCGTCCGGGGTAGGGGGGACCTCCTCCTCCCGGATTTTGAACAGAGCCGCCTTGATCTCGGCGGCACCGACCGAAGACTCGGCCTCCACCTGAGCCTGCTCCTGCTGAGTCTGCTTCGTCACCTTCTTCTTCTCCTTCCCTGTGGCGTGACTGTGAGTGAGACGACACGCGTACAAAGGCAGGACACAAGACCACGTACGCAATTTCTTGCGGAATTCGATGTCATTCCGGCGCTTGTAGTCGAAGTAGACGGCGTAGGCGACGAGGCCGCCGAGGACCGTGACGGCGGCGACGGAGAAGATGGTCCGGGAGGAGGACATGGTCGTCGGTGGAGAGGAAGTTTGTGCCAGCCTTTCCACTTTCTGAGCCGTCATCGGCCAAGTCCGAGTCTGCCCTCACGTGCGCCTGCGCGTCCACCGTGGGCGCTTCCAGTCACACGGGTACGCGTCCGACCACAAGGTTACGTTCACGCTGCGGGACGTCTGGATAAGTACCGTGTACCCAGCAGCTCGTCTTGCTTTGAACCTTCATGTTCCTTCCCATGCCCATGGATCCTTCTCCACCCTTGAGCCCCAAAGACCTCGAAGAGGCGTTCATCAAGGTCACCTTCGAGGAGGACAGTGGCGCGCAGCACAATGCTCAAGCCGGAGATCCTTTCTACGACCCTTGGGTAGACCAGGGTGGGTACCGTGTTTCTCGTACACTACGCGGCCGTTCATGGCCTTGTCTTTATAGCCTCAGCCAAGTTCGCCGAGCCTTCGCAGTTTGGGTGTGTACCACAGTCACCGGCCGCTGTGGTCGTCCTAACAGTACCGCAGTGCCCGACACCTGCGCAAGCTCTACCCGGACTACTCCATCGTAGGAGCTTATGACGGAAACATTAACATCCTCGGGTTCCCGGGGGCCATGGCTCAGCCTATCTCTGCCCCCGACCTCATTACGACTGTGTTCTTCGTACCTCTGGCCAGGCATCTCTCCCCGGTCCCCGGCGTCCTCGTTGATCAAATCTCTTACGGAGCATTCCGCCTGGCATGGGACGTAAGTAACTGATCAACCGCCACACGTTTTACGGGCCACTCATTATATGCTATAGCAATACGATTTCCTCTTGTACATCGTCAAGGTGACGCTTGCAATTACACTTCCAAGTAATTGCACTGCTTACGCTTAACGCGCAGTACCCTGCTGGATTTGGCACGACGACCCACCACTATGTCCTCCACAAAGGCTCGGAAGAACCCGCGAGGTTGCTGCTATTGGCCGCCGGCGCATGGCAGGATCAACTGCACCAGGAGATCCTCGTCTTCGACAACGGCTTCTGGAACAAGAGCAACAGTCTCTGGACTGAGGTGCAGAAAGCAAACTGGGCCGACGTGATCCTCAAGGAAGAGTTTAAGACAGCCTTGAAGAAGGACATATATGGCTTCTTTGACTCCGAAGACCTCTACAAATCACTGGCGATCCCCTGGAAGGTCTATATATGCCCTTGTTATGATGGTGTGCATTACTAACAGTGCAACCTCACAGCGCGGTCTGATCATGTACGGTCCTCCTGGTATGTCTCCGTGCCTCATCACATCAACATTCACTCACGTCATCTGCAGGTAACGGGAAGACCATCAGCATGAAGGCGGTCATGAAGGACTGCGATGCACGGGGCTTCGCGCCGCTGTACGTCAAGTCGTTCAGGTCTTGGAGAGGCGAGGAAGGCTCGATGTCGGAGGTCTTCAACAAGGCCAGGCAGATGGCGCCCTGTATCCTCATCCTTGAGGACCTGGATGCACTCATCAACGACGGCAACCGTTCGTTCTTCCTCAACCAACTTGACGGTCTGGAGGGCAACGATGGCCTGTTGATCATCGGCTCTACGAACCACTTCGACCGGCTCGACCCTGCGCTCAACAACCGCCCCAGCCGGTTCGACCGCAAATAGTAAGCATATATCCTTGTTTGCTATCGGTAGCTAAACCTTGACTGTGTTCAGCCTGTTCGATGACCCGGACGAAGATGAGCGCACGCTCTACATTCAGTACTGGCAGGGCAAGCTGCACAACAACAAGGACATCTCCTTCCCTGACAGCCTGGTCAAAGACGTCGCGTCGAAGACCACTGGCTTCAGCTTCGCGTACCTGAAGGAGGCCTTGTACGTCCCACGACTGTCTTGCAACGCTGCGCCTTACAGACACCTGACCACTCTTTCCAGCGTTTCCTCGCTCGTGCTCCTGGCCGGTTGGGAGGGCGACAAGCCCGATTTCAAGGACGTCCTCCTGCGCACGGTCAAGACACTCCGCGAGCAGCTGGACAAGGATAAAGACTCCGCGCTCAAGTCCGATGCGGCCCCGGCCTTCGGCTTCCCGCGGATGTTCCACAGCGCGCCTGGCCCGCAGACGAACGCCAGTCGCCTGCCGCGCGTCGAGGCGCGCTCCATCGGCCAGCCGCGCATCTGGGACACGACGCCTTCTACTCCCGCGGGGAGGATGCCCGGTGCCTTGCCGAGTGGGACCGACGCCCAGCGTGAAGGTGGGAATGGCCGCCGGGATGTCAGGACGATGGCGTCCGCCGCTGCTGCCTTGGGGCGGTCATTCATCTCGTAGGTCAAGTGCTCGTCGAGTTATAGCAACGGACGGTTCGGCGAAGGATGGGTGGATGGATACGGAATTTGTATGTTGGAATGTACGTGTTTCAGTTTCCGGTCAGCGTTGTACATATATCACAGTGCACTAGGGGTCTAGAGTGCGCCTCAGATCAAAGTGCATATTGCTACGATCTCCCCGTGTTGTGTGCAGTTTTGATGGGAGTTGTTCATGACATAGCCCCAGGGGGATAATTATAGGGTATGTGCGGTCCATGTCCTCCCGGTGCCTTGAGCTTGGCACAGACAATTCGCCATGGATCTACACCGCGGGGGTTTAGGCTCCTTGTGATCGCGAGTCGACCTCAGAAGTTCCAGTGGTCGGGCGGTGTTGTGCGGATCTGAAGGCGTAGCGCTAGTGATGCCACTGCCGGATTGAGGTCTGATAAGGGGCGCCACTACGTTAGGTTCAACCACATCCATCTGGCGCAGACTCGTGCCAGCGCAGCGGCTCATGCCAGAAGGTGCGAAGAGCACGCCGCATCGAATGCAGCGTCGACATGCAGCAGCATAATGAAGAAGCCACGACGGTAAGTGGCCAGTCAATATCCCGACCAAGTCCGGAATGCACCACTCACGCGAGTCCACAGACCGGGGACGCCCCGACCGCACTGGTATGATCCCAGTGCCTCCATCAACCGCGTTAGCCCCTAGCCAGACTCATTCCGGCCTGGAGCGCTTTACGGCGAGCGCGAGGGTGTTGTATTGCCGACCGCTTGGTAGCGCTCATACGCCAGCTGCCTTGCGCTCGTCCCCTGGCTCCGGTGCTGCTTCGACGAGGAACCTGGCCCCGTAATGGACAGCCATCTGCCGTATCCGACGAACTCGTCGTCCGGCCAGAGATGCCCGCCGCATTGGATGCACCTGCACCTGCGCTTGTTCGTTATATACCCCACCAGCTCCGGACGGGTCGGATAAAGTCTATCGTCCTCGCCGTCTTCGTGCCCCCCCTCTCTCGCCCCCGTTGCGTTCGTCGCGCGCCGCTCTTTTCCTTGTCTCGCCTTCCATGGCTCGCTCGATTACCTTCTCGCGTCCGTTTGCTGCTTTGCTCTGCTTGATCGCCCCGCTCTATATCCAGACCGCCCACGCCGCCGTCGCGGTCGCTTCTCCCGCCTCCCCGCCTCCCGCAAACGCCAATGTCGTCTACTCGAACTTCATGGGCGTCTCGCTCGAGCTCTCCTTCATCAACTACTACTTTGGCAACTCGACCGACCAGATACCCCAGCCGGTCGTGAGCTACCTCTCCGCGCTCCAGACCCGTGGGTCCGGGAAGCCCGTGCGCCTGCGGCTTGGGGGCAACTCGATGGACAGCTCGACCTATGTCCCTAGCCAGCCCGACATCATCGAGTTCACGGATCCCAACGCGAACTCGAACGACCAACCGGTGAACTACGGCCCTCAGCTGTTTGATGTGATGAAGGGCGTCAGCACCGCCGTTGGCGGCGCCCAATTCCTCATCGGTGAGCCGTCTCAAACATAGACCTGGATTACCAATGAACTTACCGTTCACCCGTTAAGGTCTGAGTTTGCGGACACCGAACAGCACGAACATCCCACTTCTTGCCGGCGATGCCGAAACCGCCCTGGGTGACGACCTTGATGCCTTCCTATTGGGAAATGTGCGCATGTGCTCTGTCCAAGCCGCCGCTGCCTGTACTTACAGCCGTGCAGGAGCCCGATTTGTACACCGCACACGGGAACAGGCCGAACCTGCAAAACTACACCACAAACGACTACATCGGTGTATGTATCCTTGGCTGTCCCGTCGCCGGTTCCCACACTCACTAACGCTGTGCAGGATTACGCAACCGTGTTTGGAGCCCTCCAGGACACGCCAAAGGGAGACGTACTCTCCCAGGACAAAATTGCGGGGCCGACCATCTGTTGTTTTTGGGTTAGTGCGATCGTTTCTCACGCACACATAATTAACTGACGGGTACCTGCCGCCACCTTAGGACCTGGCATCCGTCCTGCAGTCCGGCTGGCTCGACAAGTACGCCGACCGGCTGAAGTACATCACCCTGCAGCACTACCCGCAGAACAACTGCCAGGGCAAGCCGCAGTACGGCATCGACTACTATACCTCGCACGCGAACGCCGTCGGCCTCGCACAGTGGCAGCAGAACGGCCTGGACTACATCGCGGGCAGCCCGAATCGCAAGCCAGTGCTCATGGACGAGTTTAGCTCTGCGTCGTGCGGCGGTGTACCCGGCATCTCGGACACATTCGCGGCATCGCTCTGGGAGGTCGACTACGCGCTGCAGATGGCGCTGACCGGCTACGCGGGCGCGTACCTGCACACACGGGAGCGCGGTGTCACGTACAACCTGTTCGACCCGCCCGACGCGGTCGCGGGCGGCGCGGGCGCGTGGACGACGAACCCGAGCTTCTACGGGATGCTGCCCGTCGCGGAGGCGCTGCAGGCTGCGAACGGGAGCCGTGTCGTCGATCTGAACCTCGCGAATTCGATCAAGGACACGAAGGCGACCGCGGCGGGGTACGCGATCTACGACGGGTCCGCCCCGACTGTCCATAGCCTCGTCATGTTTAATTTCGCGAACGCGTCGGGCGCCATGTCGGACTACACTATCGACGCATCGCTCGTGCCTTCGAACAACACCGACATCACTATCCGGTACCTCACAGCGCCGTCCGTGAACGAGAAGACGAACATCGCGTGGGGTGGGAAGACGTATGCGGGCGTCGGAGATGGCGTCGCCGTCGACGCGACGTTCTCTAGCAGCGTGCCGGACAAGACGACCTCGTGCGCGGGCGGCTGTACGATCCAGGTCCCGGGTCCCGGCCTCGCCGTCGTCTTCCTCGGGGGCGTCCCGACCATCTCGAAGCCCGCGAACACCTCTCCGAACTCCACCGCGGGCGGCGCGTCGCCGTCAGGCAGTGCCGCTGCGAGCCACACGGGTGGCGCATCGCGCTCCTCCGTCGTGAGCCTGGGCGCGCTCGCCGCCGTCCTGCTCGCTGCATGTACCATGTTGTGATTTGACTTTTACTTTTGGGACTTCTCGTCGATACAGACACTCGCTCTCAGTCGCTGTGCTCTAGGGACTACTTGTTGTTATCGAGATTTATAGTACAGTAAATATACCATACCTGCCGCATGTATATTCCGGTCACACTCGGCCTCCGACGCGGTCGGCGGTTCCATATGCATGTGTCGCATTAATCGTTATACCACAAAGTCTTCCGCCTCATGCACGCCCACCACTCCTCTTGCTACCAACATCGGCAGCTTCTCCCTAATCACAGCGCGCACTCTCGCCATCGCAGCCACCCTACACGGCTTCTCCAGCTCCCCTCCTCTGTTAACATACGCAACATTGAAGGCGCACTCTCTCAGCGCGGGGGACGCGTCCGCGTCAGACAATATGCCGTCGATTTCCGCCCAGGGCAGGTAGTCAAGCTGTGCGAGCGCGGACAGACAGAGCGTGATGTTGACGGTTGCGAGGGCCGGAGCTACGAGCTGCGCAAGCGCGCGCGAGACGCAGGAGAACGTCGGGCGCACGGCGCTCGGCGTGAACAGGTCCAGCCGGAGATAGTGGATCGCAAAGTGGCGCAGGCGGGGTGTGTGCTGGGGGATGATCGGGTTGCCTGTGCGTGATTTTGGTGAGGGCCGCATACCTATTGATTCGTAGGGGGACGGACGGGGACAGCACTCACAGGCTACATCCGCGGGCACGCGAAACACAGCAGTCTCGAGCACGTCCATGCCACATAAGAGGGCGCGCACCTGCGCCTCCTGGTGCGGGAAGTCTGGCTTGGACGCGGTGGGCACGCCCATGAGGAGCGGAGCTATGCCCGCCCCAGAGCTCTTCGGGTCCGCGGGGAGCGCGACGTTGAGGGAGAGGAGCGCGCTGAGGTCGACGTGGCGTACAGCACACTCGAGGAGGTCGAGCCCGTCCGTGCAGTCGATGACGAGGTGCTTGAGGTGGATGGGCGCGCAGGCCTCTCCGTTGCAGAGGGCCTTGAACTGTAGTGGCTGGCCTGGAAGAAGAGTTAGTTGGGAAGATCGTGAAGTGATACCGTTGAACATCACCTAAATCGTCCACCAGGCCCTGCCCCATGAGTGAGCCACATGCCCAGTTTTCATGGTCCATGTGTAGGGACGTGAGGTTCGGAAGGGTGCTGATGAGCGCCAGCAAGTTGTGGCATGTTGCGAACGCGACGTTCGACAGTCGCAGCGTAGTGACAGAGGGGAAGGAGGGAAGGGGCGCTGGCGGTGGCCCCAACAATGGCTGCCAGTGCAGCGCGGCGTTGTGGAACTGGATGCTCACATCTTGCGCGCGGGTAAACGTGCCCAAGACGGACTTCCAGTACGTGCAGAACTGTTTGCTGTCGGCATCGAGGCGCCAGAACTGGACGTCTTTGACATATGGCACGAGCCGTTGTCCATCGGAGGCCTGAAACCACGCCATGCGCGACAGGAGGCGCTTGGGGGGCGGGAAGAACAGTTGAGAGCGGTGGAGCTGGCTCTGGCTTGGAACACGCCATGCGCGACTGATGAGGGCCGCATTGGCGAGATCGGTGTTCGAGGTGGTCTCGCCTGAAGCAAGGTGGTTGACGATGTAGTCCACGATCTCCTGGGGCAGGTATCCCATCCCAGTGCCAACGACGAGACCTAGGGTGAGCGGTTAAGGACAGATCTAAGAAGGGCAGGAGGTAGCAGGTCAATGGTGCACCTGAGACGCGCACGTAGTGTGAACGCAAGGCGTCGGCCGAGCTTATTTGAAGTGCTTAGCCGTCCGGCGACCAGTCTACTTAGCCAAAACACCCGTGCGCCGCCTGTGTACTGGGCCGCAGGAGCTTCCTCATCAGAGGTTTTGCCTGGTCAGTGTGCGAGGCAAAGCTTACTTATCCGTCACAGCCTCGGGCTTCGGGCATACGCACGGCGATCTCCTGCGTGCCCTTGACAAGCCTCATTCGCCGGAGGCCGAGGGCTGCGAGTCTCAGGATCATGTAGGAAGGTCAAGACGTGAGTGATGTTAGCATATCTCCCTTATATAGAGCAAGATCACTGTGCAGGGTGTTGTCGACTCACCGGAGGGTTTGATTCGCAGCCCTAGTTGACGTTAAGAACTTACGACGATGGGAATTCGAATTGGCTGAGGTGGGAGACTTGAGCCAACGTCCATTCTTACTTGCTACGTCACCCTCGTCATCACATGAACATCGTCTGCTCAGCATACCAGCATTTATCGTCGCCCAGTGTCCATCGGCTCGACTGCATGCTTGAGCAGTACAGCATGGCGAACAAGGTTTTGACGCATGGCGTTGTGGCAAGGTTCGTTTCCGAAATCTTTTGCTACTCACAATTGCACTAAGAGGCTCGCAGCAGCTACCAGATTGAGTCGCAGATATCCTTCGCTCATCTAACAGTTGTCCAGTGCGAGTTGCGAGCTCCAGTCAGGATGAAGATACTGGTCAGCTTGGAGGGGAGGAAGAAGGTACGCCACCCCCGCATAGGCGCTCGTATAGGCCTACGCCACGATCGGAATCTCAGCCCAACGACGTGCACTGTGTTTTTGCCGCGCCTCTAGTGGCAGCCTCGCTCCATGCTGAGCCCACTCGCCTGAGCATCTACTCGTTTCCCAAATCTCTTCAGAGTAGTTCTTTCATCACAGTCAGATGCCATAGAGGCTACAGGAGACGAAGGTTTGCTGGATTGGAAGCTGCGATGATATTTACCCACCCACATGTCACCAGCGAGGGCGCTCGGCTGCAGTTGGCAGCAGGGTCGCTTGACCTCCGAATATAGACCCCGTGAACTTCCCCACCGAACAATCATATGCAACTCTCCATTGACGTCCACCTCCCATTGGTGAAGAAATCCGGGGTCTGCAAGGCAGGTCTAAGTCTGCTGCGCCTCTTAAACCCACGCTGAACTCTCTCTCGCAGTAGCCGTATCTCCTCACAAACCACCATGAAGCTGTCGCCGGGGATCCCGTTTCTCATCCGCTACATTCTCGTGTGTTGCGCCCCTCCGTTGGCCGTCTACTGCACCAAGCGTGTCTTGTCGGCCACATCTGATGTAGATCTGCCTGCTTGGTTCTGGGTCGTCACCGCGATACTGAGCGGGCCGCTGCTGTACTCTCTACATGTCTGGCGCAAGTTCCGCGGCTTCCGTCTTCGGGCTGCTGCTCTGGGCGCGGTCATGCCTACGGAACTTAATGGCGACGAGTTCGGCAACAAGGACGTTCTGCGGGGCATACTCGAAGCCTTTATCACAGGATACCCCTGTGAGTATCCTATCACAACTGGGGAGTGACGGTATATATTTATAGACGCCCTACGCAGCGGATATGTTTGACATGGGGGCCGAGAGATGTGGCTCGCTGTTCCAGTACACGATCTTCTGGGACCTGTCTTATGGCACGACGGACCCCAACGTCGTAAAGGTACGTATACTGCCCGCGACGGCGATACGTTCTAATGTGATAACGTGCTGTGACCCCCACTAGACGATACTAGCGACTGACTTCGCCAATTACGAGAAAGGTACGGGCACACTTAGGCGACCAAACGTAGGTTATGCTCACACATCTTCCACGCTAGGCGAGGTATTTCATGAGATCACTAACTCGTTGTTTGGGACGGGTGTCTTCAACGCTGATGGTACGTCGAGCAACTGCTGCATATATGATGTCGTCAATCTGATTAGCCAATGTTACTTAGGCGACTTGTGGAAGTCAGTAGCATTTAATAATATGCATTTTGAGTTTTGCTCATCGTGTCGTAGATTCCACCGATCCATGTCACGTCCCTTCTTCAGCCGGGAAAGGATCAGCCACTTCGAGTTGTTTGACCGTCATGCCGGTCAGTTCCAAAAGAACCACTGTTATTCTATATCTCATGCCACGGTTCTCTCAAGAAACCGCCATAAACAAAATCAAGGAGCGCATGCGGTCCGGCGTCGCCCTCGACTTCCAGGACCTTATTTCCAGATTCACGCTCGACTCTGCCACAGAGTTCCTCTTCGGATCTTGTGTGCATAGCCTGAACTCTTCGCTTCCCTACCCCCGCGGACTCATCCCCTACACCGAAATGAAGGAGCTGTCTTCTTCTGAGCGCTTTGCATACGCGTTCGGAAAGGTGCAGCAGATCGTGGCCGAGCGCCCCCGGTTGGGCTGGGTTTGGCCGCTGAAGGAGATCTTCAGGACCTCCACCGACGAGTATATGGAGATTGTAGATGGGTTCATCGAGCCTATACTGAAGGATGCCTTGCGGAAGAAGGAGCAGCGCCTCAAGGAAGAGCATGTTCTCGATGACAAGGAGAGCCAGGAAGACGAAACCCTCCTCGACCAGCTGGTTAAGCAGACCTCAGGTGCGCCACCTTCGCGTTTCCGACTTGCAGCGCTCTGTTGACCATCACTTTCCAGACCCCGCTATCCTTCATGACGAGACGCTGAACATTCTGCTTGCAGGAAGGGATACCGTACGTGACACTATATGCTGGCGCACTGTAGGACATGACTGACGTCTCCCTTACTTTTGCAGACGGCCGCTGCTCTCACTTTCGGTGTTTACCTCTTGTGCCAGCATCCAGATATCTTCAAGCGCCTACGTGACGAAATTATCGAACACGTTGGCTTGACGCGTCGGCCAACGTATGATGATATCCGCAACATGAAGTACCTCCGCGCCTTCCTCAACGGTAAGTGCACAGCGTGGAGGTGAATTTCATGCCGACTCAATCTTCCCTAGAAACTCTCCGCCTTTATCCCTCTGTGTAAGTCGTTTCCTCTTGTAAGCAATGCACATATTGACACTTGATGCAATCGACTACATACAGCCCGTTCAATATCCGGTACGCTGCGAGTGCTGTTACCTTTATTGTCTCGTTCCTTATACTTGCTCTAGGTACTCGATCAAGGAGGGCATCCTGCCGAACCCTGACCCTCTGGGAAAACCCGTCTACATCCCTCCCGGGACACCGTACGTGTTGATGCAACCTGCGACGATAACTATTTTGAACACCCGCACAGGATCTCCTACTCCATCTTCAACATGCATCGCGACCCGAAGTACTGGGGCCCGACTGGTAAATTATGAATGACCCACCGCTGGTGCATGGCCCTAATGCCGTATGCTACGCGTTTAGCCGCAGACTTTGACCCCAGCCGGTTCTTGGACGAGCGCGTCGGGAAGTACCTCGTTCCAAACCCCTTCATCTTCCTCCCGTTTAACGGCGGTCCGCGCATCTGTCTCGGGCAACAGGTTCGTTCTTACTTCGTGTTCCTTCCAGAGCCAATACTGACAGACATCAAACCATCAGTTCGCATACAACGAGATGTCGTTCTTCATCATCCGTCTGCTGCAAAACTTCTCCTCTGTGTCGCTCGACCTCGCCGCGCAACCGCCGGACACCCTCCCGCCTTCCGAGTGGAAGGATGCGCCGGGGCGCAAGGGCAAGGAGCAGATCTTCCCGAAATCGCACCTCACCTTGTACTCCTTTGTGAGTCCTGCCTCTTATAAGCCATGCACGCACGAGCTCACCAATACTCCCTCATTCAGGGCGGCATGTGGGTCAAGATGGAAGAGGCCTGAATGGTCGCGGACACGGCGGAATCCCCCGCCCGCAATGAGATGTTGCCGCCCTCGACTCTTAGCTGAAATAGCACAACCTCAGTCTTCTCGGTCTTTATATGTATTGCTATCACCTACCGAGCCGCGTACACTGTTGACATGTTCGGAAGGAGTACGAGCACTGCGGCCACTTATATCCCTATCTCAGACCTGTACCAATCAGTAGGAGCTGTGAAAATGTCGGCGTGTATATCACTTGTTTCCTTGTTCCCTTGCGGAAATGTGCACTTCGTCTCGGCTACGGTCAAACCTCCGCTACCATAGGAAACTGTAAGGCCTGCACACGCTGAGCGCCCAGCGCTCACAGCACAGCTCGGAGCGCCCATATGATGATCCAGAATATGCGGAGATCCGAAGTGAGATCTACGATCGATGTAACTCAAAGCTGCGTCCGAGTCAAGTCCCAAAAGCACCGCAAGAGTCAAGACCACCTCTTGCACACGACTACGACCGTCTCGACCCATCTTGTCTCCCGTACCACTCAGGAGCACCACCCCAGTCACAGAACACCCGAACACAGAGCATGGCGCCGAAGGCAGACGCGCCCGAAACGGCGGAGCTCGTCGAGCTCTTCAAGAAGATCGGTCTCACCCAGGCAAAGGCCGCAGAGGCGGCGAAGAACCCCAAGGCCGCGAGCACCCTGCGCACGATCATCGAGTCGCATGATCTCGTGCACAAGCAGCTCGACGACAAGCAGGCGGTGCTGCTCGCCGCGCTCGCCGTCCCGGGCAGCAAGCTCGGGGAGGCGGAGCGGAGCTACGCGGTGGACGCGATCTTGGACGGTAGGCTGAAGACGACGGACCAGGTCTCTGGTGAGTCCGTGGATTGATAGAGCGCGCTTACAATGGCTTACACGTTCTACAGAGGCTGCGAAATACCTCGATGCGCACCCCGCTCCTGTGAACGATGCCGAATTTGACCAGGCATGTGGCGTCGGTATGTGATTGCATTCTGCGGAGGCTTTGGTAAATCTCGTCATTGAAACTATAATATCATAGGCTTCAGCATCACTGCAGACGAGTTGGCCACCCGGGTGAAGGAGTACGTTGCATCAAGTGCGCTCGCGGGGTGGAACAACCTTGGCCAAGCGATTGGCGGCCTGAAGAGCACCGACCTTCGTTGGGCAAGCCCCCTGGAGCTAAAGAACGCGGTCGAAGCTGCGTTCTTGGAGAAGTTCGGCGCGAAGGAGGCGGCCAAACCCAAGGGCAAGGTGAGTCTAAACCTGCTCACATCCTGTTGACCGTGCGCTGATCACTCTGAGAGTAGGAACTTAAGAAGGCTGCCGCCGCAAAGCCTACCGCATCGGATGAGCAAGCTGCCGCATCCTCGTCCCGTTCAGTCTTCCAAGAAGGCTTCCTCGGACACCTGCACAAGGTGGGCGGTAACCCGCAAATCCATCCCCATCTCAGGGAGCAGCACCTGGCGGCGACGAAAGGCATCGTCCACACTCGTTTCCCGCCAGAACCCAATGGCTACCTGCATATTGGGCACTCGAAGGCTATCTTCGTGAACTTCGGATACGCGGCTTACCACGGCGGTCACTGCTATCTGCGGTTCGACGACACAAATCCGGAGGCTGAGGAGGGCCGATATTTCGAGAGTATCCTGGAGACTGTCCGCTGGTTGGGATATGAGCCATGGAAGATCACGTATTCCAGCGACTACTTCGACCAGCTCTACGAGTTGGCGGTGGAATTGATTCGGAGAGATAAGGGATATATCTGCCACTGTACCGGTGAGTGCCTTGTAAACGCACCAATGAATAGGTATACTAACCGCTTGCAGCGGAGGAGATCTTCGCTAACCGAGGAGGTGAGGAGCGAGGACCCCGGAAAGCATGCGCCCACAGGACAAGACCCATCGAGGAGTCTCTGGCGGAGTTCGAGAAGATGAAGGACGGCACTTACAAGCCCGGAGAGGCAATTTTGCGGATGAAGCAGGACCTCGAGTCCGGCAACACGATGATGTGGGATTTGGTCGCCTACCGTGTGCTCAACTCCCCACATCACAGGACGGGAGCGAAATGGCGGATCTACCCAACATACGACTTCACTCACTGTCTGTGCGATAGCTTCGAGAACATCACGTACGTCCAGTACCACCTCCTTCGGTCCACAACGTGCTAACCTGCTCTCCTTGTAGACATTCGTTGTGCACAACAGAGTTTATCGCCTCGCGCGAGTCGTACGAATGGCTTTGCGACGCACTCGAGGTCTACAAACCCCGTCAATCAGAATACGGCCGTCTGAACGTCACCGGAACTATCATGTCGAAACGAAAGATTCTCCAGCTCGTGAAGGAGGGCCATGTTCGTGATTGGGACGACCCGCGCATGTACACCTTGATCGCTCTCCGTCGGCGTGGTGTACCCCCCGGCGCCATCCTCTCTTTCGTCAGCACTCTCGGTGTCTCCACATCGGCAACGAATATACAAGCAGTGCGCTTCGAACAAACTATCAGGCAATACCTTGAAGACGTCGTCCCTCGTCTCCTCATGGTGCTCCGCCCCCTCAAAGTCACCATCGAGAACCTCCCTGAGGACTTCCTCCTTTGGCTGGAGAAGCCTTTGCACTCGAAGGTGCCGGAACTGGGCTCTTCAAAGGTTCCTCTGACTCGTACCATCTATATCGACGAGGACGACTTCCGGCTGGAGGACTCCAAGGACTACTTCCGTCTCGCGCCCGGGAAGACCGTCGGTCTCTTCCAAGCCCCCTGGCCCATCACCTATGTCTCGCACAAGACAGACGCCGCCGGCAAGGTCATCGAGGTCATCTGTCGAGCGGAGAACGAGGGAGCGCCGAAGAAGCCCAAGGCGTACGTCCAATGGGTCGCGGAGCACCGCGCATCTGGCAGCCCAGTGGTCGTCGACGAGACGCGCATCTTCCACCAGCTCTTCAAGAGCGAGAACCCCGCCGCGGCCGTGCCCGACTTCTTGGCAGACATCAACCCGGACAGCCTCGAGATCGTCAAGGGCGCGATGGTCGAGGTCGGGTTCTGGCGGCTGGCGAAGAAGGCGTTTGCGGACGCGAAGGCGGAGAGCACGCAACGTACGAACGCGGCGCTCAAGGCCACTGCCGAGGCGTCCGGGCCCGTCGTCAAGGGGGCGCCTACCCATGAGCACGATGACACGCCGAAAGCTACAAGCGAGCAGCTCGTCGGTAAGGAGTGCATCCGCTTCCAAGGTCTGCGCGTGGCGTACTTCTCGGTCGACAAGGACTCGAATCTCGCGAGCTTGGAAGAGGCGGAGAGTGTGGAGGCCGGGCGGCGCGATGGCGACTATCTGGTGCTGAACCGTATCGTGAGTTTGAAGGAGGACTCGGGGAAGTCGACGTAGCGAGGGGAAGTAGGGGATGTCGTTGGGGATGACTCTTGCAGGTTGTATCACTGGAAAATACTAGTGTTAAGTAGACGTGCGTAGAATTGTACTTAGTATGAGATTACAGAATCTAACACAGTCGAGCCTACCTTTGGGAAGTTGTCTATTCGGTCAAGACTCCGAGAGAGGACGGGACGACTGATATTGACCTCGCTGTGAGCTTACAGGGTTCCATTTTTTCATGAGAAGCTAGGAATATTTCGGCAGCAATTTCGCAAAATGGGTGTTGTCCTTGGATTGAGATCCATGGATGATAGTACTTACTTAATGCACACCCGTTTGGTCGTGTTTGGCAAGAGCTTTAGAATTCAACAAGTACAAACAGTCCTCCGGCTCACGTGCAGGCAGCTGCAGGCGCGTTCTTCGGACAAAGCCGAGCCCCAGGCTTTCGCTTGCGACCGCTACAACCTCTTGAGAGTCTTCTGAACCTCTGTGACTGGAATGTGCTAGCTTGCGCCTGATACTGCATACTAATAACGGCTAGCTATGATCACATTTACTCCTCTGTCGGGTGCAGCTGGCACGGTCCGTACAGTTCCTTTGGCATACTTGCTGCAGGTCGACGACGTCCGGATTCTACTGGACTGCGGGTCTCCGGACTGGTGTCCTGAACCGTCTTCCGAGGAGGGAGATGACGTCCTATCATGGACAAAGTACTGTGATGCTTTGAAGGAGTGCGTAACGTCTAGAACTATGAGTTGCTTTCAACTTACAGTATGGTGTAGATGTGCCCCCTCCGTTGACCTTGTTCTGCTCTCACATGGCGACCTGTCTCACTCGGGTCTCTACCCTTACGCGTACTCGCACTGGGGTCTTACCGCGCCTGCGTACACGACGCTCCCCATCCAGGCTATGGCGAAAACTGCTGCGACCGAAGACGTCGAGGCCATCCGTGACGAGCAACCGGTGGAGGACATCGCACCTCCCTCCGAGGAAAGCCTTGCACCAGAAGGTTCAGTCTCCCCATCCCCAAATAACGCAACTCCCCCAGCCTCTTCTCCGACACCCTCCCCCTCCTCACGTGCTGTGAAGCACAGATACGTCGCTACTGTGCAGCAAGTTCACGATGCATTTGACTCTGTGAACGTCTTGCGGTACTCCCAACCGTGTCATCTTCAAGGTACCCTTAAATCAGGACTGAACCTCGCTCTTTCGCGTATCTAACTTGCTCTCAAGGAAAATGCCAGGGCTTGACCATCATCCCGTTCAACGCTGGCCATACTCTGGGTGGCACAATCTGGAAAATTCGCTCCCCTTCAGCAGGGACGATTCTCTATGCTGTTGATATGAACCACATGCGAGAAAGACATCTTGACGGCACCGTTCTCATCCGCCAAGGCTCGACTGGGGGAGTCTTCGAGAGCCTGGCACGTCCGGATCTTCTCATTACTGACGCTGAACGTGCCAATGTGACTACTGCACGGAGGAAAGACAGAGATTCCGCCTTGCTAGGTAAAAGATATACTGCAGGGCCTGTACAGTTTGTAGCTAATACCCGGTCAATAGATTGCGTCACCGCTACCCTCTCTTCCCGCAACTCGTTGCTGCTGCCTTGTGACTCAAGTACCAGGGTACTCGAGCTCCTAGTTCTGCTCGACCAGCACTGGAACTACTCTCGACTGAAGTATCCGATCTGCCTGCTCTCGCGAACAGGCCGGGAGATGTTAACATTCGTCCGGAGTATGATGGAGTGGCTTGGCGGCACTATCAGCAAAGAGGACGTCGGTGAAGACGGCACCAACCACGGCAGGGACCGACGGAGACGAGACGAGGACAACGACGAAGAGGCTCTAGGCGCATTTGCTCTACGCTTCCGGTGAGTTTCTCATCTTTAATATTGTGGACGTTTGTTGACCACTCTCCGCAGACACTTGGAGTTCTTTTCTAGTCCTCAGGCACTGATGAGCACATACTCCACCAAAGATCCCAAGCTGATACTAGCAGTCCCAGCCACTCTCTCGCACGGTCCATCTCGTAGCCTCTTTGCTCACTTCGCTGAGATACCCGACAACGTCGTGCTGTTGACTGGAAGGAGCGAGCCAGGAACGCTCGGGAGAATCCTCTTCGACAAGTGGAATAACTCCCAGCGTGAGGAAGCGAAGTGGGACCGCGGCAAGATCGGGAACAACATCATGATGGACGGCGTACTGCGTCTCGAGGTACGATTTTAACCACAATGAATGTCGTGCATATCATATCTAATGGGTCGCCCCAGATTCACAAGAAAGTGCCTCTCCAAGGCGACGAGCTCGAGGAGTTCCTTGCGAAAGAACGCGCGGTTAAGGAGAAAGAGGCAGCTCATCAGGCTGCGCTCGCACGCACGCAACGCATGCTAGAAGCAGACGAGGGCCAGAGTGACTCGGATAGCGACGATGAGGATGAATCCGATGACGACGAAGAGGATGAGGTGGAGCGCGAGCTGGGCGAGGATCTCATGGACGCGACGGACGACCTCAAGCGCTCCCGCCAAGGTCCTAACGCAACAACTCGGTCTGGAACCAAGCGCAAAAGAGGCGAGGGCGGCGGGGGAGACGGGACCGACTGGGTGCTCGGCAACGAAGCGGACGAGGGCGCGACGCGAATATCGTTCGACATCTACCTGAAGGGCAACGTCGCGAAGGCGACTTCGTTCTTCAAGAGCGCCGACGGCCAGACGCAGCGCTTCCGTATGTTCCCATACGTGGAGAAGAAGCGGAAGGTGGATGAGTATGGCGAGACGGTGGATGTCGGTACGTGGCTGCGGAAGGGCAAGGTGCTCGAAGAGGACGCGGAGGACGAAGAAACGAAGGATGCGCGGCGGCGGAAGGAGGAGGAAGAGGCTAAGGTAAGCGCGCGTCCTTCTCCTTCTCTTTAGCGCAAGGTGCGATACTGACGTGCCTCACAGAAAGCACCACAGGAACCACCTTCAAAGTTCGTGACGTCGATTGCGGAGGTGCAGCTCGCCTGTCGCTTGTTCTTCGTCGACCTGGAGGGTCTCAACGATGGACGTGCCGTGAAAACGATCGTCCCCCAAGTCAATCCTCGGAAGATGGTACGTACTGAAGAGCGACGTCTATGAGACATGACTCAATAATCATGTTTAGATTCTCATTCATGCACCCCAAGCTGCAACAGATGCTCTCATTGAGAGCTGTGCAAACATTCGGGCTATGACGAAGGAGATATATGCCCCAGCTCAAGGCGAAACCGTCCAGATTGGCCAGCAGACCAACAGCTTCTCGATATCGCTCAGCGACGAACTGCTAGCTTCGATCAAGATGTCTAGGGTGAGTGCCCGTCTCATCTGCTCCGTCAACCGATCTGACCAACGGGAATAGTTCGAGGACAACGAGGTGGGCTACGTGGCAGGTCGGATCGCTAGCCTTGCGACGTCCATGATTCCGGTGCTCCAACCGGCATCATCGGCCTCCTTGCAGACACAAGCCGCCAGCTTGCAACCCGTGCAAGTTCGCATGCTAGGGTCACGACCGAAGCAGCCTCTACCACAGTCTACAATGATTGGCGAACTCAAGCTCACCTCACTGAAGGCTCGCCTCGCTCAGGTCGGGGTACAGGCCGAGCTTGTCGGTGAGGGTGTCCTCATCTGTGGCGCAGCAGCGAAGAAAGGCGCGAGTGCAGACGCTCTGGAGGACTCGGTCGCGGTCAGGAAGACCGGGCGTGGACGTGTCGAGCTCGAGGGCTCCATCTCGGACATCTACTACAAGGTCCGCAAGGAGATCTATGCCCTGCACGCGCTCGTCGCGGCTTGATCTGTGTCGTTATTCTGTTGTATTGTATGGATCCGCCTTCCAAACTGACATCTCTGTGAGTCGGCCTCATGGCAAACTAGTTATATAGCCGGTATAGTACTCTCCAATATTCGCGCGAACGTGCATCTTCCCTATGAGAGTTTATTGTGGTCCGGGAACTTCACAATCTTGCAGTACGTAGGCATTCGGCTCCTTGTCAAACTGAACCTACTTCCCCCGCTAATGCTATGTTGATCACAGGAACGTTGGACACGTGTTCCTGATTCATTAGGCCTCTTTGCGAAGGCTAGATCCGCTCTCCCCCTTGCATGTTTCAACTTGTCAGGTCTGTGTTCACCTGCCATCTTTCGCGGAGAAAGTCGGGTCGCATGAGTAAGGAGCGCAGTCCTTTGGGCGTCTTGTTACGACCCGATGCAGGTACATATTGAGGATTAAGAACGGCCCCTTCCCCACCTGCGAAGCCCTCAACATTAACATGGCTTCGCGCACAACGGACATGCTCACACCTGGCCTGCGATTAATTCTCCGCTTCTTCGTCAACAACCTGATTCCGGTCTCTTCCGTGTGGCTGCTCTCGCGTCTGTTGACTGTGTATAATGAGTCCCTTCACATCTCTAGCGGGCTCGTAGCACTCGCCGCATTCCTGAGCATCCCGACATTATTTGCGTTCCGTATCACCTTCAAGAACCTGCGTACGCGCAGGGCTGCCCAGCGCATGGGCGCGATTCTCCCGCCTCGATGGGACGGGCGCTCCTTGGGGAACTTTGACATACTTCAGCATACCGTCGACCGGTTCCAGAACGGCTACATCGGTAAGTGGGCGCGTGTGGAATGTTTCTTTTGATATATGCTCACAGACCATCAGGTGAAGGCATCTGGGACAAAATCGACGAACTCGGACACCTGCACTCCATCGACATACTATGGAATCGTATGTACGCCACGAACGATGCAGACGTCTTGAAGGTAAGTGCACGGTGACTTTGTATGAGTGGGCAGGTATTGATTGATATGCTTTGTATGTAGACCATACTAGCCACCGATTTCGCCAACTTTGCGAAAGGTGAAGGCTTACGCGAGACGCTAAATTCCGTCCTCGGAACGGGAGTGTTCAACGCTGACGGTTAGTTGCAAAACGTGTTTTCGAGTAGCCTAGTCACTTACAGAATATTTCAGGTGACTTGTGGAAGTGCGTAACCAACTCTTCCAGCGACCCAAGCTCGCGCCTTTGATCGGCATTCCGTATGGCACAGGTTCCACCGCACCATGACTCGGCCCTACTTTTCTCGAGACAGAATATCTCACTTCGAGCTCTTTGATGCGCATGCGAGTAGGTATAATGGCGTACATCGTCAATATGCTAGCTAACCGCAAGCATGCAGCCGTCGCCATCGACAAGATGAAGGAACGCTTCCAGGACGGGCACGCGGTGGACTTCCAGGTGCGCGAGGATGTGTCTGCTCTATTCGACGCACGTTAATCCTCTAACATAGGACTTAATCAACCGCTTCGCTTTGGACAGTGCGACCGAGTTTCTGTTTGGCACCTCCGTCCACAGCCTGAAGAGCGAGCTACCATACGCACACAACGACAGCGTCTACTCTCAATTCGCTCGACCGCACGACTCTGCAGAAAAGTTCTCGCATGCAGTATTCGGTGTGCAGGAGGCCCTGGCTATGCGCCTACGGCTCGGCGGGATATGGCCTCTGCAGGAGATCCGGCGTGATGCGTCGGCGGAACATATGCAGATCATCGATGAGTTCCTGCAACCCATCCTGACCCAGGCCATTGCGAAGAACCGCAACACGGGTGTGTCGAAGGGCGCGGAGAAGCAGGAAGAGGAGCACGAAACTCTCCTGGACCACTTGGTGAAGCTCACGGATGGTAAGTGTCATAATCCTCAGCACCTGTAATGTCTACGACTGAGCACTTTCTTCTGCAGATCCCGTCCTGCTACACGACGAGACTTTGAACATCCTGATCGCTGGTAGAGATACAGTATGTGCCACTTTCATGTTTGATCGAACACGTCATGAACTCACCCTGCTGCACTGTCGTAGACCGCATCTACGCTTAGTTTGGTAGTGTACATGATGTGCCTCTACCCCGACGTTTTCAAACGACTGCGAGCCGAGGTACTTGAAACTCTTGGTTCGAGCCAAACTCCGACCTTCGACGACGTTAGGAAAATGAAGTACCTACGGGCCGTCATTAATGGTACGCAAACTGGTGTACCTTGATATACTCGGGTGCCGCGCTGACAGGAACTTTGCGCAGAAACTTTACGGTTGTACCCGATTGTGTACGTCTCCCTTCTCCACTTCTGAAAATTTTCAATTAATCTTAAACCGATCAGGCCTTTCAACGCTCGGTGAGCGGTCCACGTATCTCTTCAAATTTGCGAGGACTAACTCTGCGCAGTGTCGCTGTCAATGACACCACCCTGCCCAATCCTACCGACCCCACCGGTCCACGCGTATTTGTGCCCGCTAACACGGTGTAAGCTATACCCGCCCACTCATGAAATCATCATGCTCACGGCTCGGTAGTGTGGCGTACTCTGTGCTCTTGATGCAGCGGCGCAAGGACTATTGGGGCCCCGACGGTGCGCTGGTGTGAGCTTTTGTGAACATGAGAGGTGTGCTGACCTCTATTTTGCTCACCAGCTCTGTCTTTCGACCCGGATCGGTGGCTCGACGAGCGGTTGAACAAGTATTTCGCCCGGAACCCGTTCATCTTCATCCCGTTCAACGCGGGCCCTCGGATATGCTTGGGACAGCAGGTGCGCTATCATGCTACGCGTCAGGCTGCATGAAATACTCACCGATACATACGCGTCTCCCCAGTTCGCCTACAACGAGATGTCGTTCTTCCTCATTCGTCTCTTGCAGAATTTCTCGTCCCTGGAAATGGACTTGGCTGCTCAGCCACTAGACTCGCGTGCGCCTCGCGAGTGGGCGAGCGCGGAGGGACAACAAGGGAGGGAGAAGATCATCCCTAAGTGTCTGCTCACGCTGTTCTTGAAAGTGCGTCTGTTCGTCGTTACGGCCTGCTACACATCAGAATAGCTGACCCCTTTCCACTTTGGCAGGGTGGTCTTTGGGTGAGGATGTCCGAGGAGTGAACCCTTTGAAGAGGCCGCGGGTGATGCCCACCTACGCGTTCTAGGCAAGTATTTACGGATCGACATGATGGCGTAATCGCGTCTGTACTATAGGCTTGGTATTGTATAACACCCCCACTCAAGGAACGGATCGACAATGTCAAACACAGCAACATGAGCATCTTCCAGATTCGCAAAGCCACCGGTTTCTCTGACCTCGAGGAAAGCTCATCACGGCCAACGACGTCTCCACCCACACTTTCCAGGTATATATTTCCAGATTGACATGGTGGGGCAGTTGCATCTCTCTTCTCGCTTCTATGCCTCGCTCGATAAATTCACTGTTCCTCTTCTACGCAGCAGACCTAGACTCCATATGAAGATACGTTCTATGTAGATGGAGCTGCGGCGGATGATAGGCACTGCGGAAATTGTCGACGCAGTCGAACAAGACACGGCCCATACGCTCCGCACTGCGCCGCCAGATCGCACGTCACTCGTCAGAAGGATGAACAGCTCGATGATGATGCCCTGGCTGAGCACTGCTGAGCATCAGCGTAGATGGTCAATACCACATGCGTTTGCAGCCATCAAATAGAAGCGAGAGGCACCGGATATGTTGCTCTATTCTCACGACACCGCCGGCGAAGGCGTGCCTTGGAGCTCTTCCTTGCTTCGACGTCGAGTCTGCGTGTATTCCGACTGTGTGTCCGGATATCAGATCTTTAGCAAAGCATCCGGTGCACTCAGGAGACCCCAGACAGGATATACAAACCCTCTCCTCGGCGTACGGCTTCAGTGCGCGGGGCGGTTGGCCAATCCACTTGCGTCATGGACCTCTCATCTGACCACGCGGAGGCCCATTCGTGGCATTCGAGTTCCTCCCAACTCAGCCGCATGCTCATTCGCTGGAATGCTGACGAAGTTTGACTTTGTCTGTTGTGGGACAACGCGTGTTTATTCCCGCACCCCTGGGTTCCTCAGGTTCTACAAAGCTACGCGGCTCTTCCATCACCCCCTCAACCTAAACCCCCTCGACCCCGCACTCCAGCCATGCTGCCTCGCAGGAAAGTCCCCCCAGGTCTGCCAGAGACACTGCGACGCGGAGCTGTCAATTTCAGCCCAGTCGCGGCCGTGCTGCTGCTCGGGCGGTTGCTGCGCGTTATGTTCGACTTCAAATTGCCCGCTATCGTGGTCGCGCTCACGGTGATAGCGAGCGTTCCCGCGTTCTACATGCTGCGCCTAGTGGCGCACAGGAGGCGCGTTCGCCGGGCGGCGAAGCGCGCGGGGGCTGTCCTGCCTCCCGAGTGGAATGGTGAGAAATTTGGCAATAGGGACCTGCTTGTACGTGCTATCGAGCGGTTCCAGAACGGGTATATAGGTAGGTGTTGTGTCTAGAGCTCGTGGCCTCGAATGCTCACACAGTGTGCACTAGGGGACGGTTTCTGGGATAAAATCGACGAGCTTGGCCATTTGCATGCCATCACCATCTACGGGGATACTGCGTACATCACCAATGACGCCAATGTTGTAAAGGTGACGCAGACATGACTGTAGTTATGAGAACAGGCACTGAATGCAGCTGTCAGACCGTCCTTGCGACTGACTTCCAGGATTTCGAGAAGGGTATGACCCCCCATTTGGGTTAATCCGCGGCCGAGTTACTGACCCATAGTGAAGGGGAGGACTTCAGGGACAACATGAACTCTGTTCTGGGAACGGGAGTATTCAATGTCGATGGTAAGTATTGAGCCCGTTGCCCCGACCGCAGATCTGATGAGTTTCGTGCACAGGGGAAATGTGGAAGTGCGTTAGCTTTGGGTCCAAATAGAAACAGAATGATACTCACAGACGCACTTTTCTCAGGTTCCACCGCATGATGACCCGTCCGTACTTCTCCCGGGATCGGATCTCTCATTTCGAGCTGTTCGACCGGCATACAGGTAAGACGTGAACTCCCCAGGAGCTAAGGATAGCGCTTGACGCCGCTCGCTATAGCCCTGGCCATTCAGAAGATCAGAGAACGCTTCAGGGGCGGGCACGCTGTCGATTTCCAGGTGCGTCGACCACACACTTACGAACACATATTTTGACTCACCCCGCGTTACCGCCCATTTTCAGGACGTCATCTCGCGCTTCACGCTCGACAGCGCCACGGAGTTCCTCTTCGGCGCATGCGTAAACAGCCTGCACAGCGACCTCCCGTATGCCTACAACGACGCCGTCGCGCCGCAGTTCGCGCGCGCACCGAACGTCGCGGAGCGCTTCTCCGCGGCGTTCGCGGGCGCGCAGAACGTGATCTCGATGCGCACGCGCGTCGGCTGGTTCTGGCACCTGCAGGAGCTGCTGAACGACCGGTCTGCGGAGCACATGCGCGTCGTCGACGAATTTTTGCAGCCGATCTTGGAGGAGGCGATCGCGAAGAACCGCGCGGCGAAGGCGCAGCTGGAGGCGACGGGGGAGAAGGGGTCGGAGGAGGACGAGACGTTGTTGGACCATCTGGTCAAGCTGACTGATGGTTAGTACATTCGGACTGTTGTTATAAGATGCAGAACTGACACTGACCTGTGTTTGTAGATCCTGTCGTTCTTCACGACGAGACGTTGAACATCCTCATCGCCGGGAGGGATACGGTGCGCATATCGCAGACAGCCCGATTTTTGCGCTGGGCTCACGCGCTATTCCAGACTGCTGCGACGCTGACATTCGTGGTCTATCTGATGAGCCTCTACCCCCACGTCTTCCAGCGCCTGCGGGCAGAAGTGATGGAGAAGGTTGGTCCTTCTCAGATGCCCTCTTTCGACGACGTCCGGAACATGAAGTATTTGAGGGCTGTTATTAACGGTGAGCGACAGTGAGACACCCGTCATAACATTCACTCACAGTGCATGCCAGAAACGCTTCGCTTGTACCCCATCGTGTACGTTGCCCCTATTTGTTGCGTTGTTACGCATAACACTGATGTCCGCGCGCATCATTTAGGCCTTTCAACGTCCGGTAAGCTTGGAAGTTCATGTTGGTAGGACGATTGCTGACCCGTCGCGCAGGGTCGCAACTCGCGATACGACCTTGCCCAACCCGGACCCAAGTGCGCCACGGGTGTTCATCCCTAAAGGAACAGCGTGAGTCTTCAATAGTATCCCATTCAATTTGAAGCGTGCCAAGCTCATGTTTCGTCCCGCTAGTCAAGCGTATTCGGTATTTTTGATGCATCGCCGCAAGGATTACTGGGGTCCCGATGGTGAGTGAGCTGGGAGGACTCGACGAGCGCGTCTCTGACGCTATGATTGCCAAGCCCTCGACTTCGACCCCGACCGGTGGTTGGACGAGCGGCTGAACAAGTACTTCACCGCCAACCCCTTCATCTTTGTGCCCTTCAACGCAGGGCCACGTATCTGCCTGGGACAGCAGGTACGGCGCCCTCACTGTTGCTTAATAAGGGTTCTCCTGACATGGATTCGGTGACACTGCAGTTCGCGTACAACGAGATGTCGTTCTTCCTCATCCGCCTCCTGCAGAACTTCTCACACGTGGAGCTAGACCTGTCCGCCCAACCTCCGGACGCGCGGCCGCCCGCGGAATGGGCGAGCGCCGAGGGTCAGAAGGGCAGAGAGCAAATCATCCCGAAGTGCCATCTTACGCTCTATGTCCTTGTGAGTGCTCTTAGTCGTTGCAGCGTGACCAGGTCTAATGGCTTTTGCAGGGCGGGCTGTGGGTCAAGATGACCGAGGCCGAGCGGGATGCTTGATTGTGACCACGGGCCAACTGGTGCTCGCCAGCCAAGGTGACCGTGCTGTATAAAAGTGTATCATTAGCGATGAATATTAGTCGAATTCCCGTTGCATCGTTGTGGTGGGTGCCGTAAGGCCGGCTGGTTGCCAGCTCAGATCGGGCATCACTGTGTGGCAGATGCATGTCCGTGCACTCCGGCGGGGCTGTGTCGTGAAGCGAAGATATTGCAGGATATTATGCACCATATAATTTATGTTGCGTGTGTGTCAAGATGATATTTTGTGGCCAAGCTTGGGACGTGGAAGACCGAGAGGACGAGTGAGTGAGGAGGGCGGCGGTGCAGGGGGCGGGGGCAGTTACCGGATATGGCGGGCAGCGCCACGTTGCGGAGCTTGAAACGGACAGGCCCTCACACGGAGGCTCGAGCGCGAAACTTGGTGCCGTCCTCTTCCTGTCCATCGCCCTCGCCCACCGTCTCCGCCCCCGTCTCCTCCTCGAGCTCTCCGCCCCGTACATTCGCCAGCCATGGGTCTTTCAGTCTCTCGTCTGCTCTCCGGCCTCTTCGGCAAGAAGGAGATGCGTGAGTATCGTCCATCGATGACAGCGCGACGCTGTAGCTTAATTGGTTTACTGACTCTGCCGGAAATCCACAGGTATATTGATGGTTAGTCCGCCCGCGTCCACAGCGGTCGTCTCAACGCACTGACATCTCGTGAAGGTCGGTCTCGACGCAGCCGGTAAAACCACCATCCTCTACAAGTTGAAGTTGGGCGAGATTGTCACCACCATCCCCACCATTGGTCAGTCGACCGCCGCGCTGCGTACTGAGCGCCCCCTAACGCCGTGCCATCTCAGGTTTCAACGTGGAGACCGTGGAGTACAAGAACATCTCCTTCACCGTCTGGGACGTCGGAGGCCAGGACAAGATCCGTCCCCTCTGGAGGCATTGTGCGTGACCGGCGTCTGACGTGTCCTCCGGTACCGCCTCTGACTCTCGCCTCGCACCACGTAGACTTCCAGAACACGCAGGGCATCATCTTCGTCGTCGACTCCAACGATCGGGAACGTATCTCGGAGGCCCGCGAGGAGCTCCAGCGGATGCTCAACGAGGACGAGCTCCGCGACGCCCTCCTGCTCGTCTTCGCCAACAAGCAGGATCTGCCCAACGCCATGAACGCTGCTGAGATCACCGACAAGCTCGGTCTCCACGGCCTCCGGCAGCGGACGTGGTTCATCCAGGTCAGTGGTGTCGCGTGCCGCACACTATCGGAGACTAACTCGTTCTTCAGGCGGCGTGCGCGACTAGCGGAGATGGTCTGTACGAGGGTCTTGAGTGGCTGAGCGCCAACATCAAGCGACGGGTGTAAACCAATATCCCCCCTTCACGTCGCTCATGGGTCCTTCTTCAACGTCGCGTAACGTTCACGTTTCATGACCTTACGATATCGAAGAGGGTTTCTCTGGTTACCTCGTTTTCTGCTCAGCTGTCCGCGCAAGTAGTCCGTTCCGCCTTCTCGTCCCGATTCCTGCCTTTTTGTGCCATATAACATAACTCGGAGTTCCTTTTCCTTTCTCTTATCGTACGTCTTTTGTACGGGTGCCCTCCGGCGGCCTTCAAAATGCTCTCGTGCCCTAGAGAAAGCATATACACTGGTATAATTTACGTTCGTGAAGGGTATGCACTCCTGCTGTGGCGATACAAAGTGTCCGGACTGCTAGCGATTCTCGCCGGGGAAGACCCGCCCAACCGCCTCCGCCTCTTTCCTCCGCTTCTCGCCCCTCTCCCTGGACGGCGCGTCGCGGCACTCCTGCCCATATCTGCCCAGCTTCTCGAGCAGCGCCTGTAGCCGCTTGGGCTTTACCGCGGCGTATGACGTCTGGCGGATCGATGCGACGAGGAACGCATTCACTGCATCAGACATGACCACGGACGCAGTCTGGGCAGGGCACGACGATCCCCTCAATCAGTATAATCACGGTGAGAACACCGGAGGAGGGACGTACCGAGCGCAACTCGGTGAAGGCGGCGCTGTGGGAGTGCCCACTGCGTTTGAGCTCCTCGTCGAGGAAGTCGACGTCCATAAGCAAGTTCGCGACCGCGTTCTCGTTCATCATGGGGATGTCCCGCCCTGTCAGGAAGTCCTGCAGCCACATCGCAGTAAGCACTCTCACGTCTCACAGCCCCTCTCAAAGCCTAAATCGTAGACCCTATCGCGGACTCACCATGAAGCAGCTGGCGATGTAGTTGACGGCGCCGCGGCACGCCTCCTCCTTGTGCGCGTCCTTGAGTGCGAGCGAGTCGACGACGGTCGTGAGCCAATTCACGAGCTCGTAGAGGTACATGCTCGGCGCGTCCTCGCGCGCCTTCGGCGTCCAGTCGTACTCGGACAGCCCGAAGAAGTCGTCGAGCTTCGAGCTCATCGCCTCCGTCACGCGCGCGAGCGCCTTGTCGAGCGTCGCGGCGAAGGACGCCGCGGCTTTCACGCGGATTGTGCCGCCACGCTGCGAGGAGCTGTGTTGTGCGTCAGCTCGGTAGGTAAAGGACATGTCGAGCGGAGGCGGGAGCGACGTACCGGATGTTAGTGAGGGACCGCTCGAGCTCAGAGCACGCGATCTCGAAGTGTTCAAGATTCGAGATGATCTGAGCAAGCTGCGAAAGGTTGTTCGTGCTCTGGGAGCGCTTCGCCACAGACTCGCTGATGTACGTCGTGAGTATCGTGTCAAGGGACTGAGGGTGAGCGCGTTAGGTGATCATTATCATAAGACACTGGAACGAGTGGGCGTACTCTGCTGAGCAGGTCGTCAATGTTGCGATGGTGCTGCGAGACGCCCTCGATGAACTGGTAGAAGTTCTGCACGAAGCTGCGTATCTGAGGCAGATAGATGAGCGACGCGCACGTTCAACGATAGAGGGTCACTTACATCTTGGCATGATAGGTAGAACCCCTGTGACCACGGCAGATTCATTGGTGCAGAGCTCCTGGGAGGTTAATCAGCCTGACTGCCCCGTATAAACGAAGCCGTGACCACGTACTGTTCGAGCTGCTCCCGTTGTTCTCGCGTGAGCCAAACGGTCTCGAGCACATCGTCCTTCTCGGATGCCTTCTCCACATACATAGGCTGGAAGTCGTCTTGCAACACGATCTACGCTTGACGTTAGTGGGCAACGAGAACCCCGAATGTCTCTACGTACACTTTCAAAGCGCTTTCCGAACTTGGTCTCGAGGATACTGACATACTTCTCAAAGAGCCGCAGAATAACTGAGTGTATGCTTCCAGTTGAGTACGAATAGGCCTGAACAGTATGTCAGTCCTTCCCCCTGTAGAGGACTTCATGAGCGCTGCTTACTTCCAGGGTCATCACGGAACCAAGCAAAGCCTCCTTGACTTTCAGGTATGTATCCGGGTCCTTCTCGTTCCTCAGCGCATCCTCGACTGCATTGCTTAGCCGGCTGATGAGAGCATCCCACAGGTCTTCAACCTCTCGCTCTGACCGGAAGCTACCGGTAGTGTTTAGGACGTGGTTCTCGACAATGAAATACCCCACGATTTCCTGTGTTATAGATGCCAACGAAGGAATGGGCAGGGGCTCGGGTATAATGAGGTCAGATTGCGCCTGTTGTATCGTTTCAATATCCGGCTGCTACATGCGCAAGAAGACGGCAGACCTTTCGGTCGGCTTGGTATGACCTCCGAATCTCATCCAAGGAGTCGAGGGCGGTGTATATATGGATACATTCATACAGTGGCTTGAAGTCGACCTTCAGTTGCTCGTTGTCCAGAACGTTGTCTGCGATGCCTCACGGTCAGCAGCATTGAGGAAATGACTAAACCCCACGCATACATTCAGTCTTCTCATATGTGATTGCTTCGACTGCGCTGCCCACACGGCTTGTCTTGAGCATAGGGTCCTTGTCTCGACGACTTCGCCATCGTCGTGTGCGCATGTCCATAGCGTCCAGGGCCAGCTGACCTATCTGTGCACTGACGTTCCTGATGTCTAGGAGCCATTGCTTCATAGACGCAGTAACCGCATCCTTGATTTGGCCTCTCAGTGAAGGAAGGGACGAAAGCAAGTGCTGGAACAACGGTGTTGTTGACAGAGATGTTGGAGGCATGCTCTCAATGTCTTCAAGAGACTGCAAACGGAATGCATTCAACGCTATAGAGTTGCACGGTACCGACACAAGGTGAAGTACGGACCCGCAGCGCACTCCAGTACTTCCCCTCCTTGACCATCTCGCCCACCCTGTTCACGACGTCCAGCACGCGCAGGCATGCCTGAAGGCCGTCGATGGCTTCGTCCAAGTTGGCTGCGGTCTTCTTCGTCTGAAGCAGCGCCTTCTTCTTCTCAACGAGGCTCTTGCCGACCTGCGAAACACTAGAGTCCAGAGTGGTGATCTTCTCGCGTAGGTTCGTAGTGTATGACTTGATGGAGAACAATGTTGAAACGGAGCTGATGAATTCCTGGTAGTTGTCGCCGCATATTGACTCTATCTCGGTGTCCTTGGACTCAATCAAGGCCTGTAACGTGCGGAGGTATACGTCCTGCTGGCGATTTGCATGAATCTGCTTGATAATGGGGCCAAGCTGCTCGAGGTTCTCAGAGGAAGACGCCTGGTCAAGGAGGTGAATCTGTTGCAACTGCTGGTCGATGCTTTCTTGCGTGAACTGCGGTCGCCTTCGAGGGGGCATAGTGAAGTTCTACGACCACGGAGACCTGTGTTTCAACTGCAGATGCACTGAGGTGGTGACGAGCAGCAGAGGAGTATGATTATGTGGAGGCGATCGCAGAGTAGTGTGGCTGTTAAGGGCAAGTCTCGAGATGAGCGAGTCCGGGATGCGTACGTCCCGATTTGGAGGCGGTGTTTGGCAACACCCTCTGATCCAAACAACCTGAGCCTCTTCACTCCGCTCCACCACAATTCTATACACCACCATGCCTAGCGCATAAGTATCATGCACGCAGGGGAAATCCTGTAACATCAACTCTCGTGCATGCCGTGCCAGGACAGTCGGCAGCGGAAAGATGTGCGCTCGGAGGCCTAGGTGGTGGCGGACCGACATCCCGCCCCTCGAGTCACCCGGCGCGAAATGGCCGAACGGAATGTTATCCGGAATTTCGCCGGACGCTCAAGGTCATAGACACTTCCGCTGACCACCACATCCCACACCCCTGCAATGCCGACAGTTACGCTGCATTTCGATGCCATGTAAGCTCTTCGCCGATATGTTCACCGCAATACGCTGAAAAGAACTTGCGTGCGTTCACAGCCTCTTCGATATGGATGGCACCCTGGTCGATTCAACCGATGGTGTCGTTGGCGCCTGGGAGCTCTTCGCAGAGAAGTACCCCGGGTTGAATGTTACTGAGATCTTGAGTTGTGAGTTCCATTGCAAGTGATAAGTGATTCTGGATACTTACTCACAGTTATGCTTTTACAGCGGCCCATGGCGTACGGACCGTAGAGAACCTCAGATTGCACTGTGGCATCACTGATGCCGCCGAACTTGAGGTGAGCTCCTCGGCCGCGAGGACAGAGACACAACTGAGTGCTCGTCCAGCGTGAAGCGAACCGTTTCGAGGACGCCATCGTCGTTGAGTCGAAGAAGAACGGCCGCCAAGGCATCGTTGCACTCCCCGGAGTCAAAGATATTTTGAACTCGGTTAGCACTCCCACTGGCCGTCAAATCGACGGACGATTCTTAAATTACCTCCACGTAGATCGGGCCCCACCATCATTTGCCCAAGCCCAAATGGGCCATCTGCACCTCTGCCACCAAGAACTACGCGAGTGCAGCACTGAAAGCTGCCGGGCTCCCTGTGCCCGATGTTTTCGTAGTGTCAGAAGATGTACAGAAGGGGAAGCCTGAGTGCGTTCGCCAAGTCGCTTATTATCTTCGTCGTCTCATATTTTTCCAGACCTGATCCCTACCTGTTGGGTGCTGAGCGTGCCGGCGTCGACCCCGCGCGGTGCCTGGTTGTCGAGGATGCGCCTGCAGGTGTCCGCAGCGGACGGGCTGCTGGGTGCAAGACCCTGGGGTTGGTCACTTCGCACACCCGCGAACAAATCGATGAGGCGAAGCCGGATTACGTCGTCCCGAATCTCGCTAGGTACGTGCATGACGCGCCCTCCTGCGTCCTTAGGTACTCATTACCCAATTGTAGCGTCACGATGAAGGCTGTCGAGACCGGCGTAGAGGTGACGATCACGACCGACTGATTTGCTCGCGGCTAGCCATCCACACGACATAGACGAATGCCCACACTGACAACGTTCAGAGGGGTATACATCATAGAGGAACCATGCGGCGTTACGATATCTTAGTGTACAGGTCTACTGGTCGTCGAAATCCTGTAGAAGATCATCACAGCGACTGTTAGAGAGGAACCCAAATCGCATATCATCAAATGCATAGCTTACCACCTTCACCGGCCGATCCTAGATGTTCAGCTGGTCCAAACCCGATGTCCTGCAGCAGCCGCTCGAAGTCCTCTGGACGCAACTTTAGACTCTTCGCATTCTCTTTGAGTTTCTGTCGTGATGTAAGGATACGAGTGTCCGCAACGGCTGTCAAAGACACCTACAGGGTCCATGCGCCTCGCCTTGCCGTACGTGTCCCATTCCTGGGGCTCTAACACGAACACGCCTCCTGGCGAGAGCACTTGGTGAACGCGCCGGAAGAACTCGAGGAGCCCCTCGTCTCCACAGTTTAAGTGAATCCATTTAGATATCGAGAACCTAAATGTCCGCGTTAGATAAATGCCAGCATGCGAGGCAGATAACTTGGAGACTTACGCGATGACTACGTCGTAGCCCTCTGCATCATCCGGTATTCCGCTGTTGACCCAGTCCGCCGCTCTGAACGCCACGTTGTGTGGGAAGACGTCCGCCGCCTTCTCGTGTGGCGCCGCTGCGGGGATGGGCAGCGCCCCGAACATATGCTCGCAGGACGCGGGGAAGTAATCAGGAGCCCCTTGCGAGGCAATCGTGAAGCCCGCCTCGTCTTCCGACTGGGACAGTCGCCGCCGCTTCCTCCCACCGTGAGTAGTATCGTCCGATGATGGTGTTTCGAGTGAGTCTGCGCCGGGGCCCTGCTGGCTCCAGACGGACCGCCGGTGCTTCCATGCCGCTCGGACGAGTGTGTCGTCGATATCGACGCCCACCACCCGTTTCGCGTCTAGCGTCTGTGCTTGCATATGAGACAGGTTGAGCATCGTATGAGGTACGAGGTGGGTGTGAATAGCTTACCGATCTCGCAGGTCACCCAGCCTTCGTTGCAGCCGACGTCCAGAACTCGCTGTCCGCGAAAGAGGGCGGCCGGAAGCAACTCCAACCTAGGATCCTGTGTGGACGGTCGTTTATTGTAGTACCTGTCAATGCATGCTGTGTCAATTCACGACAACCCTACACCAGCCTAGTGGGACGAACTTACCCATGGTAGTTTCCGTACACCGGTGTGGCCAATTTGTTGGCCATGATCGACTAGAGGCGCACCTCTCTTAAAGAAGTGCTCACCTGGTGGTGGTATGCGGGCACCTTCTAACTTACTCCAGACACGGCTTGAACATATTTAGCTGCAGAGCCTCGACTGCTCGGGCGTCTACATGACTTGCTTGTCGCCGATCATGTACTACTTACCGTCTATTCCTTGCTATCACCATCCACCTTCGCGGCGACCTTCACGAAAACATACTACGCTTGTTTCCGCTTGTAGTGCAAGTCGCCGTCGCGCATGGACACGCAACGCGTCGCCGTAGTGCCGCCGGCACCGGGTGACAACTCCGAGCACACGAGGATCGACTTGGACGTGAATGAACAGTACGTTTCCCTCTTGATCGTTTACACGCGCGCAGCCGTTCACGTACGCGTCGAAGAGCGAAGCTTCAAATAGCAACAGAGGTTCTCTCACACGAGGCAGAGTCCTTGCGACTCCGAAGCCTTCTCAACTCGCACGCGCCCATCAACCGCTTCCCCCCGGAGATCCTTTCACTCATCTTCGTCCACTACGCCATCATCTTCCAGCGAAAACAGTTCGCCGGATTCTCGCTCAGCGCCTACCACGAACCCGAGAAGTCCGCGCACAAGCAGATCTACACATGGCTCAGAGTGGCGCGGGTGTGTCGGCACTGGCGCGAGGTCGCGCTGCAGTGCGCCTCCCTCTGGAACTTCCTCGTGATCGACGAGCGTGTGCCGGGAGACATTCTGCGGACGTTTCTCGCGCGCGCGCAGGAGATGCCTCTCACTATCATCGCGCATGCGGTACACCAGGACTGGCACTGTGGCATGTGCGTGAGCGCCGAAGACGCTACCGCCAATCTCGACGCGGGAGTCACAGTGCTAGACAAAACCGTGGAGCGGGCCACGAAGCTCAACCTCTACCTGTGGAACGTCGAATATGACACGTTCTGGGACTGCCTAATGGGGCGCGCAAGCAAGCTCACGTCCCTGCACATCGAGGCGGCGGGACACGACAGATACGATGACTACCGGCGCGCGCGCGATCCAACCGTGGTCGTCCCAAATGCCCTCTTCAAGCAGCACCCGCCGCCCCTGCACTACCTCTCCTTTACCGGGGTCGGGTTGGAGTGGTCCAACGTGCTATTCTACGCGTCCGTACGCAGGCTCGACATAGTCGCCTGTGTTATGAACAACGACGTAGGCACAGCGGCAGACTTAGGGGATCTGCTCGGTGCCCTCCGTGGTATGCCCAATCTCGAAGCGTTCTCGATCGACTCTATTTCCCTTCCAGACTCGGAAATCGCGCAATACGATCTAGTCGACCTCCCGTGTCTCCAACGGTTGCGCGTACCAATCGCGCAGAAGAACACCTTGAACCTAGTGCTGCATCTTCGCTTACCGCACGACGCAATCATCTATTTCACGAGGAAGCCAGGCGAAAAGTACAGCGCCGAACTCCTGACCCAGTATACCGAAGGGGCGCCACACCTCCTGGGCAGTTTACAGGCCTACGCATTAGCGTCCTACGATGATTTCCAAGCCGAATATTGTCAGCTCTGGGCCAAGGCTCCGCAGACACCCACACCTTCGGCCACTTCCGTGAACTCTGCCGAGGACACCGACGAGGACCCCGCTTGGGAGGCAATTGCAGCAACGCAGCCCCGGTTCCGCTTCGACTGCTCTCTCTCGAGCGGCTTGATCCAGGCCCTCCTCGCCGGCCTCGACACGCAGCATCTCCGCATGCTCTCCGCCGCCCCCAAGTACGACCGTGGATGGGTGGACGCCTTCGCGCCCGCAACGCACGTCCGCACGCTGCGCATCCAGGGCACCAGCGCACAAGGCCTCGGCGCGGTCCTCGCGCGCTGGAGCCGCCCCGCGCACATGAACCAGGGCGTCGACGAGGACGGGCACCCGATCCACCCGCCCGACTACGTCGGCTTCGGCGAGCTGCTCGACGACGGCGCCGGCCCTGCGCAGGACGGGTACGCGCCCGGCCCTCTGCCGTTTCCCCGCCTGCGCACGCTGCGCATCGCCGCAGTCGACTTTCCGCTGGACAAGGCGTCGCGCGACCGCGGGGCGCCGCAGCTGTATGGCGGGAGCCGCATGCACTTCTGGCGCGAGGAGGACGTACCGTATGGGCTGGACGTCGCGGGGCTCGTGAAGGGCGTGCGCGTGCGCACGGAGCGCGGCGCGGCAAGGGTCGCGCGGGTCGAGTTCGAGGGGTGCCAGTGCTGGGAGCGGCTAAGGCTGGCGCCGCTCGTGGGCGCGGCGGACGAGGTGTGGTGGGACGGGAAGCGGCTGGCGTGGAACGACCTCGGTGAGCAGGGGCCGGTTACGATGATCAAGGAGCCCTGGAGGGTGGCCGCGGAGCGCGGTCCCAGCCCGTGGGGCGGCGAGTCCTGGGACTAAGTCGCGTGGAAGCGCTCTAATTGTCAAACCTCAGTCAGTTCTCCGCTCTCACCTTCCTTCCACCTTCCTCTAGTGCACGGATCTATCTGTCAGAAAGCAACTTCGTTGGGATAAAGTCGTACTTGATCTACACACCTCTACGGCTCACTCGTACTATCTGCATCTCACGTCCGACGTGGGGTTTGCATCTTTGCTCGATATCATACTAATCATCACTGTTACATACTGTATGGATACACCTATAGTTGCTTCTCCTAGTGCCCTTTTCCTTCACACACACCTACACAACTCACGCACGCGCAGGCACCGGCAGCGTACGCTCCTCCTTCGCGCTCTTGTACGCGAGCTCGATGAGCTCGATCACCGCCGCCGACTGCTCCCACTTGACCGCCTGCTCCGCGCCGTCGCGGATCACCGCCGCGACGTTCTCGTACAGCCCGACGTACGCGCCGCGCTCCGTCGACGGCCACACCGAGCGCACGACCTCCCCGTTCGGGCCCAGGTTCTCGACGGTGCCCCAGATGTCCTCGGGCTCGACGCCGTAGTCGGCCGTCGCGCCGATCGCAGCGGGGCTGGGGATCACCTTCAGCTGGTCCTCCTGCACGTCGACGCCGCCCTTGAGGAACGTCCCGCGCGTGCCGCGCACGACGTAGCGCACTTGCGGCGTGCGCACGGAGAGGATGTGGCCGCGGAGGATGACCTTGAGCGACTGCGGCTGCACGCCGGACGCGGCCTTCTGGCCCGGGTAGTGCAGGAAGATCGTGAACTGTGCGATGCAGAAGGTCAGCGATGTGAGCTATAGGGGATGGAGGAGGGGGGACTGACGCAGTCGTCGACCTCCTTGCTGCCGAGGCCGCGGATGTTCTCGACGAACGCGGTGATCTTCTGGGGGCGGCCGAAGAGCACGAGCGCCTGGTCCATGGTGTGTGCTGCGAGGTCGTAGGTCAGGCCGCTTGCCGGGAGGGCCTGGTCCTTCCAGGAACCCTTGAGCTCAGCGCGGTAGCGGTCAAACCTTGATATACTGACGTCAGCGAGGTTCAATCAAATTCAAGAGTAAAAAGACGCACCTCGACTCAAACTCGAAGAGGGTACCGAGCGACTTGGGGTCATCCGCGGGGAGATCGAGGAGCTTGCGGAGGGTGAGGAAGTCGGAGTCCCAGCGGCGGTTCTGGAAGGGGTAAAGGACGAGGTTCTTGGACTTTGCGAGTGCGCCTAGCTCCTCCGCCTGGTGGAAGTACGCGGTGACAGGCTTGTCGACCAGAACTGTACGCCAGAGCTTCGTCAGTGAATGTGTGCAATAATAGATGCAGTGAACATACCATGCTTTCCGGCTTGCAGAGCCTTCTTCGCGAGCTCGTAGTGAGTCTCGCTAGGGGTACTGATGACTACTAGCTCAACCTCAGGGTCGGCCAGGACAGCATCGATGTCGCGGTGGATGATGACACCCTTGGCTGCCTCTTCACCGAACCGCGCCTGCAGCTTTCCGCCGGGCCCCTGGGGGTTACGCTCCATGACTGCATGGAGCTTGAAGAGAGCCGGGCGGGCGAGGACGAAGGGTACATGGAAGGTGAGGCCTCCGAGGCCAACGCCGAGAACACAAGTCTTGATGGGTGCCATGGGGGTAATATGGGGAGACGGGGAAGAGAGAGAATTGAGTTATGGGGAAGAGCTGGGGCGGGTTGATATACTGTCGATTGTGACGGCGGTCGGACCGAACAAACGTGACCCTGTGGTCATCTTCAGCGGGGGCCTGCAGCGTTTATAAGCCTACCCAGCTCTCTGGCAACGCCGATGCGGGGATTGGGAAGTTGCGCAAGGCCGCCGGCGAGCATTTGTACGATCTAGCCGAGTCAACGAATTCGCGGACAAACATCCACGCGTTATCGCATAAACTCGCCCCCTCCGCTTTAGGCAGGTCACCTGCCATACCTGGATCGAGCCGCGATGAAATCCGGGGAGGCGTGCCCGCCAATATTCTCCAGCGCCGTGCCCTCCGCACCTTCTCCTCCTTCCAGGCTTCGTTCATCTCCTGCTCGACGATGCTCCTCGCCGGCGCCCTCGCGCTCTCTTGGCTTGTTTCTCAGTCTGTCTTGGCGCAGCTTTCTCTACCCGAGCCTCCGTACACGCCACCTGACGCGTCTCTGGGTACAGAGGCTTCCAACGGCTCTACATCTAATACCCAATGGTCTAATCTGCTCAGCAACCTACTGTACTTCTACGACGAACAAAGGAGCGGGAAATTACCCTCCAACGAACGCGTCTCATGGCGCAACGACAGCGCGCTCGACGACGGTTCTGACGTGAACCTCGATTTGTCGGGCGGATACTATGACGCTGGAGGTACGCTGAGACGAGCTTAAAATCCTCTGTACGTGTCTGACTTTCGCAGACTATGTCAAGTATACCTTCCCTCTGTCATTCAGCCTGATGTCCATCTGCTGGGGAGCTCTGGACGCTGGCCAAGGTCCGTTACATGTCTCGCATCGTGACTGAACTCCAATTCATATGCGGCGCACAGGCTACGAACTCGCCAACCAAACTGCCTACCTCGACGACATGCTCCGCTGGGGGCTTGACTGGATGATCAAGGTAAGCCTGAGCGCGTTTTTTTCCTAGGGTTCTGTGAGTAAAGCCCGACTAAGTTGCATTGTGACACCGCGGGCATATCCACATATTTTCTGATGAATCATTTCGATAACACGCTGATGACTGAAACAATGTCACCACGTTGTTTCGCCATGCGCCATGCTCCGAACATACAAAGAATATTGTGTACTGTGTGAAACATTGTGAATACATGCTCGGGACATTGGGAACACCACATGTCTTCAGCATGTGTTCACGATGGTCCGGCTACATACACACAAAGCTCATTAAAACAGTTCTCGCGATGATTTCAGTATGTTGTGGAAAAGAGCATGGTTACTTGCTCGCGGTGTGAGGAAGGCGTGTTAATAACAGTGTTATTAGCATGGGCCTCGGGAAGGGGCGATTTTGGCATGTGTAAAAGTGTGATTAATCGGAGGATTGGCAGGCTCTGGGAGAACCCCTTCTCGACGTCGAGTGCGTCGCAGGTTCGGGCCCGCGCGGCAGGCAACGTTGTAGAGTACAGAGCGGGGTGTGCATATGCCAGCGCACGCCGCTCTGGCTCTCGAGGATCCGGAACGGCGACGGGCGCCTTGCCCTTCATATTAGAAACACCGTTAAGGCTTTATTCACGTGTTATGAACACTTTGTCACAAAATGTTAATAACATGTTAATAAACGAGCTATCTAGCAGCACGAGATGAGAGTGGGTGCGAATGAGCCAGGACAGCAGGGAGACACGAAGATACGCTTACCGAGCAGCGCGAGATGAGAGTGAGTGCAAAGGAGCGAAACCCTCTACTTACACTCGGCCGCTCGAAAGGAGTTCCCTGCTGCCATTAGTGATTTATCCGCGCCCAGGAGTGCGCGGAGTGGCGGATGCTCCTGAGGAGCGCGCCGCTATAGTACGACGCCCGATCTGAGCGGGCGCTGGCTTGCGCCTTACAGGGCGCGCGACACGTGCTGTGCCGGTATTCGACTCGTGTAATTGTCTTAAACCCGATAAAAAGTCCTCCGATGGCCCAATGTTAGTAACATTTGTGAGAAAGGGTCCCGGGACTTTCTCACAGAACCCTAGTCTTTTCGACCGTCCTGCAGTCAATGACGTCAAACGCAATTTAGGCGCATCCTTCGGCTAACACGCTCTACGTGCAAGTCGGCGATGGCAACTTGGATAATGCATACTGGGGAGGCGATAGGGACATACCTGGACCCCGCCCGTCCTATCAGATCAACGATACCAGGTTCGCTCGCTCAGTCAGCCCTTGGCATTCGTGTTTGGTTCCTGACCTGCTCTTCTAGCCCCGGGACGGACGCCGCCGCCCAGGCGTCGGCAGCTTTTGCGGCGTGTTCCGCGTTGTATTCGAACCGCACGCTATCCACATCGACATCTACCACGGCCCTCGGGAATAGCAGCTATGCATCGACGTTACAAAGCCATGCCCGTGCACTCTACGACTTCGCGACAAATGCCACGGGGGGTATGCAGACATACCAGACTGCCGTTCCTCAATCAGGCGACGCCTACGCGTCCTCCGCGTATTCAGACGAACTTGCTATCGCGGCGTTATTCCTTGCGCTCACAGAGACATCGAACGCCACGGCCTACTATGCAGACGCGGTGAAGTGGTATTACTCGGACAACCTAGGTTCTCAACTCAAGGCGGGCGACGAAACTGTCTTCAACTGGGACGCGAAGACACCCGGAATAGCGGTTCTGGGCGCCCAAGTGGCGTCTTCCTATCCCGACGTAGTCTCGGGAAGTAATGCTACATTGTCTGTGTGGCAGAGCGCGGTCGAAGGCTACTTCGGAGCCATCGTGAACGACACCGGCAGATCGCACCTCACCGACGGTCAGTCTTCACCTGTCAACCACTCTCCACCTCCTGACCCACATCTTCTACCCCGCAGGCGGCCTACTCCTTTTCCCCGGCGACTCCGACGAGGCCTCGCTCAACCCGGCACTCAACGTCGCGATGCTCATGATGCGCTACGCGCTCGCGAACCTCACCACCAGCCCCACCGTGAACGACAGATACACCGCCTTTGCACAAGGCCAGCTCAACTACGCGCTCGGCAAGAACCCCATGTCCGTCCCCTACGTCGTCGGCACGCACCCCAACTCGCCCGCGAACCCGCACTCCGCGATCTCCACCGGGTACGCCCCAGCGGGCGCGAACGCCTCCCTCTCCGCCCCAGACGACCTCGACACCACCCCGGCGCAGGAGGCGTACGTGCTCTACGGCGGGCTCGTCGGCGGACCGGACGCACAGGACCGATTCTGGGACCTGCGCAGCGACTGGGTGCAGAACGAGGTCGCGCTCGACTACAGCGCGCCGCTGCTCACGCTCGCGGCGCAGGCGCTCGTGCGCGGGGTGGGCGACCCGTATTACACGCAGGTGGAGGCGGGGGCGTATGCGGCGGTGCGGCCGGGGGGGACGCCGTGCGATGCGGCGATCAGGACGGGGTGCAGCACGAAGGGCGGGCTGAGCAAGGGGGGCAAGATCGCGATTGCGGTCGTGGTCACTGTCGTGGGCCTGATCATCGTCGGGCTCGGGGCGTACTGGATCTGGCGGGCGAGGGGGAACGGAAGATACTGAAGCTTGGACTTTTAACTCGAAGGGAGCCTGCGAAGAGAGACGCTGAAATGATAGTTGCTTGTAGTTCATCTTGTTGTGCGGTCGATACATTATCCTACTACTATACTCCCAGATCTACGTATATCATAGCTAACTACTAGTGATCTGTCGACAATGTGATGCGCGTTCGTGACGATTAAACCAAAATGACACGCCCGAAGCATCTAGTACACCTCCAGCACATACCGCTCCTCCTCCTTCAGCCCCTCCAAGAACGCCCCCGCCTCCTCCCGCCCCACCCCCGCATGCCCCACCAACGAGTCCACGAGCGCCTCATACACGTCCGGCACCGGCCACGTCGGCCCACACAGGTAGAACACGGCCTGCTCGTCCCAGAGCATGCGCGCGAGGTCGGGCCCGTGCTCGCGCATGCGGTGCTGGATGTACACCTTGCGCGGGCCGTCGCGCGAGAACGCGAGCCCGGCGCGCGCGATGGTCCCGTCCGCGATGAACGCCTCGATCTCCTCGCCGTAGAGGTACTCCTGCGAGGCGTGGCGCGCGCCGAAGTAGTAGTACGTCGGCCCGACGGGGATGCCCTGCGCGGCGAGGTGCGCGCGGTGCTGCAGGAAGGCGCGGAAGGGCGCGGCGCCGGTGCCGAGCCCGGCCATGATGATGGGTTGGGTGTTGCTCGGGGGCAGCTGTGGCAGTAAGGCAGGGTGAGAAGAGTTGCATAGGAATAGGAAGGTGGCGCAGGAAACTGACCTTCATGACACTGGGCTTGATGGAGACCGTGACCTTCTGGCCTACCTTGAGACCGGAGAGGTAGCGCGTGCACTGGCCGTAGCGGGGAGAGCCTGACGAAAATATGAATACGTGCGCATGTGTAGGATGAAGAAGGCGGCTTACCACTGGGAGTGACCCAATCGACACTCACGACGAGCAGGTCAACGCGGTCGCCGACAACGGATTGCGAGCTCGCAATACTGTAATGGCGGGGCTTGACGTCTCCGATGAGCTCGCAGAGCACCTCAATGCCCGGACGCGCGCTACCATAACGGAGCAAGATATCCGCAAACGTGACGGTGTCCTTCTCAGACAGCTTCTTGAACGTCGCGACGCCCTCGGGGCTGCCGATGAAGCGCAGCGCATACTGGTCTGCCATGTCCGTTGCATACTCCGCCAGCTCCGTATAAAACGTCTTCGTCGGCTTCCCAAACAGATCCACCTGCTGCTGCAGCGCCTGGAACACCGTGCGCGTATGCACGCGCGCGCCATCCGTCCCCGGCACAGGCAGCGTCACCAGCCTATCCGGGTCGACCCCATACCACGCGCAGAACGCCGCGACCTCCCCTGCGTCGTTCCACCCGTGCACCCCAAGCGCCTCCCCGATCTCGTACCGCAGGCCCGTCCCGCGCGTGTCGAACTCGAGGTGGAAGACGTTGCGGTCGTACTCGAGCGGCGTCAGCCGCCGGTTCACCGTCGTCGTGATCAGGAACGTGCGCTCGGGCAGCTCCGGGCGCAGCGCGGGGTTCTGCTCCGAGGGGGAGGCGGAGGCGAGCCCGGGAGGGGTAAAGGCGGAGGGGAAGAGGATGTGCTTCGCGGCGTCGTGCCACGAGCCGAGACGCGCGCCGTTTACGACGGTGTCGCCCGCGGCGGTCTCGACGGCGATCGCGTTGAACTCGAAGCGCTTGAGGGGGGTGGAGGCGGGCTGGTCTGTGGGGGGCGCGGAGAGGTCGATCTCGACGAGGCTGGTCCATGAGCGGTGGACGAGCGCGGTGAGGTCTACGCCTTGGATGCTGTCGCCCAGGTCTGCGCGTGCGACCTTTGCGACGAGGTCCTCGGTTGCGGCCTGACCGAGGTATAGTCGGAGGAACGCGAGGAGCACGACGACGTTCTCCAGTACCTTGAGGACGTGAGCGTTTCCTTTGGCAAGCTCGGAAACGACGTTTCGTGCATCCAAGGTGCACAGATGGAGATTGCGCTCGCGGATGAGCTCGGTGACCTCAGCAGGCAGACTTGCGGCCAGCTCGGCGGCCTTTGCGTCTGTCACCACCAGTACCGGCTTGCCAGGAGCGGCATGGCTGAGCACGTCGTGGGACTTCAGCAACACCGGGTCAAGGATGGCGACGAAATCCGCTACACCATCACTGCGAAGTGAGATGGGCAGGACCGCAGAGAGCGGTACAAATGGCGCGTCGTTCTGCTTAGACGACAGAACGATGCGGTCCGCGGTGACGCCTCCGGGCTTCGACAGCACGTCGTAGTCCGTGAGCAGGCGCGATGAGAGCGCCTTGTGCGGGAGGAAGACAGTTTCCACCATACGCGGAAGCGCGGACAGCGCGCCCTCGGGCGTGCTAAAGAAGAGTAGCTTCTTGAGGTCCGGTGCCGCCAGAGAGGGTATAGGAACCGGCGAAGGCAGCAAGTCGGTGACGAACGTGAGGAAGGACGTCGGGTTGGTCAGGAACTCCTGCGTGCGCGCGGGCACGACGCGGTGCGCCTTCACAACGGGGCCGCGCTCGAGCGGGTTCAGAAGCGCCGCGAACACATCGAGGTAGAGCGCACCCTGCGTCGTCTCGGTCGGCACCTCGTCGAAGACGTGCACCTTCTTCACGGACGCGGGGAGCACGGCGCGGAGCGCCTGCTCGTCCCATGGACGCAGGACGCGCACGATCACGACGCCGAGGCCAGAGACACGGCTTGCGAGTGCCTTCGCGGTGAGCGCGAGCGGGCCGTTGAGCAGCACGACGACCGTCTGCGCATCCTGGTCTCCAGCGTACTCGAACGCGCTGATCCCCGCCTTCTTCAGGCCCTCCTCCAGCGACAGCCCGGGTTCCGGGAGGACGATGGGGGGCGTCGCGACGTGCCCGGTCTCGCGCGCGGAGCCGTGGTGGTCGAAGAGGTGGATGACATGGGTGTCCGTCAGCTGGTACGAGAGCGCGGCGAGGTCGACCGCCTCCTGCGGCGTCGCGGAGAGCAGCACGGTGAAGCCCTCGGGGAGGAGCGCGAGCGCGGGGGTGAACGGGGCGAGCGTGGGAGAGAGCGCGAACTGCTCGCCCACGGGCCTCACGGTGGGCACCTGGATAACGAGGCGGCTCGTCGGGGTCGCGGGGGGCAGGTAGGTGAGGGACTGGACCATCGCGGCCAGCCCAGAGGGGGTGGTGTAAGCGGTCAGGACGGCACCTTTCGCAGCATCCTTGCTGGTGCCCTGAGAGAGTCGGCCGACCAGGCTGAGGCCCGCGCCAGCCCTGGTCTGGAGAGAGACGACGGGGGCGGTCTCGCTGCCGGCATCCGCCCAAGATTTGGTGAGCGATCCAAAGCCAGCCTGCTCGGCTAGGTCGTAGACGAAGACGGAAGAGGAGGAAGCTGTGCGCGAAGCAATGTACTCGACGAGAGTGGACGCAGTGATAGCCCCAGACTCTGCAATGCTCTGCAGATCATTGGCCGGCGAGGCCTTCAGTTTTGGGGTGGGCGGAGCCGAGAGCGTGGTCGTCGCGGAGAAGGGCGTAGAAGTCCCGGACTGGGCGTTCGTGGCCATCGCTCGCTAACCTGGCCGGCGAGGGGGATGGGGGCGACGGTGAGGAGAGTGGGAGAGTGCGCGGTCGTCCGCCTCCGTGCAGTTTTATTGCTCACTCGGGACGGCCGGGAGAGCGATCGTCCACGAAATTGTCGCTGACCTCGTCGCTGCAAATGGCGCACACTGTGCAAACGATGGCGTTATGCTGAACACGTGACCGCGCTTTACTCGCGTCGCGCGTCGCGTAGGCGCCCATCCTCGAATGCTTCCGCGACGAGTGTGTAGCGAAGATGTTTCCTTCCGAGTTACAGTACAAAATACAGCAGTATCAGATTATTCAAATCTTCTCAGATCCCTTGACAGTGTTGTACAGACGATCACCCTGTATGCGCTGTTAGGACAGAGGACACTGTGCAGCACTGCAAGGCTTACCGTGTCACCCAGTCCAGGAGAAATCAAACCGTTAGGCGTCAGGTGCTGGTCAACAGCCGCGACCCAGATCTGAACTTGATGAGAACACGCGCAAAACGTTGAATGCACGGGGCTCACCTCGACACCCGGGAACTCCTTCTGGACCCTGTTCAAGCCATCCTGGGATGAGAGGACGCACAGCAGCTTGATCTTATTCACTGTGGGCCAAACATGTCAAGTCTCGCTCTCACACTTAGTTTGCGAGCTGGACTGACCAGAGATACCCCACTCGATCAACATGTGCATGGCTGCGCACGCCGTGCCACCGGTAGCAATGAGAGGGTCGAGCAAGAACACCTGGTCCACAGTCGGGTTCGGGGGAAGCTTCGAGTAGTCTGCCAATCACTGTCAGCTTCATCCGCACATTGATATCATCTTTCGACGTACACTCGACCGGCTGCAAAGACACCTTCTCCCTGTAGATCCCGAGATGGTACACGCTCGCGGCCCTTCAGCACACAGGTTAGCGTCTACAATAGCATCCGGGGCGCTCATACGTACGGGAAGAGATTGAGCAAAGCATCGGTCATCCCCATACCAGCGCGCAGGATGGGCGTGAGTCCAATGTTAGGCTTGATCACGGAACCCGTGAACGGGCCAACCGGGGTGTCCTAAGAGCACGATGAGACACTCGTCCCAGATCCGACAACGCACGCAGCACACTCACCCCTTTGAAGGTTGCCTCCTCTAGATCCCGGCTCGCCTCGATACCGAGGATCAGACTGATGTCATGAATGCCCTACGATGCGCCTTTGTGTAAACACCCTGAACAGCACACTATATGCGTCGCAGGACACGCACCTCGCGGAACTCCCTCGAGTTCGTAGTCGTCTGCCGCAGTTTCGAGAGCCGCGCGTTCACAATCGGGTGCGCGAGGACGTGAACCTTGTCGGATGGCATGCTGACTTGCTGGAGCGGAGGGGTGGTGGACTAGAGAAGAAAGAGAAGGGTCGACGTGGTCTGCGGACAAGGTGCGTTTGCAGCGCGGCTGGAGCTCGGCCACGGGCGCGGAATGCAGAGGCTCAGGTGGCTCGGGGACGCTGAGGCGAGCCTGGCATGATACGGTAGGCCGGGTACCGCGCCGATCGTTCGTGCAGCATGACTTATCGCGGGGGGCGCGATATGCAGATAGCGCTCGGTGGCCCCTCGAGCTGTGGGTCCATGAGGGTCTTTATTGGCTGATAGTCCGCGCGGTGCAGATACAGCCGTAGAAAGCCAGATAGGACGAAAGGTGCTTCAAGTCGGTCATGGTAGTTGACTGGTGCTGCCGGCACGGCGTGTACGGAGGCGCTACAGTATCGGGAGATGCCGAGCTAAACGGTTCGGGAAAAACCTGTGCTCTGCTCCTAATTTCTGACTCTCGTTATGACCGACTAAACATGCTGGATACGCTCGCAACATATCTTTGGGGGTTAAGAACATCTGGCATTCACGCCGTCAAGTTTCTCAGCAATTACTTAACAAAGACAGCAAACACCCCTCTCATTCCACTTCAAATTGAACTCGTACAATTTACTCGTCTCTCCAGTTCCTCCACCCAGCCTCCCGGGTGCTCCCCTACTCTTCAGGCTTGTGCTGACTGAATGGCGGCGACAAAACTCTCTAGGTCAGTCGGGAGGTTGTCGTACGGGTTTGCGCCGTTTGCTTGCGAGTCCGTCGTCACGTAAAACGCCTTCACATGGTCTTGCGTGACGAGTGTCGAGATCAGCGACGTCGGGGGCGTGGACGGTCCATCCGTAAGCACCACGGCCTGCTTTGTGGCCGGATTTGAGGAGCCCAGCGACAACATGCTGGCTCTGCAAGGACAGGTGAGTCTACTTGTTAGGCAAACGAGGTGTTGAGATACTGACTTGAAGTCGCTGTAGAAGTTCTCCGCCGTGAGCAGCAGGTCCGCGATGCCGTAATACTTGGTCGAACTCGGTGCGGCACCAGGGTTCAGGGATACCTACAGCACAAGCACGAGCCAGTCAGCCCGGGCACGCTCATGATACCACATCGTAGGGCAGAATCTACTCACGAATCCCTTGCCGCTCTTGAACAGCGACCGCGCACGCGACGCGAACGTCGTGTACGTCGACAAGTCAACGCTATCTCCGGACACCTCGTCGAAGAAGATGCCGTCCGGTTTGTACGCCGCCTTCCAGCCCGCGTAGGTGTTGACGTCCGTCGTCACGCCCGCCTTCCTCTTGGCAGCGCCGTAGGATGTCGGGACGTACCCGAGCACGACGACGTTCGAGGCGCGCAGCTTTGGGATACACTGCTGGTACTCGGCTGGGGCTTGGCTTCCGCTCTTTCCTGGTCCGCTATTAGGGTTGATGATGAGCCAGAAGGGGACGGTGGGGTGCGCCTTGATGCTGCGAGAAATAGGTGAGGCTCCAGTTGGTTGAAGTTGATAGGATATCTCAGGAACTCACGTATTGATGAGTGGTACCCAGGGAGTGCAGCCGGGCCCTGATAGAGGGTCGATGTACAATGGGACGAGAACGCCGGAGGCGAGGGTGGCGGCAGCCGCGATTGCACGAGGAATGTACATGACAGTGACGATTGCAACGGCTATACAGTCACTGGTGAGTTCGAGTGCTTCTCAAAAATTCCAAGATGTACCCACGTTCGCTTAGAAGTCAGTGAGTAGGTGGAGAACACGCAGCGAATGCTTCAACCCGACTTATATGCGGCGCCTGTGACTCCCGCGGGCTTCCCGTTTTAGCAGGGCAGCAGAGAAAGGCAGGTCAACAACTATCGGGGAAGGGTGCTTGCTTTAGACGACTACACAACGCCCACAGATGCCGACGCGGGCGGGATGCTAACTTATTCCCGCTTTCAGAGTATCCGCCAAGCGGAACTGAGAGGCGGATCCACGATCGTTCATTTAGGAGAAGCCATGCGGATCTGGCGAATTCGATCGCGGTCTGAACTAACTATAGCGCAGAGCGTATGTGCCCACATGTTGGCCAACTTGAAAGCAACAACCGCTGAAACGGTTTGTTCTGCGTACAGCTATTTACACCGCTCACGGTGGGTAGTGCTACACTTTACGCGTGGTGAGTCCATACACAGTGCGCCTACCGCCAAGGCGTCGATGCTCAAGCAGCTAGTATCAACGCAGTCGGATCCGGACTGCAATTCAATATCGGACTAAGTGACCTCACATATCCGCATTCATTTCCCACTACAGGCTCCCCACGAGCCCGCTGGACGCCACCTATAGCTCCACCTCAAGTTCCATACGGCCCAATCCTAGCACACCTTGGCATCGGGTTCACTGAGCAGCTTGTACGGCATCGATGTAGCTTGCCAGATCGGTCGGAAGGTTGTCGTACGGGTTCGCCCCATCCGTCTGCGAGTCCGTCGTCACGTAAAACGCCCTCAGTTTGTCCGTCGTGATCAGCTGCGAGATGAGCGAGGTAGGAGGGGTCGAGGGTCCGTTGGTGAGTACCACTGCTTGCTTCGACGGGGGTGTGGATGCTCCGAGCTTAATGTCGCTCGTACTGACGAGACAGTATCAGCGTTATCCCATGGATACAGGGAGGTACGCATGGCTTACCTGAACTCATCGAAGAAGTTCTCGGCCGTGAGCAACAGGTCCGCGAGACCATAGTATGCGGTGTCCTGGGGTGCGTCGCCGGGGTTCAGCGCTATCTGAGGACGCAGAAACAATGAGGCACGTCAGCGTCCAATTTCTCTTTCTTTTAAAGCTATCGCACTCACAAAACCGCTTCCGCCGTTAAACAGCGGCGCCGCGTGCTCTGTGAAGCCCTGGTATGTCGCAAAATCGCCGCTCGCGCCAGACACCTGGTCGAAGAAGATCCCGTCCGGCCGGAACGCGGCGCCCCACCCAGCGTACGTGTCGATGTCTTCCGTTACGCCCGACTTCTTGTTCGCCACGCCCTCGAACGTCGGCACGTACCCCAGCACGACTACGTTCGAGGCGCGGAGGATGGGGATGCACTGCTGATATTCGACTGGGGCCTGGCTCCCGTGCGCCCCAGGTCCGCTGGCGGGGTTGATGATGATCCAGAATGGGAGGGAGGGGTGTGCCGCGATGCTGGAAGCCCCTCCGTCAGAAGACGTGCGAATGAGCGGTGGGATGATGATCCTACCTGCTGAGCACTGGGGCCCACCCGGAACAGTCGGGCCCACCGACAGGGTCGATGTAGAGGGGGATGAGCACGCCCGACGCAAGGGTGGCTGCGGTGGTCGCTATGGCGCGCGGGATGTACATCGTGGATGTCCTGTGAAAACCCTTGGGACGGTGAGTAGGGCGAGATGTGAGCTCCGTAGAGGAAGCTTGCAGTAAATGTTTGCGGTTGCGCGGTGCTGAGACTGCAGTTCGTCTGAGGCGTGGCTGCTTATATACGTGTATCTGTCTCACATCTCGATGGGTCTGGCTGGCCTCGGCAGTCCGTTGGCATGCCTGGTTCGGCACGTCATAGATCGCAGCACACATCCGCCGACCGAAGGTAAGCGTTATTCTTGAGTGAAGGTCCAGCATCGGGTCGTAGTTCATCATCCCAAGAGGAAGAGCTCGTTGGCGTTCGCTGAGAGGCCACCGCAGGTTGTTTTCGTAGTATCATCCCGGTCGAAGCACCGGTGTCCGCATGGTATCATCGTCGGCCGATCTGTCAAAGTGAGACTTCGGACGTTTGCTACCGGGAGGTACAATGACATCATGAATGTGAGTGAATACACGACGGTCATACGCCCAAGTTCGCTGTCGATCTAAGGCCATTTCAGTGCATTCGAAACACGATGGATTTACGCGCGTAAAGACGGCCCTGAAGCCATCACCTTCGCGGCGTATAGTTGTTGCTGACAGCGTGTGTTCGAGCAATGACGAGCTCGGGCAAACCTGCTTCGAAGCCGAATCGTGCAGGTTCTTGGTCCGGGCGTTATTCTGGCACCGGGTCGCGCACGACGTCACAAATCGTTGACACTATTTCCCGCCGGATTGTGCTTTGCACTCTCATCTAGTTCACGGCATCTCGTCTGCACAAGGAGTATGATATTTTCAGCATACTCCACCGCAAATCTGTACAGGGCGCCACAAACCTCCAACTCAAAAAGATGGGAATCGTGTGATTCGGGCGCAAGGCGTCGCACGGCTTCCGCAAGGTTGTAAAGGTAGTCCTATGTGGCGACGGAGGCTGTCAGTATGTCGAGAACACTCTTTGGACATGTGTGTTGGTGTCACCTTGTTGAGGCCAGAGGGGCCGACAGAGCGCCATATGTGCTCTGCAAGTTTGTCCATTGGTTCGGAGCCAACTGATAGAAAGTTGAGCAATGCCGTCAGGAGTATCTACTGACGATAGACCCACTGAACGACGGATTATCTGGTCGCCCGACGTAGCACTGTAATCTCGTAGGTTAAGTCAATGCCGATTGGAACTTGGACGCAGTATCTGCGACATACGAATGCCTAACACAAGAGTCAGCCTACTAGGATTTTGTCAAGTGATAATCGCAATCGGCCGACCTTGGGAAGGATGATTTGTTCATGTCCATCTACAAGACCATAGATATCTATCTCTTCGAGGGTGTATCCATCCTGCGCCCACCTTGAACGTCTGGTGTAAATATGACTGGACAATGTGCAGACCTTTTCTCGGTAGTCTACCGGGACGGGTCAGCAATTCCTTCGAAGGACCTTGGGATGCAAAATGGAATACCTAGGTACTCTCGCACTTCGGCCTCGTGCGCTGGGTCTATTGTGTATGCAACACCTAAACACAAGAAGATCAACACCACATACACGCGGATCCGAATTGAGCACATACCCCAGACGACATGGTCATCTGGAAATGGATCCTGAATACATGGCAAGTCAAGTTTGTCCTGCGGAAGACCCTGCAATAGCATACGCACTGCTTGCGAGACGTGGTCCCAATCTTCCTTGTGGATGAGCGTCACGACGCGTCCAGGTTTCTACAGCGCAGGATTAGCTTAGAACTATGGGTCCGAGCGGGAGCAGGATGACCTCTGGAGTTCCTCTATGATCATGCGACTTCTGCGCAAAGCGGCGCACGTAGCCTTGCAGGTAACCTGGCGCTGTGCACAATTAATATAGTCAACGTTTGACCCATGCGTGGCTTGCCAACACAGTACTCACTTTCTGCAATGACATGGGGAGGTGGCTAAGTCATACACCCTCACTGTCAGCGTCCCAAAAGCACAGCGAAGAACGAGAGAGAATAACCTTGAATATCAGCGAGCCATAGCCAAAGACGACATACGGCCTCTCTCCGCTTGCCGCCCCGTCGCTCTGCGCTGCTGCTGGGACCGTGCTCGATGTCATGGCGGTTGCACCGTCAAACCTCCAGTGATGCTGAAGCTCTAGTGAGCGAGTGAGTCGAGCTGGAAATCGATCTGCCGTCGATCTACGTGAGAGCGTAACGCAAGAACCGTGTCGGACTCTGCAAACCGAAGCCTCTGCGCGCGATCGTTCCGCTCGCGCTCGTACTTACTCATCGGCCACAAATAGCATGTGAATGCCTATAACGGGCTCAAGAACGTCAATCTGGTGCGAGATCGAGCACATCTCCCGCAATGTGACGACATCGTGCACGCAGGTACTAAGCCGGGATCAACGCGAAATCGCTCTATGAACCTTCGGAGCGCCCGCGGCGGAGCTCAGGGTATACACGATCCCTCAGTCAAACGCGAACTCGTGCAAATAAACTGCCAGTGTTGCTACAAATGCTATTAAGACAAGTACTGTACTAAATGATCGTGACAACATGCATGAGAAGTCGTAATAGAATGGGCGACAAGATGTCGCGGGCGTGCCAGTCGTCGAGCACCCGAGTGGGCGTGTGTGGTGGAAAGGTGAGGCTAGCAATATAAACTACAACTGGGTGGGGCGGCAAATGAAAGCCTCGTAGCAGATGAGTGTGTCGGGATGGGGGCGGGAGCGGACGTCTCTAGGGAGAACCCAGAGTCGTCCTGGCGTATGCCGAAGGTTCCGCACGGCTGTGCGGCGGAACGGTGGAATCGCTATGAGGCGGGAAGACAAGGCCCGGTCGAAGGCGCCTCATTAGGGTATCCGTGCCTTCCGATTGAGCCAGGGAAGCAACGCCATGTCGATGGTGTATGTACGTGGGTGAGTGGGGTGTGGTTGCGGGCGTAGGTTTAGGTGGCGCGGAGGTGGGTAGTATGTGAATGCGTTCCATGATGCCACTTCTAAGCTGAGGAGTGGAAGTTCATGTTCTTTTGCGAGTGGCTCTTCAACCATCCCTTGAGACCGACGACAAGCAGCACCCAGCAGAACGCCAGACACGTGATCGCGACGCCCGCGTTGAGGAACATCATCACGTCGTCGTGTCCCTGGCGCATCGCCGCGACCGTCAACTCCTCCGTCGAGAACATGAACTCGAGGCCTCCACACGCAAGCAGGAACGCAGCGAGCGCCTCAGTCGGGGGTCGCGACGGGAGGATCGAGCGCGGAGGCCCAAGCCAGAGAAAGAAGTACGTCAGGCAGCGCAGCACCGCGAACCCAGCGAGCAGGTTGCCCCAGACCATGTGGATCTGCACCTGGAAGAGGTACGTCTGCGCATGCGCGGCCATCGCCGCGCCCGTGATCCCGATGCACAGCGCCGGGAAAGGGTTGTAGCTCGCGATGTAGCTCGGGGGCTCCGCGACGGCCTCCTGGTGACGGCCGGTGACGGGGACCGCAGCGGTCGCCCCGGCCGCGAGCCAGCGCCGGATGCGCTTGGACTCGATGCCCATGCCGACGAGCCCGGCGAACCAGAACATGACGGCGATGCTGATGTGCTGGATCTGCTTGGTCGTGTAGGGCGCGCCGGGGCTCACGCCGAATCGCTCCATCCAGGTGTTCGTGACGCCGTAGAGGAAGATGACGAGCGATTCGGTGAACTCGGCTGTGGGGTATTTTCCGTGGTGGCGCGGGGCGCGGTTCCATGCCCAGCCGAGCTCTGAGAAGGATCCCAGGAATCGAGCGAATGTTACGAGCCCATAGCACCAGAAAATGCCACCCTCTGCAGACACTCGGTGAGAAAGTGAATGGGTAACAAACCAAGTTACTCACTGATAAGATGAGCGAGACATACATTGATGTAGCCTCCCCGGCAGCCACCAGTGTAAACCACGATGCCCGAAACGACCTGCATGAAGCCCGCGAACACCAGTAACCTCTCGCACACAGCGAAGGTCGCACGGCCAATAAAGCGGAGGACCTCGCGCTTGTCCTTGCCTTGCCAAGGGTAAACATGGCCAGTTTCGTGCAGCGAATCGTCCGATCGATGAGGCGAATGTGCGCCAAATAGCGTGCGCTCGGACGCCGCTGAGTGAGTGTACGAGTGGTGGCGACGATGGCGGCGGACGTCGTTCGCCCACTGCGCGGTCTCGTCGGAGTCGTGGTCGTCCTGTTGATGCATGTCGAGGTCGGTCCTGATCGGCGCAACAACACGAGCATGTCTTACGGGTATTGACTCTTCCTCGATGTCCTTCGCCTTCAGCTCGGCGTCCTCGAGCTCCTCGGGGTCGTCGACGACGAGGTTGGTGTACTCGGCCTCCGCGCCGGCGGGGTGCTCGTCGCGGTCGAGTATGACGACGTTCCAGAGCGTCCTGAACGAGAACCGGTCCTCGCCCGCGCGGATGGCGCGCACATACGCGACGAGGCGGAGGACCTGGGCGACGACGTCGAGCGCAGAGAGCGCAACGGCGCAGGCGAGGAAGAAGTAGCCGTGTTTGCCGTGTTTGCTGCCTTCGTACCTGCGACGCCAATCACCCGGTAAGTCATTTCAGTGGCGGTGACGGAGCGCCGAAAAGTACGGACAGGTCTGGCGTCAATTTGCGGTAGAGTGCACTTGTGGACAGCCCCAGCACGACGAGTGTGTAGAACACGACCACCGTCAGCCCGTGCCACGCGTGCTTCACAGACCGGAGCGCGATGCCTAGAGCGCGAAGCGCGGTATTAGGGCCGGACGCGCTTCGCCGAGGAAGGCCGCGAGGCAGACACACCTATTGGAAGAGCCCCGAAGAACGCGAGGGACATGCACAACGCGTGTAGACCCATGAAGCCCGGATAGCGCTTCTCGTCCGCGGGCGGCTCCTTAATGTCCAGCCAGAAATACGAAGGTGGTGTGGGCCCGTGGTACATCTCGACCTCCGTCTCGTTCAGCACGGTGAGAGGTTGCACATTATGGTTGTGGCCGCCATGTCCGTGATCTCCGTCCCGAGGTATGAGGAGGCGTTCTGAGGGTGCCGGCAGAATGTCAATCGCCCGGGAATCAGAGTAGGATGGGCCGGCCGCTACCGAGACGGCGACGGCGGCGAGCGCGGGGACGAGAAGGAGAGGAGAACGGAGGGGGGCACGCATGGCGGCGGAGGGGGGAGGGGTGTAACGGAGGCATAGCGGTCCCGAAGGGGGCGATTATAAAGGGGTGCATGCGCGGGGAGGACGAGCCAAGGAACGGAGGGGTGGGCGGCAGAAGTCGGGCGGTCGAAGGCTCGAGAACGCGAGTGAGTAAGGCAGCGAAGACAGAGTCCCGACTGCCCTTCGGACGGTGTGGCGGCACAACCGCGCACAAGTCCGTTCCGCTCGACGCCCAACTGATGTCTGACTAACCCCTCCCGAATCAGCACTCCACCCTGCTGGATCCCCCTCCCCTGCCTAACCTTCTGCAGAACGCGATCTCTGCGCATGTTGCTTCGGCTTCCACTGAACCGCAGTCGAATTCGCTGCGCTCTCATACAGGACAGCCACCTCTCACAATACGGCAGGCACTAGGGCCTCCTCATCCAACTGTGCACACTGCGCGGATGTCGATCTTCGATCCCGAATCCCGCGGCACAAGCTGCGTCATCGGTGAGTCGGTCCAAAACGGCAAACTAGTACATTTCTCCTACCCATGCCGCCCGATGCCGCTCACTACTACGCCTACAATGCTGCAGAATAATCAACCTCCTGCATTTGTCGGCCTGGCCCCGGGGTCCGCTTCTTCGACGCTCGACCACGACGTTCTCGACGCTATAAACCCTAGAGAGCCCGGCGCGTCCCGCTGTCTTTCCGGACCCGGACGCTGAAGAATACGCTCGTGAAGACTGGCTGGAAGGCGGTCGATGCAGATTCGACCGGCCGATGACGGCGCCATGATTCCGGCAAGAGCTTCCAGAGACGTTCCGATATACCGTTGTGTCATTTGACGGTCGGACGCCGACCGATTCTGAGTTCGCCGGCATCGGCTTCTCATTCGGACCTTCGGATATCTCCCTTCTGAGGCCGCTCCTATGGACAGATAGACTATACACATGTTGTGATGTTCTAGTCCTGATACTCTTGTCCTCGCACGATGCGCTTCTGCCTCCCCGGCCCTTCCCAGAGCAGCGCCATTAACGGTGACTTCATCGACAGCCATGGGAGCCTACCTACCACCGTCCCCTCTTGTCCCTCTCATCTGCCGGAGTCCTGCCGAACGCGCACTACCTACCGAGTCGTGCAGACGCCCCCTGTTGTGTTGTGTTTTACCTAAGACTCCTCGGCCGAATCCATCGAGGCTCGCTAACTCCTATCATGTGGACATACATGCGCTTGGCGCGTGCGTTTTGTATGTGCTATCACAGTCCTCAGCGCTCGGCAGGCGTCCGTGCTTCTGCGGACTTCTGGTCCCTGCGCGCCGCGATGAGTCGAGCCATCCTCCGCAGGGAGGTTGCGCGCGATGGCGTCAATCATCTCGAGCCTCGCACCTGCGTGCCGGTCGTGCGCTGCGCCATTGTCCGCCACAAGCCCCCAGTCAGCTCGAGTCAGCCTGGTCTTGCGGCGCGCGCGGAGGCAGCGAATGCCCCGCGGCGGCGCCCCTGTGAATGAGTAATGCTGACAGGGCGGACCACGGTGGCGTCGCCGATCATACGGTGTTGTTTAGCACTGTTTAGCACGCTGCAACAGCGATCTTCTCGGCATCTGCGCAGAGTCAGTTGAACCATACCGGTTCCGAGTTCCGGGAGGTCGGCGGCCGGCGCAGAAGAGGGCAAAATGCCTAGAAGGTCTGAACGTAAGCGGAATTGACCCTACTCAACGCCTAAGGCCTAAGGAAGCATCTGGAGGTCTCATGCTATCAGAGCAGACATTACACCCAAGGACGGTGTGCTATCACAATTACGGAGGGGACATCAGTTAGGTGACGCCGGGCACAAATACGTTTACGTGCCTCTTCAAGCCACTTCATGCCGTTGATGTTCGCAGTCGTCCATAAAGCGGTGCTATCGAGCATGAGTATGTTCACCTTTTCGCACGCGCAGCAACAGAAGCCGAAAAAGAACGGGGCGTTCTGCATCCGCTGCTGAGCATGCGGACGGTTGTGAGCGTTCGAGGGTACGATGTACTCGGGTGACCGGGTCTGAAGCCGTACCCGTTCATTTGCGACGGCATCGGGCATAAGCAAGACTCGGACGCGATAGCAGCAGCATCAGAGCACCGAAATCGAGGCTGGTGTGGGTCCTGCTGCAGCATAAACGCATGGGACCGCAGCTTGATCGCAGCGACAGTGAATACTTGCCGCGACTGCGGGCATTCTCCTGAGCTCCCGGCTCGGTCCTCAGTTGTTCTGGCCATAGAGTCGCGAAGGTTGTGTCAATACTGCGCCGCCTTCTCCTTCCGCACCTGATATTAAGTGTCATTTGTTAAACATACCGCAGTAGACGTGCTTGGCGCGCTGCGAGGCGTAGTTCGGATAAATATCTCGACGAGTAGCCGTGCAGAATAGAACAGCACAGGCGTACACGATGCTGACGAGTTCGAAGACACCCAAAGCACGATGGTCCGTGGGCGTGTTCCGTATCAAATTAGCGATGAGTGGATGATAGGTACAACTCACTACTCGGTCAGCTCGGCGGACTGAGAGTATCGGAACGACCGAACCTTACACTCTCGCCGCTCCCTGGGAGATGCAACGTGATGGATTTGTGATGTATTGCTATAAGAGATACCGTCGATCTCTTCCTTCTCTTCTACGAAGCAGTCGTAGAGTTCGACAACAGGTTTGCGGTGGTTTGACGAAGATCCGCAAGACGCGAGAAGCCACGTAACGACCGCCGGCATCGGAAGAACGTCCAGCAGGGTGTCTGAGCACGATGTTCGAGTGGATTGCGAGGTTCATGGGAACGTCGTGTATGCAGTTGGGGGTGCGTCGGAGGTCATCGTGGCGAGCAGAGAGGCAGGAGGCGCGCTCGACGTGCGCTCGACACCTGTGATTCTCCACGTGATCGTGGCGGCTGAAGCGTCCGAGAAAATCGGGAGTGGGGAAGGCTCTCCACCGGCGACTGCTCGACTCGAGCGCGTCCTCCGGCTCTCCGCCGTCCTCCCACCGCACACCTCGTACGACTTCCTAGACGTCTCTCTCATGCACACCCTCCCATAGGACGACATTTCTTCACGAACCATCCTGAATAAGCACCGCTGCTCTCGACTCGTACGACCTCCTCGAGCTCTTTTCATCCATCGGCCTCTCACGCATCCCCCGCATTCTCAGCGTTTTCTCGGGTTCTTTTTTCATCTCGGGTCTTATTCTGGGAGTGTGCTCTACGATGGCATTAAGGCGCAAGATCCGTCACTTCGTGTGGGGGGAGGTGCCGGCGACGAAGACGGAACGGACGCTATTGCTCAAGATAGATTGGTTCATTTTGTCGTACTGCTGTCTCATGGTGAGTGCTTTCTCAACGCTTGGGTGTTGAAATACACCGCTGATCTGTACCAGTATTTCTCAAACTGTATGTGGCCGAGTCGCCCGCCGAAGCTTTACACGTTTCTAATCAAATGTCGTCTCCCCTCCCCTCCACTTCCTATGGCCCATCATAGACCTCGATCGAAGCAATGTTTCCAATGCATACGTTTCTGGCATGCGTGAAGAACTCAACATGCACGGAACACAATTTAATGTGAGTGCATTCAATCATGTCTACAGCTCTGTATAGCTCAGATTGGCTCCCGGTCGTAGCAAATCAACACCATTTTTACATGCGGTTATATCGTCGGGATGATCCCAAGTGAATGACGCTCCGCAGTATGGCGTCATGCTCGGAGCGCTAACTGCCTGCGTTCATGCAGATAACTTGATGCTGCAAGTCGTGCCGCCTCGAATATGGCTCCCATCTATGCAAATAGTCTGGGGCGTCTTGACGTTCTGGTAAGGGCTTGTGTCACGAAAGCAAAGTAGCATCAGGTCACTGACTGCGACCATCTATAGCACAAGCGCGGTTACGAGTGTACAACAAGTAGGTCGTCATAATTTAGAAGGGATATATGCGCTCAACGCTCACAAATGACCACCCTGTGCAGATATATGCCATTCGCTTCTTCCAAGGCATCGCCGAGTCGTCCACATTTGTTGGCACGCACTATATTCTTGGATCGTAAGCATCATTTTTGCACAGTTTGCTCCCTGACTATGTTGGTCTGATCTGAATGTTGTTAGCTGGTATAAACCTGGGGAACTTGGCAAGCGATCGGGCATCTTCACGTCGTCCGGTCTTATTGGCACGCTGTAAGTAGGCTTACATCACCGCTGTATCTAACAATGTTGACCGTACACAGATTTTCCGGTGTCTTGCAAGCCGCCGTCTACACGTAAGGTGATTGTTTGATGTACCATACCTACGCTGACCGCTGTCAAAACCGCATAGCCATCTCAACGGTACCTCAGGGCGCAGCGGATGGCGTTGGCTGTAAGCCCTGACAATTCCTGTCTTACAGGGCCGCACTGATTTCACCCCACTAAGATTCATCATCGACGGCGTCATCACGATGCCCATCGCGCTGTATGGGTTTCTAATGTTCCCTGACGTGCCAACGACGACTAAGGCGTTTTACCTCTCCGAAGAGGTGGGTTGTCCATTGCACGCCGGAGCGTACCATGATATTCATTATCATTAACTACAACGTTTCGCAGGAGCGTCTGCTGTCTTGCGAGCGACTCGAATCGGAGAAGGACAAGGATATCTCGCACGGCCACCTTTCATGGGGAATATTCCGTCGTGTCCTCGGCCGATGGCGGTGGTACGGCTGCAGTCTACTGGTAAGGTTGACTGCCTGTTGAAACATACTTGGTGGACTAACGTCCCTCGCTCAAGTTCGCGATATCGGGCGAAACAGAGAGCTTAGGCTCGAACAACCTCATGGGCCAATGGCTGAAAGCCATCGGCGGGTTCACCGTCCCGCAAATCGGTCAGTCCATTTCTCCCGTTTCTCCGGGGTCCGTTCTAACAGCGCACACGCCCGATAGACTACTACCCATCAGGTATGACCGCGTTCGCAATCGTTTCGACGCTGGTGTGTGCGACGTGGACCGACGCGACCCACTCTCGTGCTCGATGGCCCGTGCTCGTGTATATGGCCATCGCCGGCATCGTCGCAGCCATCTGCATCCTCGTCTGGAGCAGTCCCATCGGGCTCAAGTTCTTCGCGTACTATCTTGCGGGAGCGACTTATGCAGGCCAGGCGACCACTTTCGCGTAAGCCTCTCCGCTCCCTCCGTTTTATGCATGTATATGTGATCACAAGTGCTGGGTCTGACGGATGCTATAGATGGGCCAACCAAATCTGCGCAGACGACCACCAAGAACGCGCGGTAGTACTCGCGTCCATGAACATGTGGAACAACGTCATCAACGCGTGGTGGCCGCTCGTCTTCTACCCCGCGACGGACGCGCCGCGCTTCACGAAGGGCATGTGGGCCATGATCGGCACGTGCGTCGCGACGCTCGCCGTGACGTGGCTCGTGTGGTATCTCGAGCGGCGGGAGAAGCGCGGGCGGGCGCAGCTGGTGACGGACGGCGCTGCGGCGGAGAAGCCTGAGAGGTCGACGATGGGAGGGGAGGACGAGAAGAGCGTAAGGAGCCATGCGGGCTCGAGCCGTCGCAGCCAGGAGAGCGCGTGATGAGCATAATGAGCACGTTGAAGGTACGACGCTGTATAGAATGTATTGCTATTGATTGCTTTTCTTGAGCCGCAAGTGTTGATCGTCGGCTGCCTTCAACTTTCTACTTCTCCCGTTGCAGCAGTACTAACGTCACGGTTGCTGACCGTCTTCAAATCTATATTCCTTCCGTCGTGGCGTCATTGCTACAGGAAGGCATACCACCTCAGGTCAATTTTTTTGGTTCGTCCATTTGCCTGCTGCTGCTAACACGCGAGAGTGGCGCTTGCGGTCTTCCTGCCTATACGTCGGACGTGCATCGTCGCGACATATCACCTATCTTACTGACAGTCTCTCACAAGACATCGACATGTCGCCTTTCATGACAACGCAGCTATCTATAGCCCTGACTAAGACGGTGAGCCCCCTTCTTCGCTCTATCATCCCCGCACGCGTTCTCAACACCCCCCGCCGATGACGAATGCACAGACCCGAGCACGTTGGCACGTATTCCCCGGGGCCTCCCCAGATCGTCGCGGTTCGCCCATTCACCCCGTGCGGGCCGACGCTGCGGGGCACTACAGCCCCCGCGTGCCCCCAGTGCGGGGGCGCGCCTTCGGTGCACATTCGGATAAAAAGGCAATACGTCGGACGCGCGCCCATTCCGGCCTCCCAGCGAAGCGTCGACGCGGCTGCCCTCGAGGACGCTTCGCCGTGTCACCTGCCTATCTCGGAGCCTCCTCCGCTCAACAAGAAGCAGCGGGGGCCGCACGCCCATTGGCCTGCGCGGGGCAGGTAGTGATTGCTCGAGCTTCTCGGAGAAAGCTGCTGTGCGACGGAACGGACTGCGTTGGCGGCATCTCGCCTCGTTGGACATGCAGCGCTCGAGACAATCTCCGGCCGCTCCACACTGCCTGTGCCGCAACGCACGGCTGCTGGTTGGACGGGCGACATGAGCTAATACATACGCTGCAATATGCGCGATTTCGGCGGCGTATAAAGGCTGGGAGCGAGTGCGGTGGAACAGCAGCTCAGTGCCCAAGTCCTCCAACATGAAGTCTTTCCTCGCACTCGCCGCCCTCGTCGCTACGGCCTCGGCCCACTGTAAGCACTCACCTACCGCACCTCTTTAACCACTCGGGTTTGCTCACCCGCCTGCGCTCACCAGACACCTTCCCGTCCCTCGTGGTCGGCGGTGCGACGACCCCCGCGTGGGTGAACGTCCGCAAGACGAACAACTTCAACACGCAGGCGCCCGTCACGGACGTCACCTCGCCCGACTTCCGCTGCTACGACTCCGCGACGAACCCGACCGCGCAGACCGCGACCGTCTCCGCCGGCTCGCAGCTCGGCATCATGTCCGACGGCACCATCTACCACCCCGGCGTCGTGAACGTGTACATGGCGAAGGCGCCCGGGGACGTGAACAGCTTCGCGGGCGACGGCGACGTCTGGTTCAAGGTCTACCAGATCACGGCCGAGACGAACGGCGGGAGCTCGATCAGCTTCCCGGCGGAGGGCGTTCCGGGGGTCACGTTCACCGTTCCGAAGAACCTGCCGAGTGGACAGTACCTCGTCCGCATGGAGGCGATCGCGCTGCACGTCGCTTCGACTTACGGCGGTGCCCAGTTCTACGTGAGTTTCATTCCGTTGGGTCAGGAAGTGTGTAGGGATGGGGCTGACGGTGCCGCGGCAGATCTCCTGCGGACAGGTCAACGTCGAGAACGGTGGCAGCGGCACGCCCGGCCCCCTCGTTGCCATCCCCGGTGTCTACACTGGCTACGAGCCCGGCATCCTCATCAACATCAACGTGAGTATCCCCTTCTCGCCGTGTAGGACTCGCAAACTAACGTTGGGATGCCCATCTTAGTACCCCATCCCCAAGAACTACACTCAGCCCGGCCCCGCTGTCTGGTCTGGGTGAAAAGCGCGTTCTACTGTCTGTTTGTAGCGTTTGCCTCTGTAGCGACTACCGATATAGCATTTCCATTCACTCTCACCTTGGCGTGACGCTCGAGTGCCCCGCTATATGCGCAAAAACACGACACAAGCTTAGCCTAAATGTCAGCATACTTCCGATTTCCGAACGGGCGTACCGCAATTTCGCCGACCACATGTATGCACCCACATCACGCACACATACAATGTGAACAACGCCACTGGCATTATGGGGGGTCTCGCTAAGTATATCTAGCCGACATGTAAACAGGGTAAACAAGAAGCGTGTGCACAGCAGAGCAAGGAAGAGAGGCGCAGCAACGTGCGCGTGCGCGTGGCGTGCGGCGGGGCGGGGCGAGATATAGTGAGAGCGCGCGAGCTAGATGGGTGATATCCTACTGATACATGGGGTTGGGCGGCCGGGTGAGTGTGCTCCAGAATGCGGTAAGTGAAAATATAAAAAGGAAAACGTATCGGATCGAGGTGCTAGACACAACAACAGCTGCAACGACGATGTATGAGAGCATGAAAGAAAATCATAAAGCATGAAGGGGCGGCGCGGCCTCCGGGGTGCCGCGGGTCTACCGTAGCGCCTGACAGTCCGGCAAGTCAGGACAGAGGGCGGAGGAACGCGCGCGCGAATATCCTAAGGGGCGACGAGACGGACGGTATAAACGCACAGCGAGCGAGAACAGAGCCTGCGGGGGCCCGCGCCGGGCATGAAGTGAAAGCGGGGGCATGGAACACATGCGGGAGAAGGTTTGAAGGCGCATGGGCAGGACGCGCAAATGGGGGCATGGACATGAAGTCGAAATGCGGGTTTGAGGTGGCGAGGTGTGGTGAGTGGCGGGGCGAGCGACGCGTGGTATTACAAGGTATGCATGCGTTTGCACATGGTATCACCGGTCGGTTTCCCCGGTCGTAGGGCGGGCGACTCAGAGCTTACAGGCCGGCGGCCGTTCACTCGTTGCGCACCACCAGGCGGCGCACGGGCTGCTCCACCGGGCTGTCCTTGCTCGCAGGGACCGACGCGAGCCTCCCGAACTCGTCCGGGAGGCGGGGGGACGCTGCAGGCACCTTCGGTGCACTCGGGTCCAGCAGCTCCACGTGCGTCAGCGTATCCTTGCGCTCGCGCGGCGCGCCCTCGACGACGGGGGAGTTCAGCAGCGATGTGCGGCGCATCGGCTGGGCGCCAATCGGGCTTGGTGCGCTCGTTACGACGGCCTCCGAGATCGGGTTCGGCGCGATGTACAGCTGCGGCGGGGGCTTGCGGTGCGCGGAGGGGCGGCGCACTGGGCCCTGGCCCTGCGCGCCGGCGCCGACGCCAGCCATGGCTCCGTTCTGCTGAGGGGCGTCGTACGCAATGCCGCCGTACGGGTCTTCCGTGCCGGAGTACGCCTGGTCGAACTGGTTGTTCTGCGCCTGCATCGCGCCGCCGTTGCCGTTACCGTAGGCGCCGTAGTTGTTCCAGCCCCCGTACGTGGTGTTGCTCTGCTCCTGACTGGGGAACGCGTACGTGTTGTACGCGGGCTGCTGCTGCGCGGGGTACGGGTTCGCCATGCGCGATGGCTGGTTCCGGGGGATGTACGCAGGGGCCGCCGCGGGATAGCCGCGGTTCTCGTACATGCCGCGCGACGTCTCCATGGGCCCGAGCGAGAGCGTACCGTGGCTGGACGAGCTGCCGTGGCCGGTGCTCGAGGCGGCTTCGATGCTGCCGCTTCCGCCCGCGCCCGCGCCCTTCTCCGTGTCGTGCATGAGATTGGCCGCCGTGGAAAAATCGAGGATGTCCCGGTCGATACGGTCGTTCTTGCGCTTGCGGATCGCCCAGGTCGCGATCGCGATAATAAGCACCAGCCCGACGAGCGACGCCGCCGTGATCACGCCGACGGAGAGCGCCTTGTTTGCCAAGAAGCCCTTCGGGGCGTTCGCGGTGTCTGCGGCCACCGATGCCGAGGCGGACGCCGAGGAAGACGTGGAGCTGGAGGTCAGCGACGCGCTGGTCTCGGTGTTGCTCGGAGCGGGCGGCGCTGTGGACGTCGCGGCAGCAGTATCCGAGACTGCCTGGGTGCTTGTAGATGTCGCAGAGCTCGTCGACGTACTAGTAGCGGACGCAGTACTAGAAGTGCTAGCAGCAGAGGTGGCAACACTCGTGGACGTGGATGTTGCACTTGTGCTTGTCGCGGTTCTGTGGAGGTGGCTCATAAATCTCACTGAGATATGGTACTAAGTATAGGTGCACGCACGCAGCTGTACTGGATGTCGTGAGAGCGACCGTGGATGTAGTCTTTACGGATGTCGTCGCAGCCGTGGTGCTCGTGCTCGCTCCAGGGAGACTGATGGCCGTGAGGACCGGCGAGAGCACAGAAGAAAGCCCGCCCACGATCGGCAGGTCGGATAAAGGATCCCCACTAACATACCTGTCAGAAACGCGTCCATTCAAGCAACACTAAAGCGAACTCACAGGAGACCGCCTCCGAAGACTGCGATTATGCGGGGTTTGATCAGCGACTGCGTTGTTTGGGCGGGGGCACGAGGTACTCACTGCCGGCGCGTGCGTGCATGTTAGTGTCGAGTGCTCGGTAGACGCGTGAGTTGCTCATGGTGGGACGCGATTAGCAGATTCAAGTGGTACACTTTTGGCTGGTTAAGGAGTGTGGGGCGTCGACCGATGAGAGTGACCGCTGTGGTCTTCCAGCGACCACAGGGAGGAGGTGGGGAGGTTGGGGAAGGAGAGAAGGCGGATGGCCAGCCTGGGAGGAGTCCGGGCTGGGTGTATGCGGGAGTGGACAAAGAGGTGGATGTGGAGGAGACAAAAGAGGGAGCAAGGGAGGCAAAGGCGGCGAATATGAGAGGGGGACGATAGACCGGCTACAGAGAGAAGTGGAGCTCGGTCGACACATTAAACTATTGTCCACCGCCCGTCCCCTCCGCTCGCCCGCATCCGTTGGCATCACAACAGCCATGCGCCTCTCACCGCATCTCATCTCCACGTCTTCTGGGCCACGCCAGCGAGGTCTAGCATGTCTGTCTCTTTACCACCCCTCTCGCGTGTGAGATGGAGGGCTTGTTCCCCGGAGATGCGTCGATGCATGCTGCACTGTTGCCAGCTGGATGATTGGATCGCAGTGGGCCCAAGCCACAGCGTCATCATTGTCCGACAGCGCGTCGCGTGCATTAGCGCCCACGCGTCTGTGGCAAAATACCCCGCCGGATCAAGATTGGTGACCAAACAAGAGCAAACTGTCCTCAAGGAAGTCTGAAGAAGGCGAAACCCTCAATATCAAAACCCATACTTTTCGGCAGGGCCCCCAAGCCTCAGCTGCCGTAGAAATTGTGCTCTAAATTATACCCTCCAATGCATTGCAACTCATCGCACATACTCTGTGGCGTCCGAAGTGATTTTGTAATGACGGGAGAGGAGAAAACCAAGCCCTTAGCCGAGGTATAGCTACGTTATGATCGGAGACCCCGGGTCTCCCAGTATGTACAGTATTAGTACCTTCGCCTGTACATGATGGCATTAATCGGTATGGCCGGTACCAGAACATGGATGGCTACGGTGACCTGCTTTCCTATGCGGCACCATGGCTAAAAGAAAAGTGTCAGCAACGCCTCACCGCTCAATTGCATGAATTTGGTATTGAATATTTCTGCGTGAGATTAGCGTCCACGGGCATGGCACTAAAACTGCAATCGTGTTGATGTAACCTACAAATGTTTAATGGTGCTCGACGAGTACCTTCTGTTGGCGAGAGCTTGCCTGTCGAAGTTCGGATGGAACCTGTTCACTTGCGCAGCGAGGAATTTCGTCTGACGACCGCTAGTTACATAAGCTACACGCAAGATACAAATTCAAAATCCATCGCGAGACTGGACTCGTCGGTATACAGCAGCAGAGACAGTGCAAGATCGAAAACAACATACCCAATACAGCACAGAACGAAAGTTTTCCGGGGTATCCGCTTCACCTCCGCGAGTTGATCCCGTAACTCTGCCCGGCGTTGCGCTCCATGATCTCGCGTAGCGGCCCGAGCAGTCGCGTAAACGCGTGCGCATCCAGCGCAGCCACCTTCAATCGCGGGGCGGAAGGGCTGTTCCGCACGACTGCGCTCACCGTCGCGGCACGCGGTTCCAGCCGCAGCAATGCCAACTCTGCGATACCCAAATGAGCGATGCTTCCTCAGAGATAACTGCGCGCAAATACGTACCGCCGAAGTAATCGCCTTTTTTCAGTTGCCCTACAACCTCAGACCCACTGCCATCGGGTGCGGCCTTGGTGACGACGGCGTTCCCCTCCTCCACAAAGAAGAACGTGTCGCCCATCTCGCCCTGACGGACGACCGGCTCTCCGTCCTCGTAGATCCGGCTCACGAGCGCGTCCGCGATCTTGCTGCGCTCTTCCGGCTCCAGGGACGCAAGCAGGTCGACCGACGAGAGGAACTGCTCGTACATAGTGCGTCTCCGATGCGCCGCCTTGAGGATGATCGTGCGGAACGTGATGCGGTCCAGCGACCAGAGCGTGGACGGCTCCATCGCGAGCACGGTCGCCGCACGGGGGTGCCCGTACATGAGCGCGAGCTCGCCGAACGAGCTGCCCTCGGCGCACTCCGCGACCTTCTTCCCGAACTCGGCGTGGTATCCGGACTGCGTGAACTTCTCCGCGTTCGATAGTGGCCCGCTCAGCCATGCGGGCGGGAGCGGCTCCGGTCGGATGTAGCAGTGCAGCAGCCCGCTCTCGACGACGTAGAAGTACTCGCCGACGTCGCCCTGGCGGATCACGACCTCGTTCTCGACGACGCGGCACTCGCGCATCGCGTTCAGCACGCCAGTCTCCTGCTCCTCGTCGAGATCGCGGAAGATGAAGTTGTTCGCAATTGATGTGCGGATGCGCCGCAACTGATCATCCGACTTCGGGAACACCGGCAGGGGCTCATACGTTTCGCTGTCAACAGGGATCGATTCTGCGCTGACGGAGGTGCGCCGCGCCAGGATTGTGGCGGTGGGCGGGTGGAGGAAGTCGCCAGGGCTGGGATCGGGGTTGAAGTTGAAGCCGGAGCCGTTCGCGAACGAGGCGAAAGGGTTCGGCGCCGAGATGGGTGTCGTCGGAGCGACGTCCTCGCCCTCGAACTGGAAGCTGGGAGGACTCACGGGGGTCAATGTGCCGTTGTTGTCCGGTAGGAGGGCGTTTCCAGGAACATTGAGTGTGCCGAACGGGCTCGGAGTGGTCCTCCCGTTGAACATCGACTTCCTTGGTTTGTCAAAGGCCTGAGCATTTGAGTGGGAGAAGGGGGATACGCTCGTAGGCCCGCCTGCGGTTGGACTCAGCGGTGTATCCATGTAGTGATCTTCGGGTAGGCCGGACGCAAGGGTGGAGTGGCGGGAGAGTACGTCGCGAGCGCGTGCGCGTTGCTCTTGGAGTCGGGTCTGAAACCAGTTCGCACACCACTGGAGGGTATCCTTTGGTTGGACGCGCTGGGCGTCGCGAGTGAGCTCAGATATGAGGGCGTCGAAAGTTGACGAGTCCGACATCCCGGGGTCGGAAGATTGCCAAAAGGCGAACAAGGGCGGTGCGGGGCTAGCTCGGGCGGCGGTTGTTGTCTGGCGTGGCGGGTGTGGGAGATGGGGGAGATGAGGGGACAAGGGAGTAGCTCGGACGAGTTAAGTAGTGCGCTGTATCAAACGCTGTGAGCGATGGACATTGGCTGTTCGCGAACACGTGGTATAGATGTGCGGTGAATGATGTTTGTGCTTCTCTGCGCGCCGCGTTAGTCGGTCGAAGGTAGGAACGGCGCAAGTCGCGCACCTTCAATTACTTGGTCGGCCTTGTACTCTGCCTGTCCGCGGGCTCGGGGGACCTGTTCTCCCACAGTACGCGCGTGCGGGGTCGATGTGGGAGAGGACAAGGAGAGATGATGCATCCAGGGACGCGTTCCTTCCGCATTCGTCTGTCTGCTGACTAAGCGCCTATATGCAAATAGTGTGACGAGCGTTACGGTTACGCCATTCTGTCACGTGTACTGCGTCACTCGCCGTGCCTCCACGTTGGCTGAGAAGGATCGGTGATAGCTCAGCCTCGTCCCTCTCCTGCTCCCTTCTCCTCAAGCACTGCGCCCTCTTCCCACCTTGTACTGCGCCAAGACAGCTTCGCTGCTGTTCCTTGTTCTCCTTCTGCGTTCGCCTACATGTCATCTGATTCCTTGCGAGTTGAGCTCCCTGCGTACTCTCATTCCTTTCAAGTCAATGCCCCGCCACAGTCCACCATCCGCGATGTCAAACAGGAAATCGCCAGAGTCTGCCCGGGGTCACCTTCCCCCGAGGGACAACGGCTTGTCTTCAAAGGCCGCTTCCTGAACGATGACCAGAAGGTGGAGGACGTCTGGAAGGTGCGCAGCACTTGCAGTTCGTCCGGGTACGACACGGTCTGACGACGATACCAGTCTCCTGATGATTCACGGGTCGTCCACCTGGCGGTTCACCCCTCGGCATGGACTGCTGCACCTCCTACGCTTTCTCCAGTTTCTCAGGCGGCATCCCCGGCCTCTCCGTCCACACCTACTGCGCAGCGTCCGCCAGTAGCGCAACCTCGGCTTTATCCTCAGCCTCCCCGTTCTGCGCATGCTAGCCCGGCACACTACCCTTCGGCTCCAGTACCGGTCCTGGCGTTCATTCAGCACTTGCACAACCTCTCCTTGTCTGTTCTATCCGATGGGGCGATCGCGCTGCCATCGCAGCCGACCACCTCCGAGCTAGGAACATGGCGCGCTGCGTCGGTGAATTTCTACGTTACACGGGGATGGGAATGGCCGGCAGTCTTTGATGAACCGTTCCCGTCAGGCAGTCCCGAGCAGGGCGCGGTCTACGAGCCGGTGACGATCGAGTACGTCTTCTATCTCGGGCCTCGCGCGCTATTGCTCATACACTCTCAAGGGGCATGCCGTACCTATCACTTACCACGCCAAACGCCGTTCCGACACCTGCGCAGGCACATGCGTTGAAGGTTCTGTCGCATTCGTTCTCCGTCCTCTCGATTGCGAACGACCCCTTCTTCTACGCGCCCTCAACGCCGTACCCCGCCTACCAGAACACGCCCACCGCTAATCTCAACCAACGGCTGCAGGAGCTCGGCTTCCCGCCGCTGCGCCTGATACCTGACCAGAACCTGCCTGGCAATGGCAACGATGCGGCCGCGGGCGCAGAGATCCGCGCCATTCCTGTGCGCGCTCTACTCGTGCCCCTGCTCATGCTCGCGTTCCGCACGCTGCTGCTGCTCTACTTCTTCTCGCCATCCAAGCGTCCCCTGTTCGGGATCTTGCTGAGTGCGTGGATTGTCTACGAGGCATGGAATGCCATGCGCCTCGTCCTAAACGACGGGCACGAGCGCCGTGATGATCCCGCCGCCGCCAACCCTGCCGCGCCCAACGGTGCTCCTGCTCAAGGTGGCGCAGCGGCAGCACCCGCAGGTCCGGCCCCTGTTGCAGTGAACCGGAACCCGAGCAGGACACTCCCTCAAGCGGTGCTCAACCGGCTCGCGATGATCAACTTGAACACGGAAGAGGCGCTGCTCGACACGGACACCCAGCAGCCTCCGCCTGGTATCGTGCAGAAGGCGAAGACGTTCGTTACGTTGTTCCTCTTGACGCTGCACCCTGCAGCGTGGGACCGCCGCCGGACAGCGTTGAGGCGGCGCGAGGGACGCATCCGGACGGAGGCGAACGCACGGGAGGCGGCGATGACTGCGCGGGCGGAACGGGAGTCGGCGGGCGAGGACGCCCCTCCGCTGACGCCTGACGAGCAGGTACGGGCGGCGGCGCAGGAGCAGATTGCGGCACGGCATGAGAGGCGACCGGCGTGGGTGAAGGAGTATGTTCAGCGGGTGCAGTACTCGGAGTGGGTCGATGACCCCTAGAGTCGTGGTAGATGAGGACGCAGAGGATATGTATGATAGTTTAGTACGCTTGAATGCCGGCTTGGGTTGTACATTGGACGTAGGATATATTCAGTGCTATACATGGTCGGACATACATTCAGGATCTGACGTCCACATAGGCGCTTAGATCACCGAGGCATGATCGGGGCGGGGGCGCGTCGCAGTCGCGTCGGTACGGATGCTGTATCCAGATCCACCACCTCGTAGTGGCTGCGCACGCAACTAGACCCTCCGTACTTTCCGCAGACTGCTTTCCTCACTACGCATCTGCGAGCTGAAATCTCTCTGTTGTCTGGTCTCAAGCCAACCTAGCACGCACCTGCAAGAGATTCGGACTTAAAGCATGACTTCGCTACCGCCTCGCGCACTGGAACCGTCCGTGCAAGACCATCTTCGCCTGGAGGCCTTCGAAGTACTAATGAATGATCTCGTATTACCATGCGCGCGCTGACATGCGCAATGCGTTTAGGACAAGTTCGACGTGAAGGACTTCGTCGGTGCGATCTCCGAGAAGCTCATTGCACAGTCCAAAGCGGACCCCGGACGTGAGTGGTCCTAGTAACGTCGCGCATGCTGCGCGTGCATGACCGGAACCATACACCAGCGTTCGACCCGAAGCCGTTCATCCGCACGTTCGAGGCAGCCGTGGATAAGCTCATCGCCGTACGCAAGGATGTCCAGGCGAAGACCGAGCAGATGGAGAAGAGCGTGCGGGTCGCGGAGCGTGACTACTCGAAGAAGATGGTAGAGCTAAACCGGGGATTCGAGGTGAATACCAGTGCACCATATGTCCGGACCCGGAAGCTGACCCATCCGGATGCAAGGCAGTTGGCCAGTCGTTCTCCGGCATGGAGACGAAGATGAACGAAGTCGGTCGGACCGCTATTCGTATAGGTCTGTATATGTTTGTGTGATGCTCACGGTTGATTGATACTGTTCTTTTCAGGCGAACAGATGGAGTCCGTTCACCAACAACGACAGCGAGCGCAAGCCGCATATGATCTTATTGACTACTACGGGCAGTTCGCGAAGGACGATACGACTCGCGTTGACGCCCTCAAGAAAGAGGGCAAGGAGGGCAGGCGGAAGGTCGCCGTCCTCTTGCGCCGGTTAGCTACTGTTGCAAAAGAGGTCGACCTGTCCCACTCGGACAAGGTTGGGATTCTATTGGCCGTAAACGAGGGCTTGCTTAACACAGTCACCACGACAGACACGAGAGAACATCGACAGGTATTGCGAGAAGTTCGAAAAGGACATGCTGCACCTATTCGACCGAGCATATCGGAGAGGCGACCCGAAGATGATGCATGTAAATGCCTTCGATATAGCATACGCTGCACATTATACTAACGTATGTGCCGCAGCATTGTGCGCAAACGCTTCTCGATTTCAACGGGGGTGCGTCATGTGTACAAGTATACGTCAATCAGCACGACTTCTTCATCAACCGAGTTGCCGAGTCGACCGCCATTGGTGACCAACTGTATGCTCTCCTTTGATTCACCGTTGCCTCGAGCTCACTACAATATCCTAGCTGGGGAGCCCTACCAGACCCGGATGCTCCTCCACCAGTAACAGAGCCTGGTCTACAAGACTTATTCGTCGAAATTCGTACGACCGTGGGCCAAGAAGCCCAGATTGTACAAGCCGTATTCCCGAACCCAGCATATGTCATGCAAGTCTTCCTCCAGCGAGTATTTGCTCAATCGGTATGTCTCCACTTATAGGGCCTGGGTCGCGTGGGTTTCTCATGCACAAAGTAGATACAACACCATTTGGAACAACTCGTCGCGAGAACAACAACGATGCCAGACTTGGGTTTCCTCCGAATACTGCAACTCGTACATCAACAGACATCCGTCCTAGTGGAAGACCTCAAGGCCTACGAGCTCCCTTCCGTGGTGCCCCGCTCACCGATCGATGCCAACGAATTCGATCGTACAGTGAAAGGCATACCTGCATCCGCAGCCTCCAACACGGCGACAGCCGCGACAATCAGCACGATGCTCGAGACCGCGATGGAAGAGCTCTTCGTTCCCTACACCGAGGGGCAGCGGTATCTCGAGAAAGAGAGCCACAGTCTAGGCGAGCTTTACACAAGCTACCTGGCCAAGTACTCTCGCTACCACGTGAGCTTTCAACATATCGTTACAAGAGAATTCGGTTGACGGTTATGCAGGAGAGAACAGGCGTCAAAGGTAAATCGTCGATGTTCGGGCGCATGGTCGACCAGCTCAGTGCCGCGGCTGCAACAACATCGAACTCCGGAACTTCTACCACTTCCGCTCAGGCGGCGGCTGCGCTCATGCGCTTCGGCGGCCTGGGCTCGTCGACGGATCGTGCGCCCGAGAAGACGGCGGAGGATCCCATCCGTGAAGAGGATGGCATGTTGAGCGTCGATGTCGCGGAGAAGATGCTCAGGTGGCATGCGGAGGCCATCGGCCGCTGTGTGGAGCTGAGTCCGTCGAGTGACGTGTACGTGCCACCGTATGAGTTTCTTCCATGAAAGACTGCTGATATCGGACGCAGTCCGAAGACTACGTTTGCGTTGCTGAGAGTGCTCTCTGCGGTGATCGCCAATTCGTACATCGAGGCGGCCCTTGAGACGTGAGTGCTGCTATCGTCGTCGGCTACTGGGACTAAATCTGTGTATAGTGCACAAGCTCGCCTTGAGGCAGCGGACGCGAAGTCAGAACCAAGCATGCAGCCGCTCACAGTGCTTCGCGAGGTTGACCTCATTTGTCACTTGTGGCAACGCTACGTGACGATGGCCCTCTTGCCGCTCGCAAGTAGCTCTGTCACGGTGCGGCGCGAGATGGTCGTGTTCAACAATCAGGCGGTCTCCCGGATCGAGGGCGGCGCGAACCAGGTCACGCAGAAGTTGGCCGACAGTAAGTACAGTAGCGCATATATGAATCTAGGAAAGCGATGCTCACATATTTGTGGCAGGCATCATCACCTGGTTGTCCACCCAGCTCGCGAAACAGAAGCGTACAGACTTCAAGCCCAGGAACGATGATTTGTCGTTTGCGCGGGTAAACACCGAGCCTTGCTTAGCATGCTGCGAAACGCTCGAGAAAGTGCGCGATGCGGCCAAGGCGAACCTGAGCGGGAAGAATCTCGAAGTGTTCTTGACAGAGGTCGGCGTGGCTTTCCACGGGTACGTATTCACCCCCAACCAGATACGCGGCAAGACGCTAATCGTGGCCCGGCAGATTGCTTCTGGAGCACCTCAAGAAGTTCCCTGTGAGCGCAACGGGCGGCCTGATGCTCGCCAAGGACCTCAAGTCCTACCAAGACACGATCGACACGTTCTCCATCCCCTCCCTCCACGAACGCTTCGAGTTCATCCGCCAGCTCGGCAACGTCTTCCTCGTGAAGCCCGACATCCTCAAGTCGTACATCACCGAGGGCTACCTCGGCCGCATCGACGCGAACCTGCTCCGGCCGTACCTCGCGCAGCGCTCCGACTGGGGCCAGGCGGAGAAGGGCTTCAACGACGCGGCGGACGGCGGCCCCGGGGGCGCGGGCGCGGACGGCAAGGGCGTGCGCGACCGCTTTGGCATGGGGCGGCTGAGCATGATCATGAAGGACCTCGAGCCGCTGCGCGAGATCAGCATGCCGAGCATGCCGCCGATGCAGGGCATGAGCAGTTTTGCGGGCAACATCGCGTCGCAGTTCGCGAGCGCGCGGCCGTCGCGGTTCAGCAACATCGGGGCGTGAGGTGTAGGTATGTGGCCTCGGACGGAGGCGTGGAGCGGAAGCCTCGGAGGATGAAGCCTGGTGGGATGCGTAATTTATTCAGAACCCTCCGCTGTGTGGTATCGATACCTGGTGTGTGCATGTCCGCATGTAAATGTAATGTTACAGTAGTGCTGGTGTGGATGGATCCCCTCATTCGCCCTTGAAGACGGGCGCCCGCTTCTCCTTGAACGCTTGTAGCGCCTCCAGGCGGTCTTTGGTGTGCAACAATGGCTCGTATGACGCCCGTTCAAAGTCGAGACCTGTGTGAGAATCTATTAGGAGTTGCACCACATGGGAGCGGTGTCTGCTGAAACGTACCAGATTCCAAACCGAGTTCGGGCACTCTGGAGATGGCTTGCTTGGCAGCTTTGAGGGCAAGTGGCGCTGCGGGTAGAGCATCGGCCACCACCCACTGATGAATATACGCGTGCAGCTTACCGTTCGCACTCATCTGCTTGGCCAATTGCATCGCCTTGTGAAAGGCAGACGTTTCGGGGTCCGATACATAGTCGACGACACCTAGAGTACGTTGCGGCTCAGCACAATTGTTCCCAAAAAGAGGCTAGTGCGCCCACCGAACTGGTGCGCCTCTGCGGCGGTGAGCACTCGCGCAGTAAAGATGAGGTCCTTCGCCTTCGCGAGCCCCAAGAGGCGAGTCAGGCGTTGTGTCCCTCCCGCGCCCGGGATGATACCAAGCTTGACCTCCGGCAGGCCGATCTTTGTCACCGCATGACCTATTGACATTGGCAGAAGTCCGACTCATTAGCCCGTTGTATCACCTCACCCATTGCGAGGCACTTACCTGCCACTCGCAAGTCGCACGCCAGCCCGAGCTCAAGCCCTCCGCCTAACGCAGGCCCGTCAATCGCAGCGACGGTGGGCACGGGCAAGCCCTCGAGCGTGCCGAGCGCGCGGCGGAGGTCGATGAGGAATTTGTCCACCTGCGCCTTTGACATACCCGCGCGCTCGACGAGGTCCGCGCCTGCGCAAAACGACCCGAGCGTTGAGGAGCGTACTATCAACACGCGTGTACTGTGCATAGCAACGCCGTCAGCAGCATTCTAGATCCCGTGGGACTATGGGGCTAGCGGGGCACGCACGTCTTGTCGAACTGGATTTTGTCAAGGCATTCTTGGAATTCCTGCGGCGCGCCGTATAAGCTCACTGAGAAGGAATTGAGCAACATACAAATGCAGCGCACCTTCAACAGATTCATGGATATCGCGTTCTTCGCCTTTGGCCTGTTCAGCAGCAAGGAGGTGATTCCGGGGTGGTTAGGGACCGGCTCGAGATACGCTTCCGCTGGGCCCACGCCCGCGCTCGCTGGCGGCTGCCCAGTCTGTATGAATCTTCGCGCTGCACATCGTACGTGCGCACTCCTCAGCACAGTCAAGCCGGATACACGAGAAGTTGGGATGATCATGAGGGACGCGACGAGGAGGGAGTGTGAGCCTCAGCCACCCCCGCATTCGAATTCGCGCTACTCATTTCCCGCCGGGGTCCGGCCCGCGTGATGGCCCCGGAGGAGCGTCTCCTCGGAGCTTACAGTTACCGTCGGGGAAGCAGGAAACCCACTCGCTCAGGTTCGGCCTAGGAACTGCGAGATTCCATTCGCTGCACGCCGAAATGGCAAGGTGTACAGGGGGTAGAACGTACAGGTAGTAGGTGCTAATTTCTGCGGTGGTGTCATTGCGCACACAAAACGAGTCCCAGTAAGTACCGAGACGTGCGAATCCATACGAGTGACAAAGGTTGGACGGAAGTCCGGGGAGGAGGAAGCGGCAGGGGGGTAGGTATACAAACACAAACACACAAAAAAGTCATGCATCGTGGACCCATATAGACGTACAGGCACAGGAGGCACCGAAATCGCGAGCCGGGGGAACCAGGGAGCCGCAAAAAAGAGTTGGGTGCCGAACAAAGTAGTGGGGGCCGACAGGCGAGCGGGCGAAGGTGTGAGCAAGAAGCGCTCGCCTTATATATACGGAATGATATCTTGTGGAGGGTCTGTGGTGGGTATATCGCCCGCGCGCTGTGCGAGGCTGTCCGGACGCAGCGAACGTGTCCGGGAAGCCACCAGGTTTATCACCGGCGCGTGGGCTTTTCAGCCCAGGCTTCAGCGCGCCTCCCCATGGACGAGGTCAACGTAGGACGCCTGGTGCTGCTGCACGGCAGGGGCCCCCTCCTGCCGGGGCGAGTTGCGCGGGTCGGCGTACGGGTGCGTGGGCGAGCTCGGGGACTGGCGCGACTCGTAGTACGCGTCCTGGTATTGGCCTTGGGTGTTGTAGTCCTGGCCGTACCCGGTGGCGGCGGCGGTGCCGTAGCCTTCGTACTGGTACTGCTGGCCTTGCTGAGCCTGGGCACGAGCATAGGCGGTGCCAGCGGGGTATTCCATGCCTGCGCCAGTGGCGACGACGGGGGCGGCGGCGCCATACGGTATGCCCATAGGCTGGGGCTGGGCGTACTCGTCCATCGTCGGAAGGCCGTAGTGCATCGAACGATCAGGGTATGCGTCCTGAGCAGCGTGGGTCGTCATCTGTGCCTCGTTCGGGTTATCGTTGCCGAAGCTCATCTCCCCAACACCATCGTTCATGTTGTCGTTTCCGGCATTGTACTTCTCGAAGTACGTCATGTCCTCCTCATCTTGCAGACGCGCAGCGCGACGTTTGGCGTAGAGGATCGCGACGATGATTGCTCCGACGACGACTACGCCAACGACGGAGAAGGTTCCTGCGACGGCACCCTTGTTGTCAAAGAAGCTGTAGAAATGGGATGTGAGTTCACACGGGGAAGGGGCATCTTTGACGATGGCAGTTGAGCGGATGCATACCTGTTGGATGATGCTGATACGTTGTTCGCAGCAGCGGCGGCATCGGAAGCAGTGGGAGAAAGCCATGTGTAGGCCGTCGTGTCGGTGCCTGTGGAGACATGGCGCGACGAGGCGGACGTGGTAGTCGCAGTAGCTGTGGTCTTGACTAGGGTGACTCCCGTCGAGGAGGACGAGGAGGAAGTAGAACTGTGCGATTGACGTGTGAGGCAGTGTCCCGTCAAATTCGCTTGGCGTGTTGAATTGACTTACGAGGAAGTGGACGAAGATGAAGTGGTGCTCGAAGAAGAGGACGAGGACGAAGAGGAAGACGAGGACGAAGAAGACGAGGACTGGGTGGCAGAGTCGGTGTCGGAGGACGTGGATGAGGTGGTAGACTGAGTATCGGGCGTCGCACTAGTGGTCACAGGAGCGGCAGTGGATGACCGGGTCGATGTTGTGGTCGGGGTTTGGGACGTAGTGGTTGGCGGCTCGCTGGTCGTCGTAGGCGTAGACGTCGATGCCTCGGGCGTTGAAGAAGGGCTAGTCACAGGCACAGATGCCTGCGTCGACGACGACCCAGGAAGGTCGTTGGTAATGCCGCTGCCCAGATCGGTGGTGCTCTGAGCGTTTGCCAAGATGAAAGAGTGTGAGGAAAGGAGCGCGAAAGAAATGAGTGTAATGAAGCGCGCTGCGGACGCCGAGCAGACACGCATCGTGAAGGATGAGGAGGGGAGGGCGGGAGGGCGTCGGGGTTGGCGTTGGCAGAGAGCACGAACGCGATGTGAGAGTAGGTGAGAGACAAAGGCGGAGCGGCTGACGGGAGGAAGGGGCGGGCTGCTTCAGCCGCGAGACGGACGCCCTCCGCGGCGCTTCCAGGCCTTCTCGATCGCGTTTCCCACGTGGCCGCCGTCCCAACCTCAACACGCCGAGCATCGCTGCTCGCCTGCCGCAGTGCCTGATTGCCATGACCCCCTCATCCTGCCTCACCTCGGCGCCACAGTCAAGGCAAACATATATATTCCAGGCTTGTACAACGCTGCATAAATATCGAAACAAAATCCGTGGGCTCCCTGGAACGCGCGTGAAGGGTATATCAAACGAAATACAAGGACATACCGACAGATGATGTTCAAGTTCGAAACCCAACAACTTGAGAAAGCCTTGCAGTCTCTAGTCGCCGGCAAGCAACCCGTACTCGCGCATGAAATCCAGGGACTCTGCGCGACCCAGGCTCTCCAGCTCGAGGCAGTACTGCTGGATCCTACCCTCTTTGACGTCCTTGCGGAACTTCGCCGTGTCCATGTCAGGGTTTCGCTCGCTGAGCTCCGCGAGGAGTCGCTGTTTGTCCTGTAGTACCGCCACGGTAAGTCGCCTGCTCTGAAGGTAGGTGTCCAAATAACACTTACCGTCTTACGTAGCTTAGACCACATAGGCCCTATTTCCACGAACGTAAACGAGTGCAGGCCGACGTAGAACCAGCCCGCGTCCTACCGAGTTCGGTCAACACTCATGTAGGATGCAGATACAATTATGGAGTGGTACACGCACCTGCTTCATAGGCCATATGAACAGGTTCATGTCCCCGAGCGTCTTGGTCGACGCCTCGAGACGCTTTACCATCTCCGCGCTGCCCCACCCAATGAGGCACGTCGAGTCAGGGCCCTCCAGGACGTATGGCCTAAACGCAAAGGCCACATCCGCCCCCGTGAACATGCGCGTATCATATCCAGGAGTTGTCTCCAAGCTGTGATACAGGTTTAGCGCTGACCATCACCCCCCAAGTACGTCCATACCTTTCTATTTCCATTTCCTACCGTAATTTCCCTGAGTGGCTAGCTGGTACGACATGTAGGACCACTCACAATTTCCCCATCGAAACCCAGCTGCTGCGACAGGACTTCGAACGGGATGGGACCGTGCCGCATTTCGACTGTCGCAGGCAGCTTATCGAACTCCAAGTACCAGTCGACCTTGTCCTTCATCCTCGCTCTCGAAGCAGATGAGGCGGCATCGGAAGAGCTTGACGCCGACGAGATGGTCGATATACTCTCCTGCGAAGATACCGGCGTTCTTGGTTCTACGGGCGCGATCCTTGGCCGCTCGGTCTTGGTCGGAAGAGGCACAGGAGTACCCCTGCCGCGGGTGCTCGCAACGGAACGTGGCGGTCGGACGGTGGACTCGTCATCCGAGTCTACAGCGCGTCGTAAGGGTTGCGGTTGTGACTGCGATGACACGGTACCACCGTCGCTTCGTAGTTGTTGACCCGCCTCACAGGTACAATCCGGATTCACGCCCTAAGGATGACCACATACAGCATATTGAGCACCCAGCTGATATGGACAAATTGGATCCTCACCTTCAACAACTGCTTGATCACCTTGTGTGCCTTCTCAAGCTTTCGCAAAGCACGGTCTCTCTCCGCAGCGACTGTGCCACTGTCCGAATCTGGCGCAACCCCTGCTCCCGCGAGCCGTTCTTGCAACTCCGCGTTCTCGTGCTCCAGCGCGCGGATCTTGAATGCCCGCTCGAGATTCTGCGCCTCGAGGTCCTCGATCTTCGCGCGCAGGACTTTGTTGCGGGCATCGGCCCCAAGCAAAGCTTGCCCGAGGGTGTCTTGAGCGCGTTGGGCCGCAGATATGACGCCTACGAGCTGCAATCAAAGCCACCCCGATGAGGGCTCCTGCCAAACACGGAACAGCAGCACGCACCTCCCGCTGAAGTGATTGAAGATCGGCCACGGTCTGGTCGGGAGTGGTGCTCGAGCCGGCGAGTGCCATGGTATTGGTGGTGTTGGTGTTGGTGTGGAGAAAGATGGGCGATGAGCGAGTGGGTGACGAGGGCAAGAAGGTGAGACACAAAGGGATTCGCGGCTCAGACGGGGCTCCCGTAAGAAAGACTGCCAATGGCTTGATGGCTACAATGACAGCGGTAATGCCAGGCGCAGACCGGGTGGCATCGACTAGGGCATGCGAGCGTGCCGCCTTAAGGCCTTGTCCACACCAGCATTAATATCCCTCGGCTTCGTCGCGTCCACGAGCTTCTCGCGGGTCTGGTGCGCCTTGCCCGAGTAGGCATGTGGGGGTCGTCGAGGGGGTCCGTACCTGCTCCGACTCCCGCGCTTCCCTCTTTCGCTCTCGCGCTCACACACTGAGGCTGCTCTTGATAACATTCGCATTTGCGGGCAATTGACGGTGGATTTATGGGAGATGAGAGCGATCTTCTATCCGATCGCGAGCACGACGTCCATGTGAGAGCAGCCTTCCCAGTCGAGCGCGCGGAGGTCTGCAAAGGTGCGTCTCACGTGGCCGCGACTTTGACGATGCGCGCCTCGCCGTGCGTTACTATCGCGCCTCCCCTCGCTCCTCCCCTCACTCCTCCCCTCACTCCTCTGTCGTTTCCTTCACCTGCTGCTACGTATAAGTAGCACGCGAGCAGGCTCCCCCGCAGAACACGCATCACACAGCTCGCCATGGCCGCCGCGCACCGCCTGCTCGTCGACATCCACACGCATGTCTACCTCCCGCGCTACGCCGCGTTCCTCCGGAGCCGCACCTCTGTCCCGCGCATCTTCACGCGTACCTCAGCTGAAGGCAAACCGGAAGACCGCCTCCTCATTCTCGACGATGAGCCCAGCGAGGGGCGACCGATCGGCTCACAGGTACTTGCGCACTCCTTGCGTCCACGATAGCGCGCCGTCCGTGCAGCGGTACTGAACCTGCGCGAAGTACTGGGACAGAGATGAGAAGCTCAAGTTCATGGACCGCCATGCCATAGACGTCTCTGTTGTGAGGTGCGTGCTGCCTAAAGTGTCCTATATCGCAGGTTCTAATATACGAGTGCACGCGCGGCGATAGCTCGGCCAACCCATGGCTCGACTTCCTCCCCGCCCCCGATGCACACAAGCTCGCCGAAGAGCTGAACACCGACATGGAGGACTACTGCTCCGCCGGTCCCTCGTTGGCCGCGCTCCCCAGCGCGAAGCGCCTCTACGGCTTCGGCCTGCTCCCGCTCGTCCCTGGGGCATCCGCCGACTCGCTCGTCTCCACCGTCGCGCAGATTAGCAAGCTCCCACACTTGAAGGGCGTGATCATGGGCACGCGCGGGCTCGGTAAGGGCCTCGACGACGACGCGCTGGAGCCAGTGTGGGGTGCGCTCGAGAAGGCGGGCCTTGTCGTGTTCCTCCACCCACACTACGGCGTGGACAAGGACGCATGGGGCGCGCGGGATAACGGACACGTCCTCCCGCTCGCCCTCGGTTTCCCCTTCGAGACCACGGTGGTACGAAGCTTTTCTTTAAACCCCGTTTACAATGTATGCTCACGACCCGGTAGGCAACGACACGCCTGATCCTCTCGGGCGTGCTCGACCGCTACCCAGCCCTGCGGCTGCTCCTCGCCCACTCCGGCGGCGCGCTCCCCGCGCTCTCCTCCCGACTCTCCTCCTGCATCGAGCACGACCCCGTCGTTGCCTCGCGCCTCACGCACGATGCACGCTACTACCTCGGCCGGCTCTACTTCGACGCGGTCGCGTACGGCGCGGAGGAGCTCGGGTTCGTGAGCGACACCATTGGGCGCGCCGACAAGTACGTGACCGCGGGCACGTCCGCCGCGGCGTCGGGCGCGAACGCGGTGGACAGCGTAGGGCAGCGGAGGTTGGGTAGCGGGCGGATGCTGTTTGGCACGGATCACCCGTTCTTCCCGCCGTTGGGGGAGACGGAGAAGTGGAAGAGTGTAGTGGAGAATCTGGAGGCGATCGATGGTGTGTGGGGGTGGACGGAGAAAGAGAAGGATGCAGTGAGGGGCGGGAATGCGTTCTCGTTGTTTAGCTTGGGTTCGTGAGTGGTTTATGCCCGCAGAGAGGATTGGATGTATGGCTACATATGTATTGTGATATCCTGCGACAATCTATTACAGAGGAATTCCCGTTGCTTTCGGTTGCCATTTATTTCATCGGCGTCCACCTAGTTCTTTGGCTTCTGGATCTTGAGACTGAAATCTATGTGTTGCACCGACTGGTGCACCGCGCTCGTGCTCAGGATGTCGATCTCTGCCTCACATCATCAGTGCCCTACCTACCTCGCAGGAGAGCTCAACACGCACCATTAATCGCGCGCTCGTGCAGATTCGCCTCGGTGATGTTCCCGCTGCTTTCAAACAAGAACTTGCGTTCCCCGCGCCACTTCTCCCGCAGGCGACGCGCGACGCCCACGAGCTCCGCGCCCTCGATGTTGTCGAGCATCACGATGTCCGCGCCCGCGTCAATCGCCTCGTTTGCCTCCGCCTCGGACCCGACCTCTACCTCGAGCAACAGGCTGAACCCGCCGACCTTGCGCGCCTGCTTGATCGCGTTGGTGATCGAGCCTATGTAGGGTGTGCACGGACGCGGGGCGCGGAGTTGCCGTATGTGGGATGACGGGCAATTGTGTAGAGTTTATTGTGAGATCGCGGGACGGACGAGAACACGCGGGATCGACGGCGGTTACGGCAGAGTAAGAAAGTGCATGACATCAGAGCGGGTGTAAGAACATTGCTCGTGAGCGCGGGAGGAGGGTATCGCACCGGAGGACCAGATGTGGTTATCCTTGAGCATGATCATGCTCGAAAGGTCGTGGCGGTGGGGGTCGATCCCACCGACAAGCATCCCGTACTTCTCGACGAGACGGAAGCCCGGCGTCGTCTTGCGCGTGCCCGCGACGATTCCCTTGTACCCATTCGCGCGCGCGAGGTCCTTGATCTTCTTGGACCTAGATCGCGAGCGTGCCGCCGTCAGCAGCGCATCCACGCAGGAAAGGGAGGACGTACTGAGTAGCGATGCCACTGCAGCGCGCGAGCATGTTGAGCGCGACACGCTCGCCAAGGAGGATGTGCCGTGCCTTGCCTCTGACGGTCGCGACGTGCTTCACGGGCTCGAACGTCTCGCCCTCCTTCAGGTGCCATTCGACTCTGTTACAAGCGCGCATCAGTCATATTTCCCGCTGAGTCCGAGATCGACAGCCGTGCACACAGCGCACTAGCAGATTGTCATGCAGGTTACACAGATAGAGTACTCACTCGCAACCGACTTGGGTAAAGACCTCGGTAAAGAACGGCGCGCCTGCAAGCACCGCGGTCTTGCTCCCTTTGCCGAGAAGGAACGCCTCGCGCGGTGCTTCCCCTACGACGAAGCCGCCGTAATCGAAAGACGGCGTATCTTCTTGCAGCCACGCCGTCACCTGCGTCTTCCAGCTGGGCGGGAGCAGGTGCTCGAAGTGGTCGTACTCTTCCTGCGTCGAAGTCATGGTCGTTGGCTGCAAAGTAATAAGCAGCCTCCTGCTGAGCGATCGTAGCGCTTCTGGTACCCGGTCCGTTCAAAGCGGAGCCGCGGCTCGCACTTTGAGGCACGCACTCAGTAAGTACTCAGGGCGGATACTGACCTCTTCATGCTCAAAGCTTGGCTATCAATTCGTCGTGTGGGCACAGGAGCGCAGTGTTTTATCAAGGCGCGTTGTGATAAACAGCGAGAGACGCTACCAACACTGTTTCAACAACCCCATCTGTAGTTACCGATCTGTATAGTATGTCTATCTAGGAGATAGTCCAACCATACGATATGCCAACGTCCAACCTCAGAGTGAATAGAGGAGCGTAGAAATCGGGCCAAGAAGGACGATTCGATTCAGAAGCTCCCTCGTTTAAGCAAGGAAGGCGCCGAGGAGGGCCAGGCCGGCGAAGACACCAGCCTGCATGCCCATCGACTGGGCGGCACCGTTGCTGCCCGTGGGGGACGTGGAGGTGTCGGAGCTGGTGGGGTTGAGGGCGTCCGTGCTGTCGGTAGCAGAAGAACCGCCGGTGGTAGCTCCGGTAGTCGAAGCGGCAGGGACGGTCCTAAATTAGAGGGTCAGCATGCGTGCGAGGGCTTCATTTACATATTGGCACTTACAAAGTCCCGCTGCCAGCGGTGACGGTGCCAGAGGCCGCCGAAGAGAAAGTGGACGAAGACGAGCTCTTGATGGTGAACTGCTCAGACTGAGCGAGGATCGTGTTCAGGTTGTCGGTGTCCTTAACGAGGTTGACCTGGAAGCCAGTGCCGGCCTTCCAGCCACCGCTGGGAGGGTTCACGGTAACCTTGCCGAGGGTTCCGACAACGAGCGCGTCTAGGACCTGGCTGGTCGGGGGGAAGCTGGCCTAGAGACATGGTGTTAGGCAGGAGCCACCGCACTTCTGTAGGGGGGTACACACCTGGTTGACGAGCACAATGGTGAAGTTGGCGGCGTCGGTGTCAACCTTAGACCAGGAGACCTCGTTGGGGCCGCTGGTCGTCCATCCAGTGCTGTTGGTGGGCTCCGAGACGGAGTAGGCGAGAGCCGAGGTGGCGAGGGCGAAGAGGACGGCAACAGAGCGCATTGTGGTGGATTAGGACGAAGGAAGAGGGTAGGGTTGGGATGTGCAAGGACAGGGAGGGAGAACGAACGTGGGGTGCGCGAGGATGCGGCGAGAAAAAGACCTCGGTGACGGTTGAAAGGCAAGTCGAGATCGCTTCCCGCCACCTTCGCGGCCGGAGAACACTGGCCGTTCCGGCCGTCGCTGGCGGCGAACTGGACGTGACACGCCGTATGCATCATCCCATATCCGGCATGTGGCCTCGGTCCCCCACAGCCACCCCCCTCCCCGGCGTGCCTCCTCCCTCGGCGGACCCCGCCCGCCGTATATTATCTGTACAACCGTCCCTTCACCGGGTTTCCAAGCCCTTCATGACAAGACATTCCACCTTGCGCTGGCGGTCACCGCTCGACGTCGCCGGTAGGCTTGGGACCTCCAGCAACTCTGCGCGACACTGGCAGACAACCTTTGATGTGGGGCTGACAATTTGGGGCTGACAATTTGGGGCTGACAATTGCACGCAATATTGTCATAAGTTGTACAAGTTACGCAAGGTTTGAGTCGGCCTCTGCCTGTGTCTCGACCTTGGATAGGAGCTCCTCCGCGTCCATCCACAAGTCGTGCTGTCCCCACACCCCCGTAATGACGCCGATGACCATCCAGCACGATGCGTCGTCAATCATACTCGCCTCCTCGGGTACTTCGCCAGCCTCCGATCCATTTTGCGCGGCACGCCTCCGCCGGATTTCACCCATGAGGGAGATGCAGGCGCGCGCCAGATTCCGCAGGAGACTCGTTTCATCGCTTGATATCCAGTCATCGACGCGCGACAACAGTGCGAACATCCAGCGTGCGTGCGACGGGGTGATATCCGTCAGCGGCATCGATGATTGTTCGACCCGCAGGGTGATCCAGTGCGTGAAGTACATCAAGAGATGTATGGCGTATCTCTGGCGTTCAAGGGACTATCAGTGCGCGCTGACATAGGTCAACGAAATGGACATACGTGGTCGATATGTTGCAGGAGACTTGGTGTAGGTTCCCGTGCAATGATTTTGAGAGGCGCCCGTTGCTCAAGCGATGCCTCCACATCCAGCAACAAACTGTCCGCAGGAAGGTCTGGCGGGGCGGGCGTCCCAGAAGGTGTCGGTAACGACCGTGCACCAGCTCCAGGCGTCGATGGTCCAGTCTCCATCTCGAAGCTCATGTTGCTCGGCCCAGCCTCAGAGGACCCACCCTGATGCGCGTCGTACGAGAGCGATGCGTTCTCCTGAACGTCGTCGGCAAAGCGTGCGCCCTGCGCCCTCTTCTGCCACCGGGAGACTTTGGGCTGTTTTGGCTTCTTGGGCGGGTTCCACTCACTCTCCGGGCGGCCCGCGAGGAACGCCCACCACATATCACGTTCCTTCATGGATGGGAGGATGCTCGAAATAGGGTTAGGGATGTGAACGCGGACAGTGGGCTGGGTGGAATTCTGGGCTGTGTCGGCGCGGGGACTTTCGGTAGAGGGGCTAGTGTACACACCTTACGGAAATTCTTGAACCGCCTCACGAACGTCTCCCGCCACTCCTCTGAGGGAAGGAGATCTCGGCGTGGTGTTGACCCATTGGACCCTGGGAGCGGTGCGGCCGAGGGGTCCTCCGGGACGTCGTAGGGGTTTGCGACGCGTGTTACATGCGGAAGCTGGCGTGCATCGCGGCTGTACAAGGGGCCACCTTCAGCAGACGTTGAGGGCGAAGCGAAGCGATTTGTACCTACCGAACCATGAAAAGATACTGCAGCCCATCCACAGGCACCCCGTCAAATGTCTCCGGGAGGTTCGCGACCGGCAGCACCTGTCGCCCTAGTGTAGGCTCTTCATCATCCGAATCGTCGAGCTCTTCGTACTTTCTCTTCGTCTGGAGTGACATTTCACGCGAACCACGAGCTTGGGCGGTGGTGGGGATAGATGTGCTTCAGCTTGGGAGCTGAGGAGGCTACCGCAGTGGCGGCGCGGTCTGACTGAGATAGACGCGCGCATGCAGAGCAGAGATGCTATGGGCGCTTAGGACACTCGCACTTCGCTTCACGCTCCCGCCACCCATACTCCGTCCTTGTCGTAACTCACAGCGCGCCCCGCGCGCCGTCTTTCGAACTGCGGTTGAGCAAATAAGCTCGACGTGATAATGGCGGACGCTGAGCAAGATGGCTACGACCTCGAGACGCTGCAGGCGCAGATCGACATGTCCATGGCGTTCACGCACAACATCGTCTCGGGCTGGATGAAGTCGTCCAAGACAAAACTCCCCTCGTCCTCCTCTAGGACAAACGACAAAGACCTCGAAGAATATATGCGCAAGCCTGCGCGGTTCGTTCTTGTTCCGCGTTCTCTCATACTGTGCCGCCCACACTTACGCTCATCCACAGACTCGGCGTCGGCGCGGCCCCACCCGAGGCGACCGGCGTGCTCGGCCGCGAGACCGCGAAGCTGCGCAACAAGCTCACGGGCAAGGGCAAGAAGCGCGAGCGCGACGAAGCCGAGGAGGGATCCGCGCGCACGGGCGCCCAGACCGCCGGCGGTGGCACCGCCGAGTCCGACGAGGACGAGGACAGCAGGGCGCGGGCGATCACGAAGAAGGCGCGCGTCGACCCGTTTGCGGCGCGGGGCGACGGCAAGAAGAAGAAAAAGAAGAAGGACCCTGTGGCGGGCCCGGCCACTGCGGGTTCCACGCCTAAGGGACAGACCGCGGAGCCGCTCGCAGGGGAGGATGTCGAGATGGGTGAGGCGGAGGCGGATCAGGCTGCTGCTGCTGGCGGAGCAAAATCCCCGGAGAACGACGCTGCGCTGCCCGCGCTGTCGAAGAAGAAGAGGAAAAAGAAGCACAAGGCTGGCGCGGGGCACGAGGGGGCGCAGCAGCCCGGAAACCCACAAGCGCAACATAACACGGCGGGGTCCCCGGTGCCTGTGAACAAGAATGTCGCGAGTGATCTGGAGCCGACAGAGGCCTCTGCGTCGTCGAAATCGCATACAGCTTCCGCTAAGAAATCTTTACGTGGTACGTACTTGCTGACGCAGAACACTTATCCGTGTTATTGATATCCGACAACCACAGAACCCCAAACCGATGCTGAGCACGCGCTGCCTTCTGCGCAATCCACCACGCCCGTCAATGCCGCCGAACCTGCTGTGCGCCAGGACTTACTGGTTGGACCTTTGTTGAACCTCTCAGGGCCTCCGCCAATACACGACACTCAGGACGTCGGCTCTCCGAAGAAGAAGCGCAAACGAAAGAAGAAAAAGAAGAAAACGGTCGGGCAGCCAGCGGCTGATATGGATGCAGTGCACGAAGACGGTGAAGCAGAGGGAAGCGACGACGACTGAAGACACTTCACGACGCTCTTGCATCGTGTTCATGTTTACAATTGGATTAACCGTAGCGATCGACCCTCTGCCCCCGTGTATGCACAACTTTGTCTTGTTATTCGTATGTCACCGAACAGCATGAACACCTTCAAAGCTACAGTATGCACGACATCTAACTGAAGATCCTGGGCCACAGACATAGGTATAGTACACGAGATCCAGCATACATACGGCCCTCCGAGATAAGATAAAACATAATATCCTCCACGTCCAATACTCGTCCAGATGCAAACCCTCACCTGTGCCACCATGTGTGCCCGTTCGACGTGCGGTCCATCTTCATCGCATACGCCTCGTCCCGCCTCTCCCTCCTGCGCATCTGACGCTCCCTGCGTCTCTCCTTATGAGCGAGCCGCATGAGATATCTGCCCTTATCCCTCATGTCTCGTTTTCCCAATAAACATCCCATGATGAAAGTGCCGACGCCATGATGGTGCGGCCTGACGCGGTGGTGGAAGTGGAGGAAAGGGTGCCGCCGCGAGTGCCGTTCACGATAGCGGTCGTCGTACCTAGGCTCGTCGTGATGGCGGCGCCGGCGGGAATGGGAGCGCGAGTTCGAGTGTGCGTGCCCACCATGCGAATGCGAGTGGCCGTGCGAGTGAGAGTTGGAGTGGGCGTGTCCATGGGAGTGCGAGCGGTGTCCGTGGTCGTGTTCGCGCTCAGGGCGGCGGCGACTGCGCCTGGGGAAGATCCAGAGTATGGTGCCGCCGTTGCTGCGGTTGCGCGTGCGGTACGCCTCGGGGTGCTCCTGCTTGTGTCTCCGTATCGCGCGGGCCTCCTTCATCTCGTACAGGCCCTGCCGGCGGGTGTTCTCGCTGCCCAAGAGCGTCCCGCGCATCTTGGTCACCCATCCGTGGACCGTGGAGGCCTTGCGGCGATGGCGACGGTGTCCGTCCTCTTCCTGATTACACAGGGCTGTCAGTCAGCGCGCTCCGGGTATCGCTATAGATAGGAAATGACGCACCGAGTCCCATTCTACGATATTTGGCATGAGTGTGGTATATCAGACAGGCGGAGAGTGTGGTTCTGGGTCTTTTTTTTTTTTTTTGGATCTAGGTTATTATTTAACATGTAGTGCTTGTACAGCCGTCTACGCTAGGATTAATACGGGTTTTCTAATGGTCCCCGCGAACATATATCGAGTCTACTGCGGCGAAGCCGCTCTATAATCGGAAATCATAGCGCGTGAAGTTTATAGAGACTGGAGTGTGTAGAGGGGAAGGGCGGGGGGCATAGGCATAAGCATAGAGAAGGAGGGGAAGGAGGGGTGGGGGTGGCGTGGGTGGCATGATGGGCCTAACCGTCCGGGACGTCGTCGAAGGAGAAAGCTGTGGGATTGTCGACAAGGAATTGCTGGATGTCATAAAACGGGTCCATGGATCCGAGCAGATCCTCGATGCTTGAGTACCGGAACTTCCGTGTGTAGTGATCGCAGTGGAAGAGGACGTGTTCGCGCGTGTGGTACGCCGGCGGTCCGCTGTGGAGGGTGCACATCGTGGGTTCGTTTAGCCGCGTGCGGAACCGGTCTCGATACCATCCTGTCGGGGCGTGGTTCGTAATGCACCGTATGAATCGTGCTGTAAGGGTGGGGCGTCCGCCGAGGCGCTTGAGCGGGTACGACTTCGTGTGGGTCAGGCGGCGGAAGGCCGGGTGCCGCAGGTGCGTCCGGCCCCAGTACTTGGCTGGGTTGGTGTTCGCCATCTCATCCCACTCGCCCAGGACGCCCTCGGTGATGCCACTCTTGGAATAGGCGTACGATGTGGCGAGCCGGCCGCGGTATCGGTCGTTCGGCAGGTCCAGGACGTGCGTGCGCGCCGTGGCTTTGACGTCGGCATCGATGGCTTCGTTCTCCTCGATGTCTGAGTGGGCGGGGCAGTAGTGGAACTGGATGTGGTGGTCGGGGCTGCGTTCGAACCACTCGCGCAGCATTCGGCATGAGTTTGTGGGTGCCATCTTGCCGCCGTCCGGGGATAGGATGCTGGAGAGCGAATTTTCGCTATCGCTGAATATATGGACCCGCCGGTACGACTTGAGACAGACGAAGCCGATCGCGAGGGACAGCGCGATTTGCTCGCAGTCGAAGGAGAAAGCGTTGCCCGTGTATAGCGTGTACGGGGGCCGAACGAGCTGCCCACGGTTGTACGCACGGTAGCCTGCCGCTGACCCGCACACGTCGCGCTCACTCGACGTGACATACGAGCTGCCATCAGTGAAGATCACGAGTGCGCCCTCGTCCTGGTGTGCTGCCCGAATGCGCGGGAGTAGGTCGGTGTTGATCCACACGTTGAGGGCATCCTTGTCGCTCTTCGGAGGGTGGTCGAGGTGCATCGTGATGCGATCAGCATATAGATCGCGCACACGCGCGCCGGGCTGGCACTCGTCGTCGAGCGGGTTGAACACCTCGGTGATCCATGGCCGTTTGCGGTCGAAGACGTCGCTGAGAGGGATTGCGGGAGTAGGGCGGATTAGGTGGGGAGGGAAACGTATGTATGGGGCATTGGGGGAGCGTTTGAAGATGTTGGGGAATGATGCGCGGAGGGGATGGTGCGAGGGAAGTGTGTGAAAGCGGAGGAAGAAGCGGTATTGCAGTTTTTTACAGTGGAGGTGGAGAGGGAGAATGCCGGCGAAGGAGTGCATTGCGCCAATGGGTGTAGTGCGGAATGCTCCGGTGATCCATCGCAGCGCACGGTGTTGAGCCGCCACAAGTGGTTTCATGAGACCCTTGACGCCCTTCGAGCGATACCAGACTTCAACGCCATACGTGAGGAGCGGGAGCACACACGCGATGTACAGTGTGCGGCGCTGCATTGGTGTGAGCCCGCGGTTGGAGTTGCCGAGCATCAGCATCGCATTGACCGTGGTCACCGCGCGCTCCGCATAGTATGAAACATGAGCGTGGAAGTTCAGTTTTGAGTCGAGGCGTATGCCGAGGTACCGCCACACAGCGCTGGGCTGCAGAGAGGAGTTGTCGTCAAAAATGAGGGGGGTCTGTGGGTTTTGGGATGCAGCAAGGCGAGTGGGGACAAAATGCATGAGCTCATCCTTCTCGGACTCCACCAGAAGACCAAGCCGGGCTAGAGTTGTTTTAGTCTCCTGGTAGCGCATGCGGAGGATGGTGCAGTTGGAGTCGATGGAGGGAGTGGAGACAATCCAGAGGCCGTCATCGACATAGAATTGTAGCGCAGAGTCAGACTGAGTTGTGGTGACAGGGAAGAGGATATGGAGGGCGGGGGCAATGTAGAGGTTCGTCAGGACGGGTGACAAAGCAGAACCCTGGCCCGCGCCGACTTCGGGCACATCAAACCAGGGAGACGAGGCACGACCCCAGCGGAAGCAAGACTGTCGGCCAGTGAGATAGTGGCGGAAGAAGCGTACGAGGATAGGGGAGAAGCCAACGCGGTCCATGATGCGACAGAGAAGGTCATGGTTCATGGAGGGGAAGAACTGAGCGACGTCGAAGGCGAGGCACGAGGTGACGATATTCTTCTTCCAGCCCGCACGGATATGAGTGACGAGGCATGTCGCAGCGTCGATGGTGCTGTGTGCCTTGGTGCCGCCAAACTGATTAGGGTGCAAAATGCCGAATTTCTGGCACTCATAATGGAGGCGTTCGCTGAGAACCTTCTCCATGAGTTTGCCGAGTGTGCTGAGCAAGACAATGGGGCGATATGACTTGATCTTGGAGTAGTCATCCTTGTATGGCTTGGGGATGACAACTGAGACCGCACGCTTGAATTGATCTGGCCACACCCCGAGCTCCAGGATGGCGTTATAGAGGCGGTGGATAGTGTCGAGGAAGTGTTCATCAGTGGTGAGGATGCGGAGGTGGCGCCAGTGCAGGTGGTCCCAGCCAGGTGTGGAGGTCGTGGATACATGGCGGAGGGCATCAGTGATCTCTGCTCGTGCAATTGGGAGGCACTCGCGGACAGGGAGAGGTTTGAGCTCGTTGACAATGGTGTTGTCGACAGGGCGGGCAGCAGCAGCGTGAAAGGTGGAATCCAGCGCGTCCCAGAGACTCGGAAGAGACTGCAGTGGTTGACCGTTGTGCACTAATGCTCGATACATCGGCATGGCACGCGGGCCGACCCACCCCATGAGGTTCCACACGCGGCGCTGCTTCTCTGCTACGAACTGAATCCGCTCGTCTAGATGTGTCCGGCGGCGGGTGCGGATTGTGGACTTGAGAACACGGAATGCGCGCCGCACCGACGCACTTGCTGCTGGGGCCAGGCGCGGTGAGTGGAGGCGGACGAACTCGAGGCGCCGTCGTGCACGCTTCAAGTCGTCGCGAGCAGCCGAGCAGGCTTCATCCCACCACTGACGAGACTTGTCGCAGATGCGGAGAGGGGTAGCGTGAGCCGTCCAGGCGCTTGAGATGCAGTCGAACAGAGTGTCCACTGCTGAGCGGAGGTCGTGCTCGTTATGGAGGGGGAATTCGGGAGGGAGACGTTGCTGAACTGCCGCACAGACATCCGCAACGAACTCCTGTTCTTCTTCTGACTTTGGCGGGATTCCAGGTGCGCCGTCGAGAGACCAGAGAGGCGCCGGGATTTCGACATGGATAACCGCATGGTCCGAGAGTCCACGCTCGTCCGCAGCAACTTCGATTGTGTAGAGCTGGTGTGGACGGTCGTTGGGTACCCAAATGAGGTCGATGACAGTGGGGCGAAGGGCGTGACGGTGTGGGAAATGGGTGTGGATGCCAGGAGGTGAGAGCAAGCGAAGGCCGAGATGAGCGTGCAGCTCCAAGACCTCGCCCGAACGCGCCGCGGAATCCGGCGGGTAGTCGGGGTCCCACACGCGCGAGTGAGTGTTGTAGTCGCCACCTGCAACGTCAATAACAGGCAGCCGTTGAGCATTATCAGTGAGGTATTCAATGGCATGGTTTTGGGCATCGTTGTAGATGTTCAGGATAGCAAGAGGGTCGAGAGTGGGGTCAAGGCGTAGGAGGAGAATCATGCAGTCACGGTGGGAGACATTGGGGTCGAGGGAGAGGACAGCGTTGGAGAGCTTGCGGCTGACATGGCACACGACACGTGCATCCTTTCGGGGCTCGACAAGCGTCCACGCTGGGTGGAGCTGCGTGCCATACAGCATATTGTCGTCGGTGCGCTCGGCAGGGCCTGCAGGCGAAGCAGAGGGGATAGGGCGAATGGGCCCGTACCACGGCTCCTGAATACAGACTACGTCGACGTCGCGCGCCGCGCACTGCTCAAGGAGGAGATGTGTATGTTGTGGGGAATGATTCACGTTCTGGAAGACTACATGAAGGGAAGTGCGCATGTGTACTACGATCGGCCGCTGTTGCCACCGCCTTTCCTACCCCTACTTCCTCCGCGGGCCGAGGGTGGCCTCGCATCGGTAACGGTCTGAGGGGGCAGGTTAGCGTGGAACACTTGTGTGGTTGTGCGGCCGAAACGTACGCGCGATGATGCACGGGGCGCGCCGGCCTGAGCCGGGTCTTCCGCGCCGTATGCGGCAAGGGAGGCGTATTGACGGGCGATGGAGGGGACACGAGAGCGGAACCACTCCCAGTCGCTGCGGTGCCGGTAGAACTCGCAGCTATGGTCGTTGGCGTAGTGGGACCCATGGCAGTTCCGACACACGGGCGGGTGCGCACACCGGACAATATCCTTGTCAGGGCGGTCACGGCAGCAGAGCGCTGCAAGGTGGTGCATGGCGGCCTCGTGGTTGCCGCCGCAACGCGGGCAGGTGTCGGTCGACGCAGAGCAGCTCCGGTCGTAGTGCCCCCAGGAGAAGCAGGTGCCGCAAAGGGGGAGCGTAGGACGGTTGGTCAAAACAATGGGGGTGATGGGAGAGGAGTTGGGGCGAAGCGCGACAGAGACCTTGCACAGACGCTCGCTCACTGTGTAGTTCTCGTTGTCAACGAACTCAACCACTAGGAGGCGGGAGGTCTCGCCCTCCACCACCCTGCCCCATCTAAACTTGGTGTAGCGATCGTCAAGATAAGGTTTCCATTCGTCAACAGCGAACAAGGGGGCAGCCGCCTCGCGCGGAGAGAGAGGGACGAGGGAGGCGGAGCGGCGTTCGACACACGGGGCACGCCTGAAGCCGAGTGAGACCCGGTGCTGATAGGGGCGCGTGTCTACGGTCTCGCGCGGAATGTGGGGGTGCAGGGCGGTGACGCGAGAGTGGAGGAAGGATACAGCGGCTTCGGTGGGCGGCTGGTTGAGGATGATCGTGAGGTTGCCGGACGAGGACCACCTAATCGTGTCTACCCGGTACTGCTGCAGGTCGTGTGACCGCTCGAAGCCAGCGGACAGATTGTCCTGCAGGACACCCGGATCGAGGCGGTCGTCGGGGAGGGGGCGGGGTTCGGAAAACACAACGTAGACCGTGCGCTGCCAGTTGACCGGTGGTTTCTTAGTGGGCCCCTGCTGACCAGCCGAACGGCCGCGGGACGGGGCAGCTGATGCCTCCGTCGAGGCGCGGGATGCCGGGCGAGAAGACACCGACGGGGAACGGAGGCGGTCGGCGAGGGTGGGGTGGGCAGGGGATGACGAGCGTGTCGGGCGACTGACCTGGGCGTAGCCCTCATCCATGACACCACACTCTCCGGTGGGCTGGTCACCCGACATCCACAGGTCGCCATCCGCGTCGACGTGCGCCGGAGCTGAGCGTCCAGGAGGCGAGGGAGATTCGGCCTGCAGGTCGATGCGCTCAAGGAGCGTTCGACGAGGAGGGACGGGAGACGGTGCGCGAGGAGAAGGAATGGGGGACGGATCGCGAGGGAGAGGATCGGGCCGCCAGACGGACGACTCGAGGCCAGCTGGTGGCGCCGAGGCGGAGACTGCAGGGGAATCATCGAATGGCGGGAGGTGCGCCGCGCGCGGGCTCGGCGGACAGATGGTGCCGGTGACTTGCTCGACCTTGGCAAGGTCGTCGCCAAAGCGCACTAGGAGGCCGCGAACATGGTCGTACTCGCCGTAGAGGTTCAGCACGGTGGAGTTGAGCCCGTCCAGTGCCGCATTAACAGAGGACCAGGTAAGCCAGGCCTCGTCCTTGGACAGTCGCTGTGTGAGGGCGCGGTGCTTGCGGAGAGTATTCGTGACATTGGTCAGCAGAGCAGCGACCTGAAGGGCGATGGGAGCGAAGTTCTGGGCATCTTCAGAGAGAGCGGGCGGAGGTTCGAGATCAGAGGGGGTCGGACACGCCGGGCTAGGAGAGGGGGTCGGACGCGCCGGGCTAGGAGAAGAGGTCGGACGCGCCGGGCTAGGAGAGGCGCCGGGGGAGCGCTCGCGACGTGGCGACGTGTCCGCGTCCGGGTCGGCCCCTGGGGGCTGCCCGTCGAACACCTCGTCGTCCGCCAAATACCAGTCCAGCACCGGGGAGGAGCCGTCAGTCGCAGAGGTGCGCGGCCGGACCGCTAGATGAGCATCGGATGGCGAAGTGAGCGAGTCGTTGGGAGAGCGGAGTCGCTTGCGAAATAGGCGTGGAGGCGGCGTCTGAGCATGCTGGGTTGGGCTCCGAGCCTCCGCTGAGGAGGCCCGAGGCTCCATTCTGAGACGAGGCGAGCAAGGGCCCCGAGGATTAGTGAGAGCAGGCGGGTGAGTAGAGCAGGAATGGACCGGCGCCTAACCAGGATGATGGTGGTCACGGTGTGGTTCTGGGTCGAGAGATGAGAGAACCGCAGGCCCTGGGTATCCGGTGTTTTGTGCGGGGACTCGAGAAGCGTCGAGGTCATCGTTCGCCGGATCGGGGAGGACACTTTGTTTGTACACGCGAGCGTCACGATGCACGTGAGTTTGGGTTACACGCGCCAAACACATCTCCGCGTCTGCCCACGCGTCTTGCGTCCACAACGCGTGAACTGGGGTCGCAATCTTCTCCACAACTCGACGTCCGACGGCGAAGTACTTACGTGTATGTGCAGCGCGTCGGCGGCCACATGTCGTCCACTGACGAAATGTTTCATGCACAATTCCCAGCGATGTGAGCTTTTATAGCAGATGTGTGGCAATTGTTATGACGATTGATACAGGTATATTCTCAGCACGACCACCCCTGCAAAGATCGGGCTTGCAAGCTTGACACATCTCTGACAGTACGCCGACGCATCGATGAGATAAGACGACGACTTTCGCAAGTTTCGAACCCCTATATCCCCGCGCGTTCACATCCGCCACTATGATTGCCCTATCCAAAGATATCTGCACGATTATCAAGCTGAGGGACCTGCTAATCCGACTTTGTGCCTCCTTCGTAGCGTCCCGCAACATAGACATCGAGGTCTGGGTAGCCTTCCATGCCGCGGGGCGACTGTCTCATCATGGCAGCACCTGCTGGGCGGGCAGAGGAACGAACGCCGACGCGCCGGAAAAGGCAGATTTGCCACGTGAAAGCGGGAGATGGGGCCAATTTGACGCCACAAAGGCACGCCTCGACCGCTCTCGCGCGCTCGCCTGGCGGCCAGGTCGACCGATCCGCTGACCTTTGCGACGTTCTCGACTCGCTCGCGCGGTCTGCTCCTGCGCGTTGCCATCCTGCCGTACGCTCTGACCCTGTCCGTCCCGAGCCATGGTCCTGCTCGAGACCCTTCATAAGGCCGTCGCAGCTCGCTGCAGCGGCCATATCGCCCTTCGAGTCTCTTCCAGCACCGTGCCATCAGCCTTCGCCCATCCCGATATACCGCTCTGAGTACTCCAGCCACAGGGGCTTCGATTATGGAGAACCATTTCTCTGGCCTGACACTGGACACTACGGAACCTCTCGTCTGCCCCTTCCCCAGGAGTAATATGTCGGAGAAGTCCTCCAGCAGCCCCGTTCCGAGCTCCTCACACTCGCCGACCGCGACGGAAACGTCCCAAACGCCATTGCACTCCTCATCTTCGCACACGGACTACGGCGGCCAAAGTTCCTGCCCGGTGTTCACACAAGAGGTCGACCCGCTTCTCATCAAGACGTCGCTCGAAGACCGCATCGCCTACCTGACGGACTTCCTCGGCTTCACCTCCCGCGACGCGGACCTCATCAGCAAGATTGCGCCGTCCGTGCACGATGCCATCCCGGCCATGGTCGACGGGATGTATGCGAAACTCTTTGAGTTTGACATCACGAAGAAGGTGTTCATGACACGGAATCAGGTACGTGAATGCGCTGCTGTGTACCCGTAATGGCCCCGGTGCTCAGTGTGTTACAATGACAGGGCTTCGACGGGCCCCTCCCACAAACGCTGGAGGAGCTAAGTTTGGACAGCGCCCAGATCGTCTTCCGGAAGGTACGGAATGCATATTTCAGACGACAGGGCCTTGTATTCATGCTCGTTTCAGGTGTTCATGAAAGCGTGGGCGCGCCGCGTGCTCACGTCGGATTACTCGAATGGCAAGACATGGGCGTACATGGACAAGGTTGGCATCATGCACACTGGTGCTTCGCCATTCAAGCATCAACGCACGATGGGGATCGCCCCGCTGAACGTACCATGTGAGACCCCCGCAGTTCCGTGTGCTCATGCCGACGACTGACCCTGTACTCGAACGCGGCAGACCGCGATATCGCGTTGATGCTGGGGTGGATCCAAACGGTGCTTCACTCGGCTATCCTCCAGATTCCGGAGGACAAGTGTCCTGCGTCGGAGAAGATCGAGGCGGTGGCTGCGATCAATAAGGTACGTTCGCCTACCGCTCCCGCGGAACCGTCTTGCTCGTGTATCTCACCACGTGTCGCTGGCAGGTTCTCTGGATCCAAAACGACCTCTTCTCGCGCCACTATATCGGTGATTGAGGGGGGTTCGCGCCCACTGTCATGCATTGTATTCGTGCTCTCGTACTCAATGTCTTCCTACACCGGATGCTGTCCGTCTGAAATGTACTGTAACTTATCCGGGGATGTAATGCAACATGTAGCAGTGAACTGTATGTGGCGGTCGCGCGTGTCATGTACCGAGTCTACTGTACTTCATCGATCATGCCCTGACGCGTCCGCGAACTGACCGATTGCAAAAACCCGGTGTCTGCTAGCTGCGTTAGTCCCTCGTGTCAGGTCGACGCGTAGAGGAGGGACCAACACCATATGGCGCGGTAGGCTCCTCGACATACCCGGAGGATGTGCCACCGGAAATGTGTACAGCGTCTGTTACCAAAAAAGGTAACTAGGTTCGAGAAGGCGTCACCGCCCCGCTACAGCCTCGCACTCTCGCGTGCCTGCAGCTCTCGCGTCTCGCGCCAAGTGCCCATAAAGCCGTGCTGGTATGTGGTACGACACAATAAGCAGACGGAGGTGTTTATCTTCCGCGGGGGGAAGAGGGGGGTGCGGGCGTCGAGTCACGGATTCAGCGATAGTTCGTAACATGAGGCTGCTACGGAGAGGGATCGGAGCGGCGAGTGCGCACTGGTGGAGGAAGTAGCGTGAACTCCGTAGCGCGTCGCGTTGGGAACAAGAGGAGTGTTCGCCGTATCGCCGAGATCTTGGGAAGTCGAGCTGGGGAGCTCCACTTGAACGATCTCCTGGTGGCGTCCTGACATACCGAGGACAAGTCTCAGGGCTGCGACCTCATTCAATTGCACATCGCCTCACGGGGTTTGGAGAAGTAGACGCGACGGGTTCCTGCGGATGCGCAAGGTATCTGAGATGCATCTCGAGATCGTGCTGAGACTCGCTCGAGTTTGGCAGATTCTGACAAGAGCGCGATGGTTCCTCGGCAGACATTCGACGTAAGAGTCATTATTCCGTGTACGCCTAATTGTGATCGGAATCAGTCATACTCTGCCGGAGGAAGGAGGTAGGGGAATTCGCCGGGTGTCCATGCGGGCCAGCTGGGAACGTGGTGCTGAACGTCGAGGGACGAGGGGTCGTCTAGCAGAACATGAGGCCCCGGAGGTGAGCTGGAGAGGGATGTTGCGACAGGCGGCGACACTGCATGCTACAGCTTCAGCGCAAGCAGCTTCTGCGAGCGACGGCGGACGGTGGCAGGTGTGGCAGAGGACTGGCAGAGCATGACGTTGGGTCGGGCAGCGGCAACACGTGGGGCGCTTCGGACGCGTCGCGCTCACGTGCGCGCCCGTCGGCGGCTGGGATGCGTCTAAGGCTGTGCGCGCTTCATCGCCCTGCTCTCAGCAACTGCCATGACGCCTATCGAGTTTCCGGCCGTGGGCTTCACCGCGAGTGCGCCCCAATGCACGACCCGGCGGTCCCGCCTGCGCCCCTCCGGGTCGCGGCTTCATACATAATCCACCAGCCTCCGACGGACCATGCCCATCGACCTCGGCTTCGGTGACAGAAGCCCCCTTCAAGCCCGCAGCGCAATTCGCAGCGGTCAAAGCCAAGCATGGTCTGGAGGAACATCAACGCCGTCATAGACGGGAAGCTCTACCTGGGCACGTAAGTCGGTGGCACTGCTCTCTTGACAGCTCCCTTTTCTAACAGAACCCCCTCCGTGCTTTCGCAGGATCGACGCTGCCATCTCTCCCAGGACGCTCGCTGACAGGCGTATCACGCACATAGTCTCCGTGGGCTCCGAGCCCATCCCCGCCGACAACCCCGCCTCGGGCATCCGCCACCTGCGCATCCGCGTCGAGGACGTCGACTATGCCGACCTACTCATCCACATGCCCGTCGCGTGCCGCTTCATCCACGAGGCCATCAACGCTGGCGGCGTAGTGCTCGTGCACTGCGTCCAGGGCCTCTCGCGAAGCGCCACGGTCGTCGCCGCATACTGTGAGGAGGCTCTGCAACGCTCATGCCGCTGTTCCGACGCTGACGGTGTTCGCTTGACGTAGTGATGTACTCTCGCCGCATCGAAGCCAGCGAGGCTATGGAGATCGTTCGCCGAGGTAGCTTGCCGCCCGCGATCTGCTCATTCCGCGCCGATCTGACAATTTTTCCAGCGCGTGAACAGGTGTGGATCATCCCGGGCTTCCAGGTACGCTGCGGTGCGATCACGAATAGTGCCCGCGCAGTTCTGACCGTTCCATCAGGAACAACTCGTCCTCTTCGCGCTGTGCCAGTACAATCCGTCCCCGAGCGAAGGGATCTACGTCCGCTGGCGCCAGAAGATCGATCGCTTCCTCCAAGGCCAGCAGGCCCAGGGCGCCCGTCAGTAGCGGCCAAAACCAGGAACCCCGTGCAAGGCGATACACACGGCCACTCTATATTGCCCTCTTGAAGGAGCTGAACACCGATGCACATATACCACCTAGATGTTGGGATACGGTCCTCTTGCTTTCCATTATCCTGTTGCTGCTACTACCCAGGTCTCTCGTTTTGTTGTCTGTTGTAGCACCAAGCCACGCTCGCTTCCCCGACTCGTCTGCTACTAATACTCTACACTGCTCGTATTCCCCCGACCCCCGCTCTCTGTCGTACCCGTAATTCCACCTCTGACATTCCTTGACGGAATGCCCTCGTATTTCACCACCACTGTGTGCAGACTGTGTGCAAGCCTGAGCCTGTGCCGCTATGCCGAGAATCTCGGACTGCGGACATTGTGTCATGCCCACGTGATTGCTACACTTTTGACATGCGCTCCACGATCGCGTACGCCGCACGCGTTGGTGGCTGACGCCCGATTCACACTCCCTTCCTCTCGTCCGTCGTCTTCCACGACGTCGACGCATACACCCTGCCGCTCGTTTCTTGGACAGCCTATCCACACATCCTACAATCTCTTCTACGCTCGTTATAATACACACTCATGCCCGTTACCACGACCTCGGCGGCGCTCCACATCACTCCAGGTGCGCATTGAAGCGCATTCGTACTTTGGTGCAACATATGACTCGCCGTGTTATAGTGGTGATAAAGACCTTCATCAAACATGCGAAACGCAAAGGTGCCAAGTTTAAGGACGGCGATGCAACTGTGGAAGGGTTGGACGACATTTTATACGACGAGTGAGGCTTGCACATCATCAAATTAGAAGGCAAATTATTCACGCTCGACCAGGGCTTTCCACATCGTCAAAGCGTTCATAGAAATGGGAACGAAGAACACCGTCGAGTCTCTGCAGACCTTGTGAGCACCTCATTCATCAACGCGTTCTCCGTGAGCTAACCTCATGTCCAGTACGAACACCCACGTGCCGGCACCGTTCTGGTGCGCCGTGGCGCCGGTCAGGATTCCACTATCCTCTTGCAACAAAGCTGCGGACGCTCTCATTGAGTGGTTCGGACCGGAGGACCTCAAGCATGTCGTCGGCGGCGAGAGGTGGTGGCAGATCCGCGGCATGGAGTGGATTGACGGCGAGTGGGTTACAGAGAACGCCTATCTGCAAGACGGAAACTCCGAACGAGAGAAGGGACTCACCGACGACGAGAAGACCATAAAACGCATGGAACATTTGGACAGGGTCATGGTAAGTGAACATTCCCGTAACTTACGCCGAGTCTCACGACACCGTCCATTTAGTTATATGTCCATGGCGGTAGGTCGAGGTTGTGATTTCGTCATAAGAAACCTACTTTGACTGATGCATAACAGGCGCGTATTTCTGGGGGTCTATCAGTGAGTACGTGCTAGCGTCAGTCAAGTCTCCGAATTGACCCTTGTGCAGACACTCATCGCTACCAGGTGATCCGGTATGGTGAGAAACGATACATTCACATCGTTTATGTGATCCGTATAGATGTTGATATGTTTGGGCACAGCTCGAAAGATGAAGGGTCGCGCCTTCACGGTCAACTATCGGTGAGCTCGGACTTGCGAACCAGTCCACGCAGCCTGTAACAGGAGATTGTTAGGAAAGCGCCTCAGTACCCATGGCCGTGCCCCCTGCAAGATGTTCTTGCGGCCTGTGCGTCTGAAACCTGACAACGCTCAGAAGAGACACTCACTGAGATGCAGACTTCTACTTGACGAACCCACCGCCGGGAGCTGTGCACGAACCTGTTCATCCCTCGAGGATTGTGATCGCCGGCGACTCTGCGGGCGCGGCGCTTTGCTTGACTGTCCTGACCATTCTTCGCGATCTCGGCATTCCACAGCCCGCAGGAGCGGTTCTCATCAGCCCCTGGGTCGACCTCACCCATAGCTTTCCTAGCGTGATGACCAACAGCGCCACAGTTGAGACGATCCTAAGTTGTTCACTTCGCGAGCTGACACAGGAATCTCTCCAATAGGACATTATCCCTCCCCATGGTTTCATCCACAAGCCGTCCACGCTATGGCCTGTCCATCCGACATCGGAAGGGGGGTACGCGCGCGCGATACAAACAAGGAGTAACCCTCCGCCTCAACCTGGGCACGCCGACAACTTGAAGCCGGACAACGACCGCGTCGCGGACCAGGTCGGGCAACGATTGGAGCAGAGCGCTGAGAAGGGCGAGGAAGTCCATGCGGCTGACATACAGGATAAGCCGGAGGACGTCATGTCGCAGAAGGAGATGGAGAACGTAGGGGACGGTGAAGCACCTAATTCACAGCCCAAACAGGCTGAGGGGGACTGCCAAACACCGACAGGCGATTCCGAAAAGCACGAGGACCAGGACCCTAACCATGACCTTGCTGAGGAGTTCTGGGAGCCGAAGCCGCCGAAGGTGTTGATGGAGGACCCTAACGCCGTCCCTTTGGAGCTGCGTGCGCAGATCCAGCTTTACGCTACAACAGAGTTCGTATATGCTCCCGCAAAAATGACGTGTGCTGACATGTACCTACAGGCAACTTTCTCATCCTCTGGTATCGCCCGTGTTGCAGTCATCTCTGGGCAATCTCTGTCCCCTCTATATCATTGCAGGAGATGGCGAATGTCTCAGGGACGAGATCATCTATATGGCTCACAAGGCAGCCCATCCCAAGGATTATCCCACACGTCGTGGGGTCCTTAAAGAGGGGCGCCGTCAGAAAGAGAACGCGGAGAAATTCCAGACGCCGACTAAGGTAGCCTTACACCCGTACCTTTGCGATTTACCGCTATGCTTAACTATCACCGTCAGGTCCATCTCCAAGTGTTTGACGGTACGTGCTTTCCGCTGATGGCTAACATAATGCCCGCTTGATTGGCATATGATCAGATATGTGCCATGTCTTGACTGTGTTCACGTTCACCGAACCGGTAAACTACCCATCCAAGAGTGAAGGAATGCTCGCTCATGCCATGCGGTAGGCAAAATACGCATACAGGTCCATAGCACAGTTCATCAAGCACGTCGTCGACAACTCCGACGACCATCTGTCCCGCAATCCCTTCCCTGAGCTACACAGACCGCCGTCCGAAATATCCGATATGGAAACCGAGAAAGTCGGACCTCCCCATCTCTCTTCCCCCAAAAGCTCATCGACTAAAACGTCCCCTAAGAGACCTCGCGGACCTTTCAGGAACACGAGCAGGGACAGTGGTAGCGGCGAATCCGACGTTAGGATGTACCGCTCCAATGAGGCTGTTGCGAAGAAAGAAGTCGAAGAGGGGAAGACGGACAGGCTTCACGTTCAAAGCGGGAGCGGAGAGTCCTCGTCTGCTACCGCTCATGAAGGCAGCATTCAGGAGGTAGGAAACACAGTGTGACCTTGTAGCGTTGCTCATATTCGTGCAGGACATTTCCGCCGTGTACATGATCAGGGAGCGGGTAGACGTCTTAGGCAATGTTCGTCCGATGGAGCCCCCTGAGGAGATCCCAGCACTCCATCTGAAGCCGAACGAGATTGGGCTTATCAAGGAAGCCCCCGTGCGGCGATGGCTTAGTGGACAGGAGGCTTGGGACAAGAAGTACAAGCGGTCTGCAGAACGCGCCATTCGTAAGCGGAAACGCTATGAGGCCAAGGCGGCAAAGCTGCTGGAGCACGCCAAGGAGCAAGGCCTGGATCATGCTGAACTTCGTCCACAACCATCGAGGCACTCTCTTGCTGAGACGGCGTCCTCAAGATCGGTTGGCGAGGTTCAATCCGACAGACGCTGGGGTGAGTGTGAGATCTTCGTACTGTTACTTAACGTGTCTTGACCTTTGGTGGTAGGACCGCTTGACCTGAAGGGCGAAAACCCTCCACCGACCGCCATCGCAGGACGACGAGACACGGTACGTGAACACGAGCTCGACGGACGGCGGACACTGAAATTAGATTCCTTAGGCCGAGGCGATTGCGCTTCTGAAGAAGTCCATTTACCACAACGCCCCTGCTACTCATCGCACGGTCCCCAAGCTCAGGACCTCAGACGCAGTGCGCGCGGCCTTCGACCCGCACGACCATCCCGTCAAACCACCTCAACAGTCTGCCTCCGAGCAGCAAGTCCATACGCAGTTCATTGCCATGCACGGGCTGCGCATGTGGCAATCACTTGTCGAGTGTGTTTGTTTGTTTACTATCGATCTCGCCTTCCTGACATTGGGGCAACTAGACTGTTCATGCGGAAGAGCACGAAGAAAGTGGAGCGCGGCAAGAAGCATGCCTCCTCCGCGCTGCGCTCTACCAGTGAGAAGATCAGCGGAGCGAGCAGGTCGGCATCCGGGCCTTCGATGTCGCAGAGCGCGTCTTGATTATGAGGCTCCTGGGTTTTTCTTGGGTTTTCGGCATCGCACATATCATTATACCACTTCACTCCGATTTCTCTACACACACGACAGCGCCCCTCAGCCTCAAGGCCCATGCACTTGCACATACACGCGTCTCGGCAGCACATTAGATTCAGTTAGTGGTAGACATCACACATAGACAGGCCGTTGTCAAGTTTACTGCGGGTACACAGATCGACGATCAAATAAACGCGACAACGTATATAACTACCAATCCTTCGCACCTCCCATCACCGCGTTTTCTCCATCATCCTCGGCGCGGAAGCCTGCATGCAACATGCGTTCGCGAAGCTCGAGCCTCGCTCTCGATGGCTGCAACGCGGCTTGTGCATGGCCGTCACGGTATGAAGTGAAGGGCTGCGCACGGACCACAGCCCTGTCTGGCGCGTGGGAACTGCTAAGTCAGCACCAATCTTGCCTTTCTTAACCCGCGTCCTCGCCCTTTGCGCGCGCCGTCTTTCCCGACCTCTTCCTTGCTCGCCCAAATAACCGCTGTGAGTGGCTCTGGACGCGTTGGACGGCGCACAGGACGTTGACATGTATCCTATGAAGTTCTCCCCGTCTCCTTGAAAAGATGCGTGAAGTCATCTCCGTACACGTTGGTCAGGCCGGTGTCCAGATCGGTAACGCCTGCTGTGAGTTGGCATTCCCATTTACCCCACATTCCGAGTGCCATCCGCATCCGTGGGTGCAATTGACGCGTCATCTCAAATTCTTGTGTTTCCGCGCGCGTTTGTGTACGATGTGATTGACGAATAATCGGATGTGTTTGCAGGGGAACTTTACACCGTTGAACACGGTCTTGGTGTGAGTGCACATCGCAGTAGCGCTTGGAGGAATACGGCATTGACGATGTCGTTAGCCCGATGGTCGTCTTATCGATACCTCGCCCTCCCACCACGATGATGGCTTCAGCACCTTCTTCTCGGAGACCTCCTCTGGCAAGCACGTGCCTCGGTCGCTTTACGTCGATCTCGAGCCCAATGTCATCGACGAGGTTCGGAATGGTACCTACAGGAGTCTCTTCCACCCGGAGACTCTCGTGACGGGCAAGGAAGATGCTGCTAGCAACTGTGAGTGGCACACGTTGCTCGGCTAGATGCCTTTGTCTGACGCGTACCGCAGACGCCCGTGGCCACTACACGGTGGGCAAGGAGCAGATCGACCTCGTCATGGACAAGATTCGCCGTCTGTCCGACAACTGCAATGGGCTCCAGGGCTTCTTTGTGTTCCACTCGTTTGGCGGTGGAACCGGCTCTGGGTTCGGCGCTCTCGTTCTTGAGCGCCTCTCCACCGACTATGGCAAGAAGTCCAAGCTGGAGTTCAGCGTGTACCCTGCGCCGACGATGGCGAACTCCATTGTTGAGCCTTACAACTCCGTTCTCACCACGCACACCACACTTGAGCACTCCGACTGCTCCTTCATGGTACGCCGAATTATTCATAATGAGTGCCCACTCACTCACTTTCCTTTCAGGTTGACAACGAGGCCATTTACGACATCTGCAAGAAGCGTTTGAACATCAGCTCGCCCGGCTTCGCCAACCTGAACAGGCTCATCGCCCAGGTCGTCTCCTCGATCACCGCGTCCCTCCGTTTCGATGGCTCCTTGAACGTTGACTTGAACGAGTTCCAGACCAACCTTGTTCCGTACGTGTTGTCCCACTGCGCACTGAAGAAGCGCTCTCAACTCAGGACCTCTTAGCTTCCCTCGTATCCACTTCCCCCTCGCCACCTTCGCGCCTATCATCTCGGCCGAGAAGGCCCACCATGAGCAGAACTCTGTCATTGACATGACGTTCTCGTGCTTCGAGGCTGGTAACCAGATGGTGAAGTGCGACCCCCGCGAGGGCAAGTACAGTGAGTGAAAACTATGCGCATATAGTCACTGTTCGGAGATTGACCGTAGGTAACAGTGGCTTGCGCTTTGCTCTACCGCGGCGACGTTGTTCCCAAGGACACCAACGCCGCCGTCAGCCTGATCAAGACGAAGCGCACGATCCAGTTCGTCGACTGGTGCCCTACCGGCTTCAAGCTCGGTATCTGCAACGAGCCTCCCGCGCACATCCCCGGCGGTGACCTTGCCAAGGTCACTCGCTCCCTGTGCATGCTCTCGAACACCACCGCCATCTCGGCCGCGTGGAGTCGTCTTGACCACAAGTTCGACCTCCTCTACTCGAAGCGTGCTTTCGTCCACTGGTACGTCGGTGAGGGCATGGAGGAGGGCGAGTTCTCCGAGGCTCGCGAGGATCTCGCTGCCCTCGAGAAGGACTACGAGGAGGTTGGCATTGACTCGGCCGACGCTGAGGAGGTTGGCGAGTACTAGACGCCATAGTACTGCTCTCTTTCGCTATTGTTTCGCTGTCCACGGTCATCCGGTAGCTGGTTCTGTTCTCCTTGCATTACGACATTACGCATACACTCGATATCCCCCACCACGCTTGTGCTCGCACACGAGCGCACGCAATCATACCATCCTTATATTCCCTCTTGTAATTCCTGGAGATGGCCGCAGTGCCGGCACAATGGAATAGTTCTAGCATGCATGGAGACTGGGCTGGGAGGAATGCATGCGGAGGGGGACGGTACCGATGGAAGAACGGAGGCGGAAATTGACTAGATTGACGAGTGACGGAGGTGATAGAGTGACGGTGTGACTGATGTTGAACGCGAGAGAGAATTCCCGAAGAGCAGCACAATCACCAACGACGCGACTTGTCGCTGACCACCACCCTCCCCTCACCGATCTCTCATCCTCCCCTCATCCGTCTCAGTCAAGATGCGTGAAGTTATCTCTCTCCAAGTCGGGCAGGCCGGTGTTCAGATCGGTAACGCGTGTTGTGAGTCTCTTACTCGCTGTTCGGTCAGAGGTCGGCTCTGAACAGGGCACAGGGGAACTTTACACGCTCGAGCACGGGTTGAACGTACGCGATTTTCCCCCCACATCCCCTCCAGCATGCTCATAGTTCTCGTCACTAGCCCGACGGTCGTCCCTCCGAGAACTCGAAGACCTATAGCGATAGCGGTTTCTCGACGTTTTTCTCCGAGACCGGTTCGGGCAAGTATGTTCCGCGTTCGCTCTACGTCGATCTTGAGCCTGGTGCAATCGACGACGTCAAGACCGGTCCCTACCGCTCGCTGTTCCACCCTGAGACGATGATTTCTGGAAAGGAGGATGCGGCCAACAACTGTAAGTGCGCTGGCAGTCGCGTCGCGTCACCCACTCTAAATTGTCGCGTCTCACAGACGCTCGCGGCCACTACACTGTCGGCAAGGAGCTCATTGACCCCGTCATGGACAAAATCCGCCGTCTGGCGGACAACTGTAACGGTCTCCAGGGCTTCTTCGTTTTCCACTCGTTCGGCGGTGGAACTGGCTCTGGTTTCGGTGCTCTCCTCATGGAGCGCCTGGCCAACGACTACGGCAAGAAGTCTAAGCTCGAGTTCTGCGTGTACCCCGCGCCCCAGCTGTCGAGCTCCATCGTCGAGCCGTACAACTCCGTGCTGACGACTCACACGACTCTCGAGCACTCCGACTGCTCGTTCATGGTACGCGCCTCGTTATTGCCACCGCGCCTGGAATGCATCTGACTCAGGCGCTTATAGGTCGACAACGAGGCGATCTTCGATATTTGCAAGAACAGGCTCAACGTCTCGCAGCCCGGCTTCACGAACCTGAACCGCCTGATCGCGCAGGTCGTGTCCTCGGTCACCGCGTCGCTCCGCTTCGACGGCTCCCTCAACGTCGACTTGAACGAGTTCCAGACCAACTTGGTGCCCTTCCCCCGTATTCATTTCCCCGTCGCTTCGTATGCGCCCCTTCTCTCGGCCGACAAGGCTCACCACGAGCAGAACTCGGTGTCTGAGATGACGTTCTCATGCTTCGAGCCCGGCAACCAGATGGTCAAGTGCGACCCCCGCGAGGGCAAGTACATGGCGTGCTGCCTGCTCTACCGTGGCGATGTTGTCCCCAAGGACACCTCCGCTGCCGTCGCGAGCATCAAGACGAAGAAGACGATCCAGTTCGTCGACTGGTGCTTGACCGGCTTCAAGGTAGGCGCCCGGCCTGAATTCTCATAAAATGGGTCGACTAACCGATTATCATTAGCTCGGCATCTGTAACGAGGCCGCTGCGTGCGTTCCTGGCGGTGACCTTGCCAAGACCACTCGCAGCCTTTGCATGCTCTCGAAGTGAGTATTATTATGCTCCTTATATGCTACTCTGCTCATGAATGTTATCTAGCACGACTGCCATCTCCGCGGCGTGGTCGCGTCTGGGTAGGTTTCGTACGCCATAACGAATCTGGGCATCTTCTGATGTTCTCTATAGACTACAAGTTCGATCTTCTGTACTCCAAGCGTGCCTTCGTTCACTGGTACGTCGGTGAGGGTATGGAGGAGGTAAGTGATCTGCAGTCATAAGAAGAGTAGCGTCGCTAATGTATGCCTGTATAGGGTGAGTTCTCCGAGGCCCGTGAGGATCTCGCGGCTCTCGAGCGCGACTACCAGGAGGTCGGCACCGACTCCGGCGACGCCGAGGAGGAGGCGGGCGAGTACTAGAGGGTTCAATCGCTGTAATGTGTTTCGCTTTGCTTCATACCATAGCCTATCACCTCGGCGGTCAATGAGCACCCCTAAGTCTGGCTACAATACCACGTTGTTTACGGTGCTGTCCTCTGTATTCATGTCGAAAGCTGCAGTGTTTACCATATAAGATGATTTTCATCTGGAGAGGATGGGAGATAGTTCAAAAAAGTGCCACGAGACCGAAAGACCGCATATATGCAGGAGCAAAACAACACTATGTACGTATAAATACTGGATGAGGGTGCTGAACGCGTTTCCGGCCAGTGCACACACGAACACAACGCGCCTTGGTACTTTATTAGAAGAAATGCATGTAAAAGTATATGCAGGAGAGGTCGCTGATACTGTTCGCGGTACTACAGGGACTACCCATTCAAGCGTTCTCGATCCCACCACACCTCCATGCCACCCACCTGAGTAAGAGACATCAGCTGGGACACATCCGCCCCGCGGCAGTCTTCAAACTCCACGCGAACAAGGTCAGACGCGCCCTGTGCACGTCGGATTCGAAGGCACTTGAGGAAAGCCGCGAGGTTGAAGCCGTACTTCGCGCCCTTGGCCTGGTATTCCATGCGGACGCTCACTGGAATGTGCACGTCCGGGTGCGCGTTTGTGCTCGAGGGCGCGGCGAAGTTTACGCCAACGAACACAATCGTGCCGAGGCGCGGGAAGAGGGGAGGGATAGAGTCCTCGCCGCCGCCATCGAGACCATGCGCCGCGCCCTGAGTCTCCTCTGCATCAGCCATGGCTACGTCCTCGCCTGCGCCCGAGAATGCGGCCGGATGCTGTTCCGTTTCGTCTAAGAGCATTTCCTGGGTATCGTCGGCAAAGTCCACCCAATGCCACTCGTTTGCGACCAATCCACCCTGGTCCCACGGCGCGATATCCTCCGGAACCCCACGGGCGAGCGCAGCAGGCAGACCAAAGGCGGCTTCCCCAAGCACTCGTAGGCTCGTCACGCCCTGCGCTTTCCCGAACACGCGCGCCCACTTGTTCCCGACCGCGAAGTCCTCGAGACAGATCGTGTGCACGACAGAGAAATCCAGACCGCGCAGGGCACTGGGTACCATGGGGTCTACTATCATGGGGATGTGACTGTCTACGATCAGCCGAGGTTGAGGAGAGGGAAAAGTGGTCCAAGGCGACTCCAGGGGAGTACCAGCGATCGAGGCACGCTTGTCTGCGACCCAAACGCGACAGGAGGCGTTCGGATATGGTAGCGGCTCGCGTTTAGGGCTAGGCCAGGTCGGCCCAAACCACACTGCGCGAGGCGTGGTCCCGTCGAGCAAAGACGCGGAGAGTTGTCCGAGCACCTCGAAATGCTGGAGCGTTAGGTTCGTATTCGGGGATTCGTATCGCACCGTCGCGTTGCGCGGGAGGCGGAGATGGTTGAGAATGAATTGGGAGGGGATGGCGTCGGCGGCAAGGTGCAGCAGCTTGAGTCGACGGAGATGGACGGGCTCGAAAGAGTCTACTGCGAGTGCTTTCACAGACCAGTCCAGCTTGAGGGTCTCCAGATGGGGCAGCGCACGCAACGCGACCAAGAAGTCCCCGAGATTGGACTGCTGCCCCAACGTTCCGCATAGGCACGCCGTGATCTCTAGGTGGCGTAGTCCAGGCTGCAGGAGGGAGCTGTTCAACTCGAAATCGAACCCGACGACTGCGAGCGAGTGAAGACGCGGGGTCTTGGAGGCGAACAACACGGTTGGTAGAGCTGCATTTGCGGGACCCGTGGCATTCATCGAGAATCGGAGGTAATCGTGCGCCTCGAGCCGGAGGTACTCGAGGAGCTCTGCTGGTTGAGTGAGCGAGTCCCACGTGCGGTCCGGCTCTTCCTTGTCCACGAAAAGGACCAACTCTCGGGTGCAAGGGACGAGCTCCGCCAGCAGGTCCAGGGCAAGGCCCGCCCTGTGAAAGTGGTCTTCCGTATCCATGCACGGGGAGCAATGGTTATACGGGTTGGTGATGCTGATCATGACGTCCAGTGGAAAGCCTCGAGAGCGTTCAACGATCATCTTGGGAAATTCCCAGCACGCGCGTTGATCCAGGGCGAGCCAAGTCCAGAGCGAGGTGCAGTTCAGCGCGATTTCGCGCCAGCGGCCACAGACCTGAGAGACGTTCATCCATCTGTAATACGGGCTGTGACACTGGTAGGCGAGGTCGTCTTCAGGCGGATGTGAGGTTGCGTCTTCGTGGACCATCGCTACTTGGAAGAGAAAGACCTCCAGGAGAACTTCCGGGGGTATCCTCGCGATCGGCAGGAGAGAGTTGTACTCAGACCGTAGCTGGGTGGCTTTACGATCATGAGCTATGATATCCTGTTTTAAGCTTCTCTGAAGTCTGGAAAAAAGCACGATGAGTATCAGGATCAAAACGTGAAAAGGTGCATTACTCTGTATCGGAATCGAGTACGTCGATAATCTCGTTGTTGTACAGACGTGCCGGCATGCTAGCGCTGTCTTCCAGTCCGATGACACAAGCGTAGATTTGTGGTACCGTGGTGGTACAATGGTGCGCGTGTTCACGATGGAAGGTGGTCTGAATTAGCCATCGCTGGCAGTATAGTACTGCCCGTGGTCGCACACCGCCGCGGCGATTAAATTGGGCTCGACACGTCCTAGGCCTGACGCGTCTCGACTGTGCAGTGGGCGCCTAGACGTTCTGTCCGCAGGAAATTCATGACATTTAACAAAGAAATCATATTCGCCATCCAACGCAGAGCACGTCCACACCGTAAATCGCCCTCAGTGCTTAGTCGTCGTCCTCGCTGCCCCACGTGGTGCGATAGCGAGGTGCGATCACCCTTACACGGGACATCTTCCTCACTGGCGCAGTTATCTGCTCGCCGAGGTCGTCCCATGCCAATCGCCTCCCATTCCACCACACTTCGTTCACCGCGCCAACGAGCGGCGCAAGCCGCTGCCGCTCCCAGCACTGACACTCCTCGAGGTCAATGCGCGTGACCTGCGCAGCACCGCGCTCCGCACGAACACGCAGGCCCTTCACCAGTCCCGCAACGTCGACGCCGTACGGCTCATCGAACCCCCTGACCCGCCTACGCCACACATATCCGCGCTCGCGCGTTCGCTGCTCGAGCGGAAAGTCCGCGTTTGCGATGCACAGCGTACGTAGATGGGGAAAGGGCAGCGGCCCAGGGGTGTACCCATTCTGCACGCACGCGTTGGCGCTGCTGTCGTCGAGCAGCTCGCCGAAGCCGTCGTAGTCATTCGGGCAGCGGCGTGCGCGCCCATTGGGGCCGACGACCTGGCCCATGTGGGCAGGGCGTTTCCAGCGGGCGAGCCCCGCGCCGATGCCGAGCGCGACTTCGCCCTGCATGCGCAGTGTGTGGACCGCGGTCAAGGATGCGAAGGCGTCGAGCCAGTCGCGCCTGCCCACGACGTGCTGCGCGAAGGAGAGCACGCGGACGTGTTGCGTGTCGAGGCCGGCCATGAGCGCTTTGAAGATATTGCTCCCCATGGTGCAGTCGAAGCGGAGCCGGGGTCGCGTTGCTGAGATCGCGTCCCATGTAGGATCCGAGTTCGCACCGGCAGAGGCAGCTGCGGAGGCATCGGGCGATGGTGAAGGCGCCAGAGGCTGCGGTGCTCTCGCCCAGACCTGGCAGTTTTCGGCTCTGTGGTCATCGTCATACGCCATCGCGTAAGTCTGCAAGCCACCCATGAGATGCGGGATGCCCTCGGTGTACTGAGTCATAAAATCGGGGCTGTGTGCCTGGGCTTCCCTCCCGGTGAAGTAAATCATAGCATCGGGTGGGAGGCGAAGATGCAACGCCAGGTTCAGGCTGCTCCGCCGCGCGAAAGGTACACGGATTTGCTGGAGACGCGGGAGGTCGACAGGATTGTAGTGGACGACGTCCGACTCGGGCAGGGATATAGCGTCGATGGCGAACACTTCTACGTTGGGCATGCGGCGGAGGGCGCCGAGCAGGTCCCCGAGATTAGCCGATGTCCCTAGGTCGCTGTACATCATACAAGACGTGATAGTGAGCTTGCGTACGGAGGCGCACATTAGCACGTTGGACCACCCCATCCCGATTGCAGTGAAGGAGAGAAAGCGCAAGGGTGGCCGGTGCTCGTTGAAAAGTTCTTTAGGGATGACCACGGGCGGCGCGCGTGGGTGCAGATAGTTTTCGTATTTGTCCTCTCCTACCGCTTCGATGTGTAATGATGTGAGCTTGCTTGCGGGCCCCGTTAGACGATTCCAAAAGACGGCATAATTGACACCCCATAGGTAGAGCTTCAGCTTCGTGGCCCGTTTGACGGCTTCTTCCAGGACTACGGCTCCCGCATCCAGATTAGCGAAGGCGTCCTCGGCGCGCACGCACATACCGCAGTGCCGATCTTGGTGTACTGCATGCGCGATGACGGTGAGGGGCATGCCCTGCGAGCGCATGAGAAACGTCCTGAGGACATCTCCCGGCACTCGCTCGTCGATCACGAGGAAGCTCCAGAGGTGGGCGCACTGCAGTGCGACCTCGCGCCAGTGCCGACATACGTGCGCCACTTTGAGCCAGGTGTAGATTTGCTTGTGTAGGTACTTGCCAGGTTCGTAATATGGCGTCCCTGAGAAACGAGCAAATTGCCTTTGCTGAAAAATGGTGGCATAATGAACGAAGATGACAGACACTGAGATCTCTGGGGGGAAGGTGCGGTTAACATGCGCGTGCGTGTTGAGAAGGCTCCGGAGTCGCAAGGATTCTTGCTCGTGCGAGCGTGCTTCTGCTAATATTCGCTGTCTCGTTCTATGCCGCGTACGTGAGCATATACACATGCAGAGTTTAGATAATCGAGGAGGAAACGTACAGCTCATTCAATACGTCCGAATCGCCCCTCGCATCGACGTGTCGCGTATCCATGCGCCGCGCCGATTCGTGTATCGAGCGGAAGGAACGAGTGCAGTATGTTTTTGTGAGGGATGTCGTGTAAGAGGATGGTGATAGTAAAAAGCAGACAGTTCCTGTCAATGATACTGTACTGCATATGTAGCACTACATTAGTACATGATCCGAGTCCCCAGTGAGATCTATCGGCGACACTAAGTGGCTTCAAGCCTTAGACGCCCTCGCTAACTATAAGGCATGAGAATGGCATAATGTGCATAAGCCCAAGAGATTAGTCCCAGTCAGTTCTGATAGCACTAGAAAGTACGCAGCCGGGACATGACAAACAAGAAGTAAAATCATATGATATTCCGAATCTAACTACACACCCGTTTACGGTTCCACCAAACCTCCACGCCCTCCTCGATTAGAACCGCGAGCTGGGGCACACTCGCCCCACGGCAGTCCTCGAACTCCACGCGGACGAGTTCAGATGCGCCCTGCGCGCGTCGGATCCGGATACACTTGCGGAATGCCGCGAGGTCGAAGCCGTATCTTGCGTCCGTGACCTGGTACTGTAAGAGCGCGCTCATTGGAATACGCACGTCGGGGTGCAACGAGGTGCTCGTTCCCTCGGGCGCAGCGAAGTCAACATCGATGAACGCGATGGTGCTGAGGTGCGGAAAGAGGGGAGGGATCGACTCGTTGCCGTTGTTACCATCTTCGTCTTCGGTCTGGCTCGTTGCACTGGCTGTGGCTACGTCCTCGCCTTCCTCTTCGGAGGCGGATGCATGCTCCTCTGTTTCTTCCGAGTCCGCTGCGTCAGCATCGTCTGCGAAGTCCCCCGAATGCCACTCGTTTGCGGCCAGTCCAACCTTGCCCCACGAGGCGATATTCTCCGGAACCCCGCGGGCTAGCGCAGCCGGCACTCCGAAGGCAGCACCCCCCAGCACCCGCAGGCTTGTCACACCGTTCGCTTTCCTGAGCACGCGCGCCCACTTGTTCCCGACCGCGAAGTCCTCCAGGCAGATGGTATGCACAGCGGTAAGATCGAGTGCGCGCAAGACGCTGGACACTATAGAGTCGTCTTTCACGGGGAGGTGACTGTCTACGATCAACCGAGGTTGGGGAGGCGGCAGAACGGTCCATGGTGACTCTAAGTGGGTACCCGCGACCGAGGTGCGTTTGTCTGCAACCCATATGCGACAAGAGGCGTTCGACTCTGATGGCAACTTGCCTTCCAGGCGAGGCGAGACCGGCCCGTACCAAATTGCGCGAGGGCTGAAACCGTTGAGTAAGGACACGGAGAGCTGTCCGAGCGCTTCTAGATCTTGGTGCGTTGAGCAAGTGTATGAAGACTTGTACTGCACTGCCGCATTGTGCAGGAGGCGGAGATGGCTGAGGAAGAATTTAGAGGGGATGGGGTCGGCGGAAATGTGCAACAGCCTAAGTCGATGCATTTCGACAGGGTCAAAGGAGTCTTCTTCGTCAGCCTTCATAGACCAGTCCACCTTGAGGGTCTCCAGATAGGGCAGTCCACGCAACGCGAGCAGGAAGTTCCCTAGATTGGACCGCTCGAGGGGTGTTCCACACAGGCACGAAGTGACCTCCAGGTGGCGTAGTCCAGGATGCAAGAGGGAGTTTTTCAACCCAAAGTTGAACCCGACAACTGCGAGAGAGCGTAGGCGAGGGGTTCTGGCGGCGAACAACGCAGTCGGCAGGACTGTACTTGCCGTAAGGATGGATTCCCTCGAAAATCGGAGGCTGCCGTACGCCTCGAGCCGCAGGTCCTCGAGAAGGTCTGCGGGCTTGGAAAAACTCTCCCACGTTTCTTCGGGCTCCTCCTTTTCTATGAAAACGACGAGCTCTCGGATGCGAGGGACCAGCTCCGCTAGCAGGCCCAGGACGCGACTCTCCCTCCCGATGTGGGCATCCAGAGAATCTACACACGGAGAGCAATGGGTATACGGGTCGGTGATATCGATCATGATGTCCAATGGGAAGCTTCGTGAGCGTTCAATGACCATCTTGGGAAAAAACCAGCTTGCGCGTAGGTCCAAAGCGAGCCAGGTCCAGAGCGAGGTGCAGTCCAGCGCGATTTGGCGCCAACGGCCACAGACCTGGGAGACGTTCATCCATTTGTAGTAAGGGCTGTAGCACTGGCAGGCGAGGTCTTCTCCGGGCGGTTGTGAGGTGGCTTCTTCATGGAGCATGGCTGCTTGGAAGAGAAAGACCTCCAGGATAATTTCGGGGGGTATCCTGGCGATCGGCAGGAGAGTGTTGTATTCAGACCGTAGCTGGGCGGCTTTACGATCATGGTCTATGATGTCCTGCTTGATGCGCTTCTGGAGTCTAGGGAACAGCGAGCCGATGGGTACTTAAGCATGAGAGTACTAGTCGCTAGAGGATGCATTACTTACTCCGTGTCGGAATCAAGCACGTCAATGAGTTCCTCGGTGCAGCATAGGCGTGCAGGCATACTGTCCGCTAGAACGACGAAGCTTGGCATGAGTGCAGTAGCGTGAAGGTGGTACAACGGTGAGCGTGTACAGGTGTGTACGCGCGCGACTGGGTGGCGGGCGGCGGCGGTGGCCAGATCGGGCGACGCGTCTCGGTTATATGGGCGCCTACACGCTCTGTTCTCGGAGCGACGCCACAGCTGCAGGCATCGCGTCTTGCTAATCTACCACCACCCCGCCTCGTCCGCTCTCCGTCGCTCGCCACTCAAACTACGTGCCTGTCTCTTTCGATCTTTACTCAAGATGCTGATCAAGGTCAAGGTGCGTCTTTAGCCCAGCGATACATGCATATATCGAGCATGCCACTCACAAATATGCGCTGCCTTCATAGACCCTTACTGGCAAGGAGGTGCGCAGATCATACCGCGTGGACAACACACGCAAACTACGAAGCATCCCAAATGGCTATCTGACAATGTGATATACGCAGATCGAGCTCGATATCGACCCCGAGGATCCTGTGCGTACACTCACACTCCACTCCCATGCACACCCACTCAACCACCATCTATATCGCTTTCTCTTGGTTGTCAACGTATCTATAGGTATCCCGTATCAAGGAGAAGGTGGAAGAGCAATCGGGTGTACCACCACCGCAGCAGCGGTTGATCTACGCTGGTAGACAGATGTGTGTATCCTCTTCGTTCCTACAGCTGGGCTCCTGCACACGACTGATGTTTTTTACTTCGCAGGGCGGACGACAAGCTCGTCAAGGAGTTTAACATCTCGGCGGGTGCTGTACTACACTTGGTCCTTGCTCTTCGTGGAGGCGCCTGGTAGAGGTACGAGCCCGCTCAACAAATAATCCGATTGTTACGGATTCGCTCATAAGTCACTTTTGGTTTGTCAGGTTGCGAGTCGCCCGATATGATAACCCAATGAACGACCGGCGGAAGACGATGTGATGTACCATGCAGTCCCTTGTGTTCGTGTTAGACAACTTCTAGCCGCAATTGCTTTCTCTCGCTTTCATGACATGATGCGTTCAACGAGGCGCTTTTTATACTGCCGAGCAAGTTACATCAAGCGGAGAAGATCATCATTCTATATTCTAGTAAGTTTCTATTCTATAGCTAACTGGATTCATGGTCATCTATGCTGGGGTCGGCTGGGCAAGGTACTCTATGAGGTGGACCTGGACCTCTTCGCGATGGTATAGCACGTCTCGCTTACTCTTTGGTAGAAGAGGCACCTGGCGCGTCCTCTGGTACTCTACACCTCGCTCCCCAAAGTACCTCCCCGCCTCGAAGCTCCAGCTGTCCACGCAGCGCGGCCAGTTGGCTATGTTCTGCAGGTATTCCTGGAGCTGCGCGTCGACCCCGGGCCCAAAGGAGGGAAGGTGCTCAAGTCCCTCGATGAACCGAGCTGCGATGCCGTGATGGAAATCTACGACCCACTCAATGGCACTGTCGAGGTCCATGCCAAGCTCCCGCATGACGACCGTGACCAGGTTGTAGTCGTCGGTATGAGTAGCCTGTTCTCTGTTGTACGACAGGATGTCCTGGAACGATGTCAGATCCGGTACTCAAAGGCTAGCAAGGACGCCTTACATTGATTGTGGTGATCATGTCGATGATGCACGCCTGCATCTCGACGACGTATGGGTGGTAGAAGACTTCGTCCGGGATGCTCAAGTGCAGCTCGCTCGGGAAGAGGGATGGGCGGCCGCCGTTGTTCTCGCGGCGGATCTTTATGAAGCTGTCGATCGAGCGGGCAGCGCCGCTGCATCGGTCTTCGGCCTGCGCGACAACCGCCTCGAGATAGTCCGTGAACGATTTGAGGAAATGGGAGGCTGCCTCCGGGGTGGCGGTCGGGAGACAGCGCTCTGACCACCTGCCGATGCGAAGTCAGCAAGATCGTGCGGTGAGATTTTGCATTGAGCCGCTTACTCTCTCATCATCTCACTCAGAATAGGCTCACCCGCCGGACGGGGCTTCTGTGGGTTGTGCACCGCGTCGAGGAGCATGCCGACCATCTCCTTCACGGCTGGCGCCAGCTCATGGTCCGTATACTCGTCAATCACGAAGAACAGGTCCATGAGGTCTATGCTGGTGCGCAAGGTTTCTGCGCAAGAACCGCGTCTTCAGCATACTTTCAATACGACGGCGCGTTCGACGGCACGAACCTCGCGATGCATCGGGGTATGCAAGGGCGGCAAGGAGCCCGAAGTTGCACTTGTCGAATGCGTGCTGCGACTCGGGCGTGAACGGTGCGAACGACTTGAGCCATGCGCTCGACTCGGCGGCGACTTCCTCGTATAGGGGGTGGATGCGTCGGGGCCACGGCCAGGTCGCCATAATATCCGGAATGTGAAGATATTTCTGGGCCATGGGAGGATGAAATCCTTTGGAGAGTTGGATGGTCGTTTGGGTAGTAGGCTGCAGAGGAGGAGGCCCAAGCTGTCGATATCCTTGAGGTTGCAGCAGATTTTATACTGAAATTTTGGGCGGCAGCATTGGCGACATGTCTACGGGCCAGCGTCCAGGACCAGCCGCTGACATGTTGCAACTTCGAGAGGAGACGCTGCGGGCGATTTGGCGTTAGCCAGTGCTGCCAGTGGTCGAGGACCTCGGGGCCAATGTCGCCGACATGGTGACAGGTTGCGCATCAGTAGCCCGACTCTGATCGTTGTGGATCCTTGTCACTACACCGCAATGAGTAGGGCCAGTGCCAATGTGAGCACGAGCGCGGAGGAGCATCAGCGCCAGTACTCAACGGCATTCCAAGCAATCCACCGTGAGTCTTGACAGTCCCGGTATCGGCTCGGAGTTATCGCAGGGGCTTCGCACGGATGTGGTGCACCGGTGTGCATGGCGGCGTAGCGCGGAATCCTGCGTATAAGCGAGGCAGGAGGATGAGCCGGCGCTCGAGAACACTGGTGGTATCTACCTCACGCAGGGCGGCGGATGACAAGGCCCCCCAATTGAACGAGCCAGGGGAGTCGCACCACTCACGATGGGTTCTTGCGTTTCCTTCGGAGAGGCCTGCTAGGTGCCTAGAGGAGATGACTGGCAGAAGACGATGTTGTGTGATGTTGTGTATCCCGGGCCATGTTAGGCGATTTCTCACCGAGGCTAAGCCAGTACAGCGTGAGTTAGGCGCGGTCGGTGAAGCCATATGTGAAGCTTTGAAGCACCGGCTCGGGCTTTAAGAGTCGTCCAGCCGCGACTACTGAAGTTATCACGCATGCGTGCAGACCTCCGACCATCTGAAGTGCCTTCAAATACCGAGCATGTCACATCAAGAAGATGATATTGAGCATTTCGCAGCAAGATACCAATCCATAGCCAACGTTCGGTCCCGTTGTTACCTACGCTGATCATGAGGTCGGCTGGGCAAGGTGCTCTATAAGGTGGACATGGACCTTTTCGCGACGGCATTGCGGGTACCGCTTACTCTTTTGCAGAACAGGCACCCGGCGCGACCTCCGGTACTCTGCGCCCCGCTCCCCAAAGTACCTCGCGGACTCGAAGCTCCAGCTGTCTACACCACCCGGCCAGTTGGCTATGCCCTGCAGGTACTCCTGGAGTCGAGCGTCGGCTTCGGGCCCAAAGGAGGGGATGTTTTCGAGTCCCTCGATGAATCGCGTAGCGACGTCGTGGTGGTAATCGACGATCCAGGCCATGGCACCATCGAAGTTTGTGCCTAGCTCCCGCATGACGACCGTGAGCAGGTTACAGTCGTCGATGTGGGTGGCCTGTTCTCTATTGTACGACATGATATCCTATCATAATGTCAAATCTGATTATCCAACATTCACAAGTTGAGGTTCTAAAGGATGCCTTACGTTAACCGTGATAATCATGTCGACGACACATGTCTGCAGATCTACAACATGCGGGTGGTAGAACACCTCGTCCGGGATGCTCAAATGCAGCTCGCATGGAAAGAGGGAGGGGCGAACGCCATTATTTTCGCGGCGGATTTTCATGTAGCTGTCGATCGAGCGAATGGTGCCGGTGCATCGTCCTTCGGCTTCCGAGACAACGGCCTCGAGGTAATTCGTGAACGACTTGCGAAAATGCGAGACTGCTTCCGGGGTGGCAGCCGGGAGACAGCGCTGTGACCATCTGTCGATACGAAGTCAGGAAGGTGGCGAAAGGATATTCGAACTGCGTACTCTCTCATGATCTTCCCTAAAACAAGCTCCCCTGCCTGACCAGGCTTTTGCGGGTTGTACACTGCGTCGATGAGCATGTCGGCTATCTCTCTCACGGCGGGCGCAGGCTCAACGTCCGTATATTCGTCGACCACGAACAATATGTTGATGAGGTCCATGCTCGTACGCAGGGCTTCTGCATAATCAACAGAAAGTTTTCAGTAAATGTCCATATATATGGCATCATGGTTGAAAACGACGGACCTCGCGATATGTCGGGATATACATGGGCGCAGAGCAGCCCAGGATCACACTTGTCGAATGCGTGCTGCGACTGGGGCGTGAAGGGGGCGAACGACTTGAGCCACGCGCTCGACTCGGCGTCGACTTCTTCATGCAGAGGGTGGATCCGTTCAGGCCATGGCCAGGTGGCCATCAGGTCGGGAATGTGGATATACTGCTGAGGCATGCGGAGCGGGCCTTCTGAAGCCAATGAGACGTCGGCTGACGTAGTACTAGGCTGCGGAGTTGGCGGCCGAAGTTGTAGAAAGATATAAAGCTGCGTAGAGAGTTATATACTGAGTGCGGGCTACCGACATGGTGCGTCATGAGAGAATCGGAGTCAACCCGCCCCGGACGTGTACAGACAGGCCAACGTCGCCCACACAGTGATGTCATGTTGTGCCCACCTGTCGGCCATGAAACGTAGCTCGAGCATCGGGCGGGGTGAGCGCGTTGAAGCGAATCAAGTTGACGTCCCTGACGTCGGCTCGGAGTTATTGCAAAGGCTACGCGCGAGGGTTGGCGTGCGACGCATTGGTGGATCCCGTGTGTCACTGACATAGAGGATTCGCCTCGCCTATCTGGGAGCACTGGCAGCAGGATATTTCTATGATGGTTCACCTATACATACCTGCATGCACGCTCGGCTCTCCGTAGCTCCGGTGCAGAGGGAGTTTCACCACAGGAAGTCCGCCAGATTGAGACTGAATGGGCATAAACCCTCTTGTGAGTTTGAAAAGGTTGTTGCAATCCTCGGAGGATGAGGTCAGCTTCGCAAGATGCGAGGCGCTGGAAGGATCACTCACAAGCACTCGATGTACAGTCGATGAATTCCCTGTTCCCCTATCTAAGATCTTCCTCGAGTACTGTGCCACCTGCGGGCCACCAGCGTAGCTGCAACGACGAAGTGTGAATGTGGGCATCGCGACTAAGAGTATCAGGAAACTACTATACGAGACTTTGTTAATTTTACCTTCAACTCGCCGGCTCGTCTTGGACATCGCAGTCGGTCGTGTTTGAATAAACACTATTTCACTAATCATGGGTCCTAACTCCACAGTCCACATAGACATACAGTACACACAAAATGCCCCAGATAATCGGTCCACCGCGCGTCATCTACATCACGTCCCTCCAACGCTGGTAGGGCCGACAACATCGGCTCCTGGAAGCAGCCAACGGAAGGTTATGCTGAGCCTGACGTCCCGCTCCAGAATGGACCCACGAGGACTGCCTGGGAACTCCTCCACGAGGTCCTCGAAAGACTTCTCGATCCCGTGCGTCCAGTGATACCGCGCGTCCTCCGTCATGACGAGAACGCTCCCTTTCGGGAGGTACAGCGCGCAGTCGCCGCTCCCCCCGTCAGGAGCGATCAAGTCGGACGACGCCTTCGCAAACTGCATGGCACAGCCCGAGCCGAGGCTGACCCCCATGATGCCGTCCCCGTACCGGTCAAGGAGATCGATGTGAGGGGTGATGCCCTCGCCAGGCCAGTATAAATTGATGATAGCCTGTCGTGCGCGCGGTGGCCCGGTGTGAGACGCGGGCGACGGGGAGAACAGAAGGTCATGGGTTTCTGGAGGTACGGCGGGCCGCAGAAGGTCATCAAGAAGAGAAATCAAGTCCGTAAGGCATGGCGGTAGTCCGGATGTCAACCTCGGGGCGTTCGGAGTCTCCAGGCTGGGCGCGCGTTCGAAGAGCATGACTTGATTGGAAGTCCCCTCTCCAAAAAAGGCGCGGATGCATGTCCACATGAGATCATCCGCAAGCGCCTCGGGAAGAAGGATGGAAGGATCAAAGTACAGTCCCGGGATGGATGGCGCCGTGCGTCTGGCCGGACGAGTCGTAGGAGCGTCCTCGAATTCCGGTAGCAGCTCGTCCGCGAGGCTCGGCGCGAGGACCGAATGAAGACCGTCGATGTCCGGGGTAGAGGGCTGAGGCGGGAGCTCGTCAAATAACGAGTCCGCGTCCGATTCTCCTGCTGAGAGAAGCTGGTCGAGAGACGGAGACTGGTACGGCATGGTCCGGATGTCCGTCATGACGCGTAGCTCAGGTTTATTGCACGGCCTCTGCGCCTTCGCCACCTTCTTGTCACTGACATCTTCGCTGTCCGCAAGGCGTTTACGCTTGTTGATGGAAGTCGGAGACAACGGGGTGGAATGAGCCATGGCGCGATGCAGCGAAGCGGAAACAAGATCCCAGTGAGAACATTCAATAGAAGGTCTAGAGTATATGCAGCGAGACTATTGTCTCATAGCTTAGCGCCGCTAGAGAGGTATAAACAAGCTAGTCAACTCTCCAGCACCGACACGAAGAATCTGGAGGGGGAATGGCGGCGGTGGTACGGTGAAGAGGATGAAACCAACCAGAGAGACGCCGACAGCACCCCTACACCTTACGTAACAGTACACTGAGGTTGCTGAGCGCCCGTTCTGACGCCTCACACTCGTTCATCCTCCCCGCATCCCTCGCAGCCTCACCCACAAAATGGAGGACACAACACCCGCCGGAAAGCCCATCATTGACAGGGAAAAGGTGCGTATATAACATGATACACCTTAAGTCGGGTATCTGACCGATACCTATAGACCGCTCCGTTTCTCATACGCACATTCATCAAAATTGGGACGTTCCACCGCTTGCAGCAGTTCGAGGAGGGCCCAATCCCTATCGCAGACGAGCAGGAGATATATACTTGGTATGTACGCTATATCTTACGCGTTTATCATGGCTAACACGGCTTTGCTTTCAGGAAAGACGCGACTCTCCGAGAAGTCTTGACCTCGCTCCGCTCGTCCGCCCCCAATACCCCCGAATACCGCCATCCTCTGGCACGCTACTCCTTCCGTGCCGTTTTTGCAGACGCTGCGGCACGTGGCCGCTTCTCCCAAAAGGAGCTCGGCACCGTGTACTCCCGCGACATCCTCGGCGAGCCAGGTGCGCTCAACCAAACTGCGCCGCGCCTCTTGGAAGACACCGAGGCGGAATCGAGCCAAAACGCGGAGCAAGACCGCACCTTGGACGAGCTCCGCTTTGTTCCTGGCGACTATTTGTCTGTCGCAGTGCACCTCCCGAAGGGTGTAACGGTCCCCACTGGGCCCGGCGGTGAGCTGGCCATCAAGGGTAGCGCAGTCAACGCGGGGCCTGCGGCAGGTGCGCCAAACGGCTGGAAAGGTGCTGGTGGAGGTGTACGCGGCGACGGTGGGTGGGGTGGCAACTTGTCCGCAGCGCCGGGCCCGGGTGCTGGTCTTGGACGCGGCGGCGGAGGTGGGCACTGGAGAGGGAACTCAGGTCCTGAAGCTGCGGTACCTCGCGGGGCGCGGGGCGGCCGTGGCGGAGGCGACTTCGGTGGTGGCAGGGACAGAGACGACAGGCGGGTGCCGCCTCCTCGGAGAGATGAACCGTCACGCCGAGAGGGATGGGGAAGACGAGGTGTTTCGCGCTCGAGGAGTCCGCCGAGGAGGCGCGGCCGGTACGATTGAGCCATGTTCACGCGTTGTGCTGATGTTCTTCTGTTTGCCAGCGTATCTCCGCGTGGTGTCTTCGATAGTGCTTGAATCTATGTGCGTTTTACGTCTCAGATGTCATCTTCGCTCCAGACCGTCGTGGGAGGAGCACAATCAAGCACTTCACTTTCTACCGATGCAGCTGGGAACAACACAGAAAAAACTCGGACGGCATGTATGAGTTGTTTGAATGGTTTGTTGTTCTATTTGCTACAGGTATTCGTACACAATATAATGGCGTTGTACAGTAGTGGGTATCGTTACAAGTCCATGGACCGACAGTGTCCAGCACCCAGGTCGGTACTGTCCACTGTCTAAGCCCTCATTCTCATCCTGACGCCAGTGAACAATCTCACGACCGGATTTGTGCTCTTCTTCTCCATTTTGAGCTCCGTCAGACGTGTACAGGCCATTGTGATGTCGCACTCTGAGGGGACGGGCCCGTCGAGCGCGAGATCGGGCACTGCAACGTCGGGGTTGGCGGCGAACGTGTCCGGGGTAATGGGTACATCGCTTTCGCTCCCGCTGTCGGTGCCGAAGGACTGCTCGGGCGAAGCAGCGACTGGAGGGGGACCAGAGATGGACCACACATCGTCGAGGCTGTCGGTGGATGCGAACGCCTCGTATGACTCAGCGCCGCCGTTGACGAACGTGCTCTCCGTCCCGACACACGTCGCAGTCGCCGCCGCCGCGATCTTCTCGGTGGGCATCGTCATGAAGTCGGTCGAGATCGTCGCACAGAGCGCGAGCGGGCGCAGCTCCCAGCTCTCGTTCCGGTGGCCGAGCGGAGCCTCAGGCCGGACCTGCTCCGTGATGTCCGCCTCCTCCGGAATGCGGGGAGACTGGAGCTCGGCGACCTCAGCGGCGGTCTCCTCTTCGATGACCTGGAGCGTGCTTGAAGAGGGCGCGCCCCCGGGAAAGAAGGAGTCGATCGCGAGAACGGCCTTGCGCAGCTCGGGGATGGTGATGCGCAGCGCGGGGTCGACGGTGAAGATGCGCGCGAAGAGCTCGCTCGCCGCGACGGAGATGTCGAGCGACTTCTGCAGCCACGGCGCACCCTCGCGCAGGAAGAGGCGGAAGCCCGCGTCGGTCTTGGGCGAGGCGACGTGCCACGGGTTGCGGCCCGTGACGACGTTGCAGAGGATGGTGCCAAGTGCCCAGACGTCCGAAGGGGCCGTGGCGTACGGCCGCTTCTTGTGGAAGATGCCCAGGCATTCTGTGGGGGCGGTGTTGGTCAGTACGTGTTCTGCGGTGCGGGACAGGGGTGCTGCGGACTAACCTGGGCTCATGTAGAAGGAGCTGCCGCAACCGAAGTTCGCGCTGAAGCGTGTCCTGGTGGACAGACCGAAGTCCGCCAAGTACACGTTCTTATCGTCTTTGTCGCAGAGAATGTTCTCTGGCTTCAGGTCGCGGTGGTAGATGCCCGAGGCGTGGCAGGCCTCAACGGCGTCAATGACCTGGAGGAACATGCGCCGGACGGCCTCGGTGTTGTTCGCGAACGTCCGACGGTCCATGATGGCGTTGAACAGGTCGCCGCCGTCGCACAGGTCGAGCACAAGGAAGGTGTAAAATTCCTCCTCGACGACAGCATGCAGCGTGACAACGTTCGGGTGCTCCGACATTGCGCGGTGGTGGGCGATCTCGCGCTGCTGCTGGCGGGCGAGTGCGGAGCCGCGTTCGTGCTTGAGGACGCACTTCACGGCGTAATACTCCGCGCCATGGGGGCGGGGCGCGAGGTCTTGGGCGAGGTAGACGACGCCATACGCGCCGTTACCGAGTCGCTGGAGTAGCCGGAGGTGGAAGCACCCTTGCGAGAGGGTGAATCCGGCAAAGTCGGGGAGGATGGCGCTCATCTGCACGCGAGCCATAGCGATGTAGAGTCGTCGTGCGTGGTAGAGCTGCTAGGATCGTGGGGTCGAGAGACCGAGTAGGGCTGATGGGCGACGAGTAGGGGTGCGGTGAGCGAGGCGCAGTTGTTAAGAGCTGGAGGTGGATTGGTGAGTGACTGCGGGCTGCAGTGCGCTGACTTTATCACTCGCAGCGTCGGACGAGAAAACCCAGAACACAGACGAGAAGGCGGACATGGCAGCACGGATGAGGCTCCGGCATTAAAGTAGGGGCCCTCGACATCCGTTTGCCGAGCCCGCTCCGCCCGGGATGCGCTTACCATTGCGGTTCTGACCAAGCCGCACGACGCCCGCTCGGAATAACGCATGCGCGTTTCGCGGCATTCATATTCAGACCGAGCCAGTGGTCTCGATCGAGACGGCTTTTCCCTGTGGGTGACGTGTCCGCGCCGAAGACTACAGCGCAGCACAGGGGCGAATTCCGCGGCCCGTTGCCAGCCCTGCGGATGTCGGTGCAGCATCGACGACTCCGGCAGTGCAGTCTCGGGCAGTGTGCTTTCGGGTGTCCTTCTGCCTGAATAGAAAATGAGCGCAAGGCGGGAAGACCAGGCTTGAGTACGGCTCATCATTCTAGGGACGGATAGTGGAGGACGGGTGCAGAAAAGGGAAGAGGATCGGATGAGTCAGACGCAGCCAATGCTTGGTGGCCTCCCGGCTGCGGCTGACCAGATTCGGCCTATTCGCAGTGATGCCGCCACGATGATGCATGTCAACTTAGTGCGCGTCGGAGCACTGTCCGAGCTCATGCGGTGGTAGCACTAAACATCTATACTGTTTGATACATTCGAAACCGTAAAAGTAAGCAATACATGACGCGGCGTATGTGCTACAAGCGCCTCAGACTTCGGAACGATTGTCTTCCGCCTCCGAACGTGAGGCTGGTTCACGAGCCTACCTCGGACATTCCAATGGATCCCGCACCATCGCCACCAACTCAACCTATCCTGCCTACACGAGGTTGCTACTCAAGGGTCCGCAAGTATTTTACCAAAATCTCCAGCGCACGGCCGCGATGAGAGATCTGGTTCTTCAATTCGGCCGGCATCTCAGCATATCTATAATTTCTGTCAGCGGGCGATGTCTCATCCATGGGACCGTGAACGCACGTTTGTTCGAAGCCCTTTGGCTCGAAGCAGGCGTCCCAGCCAAAGTTGCCTTCGCCTCTTGCGGGAACGATCTGGCCATCGGTGCGACCTTCGAATAGGATCGGCTCCCATTTAGGTCCCGCACTGTATGCGAAGGTACAGAGGGCATAGGCGGCTTTCGTAGGGAAGCCGACAAGCATGTTGTTGAGGCCTTCGAAGTCGTATCTCGATATAAGTATCGGTGGCAATTTGGCCGCCGTGTAACGTACCGTCATGGCCGAGCTCTTTGAGAAAGAATTTGATGTACGGTCCAGGGAGGCCGTTCATTGCTTCGAAGCAGAGTGCGGTGTCCTCGGTGATGCAGGGGCCGTCCAGTAGCTCAGCAGCACGGCGACACTTGGCGATGGCGATCTCCGCGGTCGTACCTTGGATTTCGGGGACTGATGATATGTGTCGGTTAGTAATAGACGAAATAAGTATGAGCACCGTAAGGTAAAGCTTACTGTCAAGTTCCTTAGACACGACGTCGATGTTCGCTGCACCAAGAATTTGTCGCACTTCTCGCAGTTTGCCTGCGTTTCCGGTAACAAAGGCTGGATGGTGCTGGTGTCAAGATTGAGCTTGACCATCCTCGAAAACGTACTCACTAATTTTCATTTTCAGTAAAACTCCACCTGATTTATGTCGGGGTAGGGCCGATGCAGATCGTGTATATAGTCCGTCGAAGTCGTGAAACGTGGGGGGAAGTCAAGGCAATAATGTGGCGGAAGTGTCGATCGAGGGCGCGCGGCGCAAAGTCACGTGGGCGCAATATTGCGAAAATGCTTGCCCTGAAGCTACGCGCGACGCGTCGAGAGAGTCAGAGACCCGTCGCATCCTGCTGAGCGCCATCATCATACCTTGCGCTCCATTCGTGTCTGTTCTCCTCCCCACCAGACGATGCGCAGGGGGCCTTCGCACGATTCACAGGACTCTCTGAAAGAAAACAACGGCGTCAACGGCGTCACCAACAACAACAAGACCACAAACGAGCGGGTGGCTCGCGGCAAGCGCGCAGCTATGAGGGAACACATAGACGCCAACGATGAGCGCGACGCGGAGGCAGAGGAGGATGCGCAGGGTGAGGAAGACAAAGACGAACATGCAGAAGTCTCTGGCGAAGATGATGAGGAGGACCAAGACCAAGGCGGGGACCCGTCACGCAGGAAGCGCGCCAGAGTGAACACCGAGGGCGACTCGCTTGCAACTGGCAGCGTCCCGAAGGTCGAAAAGCGCAGGCAGACACTTCCGCGGGATGTCGACGGGTGAGCAATGATTATCGTGTACGAAGCATAATATCTGCTGAAGTTCGCGCTATGCCTTTAGCTTCATTCCTGGCTCTATCGTCCGCATTCAGCTAGAGAACTTCCTCACCTACGACTGGGTAGAGTTTCGCCCAGGCCCTCACCTCAACATGATATTCGGACCCAACGGGACGGGAAAGAGCTCTATCGCCTGCGCCATCTGTCTTGGCCTAAACTTCTCGCCCGCCGTGAGTGCCTTGTGCGTTTGTGCCACACATTAACGTTCAGCTGAATCATATCGGTAGCTTCTGGCACGCGCGCCTGATCTGAGCTCATACGTCAAGAACGAAAAGACGGAAGGATATATCGAGATAGAACTCAAAGGCATGAAGGGGAAGGGTAACCTCGTCATTCGCCGTAACCTCCAGAGAGGTTCGAAGAGTGCGCCTTTTACTTTGAATGGCAAATCCGCCTCTGGCAGGGAGGTCAGCGCGCGTATGGCGGAGCTGAACGTTCAAGTCGGCAACCTCTGGTCAGTCCGCATTCCGTACTGGGGTAAGTTGCCCACGGCTCACATGGTCACGCAGTACTTTCCTGCCTCAGGACCGGGTGGCAGAGTTTGCGCGCATGTCCCCCCAAGAGCTTCTCAAACAGACACAGCTCGCCGCAGGAAACGAGCATCTGACGGCTTGGCACGACACGCTCATTACCTCGGGAAAGGAGCTGAGGCGGGAGCAAGAGGTAAGCCTCACGCTCGGCCGACATTTTGCTTGAGAATAACACGCGTCGTTAGCTTGTGGACGCCGACAAAGATCAGCTGAAGACCATGGAGGATCGCAACGCCAACTTGGAGCGTGACGTTCGCCGATACGAAGAACGCCGTGCTCTTGAGCAGCAGGTGCATATAGTTCTCGAGCGTCACTATGCGCAATGCTAACACCGTATCTAGATCGAGCTCTTGGAGTTCATTGTGCCCATCAAGGAGTACTACGAAGCTCGCGAGAAGTACCGCATCATGAAGCCCCAGCAACGCGAGGCGTTGAGGAATCTCAGGAAGCTCGAGGCGCGAAACAAGCCCTATCTCGACATGGACAAGTGCGTACCCGTGGCGTCTGCGTACTGATATGAGCATCATCCTGAGACTGCGTCGCTTTCTCAGGGCCCTCGAAGTGGAGCTGAAAGAGCGCGAGAGGCAACGCGAAGCCCTGAAGCAAGCCACCAAGAAGAAGTTCAAGCAGATGTCCACGAAATGGGAGGAGAACGAGTGTCTGGTGAGCACGGCGACAACGTCTTTCCGCCTCAGTATAGTTGTTGATGTTGTCTGTTTCAGGAACATGAGGCCGAGAACCTCAAGAATCAGCTCGATGGTCTGAAGCAGAGGGAGAAGAACCGTGTCGTCAACATCAAGAAACAGGAAAAGTTGATAGCGGACTGCGAGGCGACGCTCGCGAACCCTCCCCCTATTGAGGACCTCGACGACTTGAACAGGCAGCTGGTTCGCTTTACCTCAAACCGATATGTGACAGTACTAATTAGCGGTGCTTGCAGAGGGAGCTTTCTCAGAACAACCACTCAACGCGTCAGCGGCTGTCGGATTTGCAGGAGCAACAACGCGAAAACGTCAACAAGAGTAGCCGGTGCAGGCGTGACATCGAGCAGATCAACCGGAGGTAGGACGAACTGTATCCGGCTAACGAGTGAATTTGCTGATGAACATATCGCATTCAGCTTGCATCAGCTCGACAGCCAGTCGCACCAGAAGCTACAGCAACTGAAGACTCAAGACCGTGATGGCGGTGAGGTCGTTGAGTGGCTGCGCAACAACAAGGACAAGTTCCGGATGGAAATCTTCGAGCCTGCCGTATTGTGCATGACGGTCCCGAACAGGGCATACGCTGATGCAGTCGAGGCGTGTTTCGGTGGTTCGCAGCTCAAGGTGAGAGTTAGCGGCATTTCTGTTGTGTGGCATAGCTCACCTTGTCTATCGTAGACGTTTGTAGCTCAGTGCGAGGAGGATTATCGACTCTTGAACAGACTCTGCGTCGACACGCCAGAGGCGATCGGTCGCAAAGCGCGTATCAACACCTGGTACAAAGCAAAGGACGAGTCCAGGCTTGCCCCACCACCGGCGTCCCGCGAGCAGCTTCACGCACTTGGGTTCGACGGTTATGCTCTGGACTTCGTCGACTGCCCCGAGGGTCTCAAGTGGTTCCTGCAGTCTGATGTCAAGTTGCATCGCTCCGTAAGCCTTCCCATGTCATCAGCTCTTGCCTTGATAAACCTGCTGAAGTGCGTTTTCGTAGGCGATCGCGCTCGGATCGAACGTCAATATAAATCACGCATCGGACATGGCTGCACGTTCGGGAGGTGCGAATTACATCGTCCAAAACGTCATGTACACCGTCTCCCGGTCCAAGTACGGCAAGCGCCTCCCGCAGACGGCGACACGCGGGGTGTTGCCCGCCAGGCATTTTACCGCTGCCACTGGTATGCCTCTCGCCTTGTACCCTGTTAAAAGGGTTTTGCTTACACGCGTCCCGTAGTTGACCCGCAGATCAAGCGCAACCTGCAACGCCAGCTTGCGGAGGCTCAAGAGCACTTGAGGCTGGTGGAAGTAGAGGAGCGCGAGTTGTCCAATGTGGACAAGGAGATCCAGGCAGCTCACAAGGCGTACAAAGAGGCGCATGTGAGTATTGACATAGCTGCGAAGGTTGGTTCCTCCTGACCCCTGCATACTGCGGGATATAGGATAGTCTCAACACGCGCAAGAATAATGTTCTGGACGCGCAGAAGACACTGCGGGCGGTCCAGATCAAGCTTGGCGAGTGACTCTTTAGCCGTGAAGCGAGGGCACGGTGTATTGACATTGCGCGTGTAGAGAGAGAGCAGAAGAAACTAGATGAACTTCTGCACGCTAAGCCGGCTGATGTTGAACGCAACAACCTCAAGCAGCGACTGCTCACGCTCGCATCGAGGCGTGTCGGGATCGTCAGGGACTACGTTGTACGCTTTTATGTTTTCCTATCCGTGTATCTGCGCACTCACTCTGATGTTGCGGTAACGCAGGGCCTCATGCGCGCCGCTATTCAGGAGCAAGAGCAGGCTACCCGGGCCGGTCTCGAGTACCTCCAGGTGGCCGCGAACAAGGCCGCGCTCGAGCTTCTGTGCAAGGAGCAGAAGGACCAGCTCGCAGAGGCGGATGCCCACGCTCGGAACAGTACGCTTCATGTCTTGTATTGCTTTCTAAACATGCCGGCTGATTAGGGGAGTAATTGCAGTTCATGCGCAGTTTAAGGCCGCCAAGGACGAGTCGAAGCGCAAGCTCGAGGCCAGCAGGACCAAGTTCGCCGAGATGGACGCCGACGTCCAGGAGCGGTTCCAGGCTATGGAGAGTGTGAGTTTCGCGCCGGTGCGCTGACCTCTATGATCCTGACATCGTTATGTTCAGGCAGGGGAGATCGAGACCAAGACTGCGGAGGCCTGGGAGGCCGATCTTCAACAGTGCCGCGAGGAGCTCGACATGAACATGAACACTAATGGCAACGTTGTCGAGCTGTACAACAAGCGCAAGGCTGAGGTAAGTGCCAGCAGTAGAAGTAGCGTGCGCGATGCATTAATCACATGGAGTGCAGATCGAGACCCTCACCGAGACCATCGAGGAGCGGGAGAAGCGTATACTGCGCATCGAGCAGAGCATCGGCACTGCCAGGGTTTGTCCTCATGCTCAAAAGTTCGGATCCGCATGCTTATCTCGATAAACAGGAAAACTGGCAGCCGGAGCTGCAGAAGCTCGTCGACAGCATTGGCGAGAAGTTCTCGCGTGCCTTCGACCGTACGTCAGGTCCTCGTTTCCTCTGCGTGTTTGGGCTGACATCATGCAACGCACACTGCAGGCATCGGCTGTGCAGGCGAGATCCGCATCCGCGAGGATGAGGATTACGACAAGTGGGCGATCGACATCATGGTCAAGTTCCGCGACCACGAGAAGCTGCAGCTCTTGACGGGCGAGCGGCAGTCCGGTGGTGTAAGCCTTCCCCCTCCTCCCACTCTGTAGCCCGCGGCACATACTGATACGCGCCCACAGGAACGCTCCCTGACGACGATCCTGTACCTCATGAGCCTGACCGAGGAGGCGCGCGCGCCGTTCTCGCTCGTGGACGAGATCAACCAGGGCATGGACCAGCGCGCGGAGCGCGCGGTGCACAACTCGCTCGTCGAGGTCACCTGCCGCCCCGAGAGCGGGCAGTACTTCCTGATCACGCCGAAGCTGCTCCCGGACCTCAACTACCACGAGCGCATGAAGATCCTGTGCGTGAACAACGGCGAGTGGCTGCCCGAGGAGAAGGGCCTCGGCAACATGATGGGCCTCATCGACCACTACGTGCGCGTGCGCCAGAACCGCGGCAACGCCTCTGCGTAGCCGTCTTCCTGTTCCTGCGTGTTGCGCGCGGGTATTCGACTGGACATTGTTTCGTGGGCTCCGTTCTTTGCTTACTCTACTTCTAGACCCAGGTATAACCGGTACTTGTAAATCGCATGTTGTTCTCATATCGTACTGTGCTATGTAGTCAGCCTCCGTCGAATCCATTCTGTTCTTACTCGACCGTTCACGACATCATGCTTATGGCATAAGCGCATGTTCAGTGGACTGCTTCACTGAGTATCAAGCCAAGGCTATTGTCGTTGTCAACTGTACTGACAAATGTGTGATGTGTGTACAGCACGCTGACATTCGTCGTATGACCACACGGCAAGTAGCTTAAAAGGTAATCATGTTCGCCGGCATTCCTTCACGCAAACTCAGGTTGAAGGCTTCTGCTTTGGGTTTGACGATAATAGCGTACAACTTCGGACAGCACAGCGGTAGCGCAACGACGATTCGACGACGACGATGAGATGAAAAGGGACCAAAGGAGGGGGGCCACGACCGGTGGTCAACAACCCAAGAGATGCTAACGGGGGTAAAGGGGGACTGAGGAGAATGAGTGAAGGAGATCCAGGAAATGGGAACGCAGGAAGGGGAAGAAGGGAGAAAGGGGTACTCAAGGAAAGATGTCCGTGTGCGGATGCGAGGGTATGTGTGTGCATGTGTATGTATATATGTTGTGTGTACAATCTGTGTGCGCTTCGCCGCTCTGATGAAGGGGGCAAGCAGATGGTGGGATGAAGATGGATGAGGGGTGCGGGCACGATGCGAGATGATGCGAGGCGGGGAATGCGAGTGGATAGATAGATGGGGGTTGTGCTATGCGATAAGTGGGAGTAGCGGCGGGATGTGGTATGCGCGCAACGGACGCTCGCGGCGCGGCACCGTACGCAGGAGTGAGAGGAAGGGAGATGCATAAGGGGCTTGTCATGAGATGTCGTAGGCATAGTCGTAAACCGAGACTGGGGGTGTCCATATGTAACCAAAAACCTAGAACATCGGCGGGGAGCATAGATCGGACGACGTCCTAGCGCGAGGGTTATGCGCAGACGTCGCTGTCGCCCGTGAGTGTTGCGCGGCGAAGCCCGCGCTGGGTGATGTTCACGCCCGTGCAGTCCTCGAACCACACGCCGCGCTCGGCACAGCGGGAGACGGCCTTGCGCCAAAACTGGAGCACGCGCGGGTGCGGCCGCACCGTGCGTAACCGATGGCTCTCCGCACTGAGATCGCGCACGAAGCGCAACGCGGGGAATGCGTCGCTGCGCATCAATGACGATATCTGCTCGAAGAGAGGGAAGCAAGGCGTGTCCGCATCGTCGCACATGAGGGCGTCGAAGAGCTTGTCGTCCATGTCAGCCGCGTACGCGTAGGGGTCGCGCGCGTCCATCGGCGTCATCGGATCCTCGAGAAGGCGGCGGTTGATATCGCGGATCCCGATAAGTTCCACCCGAGGGTGCGAGGGGAGGAGGATATGCGGCGCAATCCAGTCCGGGCTCTGCCAGTGCCACTCCGCGTCGGCGGAGCAGATGAACTCGCGTAGGTTGGGACACCACTCTGCGAGCGGGATCGGTGGATGTTGCTGGTTCTGGTTCTGTTGCTGGAGGACGAGGAGGTGTGAAGGCGTGGTAAGGTAGTACTCCTCGAGTGCGGACGAAGAGTGTCCAAGTTCGAGCTGAGTAAGCTTCGCGCCGTGTGCCTGGAAGAAGAGCGAAAACCCTTCGCCGGTATAGCTGAAGTCGGATGACATCACGGACAGGTTTGTCAGGTTGGGCATATCCCAGGAGGCAAGGACGGCAAACGTATTGTTGTCGAGGGAAACCTTGAGCGCGCGAAGGGCGGGAAGGTGAACGTCCATCTGGAGATGTTGGAAGTCCTTGCCCGCGGAGGCAGGCGGGCCTGAAAGGATGGTGCTCAGGTTGGGAATGCTGGAGGAGCGGGAGGACAGCTCGAGGTACTCGAGTCGGGTGGCGAGGTTGCTGCCAAGAGGGGCCATCCGCAGCTCGAACGGCACATCGTCGTAACTGGTCCAGCTCAGTCTTCGGATCTTGGGGTGCGCCACAAGCTTCAGGATCTCCTCTGGGCTACACCGAGGATCGGGTGCGTCCTCGTATATGCTTCGCTGCACGCTATGGTGGTCGGAGTAGATGTAGAGGTGGGGGGAATAGTCCAGGATGGTGCGCAAGTCAGCAGGCGCACAACGCTCGAGCGCTGGTGTCTCGATATGGAGCCTTCGAATGAACTTGCCGCTGGAAGGGAGGGTTTCGACGTACTCCATAAGGAGGGTGCGCGCCAGGGACTTCGCTTGAGCCGCCCGACTTATCCAGACAAACTCGTAGAGAAACGTGCGTGCGAGCGCGTTCCATTGGTGGGAGACAAGCGAAAGACTCTTCTTGGTGGCCATGCTCGCACGGTATGTGGCGAGTTGTGTGGAGGGCGATTCCAAGAAAGAAAGCTCGTGCGAGGTGTCCAGGGGATCATGGTTGAATACGCAGGCGTGCTGGATGATGATGCCCCATATTTCGGGAGGAATGAAGGGTAACCGGAGGTGAGCGGGTTCGGACTCCTCAACCTTGGATCGGCGCCTGAAGAGAGCGGTCAGTACAAGATATTCAAAGACATACAGAAAAAGATTGCGGGAAAGAGAATGACACGCCTCCGCTTGCCCGTCCGTCCTACTTCCAGTGGGGCACTTTGGAGCTGGGAAGGAGCGCGGGTTGCGACGCCAAGGACATAGGTTCACACGGACAGCTCATCGACCGCTCCGGTCCACATAGGTCTTCTGGTCGAGAAAAGACACCGCATCTTGGGCCGCAGCACCCAGTAGGTGAAGTAAAGGTACACCAGTCGCAAGGGGACGAGAAGGAAAGAATGCGGAGGAGATAGTTCGGAGACAATGGACGCTTACAGTTTGGAACGTATCCGAACTAGCAGAGTACGAACGCTGCGCTTGTGACGAGAAGGAGAGAGATTGCTTGTATGCGAGGTGTGCGACGAGGGATCTTGCATTGCTGGGGTTGTCGCTGGGAGGGAGGGTGAAGAGAGGGAGAGAGAGGGAAGGAAGGGACGTGGTGGGACGCGGAAGAGGACAAGTCGGTCAAAAAGCTTAGCCGGCGTCTACGGCCTCGGCCCTGGTCTCTGCCCCGCGCAGACGCCCGTGGCTGGTGGTGCGACCTGCCAATTGCGGTTAGCAGGCGCCCGAGTTCAATTAACGGGCGTCGGCTAAGCACACTCTAATCTCCACACAATCTCGCTTGCCTCCTACTCCAGACCCCAACGCCCTGCCGAGGTCGCTCGAGCTGCTCGTCCAGGGCCCCCTGCTATCTGCAGTGCAGCGCAGAATACACCTCCCGGGACCTGTACACCCTGCCAAGGCAGTGCGCGCGCAAACAGTTGCCCCCGCTGATTGTCAGATGACCGGATCCGCCCACTCGACACCCGCCTTTTACGTGCAAGAAGTCCCAGCGGTGGTCATATCAGTCGATGGCCGTCATCCTGCTACGAACCTTCATGCACGATATAATTTAGGCTCGCTGATGATTGCTCGGGGAAGCAGGCAGGGCGGGGAGGGCGAACGTCGCCGCTGCTGATGGAAGGTGCGGACGCTGCTAGCGGCCGTCGAGTCCGCGCTGGAGCCGTGAAGAACTCTTCGCGTCTTCCTTCCGTCGGATGACCTCGGCAAGCAGAAGTCCCGCAACACGGGGCGCCACAACGCCGTACTCGACTGACCTGCCTTTTCTGACACTCCCCGGCCGTTTTCATCCGGTGGTGTGCTGGCAAGCCTCGCTCAGATGCCCGGTGCGTCTCTCCTTCATCGCACTACAATCTAACAATCTCGGCTATGCTAACAAGACTGCACAATATGTGTCTGCATCTGATAGAGTCAGTATCATACCCAAAATCAGGGCGCATTCGTTGTTGTCTCTGATCTCTGTCCACGCACCACGATTCGTCTGCCGGCTCTCGCATCTCATCAACGCAGAGCTCTGACCAGAGTTCTGTGGGCCTTTCCAGTATCACGTCGCTTGACACAGTGCTTTACCCAACGCGATGTTTGTGCCCTCATCACCCTGCCTGCTTCGATCTAACACGTTCGGCGATTCGGTGCGGTCCTCCCTTCCATTCTCGAGGACACAACTGCCGCTATAGAACCGCCTGATCGGAGGATGTGGTGGGCTCGGACACGTGAGCTTGTCTCGGCATGAACCAGAAGTGCCTGTCCGTTCTTAGTCGGTCTTATTCGAATGTGCAGAATCATCTACTACGTGGCGCACTCTCCAGAGCCAGTCGTCCTCGGATTGAGGTGGGTTGAGTCCTCGAATATCCACCATCATGCACCACCTATTCTGGACCCATGTCTACTTCACAAGTTTTGGAGGGTTCATAAAAGATGGTGGGTGAACACGGCGCCCTACAACTAGTAGTACCAGCGAGCCACGCGAGCTACACCCCATTGCGGTAGGGCGCCGTGAGTAATGGGGTATTTTATAACTAATAATTGTTCACACCTGTTATAAACCGGTTAGTAACTGTGAGGTAGACATGGGCCCAGAATGGACGGTGAATAATCGTGAATAATCGTGAGGGCGGAGCATGTGAGGGACTGCTTGGGAAACACACCCAGACACCAGGACTGGGCACTTTAACCAAATAGTAAACCCGACGAGTGCTATCGACCACTGCAGCGGCCACAACCTCATATTCCTGCGATGGAGGCTGCGATACCGACCGGATGTGTGCAGATCTGCCTGCGGGAGCGCCAGCCTGCGATAAGTGCACTCACAACACGACTCAGACGTGCTCGGCCCTCTGGATTCGACTCGGATCCGGTTCACAGCGATGGTTGTGGAGAACGTTCGCCGGGTCCGAGAGGCCCGGCGAGGTTTTGTACTGTTATAAACCTGTTCTATATTGTTAGAAATGATTTATAACCAGTTTATAACCCACCTGTTAGTAACTGTTTCAAATCCTTGTTAGAAAGCCTCCGCCGGGCCTCCAGTTTGTAACTGTGAGTTAATAATCCGTCAGAATTTCTCACGGCGCCCTACATTGCGGATTGCGCGAGTGGCGCATCGTTTGACGAGGCGAGTCCGTCTTCATTATGAGCTCATTGGCCCACAACTAGCTGAGAGTGATTGGGCAGCCTTCGCGATACGATGGGCGCATTCATCGTGCCTGTGCCGCTCGCTGAGTGGCTAATGGGCAACCTCTCACATTGAGTCGAAGGTCAGCCAATGCTATCGTTCTTTCCGCCATCCTCCCGACCGGGCGTTCGGCAGGACACGTTGCTCCTTGACGTTCACAAGACAGGTACATGCCGCCGTGTGTCGTTTGTCATCCTCGGTTAAAGCGAGCAAATTTTGGGTCCTCTCGGAATGTCGTCGCGGGCTACTGGAGTCAAGACTTCCGACGCTGCGATTAGTGACGAAACAAGTAACGACTGGTCGATCTGTTGTAGGCGCCACTTCAAGCTTAGCTACAGAGGGCCTGAACCTATCGTGCAAATAATCGTAAACCATTCCATCATTGCAACATCTTGACTGCCGCAGGTGTACTCTCGACGTCGCTACCCAGTTCAAGACACACATCACGAAACATACCGACTTCCTCCCGACTACATGTCCGATATAACATCCGGGATACAGCCCCCTGCGTCAGGGAGGCTAAAAATACCCACGGCCCTCGCTGGTACGATGTATTCAGCTCTGCGAACGCCGGCCCTTCGTACATGTGAGCTGAGAACTCTAGCCCCACTACTCGCCGAGGCTTGTACATCCGTCTTCTCTGCCGTACAACCACGCTTACTCACTATTAGGGCAGAACGCACTCACGCAAGTCCCATCCCCGCACGTGAGGTGTGCGGTCGCGCGAGTTCACAAACGTCGGATATACCCCGCGAGGATATCCCGACGCGCATCACCCTCCGCCCTTCCTACTGCCCGCGCCTCTTGCCAACGCCGCGCATCTCTGCCAGCCCCGCGTCATACGCACTCCACTCGCCTCTCATTCAAGGCCTGTTCCTAGCCCCGGACCTTCTCAGTTCAACCCCGCGCGCGAGCATGACCCCGCATCCCGCTGAATCTCCGGCCGAGCACGCCCTTCCTGCCCACGGAGACCACTCGGATGTGCGCCTTCGCGCCGTCGACCAGCACACGCTACCCATCGCCTCGCGATCGGCAGCGGAGGCCCTACGGCACGACACCGTGACTATCACCAGGACGCCTCGGCAAGCGAGCGCATGCTTCTGCGGCCCTCGGGGGCGTATATAAGGACGCACAAGCGAGCCTTGGGGTTCTGCAAGCCACCTAGCTCAACCACAGCTACAGCTCACCCAAAGATGTTCGCATTCGCCGCTCTCACCGCCCTCGCCTCGGTTGCGCTCCCGAAGGTCCTCGCCCACGGCGGTGTCCTCTCGTACTCGAACGCGGGCAACTGGTACCAGGGCTGGGCTGTGAGTCTCCTCTCAATTTGATACGACTCCATTGGGGTCCGTGCTAATTGAGTTCGACGATAGCCTTACGACACCCCCGTCGGCCAGACCACCATTCAGCGCCCCTGGTCTAGCTAGTGTGTATTCGACCTTGACATGGTGCATGTACCAAACGACTGAGGATGTATCGTTTGCAGCAACCCCATCACCGATGCGACTGACGCTCAGCTCGCTTGCAACGACGACGGCACCCCTGGAGCTCTCCAGCTGACTGCCAACGTCGCGGCCGGCTCTGCCATCACCGCCTACTGGAACCAGGTCTGGCCCCACCCCTACGGCCCCATGGTACGCCCTTCCCATAACATCACCCAACCAAACACTCACTCACGGCACCGCCACTGCAGCTCACGTACCTCGCGCAATGCCCCGGCACGACCTGCAACGGCGTGAACTCGAACACGCTCAAGTGGTTCAAGATCGACGAGTCCGGCCTGATCTCGGGCACGATCGCGGACGGCTACTGGGGCTCGGGCAAGATGATCGACCAGAACTCGTCGTGGACGACGACGATCCCGTCGACGGTGCCGTCCGGCAACTACCTCATCCGCTTCGAGACGATCGCGCTGCACTCCCTCCCCGCGCAGTTCTACCCCGAGTGCGCGCAGATCCAGATCACCGGCGGCGGCTCGCGCGCGCCCACCGCGGACGAGCTCGTCACCTTCCCCGGCGCGTACAGCAACTCCGACCCCGGCCGTGAGTCTCTCCATACTTTCCCCGCGCGAGTAGATATATGTGCTGATGAGGTGCTCCCCCGTGGATAGTGACCGTCAACCTCTACACCCAGGCCGCTGAGGCCCAGACGACCTACGTCATCCCCGGACCCCCGCTCTACGGCAGCGGCACTGGCTCTCCCGCCCCTGCCCCGGTAAGCCACGATGCCTCCGTTCCTCCATGTACAGGATGACTGACACATCGCTGCAGACCACCGCGCCCTCTGCCCCCAAGACGACCGCCGCCCCCGCGCCCGTCTCGTCTGCGCCCTCGCAGGCCGGCACCGTCGCCCAGTTCGGCCAGTGCGGTGGTATCGGCTTCACCGGCGCCACCGCGTGCCAGGCGCCCTTCACCTGCACCGCCCAGAACGGTGCGTCCTTCTTTCCTTGTGCCCCTTGTCTCCCTACAGATAACTGACGCGCGCGCTCGTGACAGCGTACTACTCTCAATGCATCTGAGTTCGGAACTAGATACACGAGCACGAGGAGGTAGACGGAGATGGCAGCAGCATGGGTGGACGCGGGGCGAGGACCGCGCGAAAGCGCTCGGGGGGAGCGCGGCTGCTAGTGTTGTGCTCTGGCTCTTGTTTCATCGCCGAATCTCTCTATAATGCGATTTCCTTTTCATCTCCCTCGCTTGTGGGTGCCAGCCCCGGCTCATCGTCGTGCATGACAGTCCAGATATGAGGCCTTGAGGGCTGATTTATGGATTGAGTAAATCTTCGGCCGAGCAGCCTCCAAAACTAGACTACACAAGAGCAAACGAGTTGGGAGATGCGTAGTACATGGAACGGCGTACTAGATATTGGCCTGCCTCCCGTACGTGCCCGGAGAACAGTGAACAGTAAATGGTTCGTGATGCGCTGACCGCAAGCTGAGTGGTCGCCACGGCTAGTATGAACGCGTATCAGACGTCGCAAACTTGACGCTGCAGTCTTAATCCTCAAATGGTCAACTTCTCCCTCTCGGGGCGTGGTCTCCGATATGCTTTGAGCTACGTATGAGTCAAAGATGGGCGGTAAATTGTACGCTTGATCATCTGCTGTGATGTCTTTGGCATCGTGGCGTCGACCTACTTGTGGACCTAGTAGACGTGCGATGTACGCTCCGTGGCTCGTAACGTGCTTTGCTTCCCTACCAGGAGATGGAGTAAGCGAATTGACAAACGCCGCACAAGCGTGAGAGGGATTAGGAATGAACCTGGTGAATTTGATGTCAGTCCAGGAAAAGAAGCCCGATATACTGAACGGCTCTTGTGAGAAGCACTCACGCGACCCATGGGGCATGGTCTCGCCTTGTGGGCTCTATGTGAAGCGCATTTGCATGCACTATTCCCGCCTTCAATGCGCCTTGCCCGATGTGTCGATTCGAGGCGAGAGCCGTGACGTCAAGCTTCAAGCTTGAAGGCTATTGCACTGGCATATATAGGCGGTGGCGAGCTGCACTTTACCTATAACAACCAGTAGTCTCAGCTCTCCACACTCTGCCACTCCTTCTACTTGCTTTTTCTCATCGCCAAGACGATAACGCACCATGTCTCAAGTGCCAACCTGGGCTCCGTCCACAGGCGTCAGCCTCTTCACCCGTGTCTACAGCGCACTGCGGTCTTCGTATGTCATGCTTGTTGTCGACAACCCTCTTTCGTGGACGTTTGGCTTCCGTGGTCAAAACGTGCAGGATGAGTATGTGCACTTGTCGCGGGATTATAGACAATTGATCCTGATGTGAATTCGTAGGGCCTTACTACATTCCCGGTGCGCCTTACAAGCAGATCGAGGACGGTAAAGCTGTCATGGCGTCTACAGAGTATCTGAAGAGTAAGCATTCTATGAGACTTGATGCGCTCATGTTCAAACGAGCCTCACCCTGTGTACAGAATATGGTCCGTTCTTGTTCTTGTTCGACGTCAAGGACGCCAAAGGCGAACCCGTCCCGAACGCGACGCTGGACTGGTGGCAGGCTGATAGCGACGGGGGCTACTACTTCCGTTCCTGGACCCTGCGTGGCAAGGTCACCACGGATGCGCACGGCCGCGCGGAGGTCCTTAGTGTCAATCCGGGCGAGTACGGCGTCCCGTTCATGGGGAAACGTTCGGGACACGTCCACCTCAATGTCAGCGGCACCGCGGGCAAGCACCGCTTCATGACGACGCAAGTTTACGTCTGCGAGGGTAACAAGTCAGAGCGCGTGCACACGGACATGTGCGTATTCTGCCCTGGGAATGGAGCTTTGCATGGATACTTAACGAGGTCTGCAGGGCGAACTTCATGCGGGCACCGCGCACTGGCAATCTGGCGACCTGCTGGTCCCTGCCCGTGGCCAATGGTGGCCAGCGATTTGGAGACTTCCCTCAGCTCCCCAAGGCGGACACGGAGACGGCGAGGCGCATCGACTGGTGGAACGCGAAGCTGAAGGAACGTGGCGTTGAGCGCGAAGTGCTTGCTGTTGGGCAGAAGGACTTCAAGCTCACCCTGCTCTGAGGGATGCTGTGACAGGGCCCTGTATGATCATCGGTCGAGCTAGTAGCACATGATGATTAACGTTCAATTTGGCCTTCTATGCAGAAAGATGATGATTGAGCTGGGAGTGACTTCACTCACATTCAGTGCCTTGGTCAGAAACAAGCAGGCCTAATAAGCTGTGTTGACAAGTGCGACGGGCGTGGGAGGCGTATTGGGAATCCAGCTTGCCGACCTGACCTCGGTTGGGAAAAAGAGCGTCAGCGGTCAGTTTTGATGGCTCATGCAAGTGACAGGGTTTACTAGAAGGTTGGTCGCGTGCGTCGGATAGACACTCACGTATGTTCAAGGAGCGTCATCGCGTGTTGTAAGTATTGCACAGTCCATACACGAGTACGCGGTCGCAGGCGGGGCTTCCCATGTATGTACTTATGTGATGCCGCGCAAGACATCCCGGGGTGCTCGAATGAATTGATTCGGCACGAAAGCTGTGAAGTCTCCTGATACTTGCCACGTTAGCATATATAGACAGCGACATGAGTGCTTCCCATGGCCATCGCTCGCTCTTGCACTCAGCGCATCACCATCTGAACACCTCTGCCTGCCTTGCGCTCGACGATCACGCACCATGCCACAAGTTTCGACCATCGCGGACTGGGCACCACTTGTGGGTGTCAGCTTCTTCACTCGACTCTTCAGTGCGCTTCGGTCCACGTGGGTCATGGTCGTTGTGGATAATCCGCTGTCGTGGAAGCTGGGTTTCAGGGGTCAGAACGAGCAGGACGACGTCGAAGGTGCGCACCGTCTCTTCTCTGCTTCCGGACTTGTCAAGTCCGATTCGGCATGGACTGGTCCTCACGGTGTACGAACGACAGGACCCTTCTACATTACCGGAGCACCTAGCAGGCAGATCGACGACGGGAAAGCAGTGCTTGCTTCTCCCGAGCATCTGGAGAGTAAGTCGACGTCTGCAGTCCCCAGTTACGACGTGTGGCTCACCATGCGTGTAGAGTACGGTCCGTTCTTGTTCATCTTCGACGTCAAGGATGCCAAAGGCGATCCCATCCCCAATGCGACACTGGACTGGTGGCAAGCGGACTGCGACGGCGGCTACTACTTCGCGTCATGGACCTTGCGCGGCAAGGTCACCACAGACGCACACGGCCGCGCGGAGGTCCTCAGCATCCGTCCGGGAGACTATGGCCCCCCGTTCATGGGCGGACGTTTGGGCAAGCGCTCTGGGCACGTCCATGTCAACGTCGAAGGTGTCCCGGGGAAGCACCGCGGATTGACTACGCAAGTGTACGTGTGCCCGAACAACAGGACGGCGCACATGCTCGAGGATCTGTACGTACGCTGCTTCTCCGCATGTTTCACGGGCTGAACGAGCCTTGTAGCGCGAACTACGCACGGCCGGCGCGTCCAGGGAACATGGCCACCTGCTGGTCCTTGCCCGCGGCCAACGGCGGCGAGAAGTACTGGGACCTCCCTGAGTTACCTGCGGAGGATGTGGAGAGGGCGAACCGTATCGGCTGGTGGAATGCAAAGCTGAGGGAGCGTGGTATTGAACGCGAGATAGTCGCCGTTGGGCAACAGGAGTTCAAGCTCACCACTATTTGAGTCCCACAAGGGAAGACTACTTCATGTACTTGTACCGCTGTATTTGATGTACCATGTGACGCTTTGAAAGAGACGATGAAACGAGGTTTCGTTCCTGCACTCCGCGCTGCCTCTTGTGAGAGCACCTGGTGTGATCAGATACAAGGCTGGCCAACTTACGCAAGGGATTGACGGGTCCCAAAGAGCGACCAGTAATACATGCCAGACCACTGTCACCATGTTAAAGCAGATGCGATACTAGTTACACAAGAGAATTGTGAGGAGGTTCTGTAGTCGGATATCGTGAAGAACGCACTCGACCGGACACACCTCCGGTGTCCCCTATACCGTTTGTATCGCTGTGGTTGTAACCTCTACTAACATATTGCGCATCTGTCAGTGTCGTATCAGAGGAGTCACAAATGAGAACGAACCACAGCTATAAGCTAATCTAGGGGCGTTCATGTCGCCCCATAGACATCTCTTCGCGTGTCTAACCAACACTCCTTGGCTGCGTCGATGCACTTGTTCAGCACGTCGTCTGCACCCACGATGCCCAGCCCGAGCTGCATCACGGATGTCAACCCCCCGCTCTCGTCGACCACCACCGAGATGGTGGTATCAAGCAGCGGCTCTTCGAAAGATGTGGGGTCCGCCAAAATATGTGTTCTGCACATGACATCTATCAGCTCGGGGCCTTGGAAGATAGGAGGATAGTACGAACCCATCGAAAACGCCGAACGAGAACGAAGTGGGAAGTCGGCCAATTTGCAGTGGTTCCTGCACCTTTCTCGAGCATATCGTGCGCTTTGTTTCCTCGTCGTATGTCGCTTTTGGCAGTGTCGCTGATAGACCCAGAGTCAAGACGGAACTTGATCCGAAGGCACGTGTAACTCACTGCTTTTGAGAGCGGCGACCATGGCGAGCAAAGTCGCGTCAAACGCGTTGCCATCGTAGTTTATGCATGTCGCGTCGACGTAGAGCACCCAGACAGCCTTTCCTGGCTCGATGCATAATGACTTTGTGGACACCACGCCTGACCTAGAATGTGGGGTCTATATCTACTTCACGATGAAGGAATATGACAGCGTACGAGACGAGGACCTCATTCAGCCTATCTGAGAGCACTTGTGCCTCATCTGTCGGAGGTCCGGGCTTGAACTTTGGAGAGCATATAGCCGGGAGATCGAGGTTGGGAACTGGGGTGTGCCGACATTGGTTGGACTGCGACCTGAAGCAGTGCGAGTTCACGCACCTAGGAAGCCATGCTCTGGACGGTCCAGCTCAGGCTCTGCAATCTCTGCCTTCACGCCACAGACCACCGTAGTTGAGCCTAGCCGGACAAGCGCAGAGCCGTTTGCCGTCGATATCGAGTCTGGACGCGTACAATCGTCAGCGACCCTAGCTTGTCTCTCTCTGCAATGATATACGGACCCACAATCACCGAGACGTCCCTCCACTCATCAAGGTTTCGCCCATCTGGCCGGACATCCTCTGCCAAGAACCGCTCAAGATATGTCTTGGGGTGCAGGCGTTGAAACGTAAGCGCCTTGAGCGCGTCTTGCTCTGCCGAACTTGAACTCGAAGATGCAGCAGCCATGAGAGAGGTAACACGTTCACACCAAAGCGAGAAATACGAGCACGCGGGGCGTCGGGGAGGATGGCGTTGGAGGTGGAAGGAGAGGCCCGCGCGGCGGACAAATTCTTATTCTTGGTTGCCGGCGGGCCCGGGCAGCAGCGAATCGAGGGCGGCCCGCGCGGGCGGGACGCCCTGACGCGCCGTACGCGACGAGATTCAGAGTGAGATAAATTGCGCCGCCAGCCCCGCGCACACATCTCATATATCCTTCCTCGCCCATTGTGGGTCCACCCAACAACCGTCCACACCGCGCTCTTGTTTGTTCGCCTGTGTGGGCCCCGGAAAAGGAAACACGCAGAAAAAGAGAGTGCGCCCCTTTCCGCGGGCGCGTGTGTATGATATGTGTGATCTACAGCTACTTATAGTCATGTTGTTTCTTCTCTGCCGCCCATGCCCATTAACTTGTACATGTAAGCCATTTTCGCCACCCGCGCCCCCGAGCGTGCGCGCCTTCCTGCGGTGGCTCGCTGCTGAGCTATGCCTGTCCGCCGACGATTCCTTTTAGTACGGCGTACTCCGCGTTGATGATGCTGCTCGTCGCCGCGCCGATGGCGACGTTGTTCGCGAGGACGACGAATTTGATGTCCAGCACCCGGCACTGGCGCACCCGCCCGACGGACACACCCGCGCCTGCCTGGTAGTCCCTGTCCAGCCGTGGCTGCGGCCTGTCCGGCTCCTCGTGCACGAAGACAGTATGGCGCGGGGCGGACGGGCATCCGATGGCGTACGCCTCGGAAGTGTACCCCTGTAGCGCCTCGCGCACCTGCTGGGGGCTCGGCGGAGGCCGCCGGGCGAAGCGGATGGACACGCATTCCGTGTGACCCTCGATGACCGGGACGCGGTTGCACGAGGCGGAGACGCGGAGGGGCTGCTTCGAGTGCATGTCGAACGCCTTGAGGCCGTCGTCGCCCTGGCTGACTCCGCCGAGGATCTTGAGCGTCTCCCATTCAATCTTCTCTTCCTCGCCGGAGATGTACGGGACGACGTTGTCCATGATGTCGAGCGAGGGGACGCCGGGGTAGCCCGCGCCGGAAATGGCCTGCATGGTGGTGATCATGCAGGACTCGATCGGACCGAAGGCGCGCTCGAGCGCGGCGAGCGGCACGACGACGGCCGTGGTGGAGCAGTTGGCGTTCGTGACAATGAAGCCCTTCTTCAGCGGGGGGTTGTGCAAGGCACGTTGTTGAGGGATGATGGAGTAATGGGACGTGTTCACGAGGGGTACGACGAGGGGCACGTAGGGATCTCGCCTGTAGTTCTTCGCGTTGGAGAAGACGGCAAGCTCTGCGAGCCTGAAGCTTTGTTCTAATCAGACGGATGAGCGACCCACGACTTTTCGCTATCAGGATAGGAACGCACCAATATCGCCCGCCACATCGGCGTCAAGGCCGGAGAAAACCACCGCGCACTCCAGGAAATGTTCCGGTTTGCACTCCTGGACGATCATTTCGCGGACCGTGCTGGGAATGTACTGCGTCTGCTTCCAGTTGGTTGCTTCCCTGTATGGCTTGCCCGCGGATCGTTGTGATGCTCCGAGAGCATGGATTACGAAGAACGGGTGCTCAGCGAGGAGAGCGATGAAGCGTTGGCCGACAGTACCGGTCGCGCCGAGGACGCCAACCTTGTACTGTTTCCCGGATGTCATGGTGGATGTTGAGGTTGAGAGGGAGCCCAGGTTGTCCAGTGAGGTCGACATGTAAGAGACCAGAGGGGAGACGAGATGACTCTGGAGGACTCGAGAGTCTAAGCAAGGCCGGAGCGCAGAGGATCGCACCCGGCACGCGATCTGCAGTCCATCGGGTGACCGTGACAATCTAATCTAGAGAGCGTAACGCGCGAGTGCCCCCACGCGCGCGTCGCGACTGCTCGTTGGACGTCAACAACTGCCTCTCTACTCTCGACGACCACCATGGCCGCAGCGGCACCCAGCGCAGAGGCCGCGGCTCAGCTTCTCTTCCCGCCCAACGTGCAGTACAACGCCTCTCGGCTCTACACGATCAAGTTCCTGTCCTCCTGCTTCGCTGGTGCTGTTGCAGGCGTGCTGGGTCTAGAGAACACCCTCGGCTTCGCGCTCTTCATACTCTCCACGCTCTTTACCTCGGGTTGCGTATTCATCAAGTGCAAAAGCCGGCCGGCGAAGTACGTACCTGGAGGATGGTGGGAGCTCGTCAACCCGGGGACGGAAAACATATCCTCGTTCGTGCTGGTGTGGACCCTGTTCTATGGTACGTCCCCTTCTTTCCCTCACGGCGACCGATCTGTTGGAGGCGGTGAAACACAGGTATCGTGCACGGTATGTTCGCAGCAGCATGTGATGCAGCTATCAGCGAGATATCAATGGAACTTCGACGCTCGCAGTATACGATTGAATCACCATCGCTGGATGGGCGCGGAGGCCCTTCTTCGACCGGAGTCTGTCCTGCCTCGCGACGCGGGGTATTTACACTGTGAGCACGCGCTTTCTGCCCGCCCATGTGCGCCGACGGAGTGCTGAGCGGCACACAGGAAGCTTCCGTGGTGGCCGCAGCGCATGGCTCGCGCCGATCGACACGAGGGAGGCCGACGGGCTCTATATAATGAAATCCGAGATCAGATCTCGAGTAGGGTGGTAGTTACGGGACCTGTAAGTAAGTTACAGTTGGGGATAGTCGCCATGGATGCGGGAACACGAAATCGAGGTGCGCGAGCAAGTTCGTGATCGTTGTGCGAGGTTCGTGCGGCGGATGGTTCGCGGGTGTCTGATGGTCCCAGCGAGGCTGCGCTGGACGCAAGGGTGGGTGTATGCGCGTGCGGTGGGAGGCCGGGCAGGGCGCTGTGATGGTCAGCCGGGAAATAGGGAGGGCTTGTTGTTGGGTGTTTCAAGAAGGGTTCGATGGACGGCGCGGGTTCCGATCGATGCAGCTTCTGCCGCGTGGCGGACCTCGTGGGCAGCACGTGGGCGGGCCGTTCCCTGTGGGCGGCCTCCAGATCGTCCATGGCCAACGGGTATGCCTTGTTTGTGCACTCCTCCTCCGCTCAGTCATGACTAGGCTCAGACACCCAGCCATCGCCCGCTTATCGCCCTCCTCCCCCGCATCCCATGGCCGCTACCTACATCCTCCTCCAGTTCAGCGCTGACCCCTGGAATGCCCGCTTCGAGGACGCCGACAAGCGGTCGGCCTTCACCGTGTACGTACCCCTCCTCCGACTTTCTCGGCGCCGCCCCGCCCCGCGTGCTCACAATTGCGTGCCCTTTTCAGAACGATGGTGCTCACCTCCCCCACCGACGCGTCGTGCACATATTCACCGTGTATATTATTCAGGTCGACGAGAACCCAAACCTCATCATGAAGGTCGCGCGTGAAGCACCGTGGGCGCAGCAGCACCCAGACATTATGGGTCCCAGCAATGCCTTTCTCTACTTCGGACCCGGTCGCACACCCGGCCACCTCATCTACGGCAACAGCACCTACCACACAATGGCCCAGGCACGCAACCGAAAGAAGGAGACGAGCACGTACGTACTGCCGTGCTCCCGCCGCCTTCTGTTCGCTCAACTCCCGCCGCTAGATCGCGATATTTCTGGGCCCAGAACGGCAGAGAGTACAAGTGGCGGATCGCACCCCAGCGGCTCGAGGTAGTTGCCCTCGTGCGGTGCGAATATTAGCGGGAGCTCACGCCACTTTGCAGTGCGTGGACGGGAAGGGTAACGTAATTGCCCTGTGGGAGACGAGCCAGCTAGCGGACCCATTCGCCGCCAAGCTAACCATCAAGCATGCTGCGCTACCAATCATCACGGAAATCGTAACGACGCTGACACTCAACCGTATTGCGCACGTATCGAATTGGCAGTAACCGGTAGTTTCGTCTGGGAGCCACACTATGTCCACGCTTATAACGTACATGATTGGTCCGTATTCATTTCTGGGAGATGACGGACCGTTTCCGACACGACTTGCTACCCCTGCACTATTACTCAATTCAGCCGACGAAATTGGCAAGTCTCGTCCGCGAGTGATGATTTTTGGACATGAGCCTCGGGACCTCTCCCCCACCATCACAAACTCTACCACCACGGTGTCCTCGAAGACCGCTGCCGACCTCGTTTCAGCGGAACTGAACTCGGGGTCAGGCCACATTCGCACGTACCAAAGCTTCCGTGCCGGTCCTAATCTTCCTTCCTAATCTCCTCCTGCAGCGTCGTCAGCCGCGCCCACTCCGGCTCATCCCCGAAGTCCTTCGTGCGCCCCATAAAGGTCCGCACGATGCTGCGGGCCTGTAGCTTCCACTTGAAGCCGTCCACCCGCGGCCCGAAGTTGCGCAGCACGTCCACAATCTCCTCGACCTCGCCCACGGCTTCCCGCCACTTCTCCACATCTGTCTCGCCCCTCTCCATCGTCCCTGCCGGTCCCGCGCGGTACCCGTCCAGGTAGGCGTTCAGCGCGTCCTCGTACCGCCCTTCCGCGGTGAGCAGCCGTGCCCGCGCCCGGAAAATCCTGGGCGAGGACACGCGCGGCAGGATCGTGCCCTCGAAAAGGTCGGTCACCCTCCGGCCGAGGCCGGTGCTCGTGTTCACCTTGGATGTGCCCGCCGTAAGCTCATCGATGCCCTCACCCCCGTGCGAGCCAGCCTCGCCCGTGCCGCGCGTGACGGCGTCGACGAGCTTGTCGAGCACATCCTCGTCCACGCACGCGGCGCCGTCCTTGGCGGCCCGGTGCTCGACCACGCGCGTGAGCGCACGGCACGCCTCGGAGAACTCGCCGACGTCGACGGCGACGATCATGTAGTTCGTCCACATGCGCCAGTTGTCGTAGGCGTACTTGAGGCCCTGCTTCAGCGCGCGGAAGGCGAGAAGCTTGTTCGAGAACGGGATCCGCTTCTCCGCATCTTCCGGGCGGCCTTCCCGGGCGGCGTTTTCTGCTGCCTGTGAAGAAGGTTCGGCGGCGGTGAGTGGCGGGGCTCGGGCCCCGCGGATATTATTACAGACTGCACGGGAAGGACAGCTTACCTCGACGCTCTCGTCATCCTCGTCTACGGCAACGGTCTTCCCAGCCTCGCCCATTCGCAGGTACATGCTCGCCAGATTGTTCCAGCTCTCGCCGTCCTCGTCGTCGATGGTCACACAGCGGACGAACGCGTCCCGGGCGCCCTCCCAATCCTCCTGCCGCACCAGCGCGCACCCAAGCACGAACCACGACCGGCTGAGGAGGGGGTTGATGGCGACAGCGCGGCGGAGGCAGGTGACCGCGTCTGGGTAGTTCCCCCGCGCGAAGTAGTACCCGCCGAGGGAACGCATAGCCCGTCCCGAGGACGCCTTCGATACTTCCCAGGCACGAGTGTAATGCTCGAGCCCACGCTCGGGCTCGAGGTCTCCCAACAGACACCAGAGCTTCGCCTCCCGCGTGGCGTCGCGGACCTGCATGCGCGTGGCGGAGAAGGCGGCCTTGCCGCGGGCGATGACCGTGTCCGCCTCCGCCTTGCGGCCCTCGAGCAGGTCGCGGACGATGGACACGGCCTTGTCCGTGCGCTCCATCGACTGCCAGCAGCGCACGACCTCCTCCCACATCTCGAGCCGCTCGAAAATCTCGAGCGCGGACTTGACGACGCCGATCGAGAGGAAGCGCAGCGCGAGCTCGCGCTCCATCTCCCACCGGCTCGGCAGCACGATCGCGTGGATGAGCAGGAGGCGTTCGGCGAGCGGCGAGTCCGCGGTCGGCATCTGGTCGACGAGTGCCTGGAGCTGCAGCGTGGCGCGCTCGACCGTGCGCGTGCGATGCGCCTCCAGGCGCGAGCGCAGGAGAAGGGCCATCGTGTGCACCGACCAGTTGCGCGGATGGGAGAGCACGCGTGCGACGTACGGCGCCATTTGCTCGGTCGTGAGACCGTGCGCGGGCGAGAGGTTTTTGACATTGAGGCAGAGGGCGAGGAGGATGGACTGGTCGAGCGGGTGCAGCGCAGGCTGCGAGGCAGGGTCGATGTGGCTGAGGCGGGAGCCGGGCGTCCCTGCGGTTGATGAGGACGTGAACGCCGTCTGCTCTAATAGGGTGTCGTCGTTAAGTGCGAGTGTTTCAGGGATCGCAGGAATTGCCGCATCGGGAGGGGAGGGCCCAGCGGTGCCCGTAGTGGAGTCACCCCCTTCGTGTGTCGCCCCGCCCGTCTCCAAATTGGCATCAGCGCCGTCGCCGTCGCCGTCACCCCGTTTTCGCGACTCGGCGAGGAGGATGAGCTGCGTGAGCTCCGTCTGCTGGAATTTCGTGCGCTTGCCCAGTGCACCGGTAAGCTCGTACTCGAGTTGCGTCGCCCGCGCGGCCCGCACAAAATAGTCTGCTGCCGATTTGTCATGGCCTACGTAGTGTTCGAGTAAGCCTTGCTCCAGCAATAGGCGGCCGGCGATGTCAGGCTCGGTGGCGAACGAGTCTAACAGGGGCACGACGGACTCCATTACGTCCGAGGGGATGGCAACGGGCTCGTCCAGCACCTGCTGATGAACGCGCCATGTTCGCAGCCTCCACCACGGTGCAGATTCTATGTGCTGGAAGGATGTGTCCAAGAGAAGCTTCGCAAGCAGCAGGAAGAGCGGTGCTTTGGCGAGATGGTACGCTGGCTCGCCGCCGTAAGCGAGCTCCGCAACAGTCTTTTGATGGAGCAGATCCTCGTTGACCACCTGAGAAAGTTCGGGGTTGAGGGCGAGGATGTCTAGCGGCTTGATGTCGAGATCGGGGCCCGTCCAGTTGACCTGGAGAAATGCGTGCAGGCACGCGACGGCGCAGACCAAGCGGAGGAGTTCATCCTCGACGGACGAGGTGCCTGTGGAGGGATCGGAAAATTTGAACCAGGCGGGGAAGGGGCGGTCGAGTGTGGCCTCCGTCGATGCTGTGACCGTAAACAGATCTCGGCTCGGCTGCGATTTAAGATCGCTGAAATCGCCGTTTACCACGTTGTGCGCGAATTTTACGACGGGCGCGTCCTCGGAGGCCGAGAGACGGTCATCCCATTTCCCTGTGAGCAGGGCGTGTTCGATAGCGCGGACATCCAAGCCCATCGTGCTTCCCAGTGAATGTTGTGAGGCGAGAACTGCGCCCGAGCCGGAGATGGGAGAGCAAGCCGCCGCGGAGAAGAGGAACGAGGGTCCGGAGTTTGCCGCCCATTACCTTGTCATTCCACCGCACTTGTATCCTTTTCGACGCCATCGATCCGTGCTGACTACTACTCCGAGCTGACCAAGACCGGTCACTGTGAACATCGATTCCAAGCCGTGCTGTATAAGTTACAATGGTCGGATAGATCTCCCTATATAAGCTCGAGCGCGAGGTACGCGAAGCTGGACGTGGAAAAGAAAATAAACCAAAAAAAGAGTGCACTCTACGTACGTACATACGACCCGAAGAACAGTCCGACTGAAAGCGAGCAAACCAAAATGTGCCTCATATCTACTTATAGTCAAACGACGGGCCCGACATGCCCATGAACGGGCCCGCGGTCACAGCGCCCTTCCCTATGGATAGGGCAATTGCCCTCCGCCTGTCCTCCCACATCCTGAGCGCCCGCAGCAGCTGCACGATCTTGTCCCGTCTGCCCTGCCGGATGTCGTTTATACTGACCGTGCCCATCTTCACATCGTTGTCGAGCAGGTAGTCGAAGAGCCTGAACAAGCCGTCCAGCTTGTCGTCGTTCGGGCCCGACGGGAACGACGAATCCGGTACCGGCGGAGAAGATGCCTTGCCCTTGATGTCCTCGGCTAGGCGCAGAAGCGCGAGCCCGCCGCATAGGGACCCGCTCGCGTCCTTGATCTGCAGCTGACCTGGAAGGTGCGAGTTCGCCCACTCGATCAGCTCCATGTCCACAGGGCCTTCCTGCGAGTATCACACCGAAGAGCCGGAGCGCGCGCACGCGTGGAAGGAAAAGAAGAAGAAAAACAAAGTTCAGACAGCGCGAGGATTCAACGTAAACTGGACATGCGTACATAATCAGAAGGACCCTGCGAAGTGCTCATCCGTCTCAGCTCCCGCGATGGGCGCGGGGGCGCAGGGCTCTTGGGCGTGGCGAAGGACTTCCCAGAATCTGCACCGTTGATCGAGACGGCGTCGTTGGTGAAGAATGACTCCAGCCTCGTGCGTTCACCGCCGTTCGACCCGTTCTCCTTGCTCGGCATACCCAGAAGTAGGACCTGGGCGTCGCGCTGGGAAAGCTGTTCCGGGTTCTCTCTGCGCAGAGCCTTCTGCGTCGCATCGCGCGCTGTGGGAGAAGGTGGCCGCGGAGCCGGGTTCATTGCTTGCGCGACGGTCAGGGGGATAGTGGGAATGTTGCACGAGGACATGACGGGGTCTACACGGAAATAGTGAGCAAGTGGCCAATGGAAGACATGCGCTCACGTACTCGTATAGTCTCGCGTGATGGTGGCCTTCATGAGCGCCTTCATCCATTCACGGACAACCAGTTGCTCGTCTGAGCTGAAGTAGTGCGACTTCTCCTGGTCGTGCACGATCCGGAACCCATACCGCCCCGGGTCGACGTTCTCATCCGCCAAGACTTTGTAGCCCACGATGTTCAGATAGCCCTTGATCTTCGTCTCCTGCGCAGCCCGAGGATATCGATATCAGTGACGGTATGCCGCGCATACGCAGCGTTGACACATACCGACGTGCTCTCGCTCCGTAGCCAATACAAATGTGGCCCCTTGAGAACAAAGTACCGCTGCTTCCAGCTGTTGTAACGGTCGCCCTTCTTACGAAGCCACCCGTTGTGATCGGGAGTGCCAATTTGCTCGAGGATACTCTGGCCTGCCTTGAGGGAGGGGGCCCCGCTGGCGCTCTTCGACGCAGCGAGTGTACTCCGAGTTGGGATCTCGGCAGCTGACGATGTTCGCTTGCGAAGTACCTGCTGGTCCCGCTCCTTGCTGGGAGATAGCGACGTAGTGCGGTCTCTCTTCTCCTTTGCTTTGGCCTTCTCCTTTGCCGTCTGCTTCTCATCCTCCTTCTCAGTCTCCGCGCCCTTGTCGACATCCTTCAGCGCGAACTTCTCGTCCTTCGTCTTGACACTGACAGTGCCGTCGGACGTCCCTGGACGGCCATTCGAACGCTTCTCGCGGAACCTTGAGAACGTGCTAAGGTGAGGCTTGTCGCCCTCGTGCTTCTCGCCGACGCTGACGACATGGTGCGATAAATATCCAGGGCCGCGGAGTAAGAGTTGAAGGAACCTACTTTGACAGTCGGGGAGCAGGCTTCCTGTGCTTCCCCAGCGTTCCGGTGAAAGAGGCACCGAAGAGACTGAGGCGGTCAGGCTTGCGCTCATCGATACTCCCATTGCCCCTGCTGCGCCGTCGAACAGGCTGCTGCTCACGGTCAGGGGAGCCCAAGGCATCGGGAGTCGTCACAGGCGTTCCGCCACCAGAATTCTGGCTCGCGGAGTCCTTGATAGGTTTCTCCTTCAGCGAACCAGAGTTGCGCCCGAATAGGTGGCGCTTGGCCTTAGGTTCCTTAGTCCTGACGCTCTCCGTCTAAGAAGGCTTCTTCAGTAGTCTGTCTGACACATGCTGAGGTGGAGACGCACCTCGCTCATGACGGCCCGCTCGTCCTTAATGGAACCAGAAGTTCTATCCTGAACCGCGGAAACTTTGTCCCCAAGCGCGCTGTCACTGGGCGACAATACCAGCTGCGGGGGACGACCCTTCTGTTAGTACCGAATCAGCAAAACGCTTCGAATGGGGGACTGGTGACATACCACCCCCTTTGCCTGCGGGGAGGTGGTCGGAAGGCCCAGACCGAGGCCTAACACCGCTCGCCCGCGGGCGTCGTCCTCGAGGTTGATAGCGCTGCCGTTGATTGAACCAGGGTCTGACGCTCGCCACCCGTTTCTTGCATGAGGTGAGAGCTCTCCAGTGTTCATCGGGCTTTCGGCACTCATGATAGAAGCAAGGCCAGCTGAACCAAGCCCGTTCGGCAGAGATGGGGATGGTGGCGGGTAAAGGGGTGAGTTCATGAAGCTCTGATGCGCAGAACTCTGCATCGACTGTGAGTGAGAGTGTGAGTGTGACGGTTGCGAGTGGTGTGAGCCGGGGTAGTTGAAAGACTGGGTAAGGGAGCGTGGTGTGAGCGCAGGTGCGTGGTGCGGCTCAGACTCGGTGACCGAGGGTGGCCGACGTAGTTCAGCAATGGCGTTGACGATACGAACGCGTTTCCCGAACGCGGCGATGCCGATTTCCGACTTCAGGATGTTGGCATCGAGCTCGAGGAGAACATCACCAGTAATCTCTTGCTCTGCATGCGTGCGTCAGCAAATAATTATAGCTCAGCACGTAGTTCAACGTACCGATGAACTTGTCGCATACGCCCTGATCGAAGCCCTTCGCCTTCAACCAGTCGATGACTTCCTCGACGGTCCACTCCGAAGGGTGTGTGCCCGACTTCTTCCCCGCTTCCGATGCACCACCATTAGCGTGAGGGGTTGACGTCGATGTCCTGAACGACGCCACGGTGGTAGCGGGCGTGAGTGTTTGCTGGATACCGGCGGCGCTACTAGGACCATAGGAACCAGCAGAAGAAGTAGTGGGTGATGGTAGCGCAGAGGTTGTCGAGAACGGGAGTTGCTCGCCGACCTTCATGGTGCTCGGTGCAGGAGTGATGATGGGCGTCACACTCGGGGCGGCCTCCTCGTGTTGAACAGCAGGACTGGAAGGCGTGGGCGCCCGCTGTGTCTCAGTGGGCGCAGGTTCGGGTGCCGGTACTGGCTCCGGCGCGACGGCTGTGACGGGCGAGAACACGGTGGGTACCGTAGGGGAGGGGGCAGACTCCGGGAAAGTAGAAGCGGTAGCAGTGGGAAGGTCGGTTTCGTCGGGTACGACGTATCTCGTCGACGGAATGATGCTCTCGTCTGAGATAGCTGAGGGGGGTGCATGAGGAGTGAGCGGTACGGGGTCTTTCGACTCTTCGGTCTCCTCGTCTTCCTCCGCGATCCTGGGGTATTGCTGATGTTTCCGCGGGCTGTGAGGCGACTCCTCATCCTCCATGTCGCTATCGTCGCTCACTTCCACATCAATGGGGGGTATCATCGCGCGAGGCTGCTCCTCCGCTTCGCGCGCCTGACGCTGCTCGTTCTCCCTCTGCGCCCTCTCGGCCAGCTTGGCGCGCGCGCCCTTGTGCCATCCCATCTCATCATCCTCCGCGTCCGCGTCATGGTCGTCCTCGGTCTCGGTCTCCGAACGCTCGCTATAGTCGCCGTGAGAGCTCGCGAAGCTAAATGAGCGAGAGCCGTCCCGGTCATTCCGGCCGAGTTGTTCTATGGCTTTCTGGACGTCCGTCATAGTCGCGCGCATCATAACGTCACCGTCACTGGGCTTGCGCTTCCTCTCGCTATCGGTAGGACTGTGCCGTGCGGCCTCGCTTGATGCGCTGGCCTCTGGCTCCTCCGGGAGGGGATGTAAGGGGCCTGCACCGTTCTCCCCTTTCGAGGTTGAAGGTTCGGGAAATGAAGGTGTCGCATCCGGGAAGGTGATACTGGAGGAGGGGGGATTTGGAGTAGTGTAGCTTTGAGGGAAAAGACCGCTCTGGCCGGAAGGATTGCGACCCTGTAAAGCACAGTAAATGGAGCTGAACGAGTAAAACGAATAAAATATCATGATATCTCGGCGGATGCAATGTAGAGCGGGTCTGGTATCGTTGCAGACAACCCTTGGGCTACTATATGTCCGGAGGTCACATTGGAAACGTCCACTACACGCCCGCCAGCTTCGCCAAGGACTGCGCCCTCGTCGACCAAGCTTCAGGAGACGATGTCCGCATGGCGCAGGCTGGATGGTGCAGCGGCACACTGCACATTTGCGACCGTCGGCGCAGGCGAAACATGCGCTGACCATACCAGTCATTCAGATCATCGTAGACAGCCGCAAATATGGCAATTCGTTCCGCCACGAGGCGTACGCTTGGTGAATCATCTGCCACCGTACTCGAGCGACCACCTCGACACTACCCTTCTGCCATTGCGAAATAAACTCACCTGCCACCAGCCGTCCCCATAAAGATCGTCCTTCTCAATCACCTCAATCCTTTCTCCAACCTTGAATGATACCTCGTCTGGGTTTTCTGGGGTGAAATCATGCAACGCATATACGTATTCAGGCATCTTCGGGGATTAGAATGTCCCTAAGGAGCCTTCCAGACCCAGAGAGATGTAGTCAGACTATAGCACAGAGAAGAGGAAACTGAAGCGGAGGAAGGAGGGTGTGGGTTATGAATAGCTGAGTGTTATAGTAGGGAGGGGGTTGTCGAGGCGACGCTGGGTAAACCGACGAGGGGGACGGTGGGGAGGAACGTCAGCACGACGCTGAGAGTCTCTCACCGCTTTACGTCGGATGTCAAGCCGTTATCTAGGGGCTGCTTGGTTCAGCTTGCCGTACAGCTTAGTTCACTTACGGCAATCCGGCCGAACTAGCGTTCTCGGATCCGGTGGCGGCTATGATGCCACTATACATTTCGGCTGCGTTCCACGCTCATTGTCCCGTTCTCCGCACTGTGCCTGCTGCCCGGAGTACCGTCTCCAACGAAACAGACAGCCCGAGGCTGCATTTCAGGGTGCTCTCTCTCAAATGAATCCTCGCAGGCGCACCACCGTCCATGACCTCGCCGCTCTACGCCTTCACCGGGACGGCAAGCGCGTGCTCAATTCTGACACAAACCGTTCCTCGCGTCGTGCCAAGTATGCAACTCATGATTCGCGCGGCAACTGGATTGCGCAGGACGCGGGGGGGCTGGCCAACGTGAAACAACGCCGCAGCGCTCCTCATCTTGAGAACGACGACGAGCCTTCCGAGCCCGAAGAGAACGAGGATGCTCCAGACGGGACACAACCTTCTCCGTCAAGTAGCAAGGGGAAGGGCCGTGCGCACGAAGACGAGGAGGCCGAGGACGAACCCGGGCGTAAACCCCGGACGCGGAAGAGACGGAGGTTTGACGAAGACCTTAGTTACCTCGCCTCCGTCTCTACCCCCGCTCTTGCTTCATCTGCGGATGTCGAGAACCCGGATTTCCGCGGCGAAGAACAAGAACCCGAAGCGCGGCGTGTCCCTTCTTCAGTATGTCCTTACGTATCGTTTCCACATGGTCTCTGATCCGTTGGTTTCAGGACTTGCTGAAATGTCTGCACTACTTCGCCAGCACGTATTATACCTCTATGGGACAACTTCAAGACGCGACCCGCGAATTTCGCAAACAGAGAAAGGCACGCCGACTTGAGAAGGCTACCGCAGCTCGCAAAGGGGCGACTTCCAGTCGTACACAGCCTGAGGGTGCCGATCCACACGAGGCAGCACACAGCTCGGGCGAGGAGGACTTTGAGCTAAGCGGGGATGAAATGGATGCCCCTCTGGACGATCCTCCTGTGGCTGAGCAAGGCACAGGGACAGGGACGCCAACAGCTAGACCACCCCGCAAGAAGGGGCCAAGACAACTGCGACCCATGGAGAAGGACATGTATAAGATCTTTGACGGCTCGGCTCTGATGGCACTGGGTTAGATTATCACATACTAAAGCGTCCACGGTATCTGACGGTGGCTTTATAGGCATGTTATTCCAGGAACATATTTCTGAGGTGCTTGAACCCACAGCGCAGGACGAGTGGGAGAAGGAGATGTGGAAAGGAGAGCGAGAGGAGAGGGCGGAGGCAAGGAAAATGCGCAAAGCGAAAGACCAGTGGACGAAACGCCATACTGTGAAGGACGGTTCGGAAGAACCTGCAAATGCGGAGGAGGTTCGTTCGGACTCAGGTGAGGAACGGCGGAGTGGTGGCGACACAGACAGCGATGAAGAGGTTGACGTTGAAGATGAAGACGATGTCGAGCGGTCCACGCGGCATTCTGTGCTCAAACAAAGCTCTTCTGTCCCGGTTCTTCAGAGTAATGATGACAGTGACGAATAGCAAGGGGTCTTGGAGTTCTGGCCATATGGCCTGAAGTGACGACGACCGAGAAATCAGATATTAGAGCAGAGTATAAGTACCAACCGACAACAGTAACATAGGCTAATTTGTGCGGGCAGGAAGAGTGCCGTCCTCCCAGCGCTTCAGGATGTTCTGCTGGAAAACACCCATGTCGTCGTCGGCGAATATGCGTAGCCGCTCTAGTCTCCGCTCTCGAAGCTTGTTTTTGGGCAACATGCCGGATACCGCTTGACGAATGATCTGCGCCGAGGAAACAGTCAGGGAGGAGGATGAGAGGATGGAAGTTCAGCGCACCTCGTCTGGTTTCCGCCGCATCATGTCCTTGTACTGGATCTCCTTCAAGCCTCCAGGGAACATCGTGTGGTGTCGGTAGACCAGCTGCTGAGACTTCTTGCCGGTAACCTTGATGTTGCGAGCGTTGGTGACCACAACATAGTCACCGCAATCCGCTGCTCTCTGCTTGGGTTCAGTCCTCCAGGTACACACGATAGCAACACATACCTGCAGGATCGTATATAGGCTTGTGCTTGCCCATGAGAACGATGGCGATACGCTCAGCAAGCTTGCCGAGCACACGCTCAGAGGCATCGACGTGGTGCCACACTTTGGCATACGCCAGCGCAGTCTGTCCAAATCTCCTCGTCAATATCCTGGATATTTCAAGTAGTTAAAGCAGCACAAACGTTGCCGATAGCCTGAGACATGACGGAAGTCGCCAACCAGCCCGGGTGAAGAGAGAGGTGAGGGTTTGTGGCAAAGCAGCGCAAGGCGCTTACGCGTGTTGGCTCGCGAGTCCACCGCACCAGACAAGACGCGCAGGTCGTTGTTTCAGGCGACGACCACCATGGCCGCCGACACTTCAAAACGTTCCAATCTCGTGGATGTGTAGGTGTATCTGCGCCATGCTGTTCATGCACATACTTATCAAGTCATGGGCAGGACCTACCAGGCTCTCCACCAAAACCTCTCTGGCCACCTCGAGGGCACAACCATCGAACAACTCTCAGACATAATCAAGCCGCGTGTGGATCAACTCCGTAATATCTCAGAACCATTTGGAAGGCCGTCAGACGCGTCGAAGAAAAGAGTAGACTCTGGCTCGGTCACTCTTCCTGACGGGGTGATCCTGCGCGTGGAGGAGGCGGACAAGGAGGTTGTGTTCACCATCAGTAAGAAGCTCGGCATCGACGAAGTGCAGGCACTCGTGCTCCTCAGGTCGTTCCTGTACAATGAAGGTCTCCCCGAAGGCGTCAACACGGACTCGGCAAGCATGGCGGACGAACTCGTAGAGGCTATCACCCCCTTCTACTATTCCGAACGCCTTCACATCCTCCGCACCCTCATTCCCCTCTTCCGTGCCGAGGAGAACGCCTCCGACCCAGTGTATGAGATCGCGAGTGAGTTGCTCCCGAAGATCATTCCAGACTCCAGCGCGTTCGCCTCTAGCGTCCTAGCGGAGTACCTGCAGAAGACCCACGCCGCGGTCCCCGAGGCTTCTCAAGACAATACTCGTCAAGCCGCTGTTTGGGCGAAGCAGAACGCGAAAGAGCAGCTTGTCATGCTGGAAGTACTCTTTTGGACGATGTGGAGCTACGCGACTTGCAGTGGACCTTTGGTGGCGAAGATCTACGAGACCGCGTACGAGACCCATCTCGGCTCGCAGCAGCACAACTCAACGTTCCTGCTCGACGAGGAGAGTGCGCAAATTCTACAGGACTGTGCTGCGCTGTGGATTCTGATCACTGTGGAGGTGCTGGAGTTGGAGCGTGCAGCTGGCATGGGTGTCGAGATTTCTGCGAACTCTACGGACAAGGACATCTACTGGGCGTCTCCAGAATCTCTGAAGAGGATACATCAGGCCGTCATCTCTCAAGGGAACAGCAATTTCGCGTGCACGTATGTCGCTTGGGCCTTTGTGCTGTCTCGCATCTCCCATACTGCCCTAGAGCTCAAGGAAATCCCCAATTCCTACATCGGCTTCTTCGACTCTCTGATACCCAAGGATGGCGGAGGATACTCGAAGGACGGCATTCGAGCGTTTGAGGTCATGGCGAAGATTGGCCTCAGTCCAGACGCGGGGCTGTTCAGCCTCCTCCTAACGCTGCTGACGAGCTCGCCTCTCTTCGTTACTTCTGTTGCGTGGCGCACAGGATCTTCAGTAACAGACCCGAACGCCGTGGCTTATAGGTCTGTCCTGAAAGGTTGTCTCATATATCCTGACACGTACGAGTTCCTCGCTGATAATATTTACAGGGTTGCTCGTCGCTATCGTCCAGCTTGTACCGGTCGAGCACATACCCGACTTCGATGGTCTCCTCGAAGTTTGGGTCGCCCTATTCGGTAGGAGCGAACCTCAGGCAGTTGCCGGTATTTGTCGCCAGTTTTGGGAGGCCGACTGGCATGAGGGTATCACCCGCCGCGCCATTGTTGACGTGGCGCGTTCACGATTCCCCGTGCAGGTGAAGCCAGTCATCCGACTGTTGCGTAGCCTAACAGCGACAGGCTTCCTCGAGACAGACCCTCTCTCCACGGCGGACCATGTTCAACCGACCGCCGAGGTAGTAGAGGAACGCCAGCTATGCACCCGCGCTGTCTTCGAATTCTTCGACCAGCTTCCCTCTTACACCCAAGTCATCCAGGTCAGCACAACCAGCGGCGCGCACGCCCTCTACGAGAAGCTGCCGGAGAGGTACGGCTCATCGTCAATTGCCCCCGGTCCTTCGTATATGAACTTGCGCCCTCTCCGACTTCCGGGTGGTTCAATACTTCCGGCGAAGTCGGTCGGACACCTTCTCAGCTCCGATGGCGGGGACCTCATCGTCGTGTCTTGGCAGCACAAACACTCTGGATGGAAGGTCCTGCTCGAGCTTCTGACCGACTACGTTAACCGGAGGCGCATGCATTCAGGCGCAGGCGGTGGTTACAAGGACGTCTCGTTCGGTAACCGCAACACCAACCAGCCGTTGGCGTTGAAGCTGGAAGACGTCGGAGTTGAGATGGATCGTAACGGGGATGAGAGCATCATCATCGACGCCCTTGACCTCATTCGAAGCGTGGTTCAGGACAACCAGGACCTGGCGCAACAACTCTTGCTCTCAATGGAGAGCGGCGACCCTGTTGTGTCGCATACGATGACCGAAGCTCAGCCCCCAGATCTTGTGCAGCTGACAACAGCCATCCTCGAAGAAGCACTCACTCGCTCCGCCGGACAGCACCATACCGCTCCTCGAACCCATCTCATCACATCCGCTATCAGCGTCCTCACCGCTCTTCTCGCCGTACCCAACTATTCGAACCGCGTCTGGTTGTACATCCGTTCGACCTCCTCCTTGTTTGGTTCTGAACGCAATATCGGCATCGCGTCCACCGTGCTCGCCGCGGAACGGCTCACCGGACATTACACGATGACTCTGGCTCTACTCCATCTTGTCGATGCTCTCTTCAGCGAAGCTTCCGCCTCCGTACTCCTTGTCACCCAGCAAAATGCGAGGTTGCAGCAAGTGAAGGAGGAAGTTCTCATGCGGGCGGCGCGGTTCATTCACTCGGAGATATGGGTGGAACATATGGGCTGGAAGTATGCACAGCTTGGCGACCGGTTCGAGATCGGGAGGCGCGTATCGACGTTCTACATGGAGGTCTTCAAGCACTCTTCCCCTGCGCTGAAGGACGCGCCGTTCACGAAACTCAGTCATGCGATTGCCGATGCGCTGCTGTTCAAAGCCACAACGTCCACGGTGAACCCCTTGGTGGCCTCCCTCGTAACTGGTGGGTCAGTGATGAGCATGTTGTACGCGTCCCGCCGGTACGGCGATGCGCGACGGCTCGTCTATCTCCTTGAGTCGCATCTGGCCCTCACTCGCGTCCTCCTCACGTACAAGCAGAAGTCGCCAGGCTCTTCGAAGATCTGCCTGCTGGAGCAAGCCCTCTGCAGCCGAGTGGGAGGGGGAGGGTCCTTCGAGGGGGGTTCATCGAGAGCCGACCCCGTCGACGCGTTGGCGGCGTACGTCAGGGAACGAAGTATGGGCGACGTTGTGCCTGTCACGGCCATGCAGGTCCTCTTCGCACTGTGTTCCTCGTTGTCCACCTCCGAGGGATCCGCTTCCACTATTATCGGTCACCTTTCCGACCCCGAAGCGACCGTTTCCACGATGGTACGAATCGTTCAGCACCCCTACGACGACGCGCTCCTCCGCAACGCCGTGTGGAACTTCATCACGCTAGCCGTCGACAAGGAGCCTGCCCTCGCACGGCTTTTTGTTACGGGCCGCTTCCGCGCGCCTAGTGTCAAGGGGAAGGAGAGAGCAGAGGACCCGGGGGCTCCCTCTAAGACCATCAGCGCTCTCAGCGTCGCTTGCGACATGCTAGAGTCGTGGAATGAGCTCTGGGAGCTCAACCCGAAGCTTCTGGCCTCTTTGCTGCGCTTCCTGGACGTCGTCTGGCAGCATGGTCACGAACACAAGGCTTCGTTGGACCCTATCCGTGAAGACGGGAAGCTATTCGATCACCTTGCAGGCATCATCGCCGAGGAGCTCGGACCCACTCCAGACTGCGACACGGATAGCTACATCGTCACGGATGGCACCCTGCATTCCGACCACCACGATGCCGTCTCTACCTACTCCTACCGAAGCGCCCTGAAGTCCCATGCCGCTCACATCCTGGCTGCGGATATTCGGATGCACTTGCAGGCTCAGGAGGGCAACGCTTCTCAGGCGTGTAAAAAGAAGCCGCGGAGCTACACAGCGATCGAGGCGATTCTACGATCCGAGGACCAGATCACCGAGCTCATTCCGGAGGCTTCATCCAGCGCGTACCGTCCCGACCTGCATGACGAGTTCACCGAGCTCCTCAAGCGCCATTATCCCACACTTTCTCTCGAGCAGCTTCAGGCGCAAGAGCCCATTGTTGAACGCGAGTATGGTGACGACTTCGCCTTCACGATGTCTCTCATTCGCCTTCGCTTGAACGCGTATGCTGCCGACGACGAAGTGCAAGTCGAGGAGGCCGTACGTCAATTGCACGCCATCAACATGAACCTCTCTCTGGCGCATGTACAGACAACACTGGCGGAGTCGTGGCAGTATCTGCTCCTACAGGTGGTCCCCTACTTGCGTGGCGATGTCACCGTACGAACGCAACTTCTGTCTTTGGCGGACTCGCTCTCTGCGGACATTGCCTCGGAACAACGTTCTGGGGAGATGATGTCCAACATCCACTCCGCACGACTCTCGCTGCTATTATCGCTGCTCGAGATTGCCTGGTTCTCCACGTCGGATAAGAAGGAAGAAGTCAGCCGCTTCCTGGCTTTGGTCAAGAATTCACGCGGGATCATCACCAACGGGGCGCAGCCCCCCGCCAAGTCCATCCTTGGCCAAGTGCCTGTCCCCTTCCACCGACCTCTCCTTCAGGTTCTCTATTTCTGCGCGCGCCACAGTAGGAGTCTTGCGCGACGTCCAAAGACTCTCACCGCCGAACACCGCTTAGCTGTTGCTGGTCTGCTCGAGGCGGCCCTTGTCTTTGTCATTGACGGTTTGCGTATCACCTTCGACAGAGCACGCCTCCAGTTGGATCTCGATGTCGACCAGGATATGGAGCTGCTCGTCGCTGTCTTCGAGCAGTGCACCCGTCCGGACCTCAACCCGTCGCCGACGCTCTGGCTGACTCGCTGCCAAGAGACCGACGTCGTACGTGCCAGTCTGCAGCTCTTCAGCAGCATGGACCTGGTCGGACTGTCCGATGTGGCTCTCCTCCGTGCCCGCAAACAACCTCTCTATACTCCGCACGTTCTCACATTCCACATGGCCCTGGCCAGCATCCCCCTAGCGGCGGAACGACTCGCAGGCGAGGGCCTCCTCTCCGCGTACATTGAGAACGCGATCAGTTCAGCTATCCGGGATGGCAACATCGACGTCACAATACCCGAGCTTCCAGGAGAGCAGAGTCCCGCGCACCGCGCGTACTGCTCCATGCTAGCGATCATCGCTGGGGTGTCGACAGCGCTCGGTCGGCATGGACAGTTCTTCGAGTCCGACGTATGCGGCCTCCTGCAGTTCTACAGCGAGCAGATCCATCGCGGGCTATCCTGGACGATCGACGACCCTCTCTCGCTGCCGCACCTCGAGGAGATCGAACAAGTCGTGAACCTCTTCGGGGCGATCGCGCAGGGCACGGCGGCGAGCACGAACGAGGCCGTCAAGCGGGTGACGCGGTTCTTCACGTCGGACGCGCTGCTCCTCCTTCAGCAGCTCAACTACGCACTCACGCATCCGAACCATCTCGCCAGCCTCTTCGAGCCCATCACCGCGGAGGAACGCGTGCGGTTTGAGGCGGACCGGGGGGTGTCGTCGATGAAGATGCCGTCAGAGGCGGTCGATCCTATGCGGCGGCCTTTCCTGGCACGCCTCGTACATCGTCTGTACCGACTGTCGGGAACGTTGCTGTCTGCCTTGATCGACATCAGCAGCGCGGAGACTGTCCTGCTTGGAGAGCCAGAAGACTGGCAAGTGTCTCAGGCGCTCATTGTACCAGTGAGTGCTCGCCTTCTGTGCCCGATGACGGTTGTGCTAACTCCATACTGTAGCATTCGAAGGTGGTCCTTGGGGAACCTGCGTCACTGGGGACGTTGCTCGAACTGGGCAACTGCTCCCTGGACATCCTGCGCCTCCTCGTCGACCGGCCGCCCACGCAGGCCCTCACGCCTGCAACGTCAACCGAGAAGGCGCTCGACGTGCGCGACACAGTCGCTGCGACACGGCGGAACCTGGAGGCCGCGCTGCTGTACGCGGTCACTCAGCTCGCGACGTGGCTCTCGAAGCCTGAGTTCGACGCACCCGCGGACGAGGCGGACGGGGACGAGATGCTTGTTGAGGGCGGCGCGGGCGAGGCGGCGAGCTCGCTGAAGGAACGGCGCGCGGCGCGCAAGGCGTCGATGTCGCTTGCGGAGCGGCTTAGGAGGGGTATGACGGGCGAGATGGCGGCGGATCTGCAGGGGCTGTTGGGCAAGGCGAAGCCGGTCATTGCGAAGAGTGCGGTGGTGCTAGGGGAGAAGGACGTGGACTTGACGCAAGTGCTCGCGTACTTTGTGCAGGAGCGGATATCGGTTCCGGCGTAGTGTACAGGTGATGAAGGCGTGTTGTGTTGGTGTCGGTGTCGTTATGTGTATGTCAAAAGTTCTCTAGTTCGTATCGCGTTGTGCTGTGTAGCCTATATGATATCCCATTGCATTTCCTAGCGAAGACGCGCATGCAATAGTGTATAGGGCATTATGTCTAGAATGCGCACTATGGCTCCTATGGACGCGTAAGTACCTCTGCACCGCTGTCAGTGATCAGGACCATGTGTTCCGCTTGTGCTGCACGAGCGCAGTTCTGTAAGATTCAAAATTCAGCACCGCCCAGCATGGGAGATAGTTAAGTGAACTCGCCTCGGTCGACACCGTCCAGCCATCCGGGAAAGTCCACCCCAAAGGCTCAGTCCCCTGTACGATAGCAGGCTGAAACAACAAACTCAGCACCGCATCCTCAAAGATGGACAATGCGCCGACCTCGATGGTGAAGCAGTCTCCGGGTTGCATCTGCCCGGGCTCCTCGTTCACTGCAATGCGTGGAGTCAGGATGACAGCGCGCCAGTGAGGTCGGAGACTCACATTCATGGTATATCCATGGCTGCCGATGGAATTCCCGCCCGATACCGTGCCCAGTGAATTGAGGCGAGGCGCTGAAATCCTTCCCTTTGAGCAGCTCATGTATGGCACGGCCTATGCCTTTGAATGGCCGCCCGGGACCACATGCGGAGATGCCTGCCTCGAGGGCCGCCTCGGTGATCTCTACGAGCTCGCGCCCTTTCTCGTCCTAGACACAGCAGCGGTGAGAATCACTCCAAGGTAGTTTACGGGTAATGCAGCCTACAACTTCGCCCACTAAGAACGTCCTGGACGTGTCGCCGTGGAACCCATCCAAGTAGACGGTGATATCTACATTCACAATATCTCCGTCCTGCAATGGCCGACTGGCGCATGCGCAGATCAGCGGACGCACTACAAGTAAAGCAACAGAAGGGCTCAACTCGTCCGGGATGCCGTGTGTAATGACATTGTTCACGCTCGTACAACATGCCTTGGGAAAACCTTTGTAGCGCAGCGGGGACGGGTATGCGCCACATGCGAGTACGAGCTCATGCACCGCCGCGTCCATCGCGTCTGTGGTCCGACCAACCTAACTTTGTGAGTAGATGCCAGCTAGGATGCGCGCTGGGCGAAGGAGTGGGTAGAGGCATATCTTCTGGTGCAGGGACATGCCTCCAGCCCTGCACCCTCACGCGCGCCGCAACGTACTCACCTGCACCAAGCTTCCAGCGAAGGTCAGCACGTCGCTGGCCAGACGTGCCGCGCGCCGAAGCTTTACCAAATCTTCTGCGTCGGTGATGAATTTCCGCTTGGTGGTGGCGATGTCCTCCTCAGCCGTAGACGCGTCTGCACCAGGTTCTAGCAGCTCAGGAGCGTAAGGCGGTCTAGAAATGTGTGGAGGAACGCCACGCGGGATTATATGGGCCGTTCCCCATGCGTAAGGTTCAGTAGGAAGGATCACGTCGTAGCAGCCAAAGCGTAGATCGTGCTCTGAGGCCTCGAGGGAGGCGGCGTCATCTGAGTTGGACGTCAGCGTTCGCCTGAAGATTTGGGCACAGCGTGGGGCCGCGCGAGACGACGAGGGTGCTAGACGTGCATTGACAGTCCTCAAAAGTGGACGAGCGCAAGAAAGGGGAAGCCGCATGGAAGTAAGCAGTGGTGGTGGCAGTCAGAAAGTAGCACCGAGCAGACTGAGCGCGCGTCGGGACGCGACGCGCGATCGCGAAGGCGCGCCCACAGGTCATTGGGCAGGGCATAACATCAGGATATGCTATTTCGAAAGCTAGCGATACAACGAGCGTAAACATCACAAAAAGCACCGTAAACACAAACGCGCGAAAGAAAATCCCGATTCTCCATCTCATCCTTAAGTCCAACCTCGCGCCGCGCCGCGTCCGCCGCCATGTCCTTTCTCGTTCTCCACGACGAATATCGCGTCGCGCAAGGTGACCGCCATTCGCCCATCGTCTTCTCTCTGCTGCTGCGAGCTCTGGCCATTCGACTTCGTAGACTGATACGGCCGCGCCCATCCGCTGCTCCCAGGTCCGCCCTGTGCGGGTGCCGTAGTTGTCGCTGGGGTACTCGCGCGTACAGCCGCAGGAGCGGGCGCAGGCTTTGCCTTCGCGGGCGTCGCACCGCCGTTCGCGGCGCTCATCCACGCGTACTTGCTCGTGCCCAGCCCCGCCGCCTGCTTCGCGACCGCGTTCGACATCTTCTTGCGCAGGTCCTCGGGCATGTTCCGCGCGGTCACACCTGGCCCATCCTTCTTCTTTTTCTTCTTTGGCCCGCCTTCATCCTCCATCCCCACGGTCTCCGTGGCGCTGCTCCCGGTCACAGCCGCGGCGAGGGCAGCAGACTGGGCGGCCGCGGCCGCCTCGATGCGCTCCTTGCGCTCGCGCCGAATGCGCATCTCCTCCTCGCGCTCGACCTTCTCGATCGCGGCAAGTTGCTTTGACACGTCCGAGCGCACGACGATGTTCCACATCGGCCGGCCGTCCTCGTACGTCGTCGCGGGGCGGTCGAACTGCGCGTCGTTTCGGTGTTGCGCGGCGGCAATCATCGCGGTGATGAGGTCCTGCAGGCGTGTGCGCAACGCGAGCGCGAGGTAGTTCACGGAGTCCTCGGGGATCTTGGGCACCTTGTGCTGTGTGCCAATGGCGCGCATCGTTTGACCGATCTGGCGCGTGTCAAAGTTGGGCTTCGCGGGCTGCTTGCGCGAGCGGTCTTCGTACGGTCGGTAGGAGTAGTAGTTGTCGTTGCTTCGTTGCAGCGACTCTTCTTCGGCCTGCAGCAACATGAGCCACTTGGAACTGGGAGGTATGTAAATGCGGCTTGACGTACCCTCAAATCGACGCCCGCACTCCCTATCGCATCATTCAGCGTTGCCACGTCGGTGGTGTCCATTGCTGAAGACTGTGGTGTCTGCGCTGGCTGGGCGGCCGGTCTGGGGGCGGTTGGTATTGAAGCCACCGTGGGCTGGGGTACTTGTGTCTGCATCTGCGTTTGCACTGGCTGAGCCGTTTGTGCTTGGTGTGTTTGTTGGGCATATTGAGGGTAATGCGAGTAGCTCGTTTGCGGATAGTGACTATACTGATAGTGCGAATAGGGCGTTGTACTATACGAGACAATCAACAAAGTATCAGAGAATCGAAAGGGCTTCGTTACTTACGTTGGGTGTGTCGTGTGCGGAGTGTGTGTCGTATGTGCTGGATGCGCTGTGTGCTGCGCGTGTTGCGACTGTTGTTGCAGCGCAGGGTCGATCGGTATGTCTGAGACGGCGTGAGCGCGTTGTGGCTTAGTCCCGTAAAACCCCTAGAACATACGGTTGGTCTGCGGCCACTGAGCAGCCGAGAAGGTTGACGTGGTCGGTGGTGGGTTGTCCTCGCTCTTCATACTGTCTTAGGGTGGCTCCTGTTGTGAGCTGCTGAATGTGTTGTTGCTCGGGGCGAGCTGGGTGATGGCGGCGGGATGCAGCGAGTTCCAGTCACGACCAGATATGACCTTTAGTGCGGCGTTTGATTGTTTCGGAGCAGTTCAGCGTGTAGGGGTATAGCGAAAGATCGAATAGCCGGAGAGGCAGGCAGCTGGACGAGATGACGCGCAGAGAGGACGTTCGGCTCAACGCGCGTGAAACTGAGGCTCAAAGTGTCCGGGGTCGTGCTTGCCTCGGTCACGCGCAGGACCCCCAGAACCTTGCTCGATCGCGGTACTCAACACCGCGCGCCTCACTGCGGCATTTGTCCGGTCTCTCCCCCACACTCTACGATGGTACGTTGCTCGAGCTGCGTAGAGAGGAACTACTCAACCCCAGCAGCCCGTTTGCACATACTTCTTGAAGGGGACGTGCAGGTTTGGGAATGCATGCAAAAACGAGCATCCTGGACAAGGGCAGAGCTCAAGACAAGGCGGCTTCGGTAGTACGTCCCCTTATTGTCCTTCCCTCGCGATCCCCGCGCCGTCTTGTAATGTGAACCCCTCTAATATCTGCGCATAGACCAAACATGGACCCCTCAACAACGTGCTCCCTCCGCTCCGGCACCCGCCTCCGGATCCAACGCATCCACCCTCTTCACGTTCGCACCTCTCCCTCCTCTCTCGCAATCGTCAAGTTCTGATTCTCTCTGTTCATCAACATGGATGAAACACCACACTACACCAGTATTGAAACTATCACACGCGACTTAGACCTCGAGAGGCCAATATGGCCACTCTCGTGCTTCGCACCGGCAAAACTCCAGCCCTCACTCATCGCTAACCTTGACGAATCTCCGGAGGAGCTCCGCGTAATGGCTGCAGAAGCGGCGCGTAAGGGCACGATGCAGGAATACGTACGTCTTTATGCGCCCTCTTTCTAGCCACATCTCGCTTAACCGAACCTCTAACAGTTGAAATACGAGAGCGAGAAGATCTCTGCTGCTCAAACTGTTTACAAGAACGCACGCTCCAACATGCAAGCCCTCCACGCTCACGCCGTCCGGAATTATGACGCTGCTGCCTCAGGCGGCACCCCGACACCCTATCAGCCAAGCACCTCTGCGTTCGGCGGCGGAGCCTCTTCCGCCTTTGGCGCGCCAGCATCTACCTCTGCGTTCGGGAGGCCGTCAGGTGGATTTGGTGCATTCAGCGGCGCCGCAGGTTCCGCACCTTCAGCTTTCGGTGCAGGAGCCGCAACAACATCCGCCTTTGGGCAGTCATCGTTTGGTCAATCCGCCTTTGGGAAACCTGCAGGTGGATCAGCATTTGGAGCCACGCCTGCCTTTGGCCAGCCCGCTGGTGGGGCGCCCACCTCCGCGTTTGGCGCTCCGGCGCAAGGTGCCACAACCTCCGTCTTTGGTCAACCTGCTCAAGGCACGTCTGCCTTCGGCCAGCCTGCCCAGGGCACGTCAGCATTCGGGCAACTCACGCAAGGTACTACGACCTCCGCGTTTGGACAACCAGCTCAGGGCGCCACATCCTCTGCATTCGGCCAGCCTCAAGGTACAACGACCTCCGCATTTGGTCAACCAGCACAAGGTCCAACAACTTCAGCATTCGGCGCCCCCGCGCAGGGCACGTCAACATCTGCCTTTGGCCAGCCTGCGCAAGCACCCACAACGTCGGCATTTGGCCAACCAGCGTCGATGTCCGCGTTTGGCCAGAGTGCCTTCGGAAGACCAGCGGGAGGGCCGTCTGCGTTCGGGGCTCCAGCGGCCGGCGCATCTGCATTCGGCCAGCCATCCCAACCGACATCAGCGTTCGGGCAACCATCCCAACCGACGTCCGCGTTTGGGCAGCCAGCACAGGGAGCGACTACATCTGCCTTCGGCAAACCAGCGGAGGGAACCTCAGCATTTGGCGCACCACAAAGTACCTCTGCTTTCGGCCAGTCGGCCTTCGGACAAAGCGCCTTCGGGAAACCTTCCACCCCTTCAGCGTTTGGCTCGGCGCCAGCAGGCGGCAGCGGCGGGGGCTTCTCTGCATTCGCCAATCCCCCAGCAACCCCAAGTACCGGGGCTGCACCTAGTGGCAATGGCGGGGGTGGCGCCTTCTCGGCATTTGCTGGCGGGCAGGCATCGGCGTTCGGGCTGGCTGCCGCCGCAAAAGCACCCGGCGGCGGAGCCTTCGGCCAATCTGCATTCGGAGCCGCAGCGAGCAGCACCCCGCCCGCGCCCGTGCCGTCCGCCTTTGGCAACGCGTCCACAACGCCTGCGTTCGGCTCGCAGTCGGCGTTCGGCCAGCAGTCTGCGTTCGGTTCGCAACCTGCGCAAAACACGACGTCTGCGTTCGGCACGCCATCTTCTGCTCCCCCCACGTCCGCGTTCGGGGCCCCCGCCGCGACGCCGCAGTCCGCGTTCGGCACACCCTCGCCTGCGCCCGGCTCACTCTTTGGCGAGCGCACGAACCAACCCGCCCCGCCCGTATCTGCCTTTGGGCAGCCGAGCGCCCCGTCATCGTTCTTCGGGCAGAACGCTGCACCGTCAGTGCCGAAGGCGACAGTGTCGGGCAAGCCGGACTTCACGGCTGGTCGGGCGCGAGCACACGCGTCGTACCGGCCGGGGGTGTCGAAGTACGATGATCTGCTCCCGCCAAATTACATGGAGCTTCTGCCGAAAGCAGCGCTGGAAGCGTTCAGCGCAGACAGCGACCGGTTCGATTGGGCGAATATCCCCGAGTGGATTCCGCCGAAGGAGCTGCGGTAGTGGAGAGATGGTGAGCTGAGCGCTGAGCGCACGGATTTTGGCCGTATTTCCGTTGTTTCGAGTACCGCATATGTATACGTAGACTGTAATGCAATGGCACCGCTTGATCATCTTACGTGCGGCACAGCGCACACTGCTATTGGGTGGATATTTTAGAGGTCGAAGGCTACACTGCGCGCTGCGGCCCTCGCGAGTCGGCACGGTGAACCTAGCACATAAGTCCAAATACAGTCAAACAGCGCCCGGTTGCACCTGGGCTTCTTCGATCAGGACAACGAAAACCCCTATCCCTGAGATGATGTGTTGACGAGGTTTGTTAGGCGAATGTTGCAAGCTACGAGAGACTGCGGCTACCCCGCCGCATGCCGGTGCGGTCACCACCCAAGCTCACCGGCGGCATCATCCCTGAGATTCGCTCCATCTCGCTACGACAGCTGCAGCGGCAATGCCCTAGTTGCACTGCGAACTACCGCACCAGCGTCCGCGCGGCAAATGCGCTGTGCACATTCCAGGCGAACCGTTAAATCGGACGCACAGCGCAACCATCGACGGGATCACTCGCGGAATGACAGCTCGTGCTGTGCCGCCCCTGCCTCCTGCCTGAAACGTTTGCCTCCCGCGCGCTAGCGGCTCGGTGCTGTCCGCAGAGATCCAGACGAATCTCAAACGGAAGCCTGTCTACTCCCCGAGACGGCCGGTACGCAGGGTCTCAACATGTGGATAAAAATTGACGACATGGGGCCGCGGCGCATCGCGTTGATGTTAATGCTCTGCACTCAGGGTCGAACGTCAATCTGTGGGCGAATGAAGATAACCGGGTGACCTACGGTGAGTACCCGATAATAGTAGGCTGGGTCGAAGCTGTCAAACGATGTTGTCCTGTCGGCAGGTCATACCCGGCGGCCGACGCACACGGAGTGGGCTGCCTGCGCAGTAAAGTGTCCAAGTGCCATGGAACAATCTGGTACCTGGACAGTAGACGGTACGAATGTACGTATGTCGACGTATGCTTGAGGTTTGTTCGATGACCGCGGGAGGCGCAACTCGCGTTTCAGCCGGAGGATAAGAATTTAACCGATTGACGCATAGATCCGCTCTGTTGTACATTTACCAATTTTGACACAGGCTGCCGCCTATTCTGACCGTACCCATGGCAAAGGCTTAGACAGGTCGATGTTGCCACCGCTGATGATGATGCCAACGGCGCCCTGCACGCCCAACTCCTGGAACTGAGCACTGCGAACAGCGGCAAACGCGGCCGCGCCGCTGGGTTCGACGACCAGCTTCAGCCGCTCCCACATGAGCCGCATCGCCTCCACGATTTCCTGCAAACATCCCGCGTTAGCTAGGTCCACAAACGCGCAGGCAGACCCCAAAATGAGCCGATACAGCACCTCGTCCGTGACTGTGATGACCTTGTCGACCTTTTCCTGGATTATCGGGAAGTTGATGAGCCCAACGGGCGTCCTCAGCCCATCCGCGATGGTGTCCGCCTGGACATCCTCCCGACGCTTGCCCTCCTTCAGGCCCTGTGCGCAGTCGTCCGCACCCGCTGGTTCCGCCCCGAATACGCGTACGCCCGTCCCTTCAGCAGCGAGCGCCGTCCCCGCTAGCAACCCGCCGCCGCCCACGGGCGCGATGACCGCAGCGAGGGGCTCCGGGGCCTGCTCAACAAGTTCGAGTAGGGCGGTGCCCTGTCCAAGGATGGTGTTCACCGCGTCGTACGGAGGCACGAACGTAGCCCCGGTCTCGGCCTGCACAGTTGCCAGCGCCGCCGCCCGTGCTGGCGCGTTCGGTTCGCAGAACGTAATCGAGGCCCCGTAGGAGCGCACCGCATCTATCTTGGGCTGGGCGGAGTTATTTGGCTGGTGCAGCCCCGGGCGGCAGTCAGTCGCTGTGCGGGCAGCAGCATCGTAGGGGCGAGGGCGCACCATGACTACATAGCATTTCGCGCCGCGCTCCTTGGCGGCGAGCGCGAGGGCTCCGGCGTGGTTGCCTGCCGGACGGGTGAGCTTCGCGCGAGGGGGGCTTCGATGGAAGAGAGAGAGCTGTGCGCATACCCGAGCTATGCGTGCAGACGCCGCGCTCGAGCTCCTGCGCAGTTAGCCGTGACAGGCTGTAGCTGGCGCCCCGGAACTTGAACGCGCCGCCCTTCTGCAGGTTCTCCGCTTTGAAGTACAGCGTGTTCTTTCCCGGGAGCAGGGCGGAGAGGGACGAGGACGTGAAGACCGGCGTCCGGTGGATCTGGTGCACGATCGCTTCGTGGGCGGCGAGTATCGATGCACGAGTAAGCGGAGTAGACTCAGCGTTGGCGCGAGTCACCTCGTTGGCGGACATTATGGCTGATGTGAGTAGTTGTGTGAGTCTGCTGGTACCAATCGTTGAGTGAGTTTGGTTTGACTCACCTCTGGTCTGAGCTGTGTGGCTCCGATTTCCACGAGGAAGATAGCAGATTACGTTGGGCCGGCTGTGCAGCTGGTACTTACCCGACTCCCCACATGTTTAATTTATTTCAGCTGACCTTCCAGCCACATCGATATACACACGCTGGTTTCTCGCAGTGTTGGGCGGTTTGCAAGAACTGTTCAGGTCGAACGAATGCAGAGATGTTTGTTTGATCAAGAGAAGTCAGCAGAAAAGCTATTTGATTACGTCAAAGTGAACTGAGTGCTGACGCGCCCTATCAGCCGAGTCAAGCGGAACTTCAATAATGAAGCAGCGGCTTGACGGAGGTTTGAGGTCCGCTTGATGTTGAACTGGACAGGGCAGACGTGTCTCAGCTCAGCCTCTGCCAACACCCACCATGCATTCTCTAAGGCCCAAGGACAATCTGACGGTGCTTTACACTTCCTATCTTGCCCTGCCACTGCTTGGCAGCGAGCCTTGTTCCTGACTAGGACACGTCGATGGCCACGAAGACGAACACGGCCGAGGCACACCCCGGGCGCTGCGCTAAAAATCACCATGACCTCCTCGTGCAGACGTGGTGCAGTGCCACTCCATTGTATAACACGTCTGGCGATGCATCTCAGATGGAGGTGACACTGCATTCCCCCTTCCCGCGATTCCCGGCCCCCGTCTGCGCATGTTTCGGCCCTATGATGCGCTCGCCATTCCTGTGTTTATCTGTGATAACTGGGTGCGCGGGCAGGCACTCCTGGGCTCAGCTGCTCAATTTGTGCGGATGGGGAAGTGCACGCGACTTTTGAGGACACTTGGCGGGGCGGGGGAGGTGCGCATTCGGTTGGTGCGATCATGCACAGTCGAACAGGTCGAATGCGTCACGGCCGCATAAGCGTTAATATCGCAACCCAAGGTCCGTACCGTCCTTCTCGTGCTATCAGCGCCGCTATCCAGCAATTTAATATGCTACGTCGTAGTCAGGAATAGCGGGAGTCATCCAGCTGACTGAGACTCCCAGGGACGCGCTCAGTAATAGGCTGCCGCTCTGTCATCCCGCCGCAATCAAAACGTCCTAGGAAGCAGAAGTGACGCAGGCCCGAGGAAATCTACCAACTGCCCCGATTCCAGGTTCAGGTTGATGGAAGCCTCCTCGATTGGCATAGATGCCGGGGATCTATTGTCGGACACCTATCAGGTCCTGACCGCACGCCGTCTCGCAGGTGTCGTCAGATGATCATAAACTTACTTGCTCGCGTTGCAGCGATGACAGTCTGCTCGCTCCCATCGGTCGCACAGCGGGCTTCTTCGGTGAGTTGCGAGCATCCACGCGACTGCGAGTTACGCGGCATTCCTTGACCTATCATCATCAAGGCAACGCCGTGCTATACTGGTTTGAAGAGTAGTGCACGTCGCCGCACTGTCCAACAAACATCTATCTATTCCAAGATCCTCGGGTGGACTGGCCAAACATGCCCGTCAACCGACAAGCATAGTCCTTTCGGCCGCCTAACCCGATCCGCGGCAGATTGCATTATTCTTGGAAAGGGATGTGTTGCCTCGACCTGCTCATCGCTATGACGTCCGGTCAGTTTTTGTGTGGCGGAGGCGCTTTTCGGCGTGGCCAGCTGTCAACTACACTTTTTTTGAGGTGTAGTCCGCGTACGTCGCCGTGCTGGAGACCCGCAGCCGTGTGTATGTGACAGCTCGTACGCGCTCGAGGTGTACGTCGGTCCGGGTCCGGTACGGCGCATTTTGCTCCATATGCACGTCTGCGCGGCTTGCCGCAGTCTCCTTGTATTTCACCAGTGGTCGTCACATCGGTGCAGATACTGGACAAATGTTGGACACAATCTTCTCGGCTTCGCGTGCAGGCAGCACTGCACAGACTCCAAAAGAGTAAAAACGCTGATTACATCAGCCCCCGGAAAAGCCCCGCGCAAGAACCGCCTCGCTGTCCGACCGGGACGTGGTTAGGCCTTTGCGTGGCCCTCCGCCCACTGATGGGAAACCCGGTGGGAGCTCTGCGCTGGGTTATCTGGGCGGCATCTCACGCGAATTCTAGACCAGCGAGGGCGCACACAGCTTCGGACTCGAGGGCGGGGGAGAGTTCGGGTGACTCGCACTCGAGGAGGGTGTGTCATGCACGTCCAAATACAGAACGACATCGCTGAGGCAGCGTCAAACGTCGATGGGAACTGCTGGGCGAGCGAGCATCTGGAGTTGGCTGATTGCGGCGACGGTGACACGCGTCCGTGCTGCTGTCCGCCCTCGAGGAGCTCGAGCACGGAGAGGCCCGCCGTGCACGGTGCGAGCGCGGGTGTGCAGACCGTCGCCCGGTTCCGTGCCTCTCCACGTTCCCCTGCGAGATCTTGGGAGAGCACCGCCATCGTGAGTCATCGGAGCGCCAATCTGGGGTGAGGTATGTTTCGGGAGGCGGGCAGGGTTAACGTTTGCGGGAGGCGAGTGGCGGGATCGCTCCGGGATGGACGCCCACTGCTCCCGCCAGCCGCGAGCGAGGCTGCATTGCGACCCAGCACGGCGGTCCGCGTGGCAGGCATCAGAGGGCTGTCCCGGCGTCGTATTCGTCACAGTCCTCGTATGTGTTTTGCAAACTCGACCATGCCCCGCAGCGTCCCAGATCCGAACCAGTGCCCACCTCAGCAACCCATCCCCGCGCGGCTTCTATAAAGCCCTCCCTGTTTCTCGCCATCCCCTCCTCCATCTTCTCAGCACTCGCACACCCGCGCACCCACACCCGCCCCTTTCTGTCACCGTCACTGTCGCCCGCCATTCCGTCCCTTATTCTCCCAGCGTCGTCTGATATCACCTCCTCAATGGGCGCCCTCCACCAAAAGATCTGGCTCATAACAGGTGCGTCTATCTCCCCCTCTGCACCACCCGAACCTCAACTCACGATCGCCGTCGCTCGTCCATCCAGGCACCTCCTCCGGCTTCGGCAAGCGTCTCGTCGCGTCCGTACTCGCCCGTGGAGACTGTGTCATTGCTACCGCACGCAACCTCGAGAAGCTTCGCGCGATCTTCCCCGCCGCCGAGCGCTCCCGCCTCCGCCTGATGCAGCTCGACGTCTCCGACAGCGCCGAGACCGTCCAGCAGCGCATCAAGGACGCGCTCGCGTGCTGGGGCCGCATAGACGTCGTCGTCAACAACGCCGGGTACGGTGTCAAGGCCGTCCTCGAAGAGGGAGGGTGAGTGCCGGTTACTGCGCCCGTAGCACGCAAATTACTGACATGCCCGCGTTCCCGCCGATCAGGTCCCTCGCTGCGCTCACCCAGTTCCAAACCAACGTCTTCGGCGTCCTGAACGTCACCAACGCCGTCCTGCCGCACATGCGCGAGCGCCGCTCAGGAACGGTCGTCATCATTGGCTCAAGGTCCGCATGGCGCCCTGAGGTCTCGGTACGTCCCCCTTGTCCTCGCTCCCTCGTCCGCGCACCTCGTGCTGACCACCACACGTCCATCCAGCCCGCCGGCTTCTACGCCGCATCGAAAGCCGCAGTGCATGGTGAGCGCCCACCCTTCATCTCCGCCCCGACCGCACAAACTGACTTGTCTCCTCCGCAGCGATCGGCGAGACCTACGCGGCCGAGCTGAAGCCGTTCGGCGTGCGCGTGCTCATCGTCGCCCCAGGCGCGTTCCGCACCGAGGGCGTGCACGCGTACCCCGCAACCATCCACAACCACGTGCCCGCGTACGACGCGGCGCGCAACGCGGGCATGGCGCGCTTCGCGGCCGTCGCGGGCAACGAGCGCGGCGACCCCGCGCGCGCGATGGACCTGCTCGTCGACGTCGTCAAGGGCGAGGGCCGCGCGGCGGGCCGCGAGTGGCCGCTGTGGCTCGTGCTCGGGCGCGACGCGTACACGGACGTGCGCGCGAAGGTCGGGCGGTTGTTGAAGACGATGGACGCGTGGGAGGACGTCGCGACCGACCTCGAGTTCCCCGAGAGCGCGTTGTGAGGGGCCGAGGGCTGCCTGCTTGGACAGTATTTATCACTAACTATACCGGCTCCGGTTCCCCGCGTACGCGCGCTGTCGCGCGTCGATCTTTGGACGCTTGCACACCTCCTACCACTCCCAGCACATACATACCTCTACTGTTACCCTTCTGCACAACTTGGACTGACTCGGCACATGCACATCAAAATACTCTAGTACATAATACCCAGTAATACTCTAGTCTTCGCAATTCTGTATCTCCAGTCGCACCCATGTATCTCCTCACTCACAGTATCTCCGTCATCTTACTTACGCATCATCATACCTACTAGTATATACACAGTCTCCACGGTTACAGCTCACAAAACTTATGCGTTATGCTCGAATGTATGGATCGATTTGCAGACTGGAATATGATACAATAAAACGTTACAGCGAAAGTTAAAGCTAGACACCCTACGTACTAAGTAGCTTCAGGAATAGAGATACTTGATTCGAGTGTACAAGTCGTAGAGTAGTCCACATCGCCTTTACTAGTATATACACAGTCCCCACAGTTACAGCTCTCAAAAATAATGCTTTATGCTCGAATGTATGGATCGATTGCCTCCGATTGGTAGACTGGAATATGATACAAAACCAAAGACCCTACGTACTACCTTCAAGAATATCAAGAGTCGGATCGAGTACTTCTACAAGTCATGAAGTGATCGTAACAGGTCGTGCGTGTCGTCACATCGAAAAGACAGACTGCGTGGGCATGAGTACTTCAGCCACAGAACACGAGCGGGCGACAACTAAGCTGTCAACGTCCCCTCACTTGCCCAGGTTCGAGCGAATGACGTTCGTCAACGTGTACCCATCGTCCTATAGCCGGTCGTGGTAAGCAATCAACGCGCCACACTCGCATGCCAGCACACAACGCACCTGGTCGAGCGACCACGTAAACGCGCCCGCCATGCCGTTCTGCTTCGCGAACAGCGCCTTGTCGCCGAGCGAGTACGTGTCGTCGTACGTCACGACCGTCTTGCGCGACGTGTTGAACAGGAACGGCGTGTCGCTGCAGTCGTCCCAGCCTACACAGACGTACCCGGTCGCCCGTCAGCACTGCTTCCCGGATGCAAGAATGGGCGTGACGCACCTTCAGTGTACCCGTTCGCGGCGACGTATGTGCCCGAGGACGTCTTCGTGAGCGCCCCAAGCGACACGAGCTGGCCGAACGCGATCTGCTGACCAAAGAAGCTGCTCAAATCGCCCGCCGCCTCCGCCTTGAGCTCCTCCCCATCCTTTGCCTTCTGCGCCCCCTCACGAGCGTGGTTCCCTGAAGGAGCCAGCATGTTCGGCTTCTCCCCGCTCCCGCTCTCCCCAGCGGCGTCCTGCACGGACGGCAGTGGGCACGCGAGCCCGCGCTGCGGCAGCCCGAGCACCTTCTCCTTGTACTCCTGCACCTTCAGGCCCGCGGGCGGGCGGGCGATGTGCTGCAGCGTTGTCTTCGAGCTCTGCGAGACGTACCCGTACAGCGGGAGGCCGAGCACGAGCTTCGACTTCGGGAAGCCCGCGGCGGTCCACTGCGAGAGCGCGGCCTGTGCGGAGTACTGTGGGAGCTGCGAGTTGCCGCAGAGGTTGCCGAGGGGCGCGTTCGGGCCAGGGCTGGAGGACGCGCCAAACACGTCGTAGTTCCTGTATGGACGCAGATGAGTTAGGCCAGACGAGACAAAGAAGGGGAAGTGGTACGCACATGATGTTCGCGTAGGTCATCTGGGCTGCGTAGGCAGAGACGTCCGTGAGCGGTTGGCCGTTGGAGCCGGTCCAGGGCAGCTGCGTGACGGCGGCGGAGATGATCTTCGAGGTCCCGAGCGCGGTGCGGAGCGACTTGAAGAACGACAGGAGGTTGGCAGCGTCGGAGCTGGAGTGAGGGTTTCCTGCGCCGGACTCGTTGGGGTATTCCTACAATGCGCGTCAGTACATCGCGTCTTAGAGGGAGCAGGAAAAGAATGCATACCCAATCAATGTCGATACCTATAGTGCGAGCGTTAATGATGTAAATTGGAGTACGTATGTGGCGTACTTACCATCGAGGTTGTACGTGTTCACGGCGCTGACGCAGGCATTCACAAACGTCGTGCGGTTCGCCGAGCTGCTCATCGCCTGCGAAAAGTACGTGCTCCCACCCCATCCACCTACATCACACGAGTCATGGTCATGTTCAGCACCAGCCCACGGAGCGCTCCAAGCAACACGAAACGCACCGATGGAGAGCACGACCTTGGTGCCCTTGCCGCTGTTGTGGGCGCTCGTGACGAGCGTCTTCAGCGTCGACGTCGATCCGGAATCGAAACTGATCGTGGACGACGAGTTCGGGGTGGCGAACGCTATTGCGGGATGAAACGCGTCAGATCGACCGGTCACATCTGGAGCCAGGGTGTCGCGCGCGGCCCCGGGCGAACGATCAAACAACGTTTCCGCCAGGTACTGCATTGCGCATGCTGTGCCCGAGCGGAAAGAGCGGGGATAGCGGGTGGGGGCCCCCGAGGTACCCGGAGCAAAGGGATCTAATTGAATGGAGGAGCGCTTACCGAAGAGCAGGATGTCAAACTTGGAGAAGTCGAGAGAGGCTGGAGGGAACTGGTCGGAGGACCAGTCGGGGTAGTACGCTGCGTAGATTGGCGTAGCCTGTGCGGAGAGCTTGTCCTGCGCCTCGAGTGCGGCCTTGCGCGTGAGGGTAGACGGAAGCGCGTCTTCTGGGTTGAAGTCACGCGAGCTGGCGGAGACGCTGGAGGGCGTGAGGAACTCGATGACGGTCGTGTGCGCACGGAATTGGGGCGAGTGGAGGAGGCCGGTGAGGTAGGCGGACAGTCCAGCCTTGCGCTCTGCGATGAGAGTGTCATCGAGCCAGGCGGCGGGGACGAAGGTCGTGGCCAGGATGCGCTTGGGCGGGAGGGAGCCTGGGTCGTTCAGCGTGTCGTGCAGGGCGACGAACTAGCGGTCATGATCAGCGGATATTCCCGACAGCGAACGGCGGGACATACGTCAGAGTAGCGCTTGGGAACCGTGGACGTCTTGCCGTCGGCGGTCTTGACCTGGACGTTGTAGAGGATGTGCGGCCTGGGCGCGGAGGCCGTGGTGTGGCTGGCGACGGAGGCAGCGACAATCACGGACATGGTGGGCGTGTGAGAGGGAATGTGGGGGGAGGTAATCTCAACCATGACCGCGGTGTCCGTATGTTTTTATACGACGAAGGGGGAGCCATGACACGGCTGTGAAAGGGAATTCGATCAGAGCCAGAAGAGGAAGCGAGCATGAATCGGCGACGCACATGGTCGCGTCACAACATCCGCTCCTCTCCGCGGCTCCTGCAACCAGCGAGCACTTGGCCAGTGACAGCAAACCTACGCATGATATCACCGCCAGTGCTTCTTCGGACGCTCCCATTGGGCACGTGTCGGAAATGCTCCCGCATCCTCCGCCTCCGAGCTCTTCTGGCCAGGCAGCCTCGCGGTGGTCCTATCGGAAGACGCAGCTTGTCTCCGGATAGCTAGCTCGCTACCTCCTACCGGGAGATAACAGCGCGGTCTTTCTCCCTGCAGGACGTGGATACATCCGAATGCCGGCACATCGCGTTGAACAAGGTCGTAGGCCTGGACCACCGGAGCCATCAGACAAAGTAGCTCGGAGGTGCGTCATCGCAAAGCGGTCGTGCGCGCGTCGTCAAGGTCACACTACCGCCAGCATGCACGATGGGCACAAGAAGGGCTAATACTGACCCCGGCCATGACGCACTGCTCGCGGTGGAAGACCCAGCCGTAAGACGGGTTCCTGGCGGGTTCCCATGACCTCAGCACGGCGACGACGGACGCTGGATTGGGAGTGTCTTCAGAAGACACTCGGAAGATGGCACCTGGTGAACTCAACCGTGTCAGCTTCCTGTGATGGATAACATGCTGACTATCGGCACGAACATATTTGGTGCATGATCAGCAGGGGCCAGACCGGCGATACAGAAGCGTCGAGTGACCGGTAGCATGCGGTTGCACGAGGCGGATGCATTCGTCGACAAGAACGCCGGGTTCATTTTTTTTTTTTTTTTTTTTTTTAACGGAGCTCATCACGTGCGGTACGTTACTACCTTTCGTGACAATTGCTAGGCGTCGAGGACAGTGCCCTCTTTGCCAGGATCAGCTACCGTACGGAGGAAATGCTTTACGCACGCGGGTACAAGTACCCCAGTGTGGGACTGCATGTCATCCGCACAGCCAGCGGGTCACCCCGGATCTGGGCCATACAGACGCAGCGGCTTACCCACTAAAACCCCCGGTGTTCGAGTCCAGTCCGCAGGCAGGCAATCTTCCTCCTGGAGAGTCCCCTCCCAAGTCGCACAGACAGTGGTGGGCGGGACAAGGCGTTTTGCCGCCACCCTCTTGCTCGTCAGGGCACAGTCGAGCTGTAAGCGATTGGACACCATGCGCATCCATCTGCGCTCCACATAGGCATCCTCTAGTTCTCCAGGCAGCACTTCCCGGTCCCCAATAACACGTTCACATCTTAATACCCAGATTAGGTAGGCTGTGTCGGGCAGTATCAGCCTGGCCAGCCTTGTTGCCCCATGCAGTACCTGCCCTTCTGCATCAAGGGCGGTATAGGTGTGGGCACCCACTGCAAGTCCAAGGGTCACTTCAGGGAGGTCAAGGCCCTTTGCCTTCAGTAGTCCCCTGGCCAGGGCCCACGCAGCCCGCTGGCCCGGGGCCAGGCACTGGCACAGGATGTGTTCCATTGACTCAAGGGTGCCGCAGGCTGCACAGAGGGCCCTCTGCTCGTAGCCTGGTATGTGGCTCCAGTACTTGCCCACTCTGTGGCTATCATGCAGGGCACGCCACATGAAGTCCCTTGTCTTCTTTGAAACCGGGTCTTTCCG